TTTTTAGGGGGGGGGGGAGGGAAGCGAAGTGGAGGATTGAGAAAATGAAATTGAGGAGGTGGGGGAGGGGGTGAGGTGCTTAGAAGTACCTTACCTACATACTATAAGTAGTGTGTATCTGTCTATTTATTTTGACAGTTGCTTTATTTTACAAGTGAGGTTTAAGAATCAAATGATGTAGATGATAGGGAGGGAGTAGGTAAGGAGTGGATAAGGAGGTGGCTTGGTAGGTAGATGGATACCTTAGGTACAGAGTACGTTGATATCCTATTTCGTGAGGATTTAGGGGGGAGGGGGTTATTATTGTACAGTAGGAAGAAGAAACAAGTAAGAAAGAATTAGAGGGAGGTTTTTTCTCATCAGTCCCTCTATTCATCTACCTGCCTAGGTATCTAAGGTATCTATATCCTACCTCCCCCGCGCGAGACTCATCTAGCTATACCTCTCTCCCATGATCCATGATCCACCCCCAATCTTATCTTATCAACCCCTCCCCTCCCCTCCCCTCCCCTCCCCCTCCTTCCCTTCCGCCTTTGCCCCACCCGGTACTCGGCTCCCGGCTCCCGGCTCCCGGCACTCGGCACAGCACCAACAACCTGCGAAACCGACATCTCCCGTGAAAGAGTCACAAGAACAGAGAGGACGGAAGGACGGATGATGAACGGATAGCTCGGAGTTTGAGAGGGTGTCATGAGGTCTACGGAGTAAGGTACGGAGTAAGGTGGGTAGGCGGGGGTAGAATTGGAGGGGAGAATAGGAGGGGAGGATGGAGGTGCCGAGGTGATGGGAGAGGGCGAGGCTGGATGGATGGATATAGCCTTGTGTATCTGTTCCTCGGGAGTAAGGTAACTGGCTTGCTGAGGTGGCACAAACAATCTCCATGTCACGTGATACTAATCAGATCGTCATCAAGACCCCCAGTCAACACTTCCGCGCTTGTCACGATTGCGATGTGCAACGAAATGCGGATCTATCTATCACGTGATGCTAATCAGATCGCCATCAAACCCCCCGGTCAACACTTCCACGCTTGTCGCGATTACGACGTGCAACAAAATACGGAGCATCGTGCTAATCAGATCGCCATCAAAACACCCTTTGCGCTTGTCACGATTGCGATGTGCAACAAACCTGGAAATGCCGTAGTATTATGCTAATCAGATCGCCATCAAGACCTTCAGTCAACACTTCCGCGCTTGTCACGATTACGATGTGCAACAGAATAGAATGCCGTGGTATCTGATGCTAATCAGATCTCCATCAAGCTCCATCCGCGCTTGTTACGATTGTGATGTGCAACAAACTTAGAATTCTCACACTCTTTCCATACTACCTGATGCTAATCAGATCGCCATCAAAAACATTTTCGCGCTTGTCACGATTACGATGTGCAACAAATTGGAATTCTCTCACTCTTTCTATAACGTGATGCTAATCAGATCGCCATCAAAAACATTTTCGCGCTTGTCACGATTGCGATGTGCAACAGAATGGGATGCCGTAGTATCTGATGCTAATCAGATCTCCATCAAGCTCCCTCCGCGCTTGTCATGACTGCGACGTGCAACGAAATGTCGTAGTATCTATCACGTGATGCCAATCAGATCTCCATCAAAACCCATCTTGCTAATCTTGCGAATGCGATGTGCAACAAAACTTGATTTCTCTCACTCTGTCTATACTACGCGATGCTAATCAGATCGCCATCCAAAGCACTTCCGCGCTTGTCACGATTGCGACGTGCAACAAAAGGCTGTAATATCACCTGATGCTAATCAGATCTCCAGCAAACCCCCCTGTCAACACTTCCGCGCTTGTCATGGATGCGATGTGCAACAAACTCTCCTCCAACCCATCGTCATACAAGCACGTGAGAAGAGAAAACTTTCCCCGCATCAAATTAGTATCTCACCGCCCGCTATGATCTTTTCTGTCCCTGTTGACTTCTTTCACATAAGGTACCTTTGTCTAAGGACTCAGTATCTACACATAAATTTGTGTTAGGGTGGATTTAAGTATGCCTTCAAAGTCTCAAACCGAGTCTTTGACCGATGAGATATTCGACTTCTCTGTCAAATACAACATCTCTAGCCTTCGTGCTCTCGTTCCTGTTGTACGTAGCAGATGAATCTATTTCAGCGGACAATCCCTTTCTCTAAGGGTGACAATGTAATGCCTCTAGACGTGGAACATGTCAACCAAGTATATGGCTGGCTCGCGCTCAAGGAAGCTGGCCTGGAGATCCGGTTGGTACCAACACAAGAAAATACTTGCGCAGATGCATCAACCTTCGCACCTTTCGTGGATTACCGTCCCTGCGCGCGATTGGGCTTTCCTCTGTCATGTTCCATTCCGGCCAGATGAACAATATCAGAGAAATCAGCGCCGTCTTTCGCGGTCGTGGAATTCATATCTTAGTGGATGACACAGCATGTTGGGGTTATGCTAGGTCGAGATTATTGGAAGTCGAAAGGTGAGCGAGCGAGCGCCTCACATATACGTTCTCGAGCTCTTGCATCTGGACTGGCAGGCGCATTTCCTAGACGATCGTATATTTGTTTCGCACTATCAGTTAGGCGTCAGGGTATCGTTTGGCTTCTACAATGATATGAGTGATGTCAGGACCTTTGTGTCATCACTACAACGGGGAATATAGAGCGGGATTCCTCGGGGTTGAGTTTCAATCATGGACCTTGATAGAATCACAGCTCTACATGGATACCACAATCGGGAGGAAATCAATCCGTGTTCATCTATCTACCCTACCTAATTTCTTTATTTTCCGAGACTAGGATCTACCTTAGACACCTCGTAGGTGCCCCCCGGAATTACAACGTAATCCATACATTCGTACTCGTCCAGGTATCCCAAAACCAATAAACGCCAGCCAACAAATACAAATACTAAGATCACAAACTCATGATCGCTTCTGACCAATCTCAAGATCCCCATCTAGATCATCCCAATCGTCCCAATCGGCTCGGGACAAGGACTTCTCGACCCAGATACCAAGCGCCGTGGCGAGGCTCGCGAGTAGGAACCAGCCGTCGAACCAGCGCTCGACGAACCCCGGTTCCAGGGGGCTGCCGAGAGCGTCTGAGATGACGCTGCGCATTTCCTTCGGGAGATTGCTGCGGAGGAGTAGGGCGCTGGAGATCACGTAGGTGGCCGAGACTTGGGCGGTGATGAGGGCGAGATTGGCTTGGGTTTGATAGAGGAGCGAGGGCGAGAGTTTGGTGAGCATGTGGAAGGTTTGGAGGACGCTGTTGAAGGAGGCGAGGAGGATGATGCCGGAGAGGCCGAATGAGATCTGGCGGGACCAGGCGAGTTGGTCGAGCGATGGGTCGACGTTGTTGGCAATGAGGGAGAGGACGCGGTTGATAGGGTCGGTAGTTGAGGATGTAAACGCTGTGGTGTCGGGGGATGGGAAGAATGAGCGCCGTAGTGTGGTGAGGGTGGTGGTGATGATCCGGAAGATGCAGTAGAGAGAGAAACCGTAAGATATAGGCGTCAGGAAGAGCTTACCCAGCGGTGACGAAGAACGACGACTGGATACTAGTCGGTTTTGTAAAAGTGTGAGAGAGGATGAGAGACCTCGTGCCATGGAGTCCAAGCCTGCAATTTCCAGTTCCAGAGCCTTGATCTCTTGGGCTTCAGCACTACCTCGAATAGTCCCGATAACCTTAGTCATGAATCCTTCATCAGGACTTTGCTTCATATTGTGTTGGAGTGCGCGAAGACGGCCTCGCTTTGTTGCCAGCATATCGTTAGTGGCATCCAGGCCAGCTTGCTTGCGTGCCACATCCGATTCTGTTACCGGCCTTGTTTTGGCACCAAATGTCTGCCAAGCAGCCGACACAGCGGCGAAGCCGGATAGAAGTGCCATAGAAAATATCCCAATGATCCCAATCCTTTCTAAACATGCCTCACTGAGTCCCTTGCCTGCTTGAGATGCTGCTAAGTGGATATGGGTCCCTGGTATCCCCTTTCCCAGCCACCAGAAGCCCATGATCCATAATGTGAACGCCCCCATCTGTAAGAACAGTGGCGTTTTGCGCACTTTGCCGCTGTCTGTTCTCCGAAAAGACCACCCAAAACCAGAGATGATGGAACTCAGTTCGAGAAGTGGGATCAAGACGACGAGGAAGAATAGAAGTGTTGGTACCGTTATCTTGAGGGCTGCTGATCTAGCAGAAGGGTGCAAGGAGTTTGAGATTTCGCAAAGGATCAACTCAGCAAGAACAGCTGCGAGTGCTATCGTGGTAGAGAAGGAGATGGCGACAATCCGTCGTCGCGCAGATCTTGCGCCATGTTCAGCGTGCGATTGTCGCAAACTAGGTGGCGCATCGCTTGGGAGATAATTCCCATCCCCGTCTCTTGATTGCTGTAACCCTGATACCAGGGGAAAGAACTTATAAAGGGCAAGAAGAGCGACTCCGAGGAATGAGAGAATGAACGGAATGGTATGAAAGGCGACTGCTGAAAAGGATTCGGAGCTTGCGGCGCTGCTGTGGTAGCCCGGCATCACACAAGCCTCGTCGCATTTGTCCGTAGGGAGCATCGCGCACTTTGAGCTTTTCACCTGTGATAGTTCGAGGGTCGCGTTATCATCATATGAGAAGGTGTCTGCCGTTTGATTGCTGGGAAGTCAAGTAGAGAGTTGCACTCGAACAAGGAGCCGCATTGAGTGGAGCCCCTCGTTATCTGGAGTGCATACTTAGGTACACGTCATCTCCTTATCAACACGTGATGCGGCGTTTGATCAGGGGTCAATGCTTTATCAGGGGTCTTTGGGGACTTGGGGAGACACTGAGACATTTGAAGTTCATCACTGGGAAACAAACATATAAGATTAAACAGGACTCAATTTTCGCCTGCTACCAACATGATTCACCATGTAATGACCCTCCAACTACCCCTAGAATTTACAGTGTAAAGCATCTACAATGATTACAGAGGCAGAAAACGCAATCATGGGTATCAAAAACCAGTGACAGGTAGATGTGGAGTACTGATCATCAACACCACCATCCGACGACGGAAACGCCAGTCAACGCCAAGTTCCTTGAGACTAGACGCTAATAAGAGAAGGAATAAGCAGAATAACAAGCCTTGTTTGCATCTGACAGACGACACAGACGAATCAAGCCGTGACCAAATCATAATATGACGACCCTACGAGTCAGAAGAAAACAGACGAATCATGAGATAATACCAATACCAACGGTGGAGGCAGATATATCGTTCTCAAAAGTAATTCCACTGTTACTGTGGTCTTCGGCCTCCTGGGAGCCATCGTCTGTTCCGTCCATGTCGAGAAGTTGAAAGCGGTTTACTAGATGGGCATCGCTCTTCTTCTTTAGTGGTGCGCTTTCCTTGCGAGCCTTTTGTGGTGTTTTTACGGGTGTAGCACATTCATCCTCGTCCCAGCAAATTTTGGATCCTTTGTAGGTACTAATCTGATGTTTAGAAACGGATTTACTCGGAATCGAATTACTTACGCGCGGCTCATCATGCAGGTACGAGCAAACATTGCATTGTGAACAGAGTTTGTAGAGATGTGGGTATTCTGGCCCTTGAATTTAACCCTTATCACTACCAGATTGTGGATATGATCCAAATCTTCCCGGATGGCGTCCTCGGTAAGTTTAGGGTTGCGGTTGAGGATGACCAAATTCCTGGTGGCTCCCATGGCTATCTTATTCGCGACATGACCTGGCAGAATGAACTGACGATCGCTCCAGCGGATCTCAACCTGTGAATTCATCAGTGAAGGGCCCAATGATTGCCCCGTTTGAAGGCTACATACCCTCTTTCCCCGAATATAGAGATCATGACGCTTGACGTGGCGGAAGAACTCCTGGGCATGGGCTTCTTCCAAGAACGAGACACTGGCAGTTCGATCATTTGTGCGAAGATATATATCCAGTAGCATACCTCCTCTGACGACGTCTACGATGTCGGTGTGAGTAACAGCATCAGGAAGATTGGCAAGTAGGATAGTCCGCTTGGCGAATACATCATACTGCTGACGGGTAAACTTCGTTTGAAGTTCGTTGTTTCCATTTGCTCCGTCACCAAGCCCATCCGAAGGACCATCTGGCATATATGTGAAGTCATCATTGATATGTGGGGGGTTTTGAAAGGCATTGTTGTTTCGTGGTCGAAGATCTCGAGGCGTGTAATTCGCATTTCTTCCGTATGTGTAGTCATATCCACCGCCTTGAATTGATGGAACAGATTGATGTGTCTGTGCTAGGATAGTATCATTCTCAGTCATAGTATCCTCGACCGTGGAGAGGATGGCAGAGGTTCCCTCTTCATTTGCAGGAGCATCGTCTTTGATTAGGATCTGAGAGTTTAAGTCAGTCATACAGTAGCCAAAGATCTCTGCTTGTATTCAAGGTCTTACAGCAAGAGTCTCTTCTGCAATGCCACCTCGGTAAAGATTTTGTCGAAGATTAGCTGCGGGATAAGTCAGATCATTGAACCCAAGCCCATCGATGGCAAACCAGCCGCATTCTGGGTCGCAACTTACCATATTCACGCGCCGAAGCCAACTGCAATAAAGTCAGCAGATGCCTTCGTCCTGCAAGGCTGGATAAATCCTTACGAGGTTATCGTGATCAATCTTTGGTATGGTGACCGTTGGCACATGAACAGGAGTGGTAAAGTCAACACCAGATGTATGCTATACGTTGCAATGATCAGAGCAGCCAGGAGACATCACTTTGAAGCTGGCACATACAAACTGGGCTCTGTTCGCGGACGGGATGTTAGCTATTGATCCAAGCCTGCACGCGCTATCTAGAAGATTTAACCAAGGGACCGACTCACCTTCTCATCAAAGTCTCAAAATAGGCCCTGTCAAGAGTCACCGTACTGGTAGCCATATTGACAATAGACACTGCTGATACAATTAAGTATCTGCAGATAGTCGTCGTCAATGGAAGATGAAAATCACTTACGGAGCAACGTCTACCTAAGGTACCTTTCGTGGTTGTGTCGATTGGATTTGGCGATAGCGCCCACCAGTTTCATGCAGCGCTAAGGTGCCAAGGCAGAGCGCGCGCTTTGGCCAGCCCGTGGGGCCCCGGGGCGGGACGCGCCCTCGGATTTGTGGCCTTAGGTATCTCCGCAGTAGCTTACCTAAGGTACATAATTATTGGGATTTCTATTTCTATTGCTGCAACTCTTACCTTTTCTCTCCCTCCCACATTACTACAATAACTACAGGACGAACCCGGCTCTTTTACCTGATCTTGAGCTGTTACCGTAAAGGAAACAACAGGTCATACACGGTAATCAGTTACCATGGTGCACTTGGATCCCGAGGTAGCGGTTGTACCGCACTTTTCCTCCGCCTTAATTCAGGGCATGTTATACAGATACCCCACTCTACCAGGTACCATGTGCTAAGACCAAAGCATTCAAGCCTCTTGCGGGGAAAATCGCGTTGACTTCAAGGTCACCCCTGCAAGCTTGCTCTCCATGAGATCAATCTAGGCTATTCTTTGTCAGTCGATCACCCCAGTCTCCACGTCCCTGAAGTCTCTGACCGCATCTCGAAGGAGAGGGTTTATATACGCCCAGACCATTTCCCTGTCGCGTTGAAAATCCCGTTCTGTGTTCTCCAGCGCAAATGATCCCAATCACCTGGGTAGACAAGTCGGATTAGCTGCCGAATTTGTCCTACCTTGTCTTACATCAAGGCCCAGTAAGAAGCCCCACAAGGGCACAGTGCATGTTCTCAGTCTATGTCCTTGAGTTTCTCGAATATACAAGCTCTATCGACGACCGTCCTGGTTACAGAGGATATTGCTATCTATGGTAGCAGCTTTTACATCAATGCCGGTATTTAAAAGAAATGAAGAGGTTCAATAGTCTCACGACGACAGCCATGGAGTCATAGCGGTTGTTGGGGGACAAGGGTTCTCGGCCATTGAGCTCGCCAACCAAAATATGTTGAGCATGCGTTGGCTACCGTAACACCGGGGGGAGGTGGAGGTAGCTTCGTGCGATTATTGCCGAAACACTGGAGAGTGAAGGTAGTGCCTCTGTCCACGGTAATATCAAAAGCTTGCCATATGGAACTCCAACCATATTAAAGGTGTGGTACCGCTGATTTCATCCAACGTTCCGGGAAGGGTTGGATTTCATCAGACTCCGGTGCTCATAGCAATTCTCTGTGGTTCATAGGCATAAGCAAAGATCCGTACGTCTCAAAGATATTCTACTTTGGGGCTCATTGAGTGTAGAATTGGAGGACTAGGGACCTGATTCTAGGATCGTCACCGCTGGGCGGGCATTGGGCAAAGTCTGTATTACAGAGTAGACTGGAACCCATGTCAAAGTTGGCAACTGCAAGATGGTCTCTGACCGAGTACAGAACCCTTGTAGGAGCACAGTGGGTGCTGAATACGGTTGCTTAGTAGCAGCCAACGCCGAAAGAAAAGTCAGGCCCATGATCCCCAAATTCCCTTGTGACTTTTTGGGGAGCAGAAGATGGATCCCTCCCATTCTCTTCTGTCCTACGATGGCGCCTTAATATATCATCGCCCAGCTTCCTCCCTTCCAACGGTCTGTCCCTCCCAAACTCTTCACTTCATCCATCCTCTCTAGTCATTATCGTTATCGTCTCCCTCTACAGCTCAACCAATATGCGGTGTCCTCAACCAGCTGATTGCCCATCCGATGACGGCGACCGGTCGGATATTGGGAGCTGCTTAGATTCGGACAACAATTCAACAGAACTTGATACTGATTTCGAGGAAGATGACGAGGCAGACTTTCCGTTGCTCCTCGACGAGGACGAAGACAGCCCTTTAGAATACTACCATAATGAAGAGGATGAGGGGTATCGGTTTTATTTTCCCTACCGATAATGATTGGAATTTATGTGGCTCTCGTCGGAATTTGTTCCATTTTCTCTATTCCTTTGCGCTTCTGTTTGAATAAATCTATTGCCAGTGTTGGTGCATCAGACTCTCGTCTGGAACAACCTGAAATCTACCCGTCCATTCCAGGATTTCCTCTTGACGTTCTGAAAACCACCAGGCGACGTGCTATATATATCTTAGCAACATTTTTCATTTAGATGAATTGACGACATTACCTGATCAAAACTGAACACTCGGATTTCACTGTCGGACAAGATTTCTGCCTTGTCGTCCAAAAAGCAGACATTGGTGACAATTGTTAGCCTGGCCGGCCTTTTCATTGTGAAGAATATCTTGGAAATGTTTAGCTCATATCTGTTATGAAGAGCAGTACTTTGAGCCAGGAGACGTGTGCTATTGACCCAAGGCTACTGTCGGATCTTCGACATAGTGTAGCAACAGCCCGGTGCAACGGTTTCCAACACGACACAGATCGACTTTCTCGAGCCCATCTAGCAAAGTGACCGACAGACAGTCCTGAAGTAGGAGTGCCGATCGCAGGGATTGAACCACCGTGGAAAAGACATCGAGGCTTCAAGGGATTGAGTATTGATGATGTCTCATCGCTACAGACGTCTATTCGCCTAATCTCTCTCGGAGAAGTCTCGTAATAAAACCCTGGGATAGCACCTCGTTCCTTCAAAAGAACACATCTGTATGCGCCCTCCATAACTGGTCTTGGTAAGATATACGGACCAAAAAGGTAGAGTCTTCCTAACGTTGTCTCAATCTGTAGAAAGCATCAGCAAATCGCAAGGCTGAATAACTGACCTTGATGGATGGTGTTGCGAATACATAACTCTGCTCTGAAATTAACACGTAGCCAAACGTGTGTTATTTGTTCACTTGGGCAGAGAGGGTAGTGTAGAGCGACACCAAGGCTTCCTGATGAGTATGACGCCCCCTTAAATTGAGCTTCTAGCTCAACTATCCCATTTCCATTCCAATAGATGGTGAAACCACTTGTGTACAGTCCCCGGTTGTGCAAAGGTAAACATCAGAAGAAGCGTTGCTCTAGCATAATACAACCATAGGTGCTTCCTCGATCGATGGATGAAAACATTGCCTCATCTGGATTGGCAAGGCAAGCCGGATAATGAGGCCGATCCCACAGTACCAGATGAGATGTCGATGCCAAACTAGAGATATCTGCCAAATTCAAGTTCTTTTGAAGTCAGTAAGAAAGTTCAGTCATAAAGGAGATGTTGATTTGCATTGTAATGACATCGAAAGCCAGGAAGCATGCCTTATATACTTCCATACCAAACTCGGCCAGGATCCGGGATCTTGCCAAGCCACTTTCCCAATCGTAACCCAGCAATTTGATTGCACAAACTCTATTACATTTTGTAATGAATTTGAGTCCGGTTACAATGCCAAACAATTTGGAAATTGCTTTCAGACTCTCTGTCGTCGGACTCTTCGAATAAGTGAGCATACTCGGTGCCGAAAATCGTGATCGTCTTACAGACGTGACCCGTCATCGAAACCTAAAATCCAATTGGTAGAGTCGCGAAGATGACGAGCAGGTTATGAAGTTTCGCCACCACCAGCATGAAGACACTGTACGCTGTCGTTGACGCGACATAGCCCCAGATATAAGATCTGAGTTCTGGAGGCAATCTTGATAGAAACAACGGTTGGAGATCTGGAGCCAGGTTGGTTTTGGCGGCTGATCTCGAAGTAAAGATCACCAATATCTTCAATAGTGCGGTGCCAAAATGGGGATTTCTCCATACTTTTGACGAACCTGTAGAGGTCCAATGTAGTGCAGCCATTGAGCTTCCAGATAAGGATTGAGTAACACCAGCAATGGAAACAAAAGCCCATGTTATCAAATGGTGTTTCTCTATCGCGAAAGGAAACATTTTGGACAGACACGTGTCCTGCCAAAGGAACATTGACTATCTCGTCGTCCCAATTGAACGTCGCGACATCAGTCAGCTCAACTTAGGATGCCATTTGAATCTAGACGCAAAACTACGCAACATCAATGAGAGAGCGATAGTAGTATGAAGATTTGATGAACCATACTAGCATGGAAAGACTTTGCCAGCCATCGAAATTTGAAGCTTCACTGGAAGGGAACTCGGAAGGGCATAGCCCGCATCGTGCAGTACTCTTAAAGAACCTCTTGACAGGCTCCATGCTAGACTAGCGATGATTGAAAAGGTTTATTCTTAACCCAAAGTCTGATTGCGTGGATAGTAGCTCTTGAGTTGGGGATAGAGGGTGAATCGAAGGCCACGATTGCTGGTCTAAAATAAGCCTTCGAGCAGAAGGTTCCCCAGACCTACCGTGCGGTTCCTGCAGGTGTAGACGCTGCCACTCTTGAGTGGATATCAATAGGTAGGTTCAGGAGGTGGAGGCACTTCGAATCGGCAACGCTTGTCATCGGGAATACAGCATCTAATACCTCGATATCTTTTGCTGTCTGCGGTCTGAGTGAAGACTTGGAGGGGCCCATGTAACCGCGATAATCCGGAAATCGCGTCCTGCAAATGCCACGTGACTTACGTGATTGTTCGGCGTTGATAAGAGAGTCCAACCTCATCTTCACTTCTTCATGTATCCACTTAAATCAGCCTTTTGGTTCATTACAAGTCCAAGTTCTCGCTTGATTTTCTACTGATAAATTTGAAAACCTAAGTGTTAAACTACGGAATTTCACATCTCCCTTTTTTAAAGGACCGGCAACAGATAACGATATCGCAGCTCCAAAATATGCACGAATCGATACTCTAGTCACCACAGTTACGACAGATGATGTGGCGCTGCACAAAGAAGATGGTTTCTCTGATACTTCGTCATTTGTACTCTGCGAAGACACGAAAGAGTCAACAAAGAAGATGCTAGTGGAGCAGGCAGAGGCATTGGGCATTCAATTCGACCATGACACTTCGGTGTTGATGCCGGAGCAGAGACGGGCCCTTTTCAAAACAATTTGGCTATATACTTGAAACCTATCGATCTATGATCACCGCATTACAATGAGGGCAAATCGCAATGCCTTTCTATTTCGGAATCCGCTTGGCCAGGGGCAGTAGCCTACCTCAAAGCCGAGGAGTTAAAGGCGGCTAGATCGAGCCAGAGGATCTGATCAGGGGCCAAAGCAACAAAAACACAGACTGGGAAGACTAAGGGTATTGTCAAATGCAGGAGAGTGTCGAAGAAAAACGCGGCCAGCAGCTACGAAAGCTCAAGCCGCCACCTCCACTACGAAAACGGCAGACCTATCGCAACTATTACACCTTGACAAAAGATTTCCCCACACAATACCTGGCAGTGCCACAAGAGCCAGAGGAACGAACTTGAGGCGTCGATCGCCACGGCATGCTCGTGCAGCGTCACCACAAGGTGCACAAAAGGCCTGTAACGGCAGTGGAAGGCAGGCTCACAGGCTTATGAGAGCTGCGCTGACGGCAAACCATAAGCAAGGGCTTCCCCGCCTTCTTACGCAACCTTAATCCGAGCGAGATCTAAGGGGCCAACTGAGCCTTGCGACTTCCAAACTTCGACACAGATGGATGAATCCACGTCTTGCAAATAGCCAATCAGACCGGCTAAGAAATCTACGCTGCGACCTAAGCCCTCCGACAGAGTTCCGCCCAAGTGGGTGTAGCGGTAAGACTTGTTCACTGAAACAAGCAAACACCTAAGGGCGTCTGGCTAGACGATCGAAAGAACTCGGTAATGCGATGATATGCCACGAACGAGATGGCTCAGGAGGCACACCAGCATCATATCTCCCCACCCAATTTGCCGCTAGAAGCATTCTGTCTCGTCTTGCATGAATCAAGAGAATCCCCTCGTCCCCTCACTGCATCTTCAGGTTCAGGTTGACTCAGCGGCATGCGCGGGCTCATGCCTCAGCTCAGGTTAGAGCAGCGACTGCTCAGGTCCAAAGACAGAAATGGACTTTGGTGAGATAATGTTTTGTGGATTGTCTGGGGCAAAGAGAAACAAATAATTGCATAGGTGAGGTCTGGTCCTACCTTCTCGGATGCAATAGTCTCAACGTCAATGCCCTTGCTATACTAAAGCCGGGCACTCTTTGCGTTGCCGTGCATACAGAGTAGTACGACTTACCACTAGGGTAGTCCCCATGGTATTCTCACCGTGCGAGATCCGGTATACGGAATACAGGCTCAAGTCTAGTCAACAGGAACAAATGTTGAATTCTCACAACCGTAGCAAGCTGCACGGAGTAGTAACGGTAGTATACCTATCCTGGACCCCCCCAATTCCCTAGAAGGTAAGGTATGCCGCCGAAGCGAGAAAGGTACAGAGGTACATGTGTACCTTGTAGCGAGTAAGGCCAGGCTAGATGGCCGATCCCCCCGTTCTGACTCGTGTGCAGCGGGAGAGGGCGCCCTGCATTTCCCTGCATTTCTTTCAACAACAAGGGCTCAGAGAGCGGGCGGGGTTTGGTTATGGCCCTTGATTATATGCGCAGAGGTATGTATGCAAACACGAATGCTGTGGAGTGTTAGTAATTCGGTAGCTAGATAATCGTTGCTCTACATGGAAGTAGGACTTTTTGCTTTCGTCCTTGTGGGAGTTGTCGCATTGAAGTGCTGCAATAGGTACCCCACTCTTCCCAACTGTCCATCATATCATCGCGTTTTCATGGGCAGTAGAACGAGGTATCGGTTCCTGACAGCTGCCAAAAGACAGCTAACAAAGGCAATATGAAAACGAAGTGTTCTGACGCTGATAACTTGGACGCTTATACCTAATTGGCTTTCGTTATGATCAGGCATGAGGCGTACATTTTCCCCAGAATCAAGAACGCCATTCCCGACGAGATACGTAACGTCACTGCAAGACAACATATACTTCCCCAGGGCCTTGGTTTGCGAGACTTCATGCACCTCCACCATCTCTATAAAAGCAGATGAATTATACTATAAGTGGATTCGATGTGATAGTCCTTCGAAGCAAACCCCCACCCCCAGCCACCCCACCATTCGCAGGGTCAACTTCAGTTCTAATAACGTTGCTCCTTGCCGGAATCGATTGACAGGTCAAACTAGAGGCCGAGCAAGTGAAGAAAGGAGGCTGGTGATCAGCGATAGGTTCAATCCGCTACAACATCAATCCGGTTAAGCCATCAATTTGCCTTCCTGAGCATCCGAGACTAGAATTTTAGCGTTGCGGTCCGTCACTTTAGAAGACCAATATTCTATTCTAGATTTCTCGCCGGCTTTGAAGATGCTGTATTTCCTGCTTGAGGGTATTTGAAGTCTCGAATGTTTCTTCATGACTCTTTAATGCAGGATACAAGTACGCGCGGCACATCGAGGATGAAGTCTTGTCCAACATGTCGTCTCAAACCGATTAGACCGGAAGCCATCGCACTTCCCTTCTATACCTGCCATTTGTTCTTTTTTTTATGGATATCGCAATAATCCAATGTTGGTTTCATTCCACTTCGTTGCTGCCGCACAGCAGGTTTTCCTAGCCTCGTGTGTACCAACCACCCCTCCAGGAGGAGGTACGTCTGTCAGATATACAGCACCTATTTGCTTCTCCTTTCTCTTTTCTTAGTCAACGAAAAAGAGTATATGACGAGCCAATTCCCGATTCATTGTTCTTGATAAGTTTTTATGCCTCTCAGACCAATTTGCATTTCTGTATTCCCCTCAATATCCTTTCAACATGCGTTTCTCCATCCTTCTAGGGGTACTGGCTTCCTCCGTATACGCACAGAATCAGACATACTGTACACCAGAAGGCGGCGTTTGCTATACTGTCAACGTTCCTGTTTCTACAGCTTCTAACAACACTGGGGATATCTACTTTCAGATTAGAGGCCCGTCAACCATGTCGTGGATTGGATTAGGACAAGGAAGCTCGATGACGGGATCAAACTTATTTTTCATATACGCAGACTCTGCCGGGACCAATGTTACATTATCATCCCGGCTTGGTATAGGGAACAAGGCTCCAGCAATCGACTCTACCGCTGGAATTACGCTCCTCAGTGGCTCCGGAATAACCAACGATATGATGGTTGCAAACATCAGATGTAAGTATTGCTTCTAAGTGTCTGGTATGCGTTCGCTAATAGAGAAACAGGTTCAAACTGCAGTACATGGAGAGGGGGATCGATGAACTTCACCGATGATAGTTCAGATTGGATATGGGCCTTTAAGACTGGCTCATCGATTTCATCTGACAATATGGATGTTTCCTTGCCTATACATAACGACTGTGGCAAAATGCACTTCAATCTTCAGAATGCAGCGGGGGGTAGCAGTGCCAACCCTTTCTTAACAGCTGCAGTAGCATCGCCCTCATCTTTATCAACCTCGTCGTCTTCATCTAGTGCGGGTGAGGAGGGCCCAGCATCGGCCTTCAACGCTGTACGCATGGCGCATGGCTTGTCGGCTGCCATGGGTTTTGTTCTCTTATTCCCGTTCGGCGCCCTGGGCATTCGATTACTGAGCTTTAAGAACCTGGTATGGTGCCACGCTGGGTGGATGGTTTGCACCTACATTATCGTTCTGGGAAGTCTAGGCATGGGAGTCTGGTTAGCAGTTGTGGCTCAGCAAATTGGCACGACACATGCCATCGTCGGAATCGTGGTTATCGGAGGCTTGCTCCTGCAACCTGTTACTGGCCTGGCCCACCATCTTTTGTATAAACGCGTTGGTGGACCGAATGTTGCCACATACCCCCATATTTGGTGGGGCCGTGCAATTATCACTCTTGGTATAATCAATGGTGGCCTCGGCCTACAACTTTCGGGCAACACCACTTATAGCGAAATTACATACGGGGTTGTAGCAGGCTTCATGTGGTTGCTGTGGATGTTTGTCATCCTGGTTGCTTTCATCACGAGCAGAGAAAAGTCTGAGGCCGGCAACGACGACTTTGGCTTTGTCTCCTATAACTCCTATAACTCCTATGCCGGGAATCTGGAGGACAGCAGAAGCAACTCGTGGACGAGGCAATCCTACTCTGTCGGACATAGTCCGAACCGCCAGTCTTACCTAAATTCCGTTCATGATGCGGAGCCCAAGGTGGCAGTGGTCTTCTAAATCCAGAAGATATTATGTTTTGCTGGTTAGGAAAATTGGAGTATAGGGAGATGGTAGATTAATGGCCTGCAGTTATGTCTTGGGACGGGCCTTTTCACGGGACATGATGTACGTGATGGTTCTGGATTTGGAATTAGTGTTGGAGCAGGGGCTTTAGAATAATGATAATGAATCTTATGACATGAATGAATATTTAGGGCCATAGCTACATATCAAATCATTGATTGATTGTTGTTTCGGAAGCTACCTAAGCTGTTGAGCCTTCTGGACAGGTAGATTTTGATATGCCTGAAGATGCCTGAAATCCGATGTCGGTAGAGAGGCACGTGATTTTGTTGGAAAACATCTTGCCCAACTCGTCTGGCCGGCGGATTGCAATTCTCCTGTGGGTTCTTTCTTGATCAAGCCGTTGACATCTACATACAATAAATGTGATATGTGCTGCTAAGAAAATCCTGGACACTGGAAAAACTCAAAGTGAGAGAGCGCCTAACTACTACTACGCAGCATACAGTCGATATTCTTAGGGCTAAAGATAAATAACCGACTTCAATTTTCGACCCCACCGCGTCGCCCAGCTTTCGACGACAACGACAACGACCCTCGATCGAGATTCCCCACAACATGAGTGTCTTTCAGAATGGCGCTGCTCCCCCACGAGCGATGGACGATGAATCTGACGTCGAGGAGGAGGCTCTCGTTGCCGACTACAGAGAGCAGGTTCAATACGAAGGAATGGAAGAGTTGGAGCAAGTTACTTCGCTGAGCATTGCACAACAGGCAGACGATATACAGTCAAGACTCGCTGCTGCTGCCCAGCCTTTGGACTTCTCCCCTCCTCTCGAGGTCAAATTTGCCAGCTACGACAACTACTGCAGTCTGTTCCACTTCATCCTGAACTCTGATGGGCCTGTTGACCTTGAACCACCCTCGGTGCGCAACCCAGAAATATATGATCTATGCCAAATCTGACAGTTTTTCTAGTACTACTGGGCATGGGATGTCATTGACGAATTTATTTACCAATTCAACTCCTTCTGCGCCTACAGAAATCGCGTCGCGCGCCAAGGGACCAACGAGGAGGAGATCCAAATTCTCCGCGAAGCACCAAATACATGGGGCTGCTACAGCGTTCTCAACGTCCTATACTCTCTCATCCAGAGATCTCAGATCAACGAGCAACTTGCTGCAATGAAGCGCAATGAGGAGCCTATGGCGGTGGCCGGTGACTATGGCTCAAAACCTTTGTACCGAATGTTGGGTTATTTCTCAATCATTGGTCTCTTGAGAGTCCACTGTCTCCTCGGTGACTTCAGTCTTGCACTGAAAACACTGGATGATATTGAACTCAATAAGAAAGCCATGTTCGCCCGCGTTATGGCTGCGCACTTCACCACTTACTACTATGTCGGCTTCTCCTACATGATGATGCGACGATACGCAGATGCCATCCGCATGTTCAGCCACATCTTGATCTACGTCTCAAGAACGAAGAACTTCCAAAAGAGCGCACAATACGACTCGATTTCAAAGAAGAACGACCAGATGTACGCTCTCATCGCTATCTGCGTGGCCTTCCATCCCACCAGACTCGACGATACCATCCACACAGCTTTACGGGAGAAGTATGGTGACCAGCTCTTGAAGTTGCAGCGTGGTGGACCCGAATCCCTTCCGGTCTTTGAGGAGTTGTTCCGCTCTTCTTGCCCGAAGTTCATCTCCCCTACACCTCCGGACTTCGACAACCCAGAGCTCAACGTTGACCCCCTTGAGCACCATCTCGCCATCTTTATGGACGAGGTCAAGACCAATATGTGGAGCCCAACTGTCAAATCATACCTTCGCCTCTACACTACAATGGATCTGAAGAAGTTGGCTGGCTTCCTTGAGGTGGAGCCTGAGAAGTTGAGAAGCTGGCTGCTGGTGAACAAGCAGAGAAGCAGACAGATCCGGTGGGTGGATAATGGTCTGTTGGATGGAGAGGTTGTAGGATCCGGGGATCTTGACTATGCGATGCAGGGGGTAAGTGGCACAGATCACAGTGGCCTGGTATTTGCTGACATTCACACAGGATCTGATCCATATTTCGGAAGCCAAGGTGGGACGTAAATTGGTAGACTGGTATCTCCGCAACCTGGCTCGGACATACTAGATAGATGTTGCTCCTTGATCTCTCTCTCTCTCTCTCACGCTGGCTTTCGGGACTTTGCATGGATGGCGTATTGGATGAAAAGAGGACGGGGGGGGTGCTTATGTGTCAAAATGGCTGCTAGCCAACCCGACGGCCTTGCAAATGAGTTAAGAAAGATTCACGCATAAAATCAACAGACCAATCATGCAGATAGGAAGGCATCAAAGGCATCATTGTAGCTAGGTTGTGCTTCGTGCGCAGTATGTAGATGGTTATGTCGCGACGAGGCTGGCGGGGCTGTCACTTGTTTACTGCGTAATATTTTATGTTCCATTGCCAAGCACAGACTGTCTCTGAACCCGCTCTGGACATCGCGCCATTTCTCTCCTCCAAACCCCTCAACAACAACCCTCTCCAAAATCCACTGTGGGTGCTCGTTCGCTGACTCTGCCACCAATCGCATCCTATCGTTGAGCATCGTGGTGGTTGTGCGACGCGCCTTATCGCAGTCCGCCCCTGCCATCCTGATATAGCCATCCAAACATCTCGTCGCGGATGAATACCTAACTGGCAGGCAGTCTCTCAATTCTCTCTTCAATCCTGCTAACCTCTGGGCAGACAGGAATAATCGATGCTGTTACTTCAACTCAACTTCCCAGCTGTCTTTCGAGACTTCACTGGACCACGCGCTGTCAGAGACCCAGCGCGATAGCACCAGCCCAGCATGTCGTCGTCGTCTTCGATGAATCAACCCGCATCTCCAAACTCCCCGGTCTCACCGCTAACTCTCCCTTCTTCCGAGCCCTTTGGCACTCCACGCCTGGATCCCATAATTGAGCATGTGAAGGCAGACCATGGCCAGCGGACAAGAGCATCCACTGTCTCTGGCGTCTCTTTCAAGGGAGGTGTCAAAGGATCACAATTATCGAAAGCAAGGCCTGCAACTCGCATCCGAGAGTCGTCCCCTCCGCCACCAAGGTAGGCTCTCCCGTTTCTTTGCGTGGTCAACTGAGCGATCGAAATGCTCTAGAAGAAGCAGAAGAGAAAAGTTGGAGTGGGAGGTCCATTTGTACCGCACGGGACCTAAGGACCCCACGCCCTTTCGCATGTCTTCTGTAGCCTCTAATTCGCTTACAACTACTGTCCAAGTTCAGCGATGCAGGTGACGAAACCCCACGCGCTTTTTTGCCAGTTGGGGGCCCTTGTACAAGTAGCACACATAGCATGTCCATTTTCTAACCTCATGGAGCGATGTCGCTGACTGTAGATCCCCTAATTAGCCGATTTCAACATCATGTTTCCTTCGACAACTTCGCTGGTACAGAGCCGACAGAGAAGAACACCCTCTCCTTCACGCTCAATGCTAAGCACAAGGGATACCAGTATAAGCGAAGGTCCCGCACGTTTATGGTTGGCATAGATGAGAATGATTACTCGGATATTGCATTGCACTGGATGTTGGAGGAATTAGTTGACGATGGGGACGAGATTATTTGCCTCAGGGTCATAGATAAGGACTCTAAGATCACTAATGATCGGAATTTGGAGAGAAGGCAGTACCAGAAGGAGGCGAGGGCGCTGATGGAACGAATTCAGTCGAAGAATGACGATAGCAGGGCAATCAGTATTGTGCTGGAATTCGCTGTTGGGAAGGTCCAAAATACATTTCAGAAGATGGTTCGTAGTGTTCGAGTCTGTCCTGGTTTGCTAAAAGCAAACAACGTTTTGGATCTCTGCTAACTAGGCTACGTTACAGATCCAAATCTACGAGCCTGCGATGCTTATCGTTGGTACCCGAGGTCGAAGCCTCGGAGGTTTCCAAGGACTTGTCAGCAATCGAAATTCGTTCTCGAAGTGGTGTTTACAGTACTCTCCCATACCTGTAGTTGTCGTACGTCCCACAGAAAAGAGAATGAAGAAAAAGAAGAAGAGAGATGCAGATCCAACACGTCAAGACTACATTAGGATATTGAGGGAGAGTGGGATTAAGGAACACGAGACAGAAGCCGGGTCAGCTAACAGCACATTTGAAGAAGCGAATCATCCTGATGTTGAAGCACATGCAGTAGCTGCTGCCCTCGGTCTCCCAGCAGGATTCGATCCTACTCTACAGCCGATCATCTTTGACAATGACCGAACACTCCGGAAGGTGGATTCAGCAAGGAGTGATGTGACTAGTGCTTCACAAAGTAGTCTGGCGACTGACTCTCGACCTGCCAGTCCTGAGCTCGTGAGCAAGTCTCCCAGGTCAGGACAACAAGAAAGTCCCGGCGAAAGCGAAGACGAGTATAGTGAAGGTGAAGAAGACGATGACGAGGATGGCGAATTCGAGGCCATACCAGGACATTTACTCTTGGCTAACGCTGATGAATCGCCAGAGATTGCTAAGAGGCAAAAGCTGCACGAGATGGAGATGGCTGAAGCTGCAGCTTTGGCTGCGAGGAAGAACTCATCTGCTAGTTCTGCAGACAGCTCTGCGTCACCGCAACCTGATGCTGATGATAATGTTGAAGCCGAAGCGGAGAAGGGCAGTGCAGACATGCCCAAATAATGATGCTAACTACACTCTTGCAGCGATGATTATTAGTTCATGAACTTTCATAGGACGTTTGGCAGGGGGATCTATTTGGACGGTGACGGCGTAATATTCAGCGGAGCCTTCTGTCCTTCACTACTCAATTGAAGCATTTGAAAGGATTTCTGACCGTGGGGTCAACCTTGTGATGCCATGACCCTGTGTTCCTTGCACAACATCTGAACCATGAAGAAGATCTTGTGCAAGGTAAGAGTATACGTGATATGGATCTTTGCCCCTGACTACCTATCTTTTAGTTAGGTACCTTGTGTAGTTCCCAGGTACCATGTTGGGTCCCAGCGTTTCTATCCCCTGGAGCCAGTACACATTCTGACGCCCCTGTCCAGATTTTACTAATTAACATGGCGGCCTGCTCAGACCCAGAACCTTCTCGTACAGTACAATGCAGTACCGCTGGAGGGTCCTCGATACGTACTCCATAAATACGAAAGTTGCTTAAAATAGAGCAGAGCATGACGCTAACGAAAGACAGCCGAACACTCGGACTCGGGTCTCATGAATGTCCTCTTTCTTTCTCCTTTCTCAACGACATCATATCTCTCTTCCTCACAATCCTCTTCCTTATTTACTTCGTTCGTTATTAATTCAAAGTGGCCTCACTCGCTCGGCCCATTCACCTGAAGATCTCGAGGCTGAGGAAGCGAAGGAGGTTGTAGCGTTCACGAGGAAACGGTTTGCTTAGGAATACGCTATCGAATTCCGGCAGGGCGTCAACAACAAACCCAGCAAGGCAGAGGAGGCTGGAGAACAAACGAAACCTTTCGACCCACGCTTGAGATACGGATATATTGCATACACCGCAGAGAGGATTTCGGCATTGCCTGGCAAAAAATTGGAACGATTTGAGACGATTTGAGAAGCGTCAACAAACAAGATGATGGCCTCCCGGTCTTTACTGATATGTTCCATAATCCTCGTTCTCCTCTCGACTTTCACAACAGCATGGCCTTGGCCCCGATGGCTTCCGGAGTTAGACACTCTGGTTGTTAGGGATAATACAGATACCGCAAGTGGTGAGTAAAACCAGTAACGAGTTCTACTGAAAGCCTACGGCCTATTGACATTCCCCAGCCACAGCAACAGAGACAAAATCGAGCGCTCCAACCAAGACGGACTCAGCGTCAGCATCTCAATCAGCATCTCAGTCGGCATCCCAATCAGCATCTCAATCAGATTCAAAATCAGATTCACAAACACAATCTGCGGCAGCGTCAACGACTCAATCTCAATCTGAATCAGCGTCACAATCCGCCTCACTCGATATACAGACCATAATATCCTCCGGGAAAACCATCGCTGTTACGAAAACCATCCAGCCTTCTGCCACCAAATCTGCCTCCGTCTCACTCGATATCCAGACCATAATATCCTCCGGGAAAACCATTGCTGTTACGAAAACCATCACACCTTCAGAAAGCAAATCTGGCGTTCACCACACTACTCAATATGATCCAAACCTACCTGCAGGCGGCATCTCCATGATCACACCAGCCGTGATCTCTGGCCCGCAATACTACAAAATTGGAGAATTTGTCACGTTCGTATGGAACTATACCAATGTACTGGCCACACCAACAGCCGTTAATGTCATGGCGACCTGTACCGCAAACCAACAGCTTTATACCCTAGCTGCAAACCAAACAGTGGGCAACTCAACGGGAGCTGTGACTTGGGATACGGGTGCGTACCAAGCGACTGCAGTGCAGGACCCGTTGTTAACGGAGACCTATACCCTTATTATTTACGATGCTGCATCGAGTATAAGTGCCACGGCCCAGCCCGGCTATTTGGCCGTCTACAATCAGTATACGTTTGGGATGTATTCGCCGCAGCCCTATACACCTCTGAATGAATACATCTGTGCTACTTGCAGTGGTGCGTTGAGTGATATGGAAAGAAGAGCTCTGGGAATGGTGTTCGGTATGGGCCTCATTACTATCTTGAGTTTCACGTGGTTTGTTGGTGGGTTGGGTGTGATTTGGTGATCTGGTGAAACGGCGAAGGCAAAATAGGGTTGTGGGATTGGTGTTGAATGTGCTTATTTACGCTCCTTACATGGTTGGGGTATGGTGTTTGGGAATACTTACGAATGTATTATGGGATGAAGATTGCATAGATAGCGGCACATAGTAAAATATGTAATGAGAATGGAGACCAACCATGAATTTATGTCCAATTGATAATTATGTCTAACACTTGAATTACTTATCTTCCCCATCCTCAGTTTAGTAACTTTTTGGATGGCCCGCTTCTCGATATTCATATGATCGGGTATTGCTTGGGTCGCCCACCCCCCTATACACCTCCACTCCATCCCTAAATAAGCTTCAATGAAAATCCACCCCCCTTCTCCTCATCCTCCCTCCCAGCGAAAATACCACTAAAATCCGTCGCCTTGATCTCCGGCACGTTACCTCTAACCGGCGCATTGGGCGTCCCTCTCCTCCGTCTTTTCTCCTGTCCCGCTTTACTGGGGAACGTAGGGAACATCTCCGTACTTTTAGGCTTTGGATCCTCCTTGAAGAAAGGATGCTCCAGGACCTCCTTTGCCGTCGGTCTCCTCGCCGGATTCAACTCTAACAACGAAACTAAGAGAGAGCTCCCAGCAGAGGTCAGGAAGGGGAATTTAGCGCGCAGGACAGAGCCCTGGGTGACGGGGTTCTTTGGGAGGCGGAGAGAGCGAGCGTTGGGGAGGCGTTTGAAGCCGGGCCAGGACTCCTCGGTCGGTATCCCGCATAGCTCGAAGATCTTGGACAGCTCGTCGACTTCGTTCTTCCCTTGCAGTAGAGGCTCCTTGGTGAGTAGTTCCCCGAATATGCATCCTACACTCCACATATCTATCGCGGTGCCGTACCTCTCTGCTCCGAGTAACAGCTCAGGGGCGCGGTACCAAAGGGTGACTACTAGCTGGGTCATCTTGGGAGGAGGGTCTCCGAAATACCGCGCCATGCCAAAGTCTGCAATTTTGAGGACGCCGCGGTTATTGAGCAGGAGGTTGGAGGTTTTGAGATCTCGGTGTAGGATCCAGTTGTCGTGTAGGTAAGAGACGCCGGATGTAAGTTGCAGCAGAAGGGTCTTGACTTCAGAATTTAAGAAGGGTTCGTTCATGTCTTCTAGGAGGGTCTTGAGGTCATGTTCGAGAAAGTCGAGCACGAGGAAGATACTATACAGTCTGTGTCAGCAATGATGATCTTGTAATAGGAGATGGAAGGAGAGAACTCACTTCTCAATCTTACTCGTATCCTCCCCGACAACCACCTCCCTTAAGGTCACGATATTTGGATGAGCACAATCCATCAGTGTCTGTATCTCCCTCAACCCAGTAACTGGTATCCCATCCTGCGCATTATCCATCTTCAGCCTCTTCAATGCAACGACCTTCCCCGTAATCGAATCCTTTGCCCGTGAAACCCACCCGTAGGCCCCCTCCTCAATATCGTTCAGCTTCTCGAAATCCTCCACACTCCTACATTTCTTCCACTCCGGCGCCGGAAATCGCAAGAGCTTCGCCGGGCGCGGTTCTTCTTCAGCCACCGGTTCTCGAGGCTCTGGTGACAATTTCCGCCGCTTCGCAGGCCTCGAGGAGAGCTCTGCATCTTGAGACTGTGTCTCTGCTGCTGCCGCAGCTTGCGCAGCTTCGCGTTCCCGTGCAGCAGCTTCGTCTGCCTTGCGCTGCTTTTCGGCTTTCAATCGTTTCTTCTCTTCTTTTTCGCGTTTGCGCTGTGCCTCAAGAGCTGCATCCTCCTCATCATCGGCCCAGCGAGACTTCATCTTGCTTGTCATCGTTGTATCATTTGGTTGTTGTGGGGTGGATGTGATGTAAGGTGCGTAGACGCGGTCCGTCCATCCAAAATATTTTTCGGGAATCACCAGCGAAGCTTCCCCAGTTTTCGCAACGTCCAACTTCTATCAAAGATAGATGGGGAATGCGAGCGGTGACATTGGATGAAGACCGCAATGAGGTCAATTATTTCCGTCCAAGCGCGTAATTGCTTGCGCAGTGCTTCGCGCTTGAAATACAGCCCAACTCGCTCTTCCATAAGATGGTCGTCGTCAGAAGCACGGCAATGGTCGACACCCCTTGCAAAGCAGCTCTCTGAAGCTATTACGGTATAAACTCCAGATTCCAGCTTGTATGTACATATTAGCTAATTGGTTTACCAGGCTACTGGACCAGTTCCTCTGGCATCTTTTATGCGAATGTGCTTAACGTCCGACCTGGGGGGCTATTACACGACGAAACAGGAAGGGCGAGACCAATTCGGGCAAAAAGGGGATTTTATTACATCTCCCGAAATATCACAGATCTTTGGAGAGCTGATCGGCGTCTGGTTCGTCGCAGAATGGATGGCGCAGGGTCGAAAGAGCAAGGGCGTGGAGTTGGTGGAAATAGGTCCTGGAAGAGGGACATTGATGGATGATATGTTACGAGTATGCTACAAGATGTCAATATCTCTCCCGAATCTCACACTGATGTTTCTCGTAGACAATCCGAAATTTCAGCATGGCCTCGAGTATTGAAGCTGTATACATGGTAGAGGCAAGCCCGGCGTTGAGAGAGACGCAGCAGAAGCTCCTCTGCGGAGATGCCCCAATGACCGAAACGGACATTGGATATCAAAGCACAAGTAAATATGCAAACATTCCAATAATTTGGACAGAAAACATACGTTATGTCCCATCAGGTCAGCCCTTCCCATGTCAACCATCAACTACCACTGACGCTCAGATCAGATGTTAATAAGACTCCCTTTATTGTGGCTCATGAATTTTTTGATGCCCTTCCAATTCACGCTTTTCAATCCGTAGCGCCATCAGAGTCATTCCAGAATACGATCCAAACTCCCACAGGCGAGCATGTTCTCACCCCCGAAGCAGCAAAGAGTCGACAGGCCAAAGAACCTCAATGGCGAGAACTGGTCGTCTCTCCTGCCCCTCCCGACGAGATTCACACCACCACATCAGCACAGTCCTCCGACCCACCCCCAGAATTCCAACTCACTTTGGCCAAGGCTTCTACGCCGCACAGTCTCTACCTCCCAGAGATCTCAGAGCGTTACCGAGCTCTAAAAGCGACCCCCGGCTCCTTGATTGAGATCTCACCTGAATCGCATGCTTACGTGCAGGACTTTGCTCGGCGGATAGGCGGCACAACCGCCGAGCCCAAGCCACGGCCTTCCGGCGCAGCAATCATCCTCGATTACGGGCCCGCGGACACCATCCCCATCAACTCCCTTCGGGGAATCAGAGAACACAAGAGGGTCTCTCCACTCAGCTCCCCTGGGCTGGTAGACTTATCAGCAGATGTGGATTTCGTGGCCTTGGCGGAAGCGGCCATTGGCGCCTCTCCAGGGGTCGAAGTACATGGGCCAGTAGAGCAGGGTATGTTCTTGTTGAGTATGGGGATTAAGGAGAGGGCGGAGATGTTGATGAAGGGGTTGGGAAGCGATGAGGATAAGAGACAGAGGGTGGAGAGTTCCTGGAAGAGGTTGGTGGATCGACATAAGAATGGAATGGGAAGGATCTATAAGGCTATGGCGATTGTACCTGAGAGTGGAGGATCTAGAAGGCCGGTTGGATTCGGTGGTGACGTACCGGCTTGAGAAGATAAACGAGAGGCTGCGTGTAGGAGCAAGTGTATATTGTAAATAGCGTGTGGAGGAGATAAAAATGTATATTACTTGGCGAGTGAAGTCTGTATATCAAGGTACCGTGCTGACGGCGCTCAGCAGAGAAACCAAAAATATACTTCAAACAAGGATTCAAAAAATGCCCCCAAAGAAGGGCGGTGGTCATACCAGACAGCTGTTAGCACCGCAAGAGCGTCAACTCCATCGTGCTCCGAACCATGGAGGCTGATACAGCTCCCAACCCGTTTCGGTCGGGACCGTCACAGAGAAATAGGGGTATGATTTGGCAAGCGAACTACCACTTCAAGAACAACACCCTCTCCATATCATTCTTTTCTTCCAACCAATTCAAAAACATGTTTATTGCTTAAATTATCATTTGAATAAATACCGCGCCGAGACACTCTACAACGACATAATCTCCCTACGAGTTTGAAAAGCCCTTTACTCTGAGGCTCGCTCAACTCCATCTCAACGATGATTAGAGCAAAACAGTGGGACCAAGCAAGAAACGCATCCTAATCTGGAATTGAAAGTTTGTTATGCTATTGTTGTGATGGACAGGATTCCCAAACTCGAAGCTCTGCCTCAAGAGCTCTTCGGGATGGAAGAACGATTGCATTTTAAGGGGTAGATCGCCCGCCTATAGGACTCATGAGAGCATTCCTACGTACATACGGCTTTTGGGAGGGACTAAAAAAAGAGATCCAACTTCATACCTGTACACTCATAATTCATAACAGCACTGGGATAAGTAGTATGTATGTGCCTATCTCCAAGTGTCGACCATTGCTTGCCGATCACGAGAAATGACAGTATTAAATTCATAGCGCTGCAAATCAAGTTCCTGCTTGAATGACGGCACTGTGCTAAGACATTCGTATACGAATGATAATTCGAATAGGTCTCTGGGTATATCGGACATACATGTTTCCAATCCTGCAAGACTATGCTCAGTAACTCCAATCTTGTGTCCCATATCTCATGAGAAGCGCGAGCAGACGCTCGCCGCTTCATAATGCATACAATAAAAAATACATCCATACAAAAAATTACAGATTCTAAGGCCCCGCATAGCCTATGTTCTCCCTATCGTCATCAATCACTCTACCATACCTGTGATTCCCATATCAGTATATCTCATAAGGAAAGAAAGAAAGGAGGACTCACTCTAGTAATAGTCTGAAGAACCAGACTTCTAAATCCTCATTCCTCAACACCTTATCCGCCCACTCTCTCCCCTGAAGCGCTATCCGTTCTGCCTCTGCTTTTCCCGAAGATTCGCCCGCAAACCATCTTACAGCCTCCACCCACTCATCACCTCTTAGACTCAATGGGATGAAATGCACCCATGGTTTCAACCATTCCTCATGCCACTCTCTGAAGATGGCCAATTTATATACTAAGCTCCTGCTCTTCAGAAACGCGTAGAATCTCCCGCTGAATGCATTGCCATCTATATCAAGCAGGTACTTATATTTCCACGCATCTTGTTGCTTGGCAGCCTCTTTCACATCGAAGAACTCATGCTGTGCGTCGCAATCTCCTGGATCGCATTGCCCGATGTAGGAGAAGAAGATGTCGAAGATTTCTCTGAAATCGCTTCGCGGCACTTCCTTGACCTGCCAGTCCTCATGAGACTCCTCCCCTCGATTTATAAGGATCTTTGCCCGGTCAACAGCATTAACTTTTGTCACGACTCTCTGGCGGTGTTGACGTCTCCATCCACCATCTCGACTGAAACCACCGGTTGTAGAGCCTCTCCAGTACATCTTGTCTTCTTTCTCGGTCCAGTTCATGTCGGCTGCTTCTTCGTAAGGTACCTTACCATACCAATACCATGGAGATGGATAGAGAATGTCGGAATAGGAGGATATTTTGGACTGGGAGAAGATGGGGAAGAGGTCATGGACAATATTGAATGCATTCGGGCGGTCAAAGAATCCATATGTCTCGCTGAAAGATGGCGATTGGCAGATGTCTGAGAATGCGGTCTGGTTATAAATAAAGCCCAATTCACCGACGGCGTAGCTCTCAAAGTTATCTTTCTTGGGACCATCTTCTAGTGCCCTCGCAGGACTGTCTGGTGGGCATGACATCCTTGAATGTGTCCAAGTCGGCTGATGGGCAAACGTGTTGAATCGTGTCGTCTTGTATTCCACAATGTACGATCCGTCGTTAACATCTGGGGGCCGAGGGGACCATGAGTTCCTTGGATTGGGAACCGAATTCGCCGCTGGCATTGCAACATTCTTCGCAGTGGCTACCAGTCTCGTAAGGTCGTCATATGGTACAATTACGCGAGGTTCGTCGTGGATGTTGAAGCAGAGGTCCATATCCGGTAAATATTGGATAAACTTCCTCATCATCCCTTGCGTAGCCTCCTGCTGCCATTCGCCCCCACCTTGCATCCTCGCGACCTCCCCATTCCTAATCATTAAATTTAACAGATTATTATTAAACCCCTGTGCTTCTCGCGCCCGCCCCCTTATTGTCGAAGGCTTGAGTCCCCAGAAGGGAGTCAAGGACTGGTGGATCGAATCATACTCGTCGATCAATTGAACGCCCCTCGCTTTGGCAAAGTTGTACCACTTATCAAAGTTCGGCGGAGGGGGTATGCCATATCGCCGTCGGTACTCTTTAACTGCCTCCCCCAAAGATTTCGACTGCCTTTGTAATGTTTCCTCGAAGTTTCTCTCGGCGTCCTTGGACAGTTGCCATATCGGGTGGCTTTGGCCAAGGTGATACGGCTCTGGCTTCGCAGTATCGGCAGCAGGAGTCTGCGCAGAAGCCAGCTTCGGTGCTTTGGGTATCGGACTGTGCTTCTTAATACTTGTTGGGATTGAGGGCGCCCGCAGGCAGTATATCGAGAAGGCAATGAAGGTGAGCAACGCAATCAAAGTCGTAACGAACTGCCGCGACCGCATTCTTCTCCTCGTTCTCATGACAACAGCGTGAAAGGAGGGGAACTTCGAATCGTCATGGCGCTGGAACAGCGAAGGTGAAGGGCGTGCAAACATGTTTCCGCAGTGTCGGGGGTCCCTCAAGTACTTGAACTTGATTGCCGCGGGACGTGTGGCCCCTGGTCCAAATCTATTCTAGATCCTTGCTCTGGGGACGCTGTCGGGATCCCGCGTGTACACCGGACTGTGTCGCGAACCTGCATGGGAGCCGGTGGAAGAACAATTGAGAGAAAGGAAGCAGGATAATGCTTCCAGCTTGAGTCGTTGGCTGGAGGAGTATCCCAAAATTGTTCGCCCTTGATTTTAGCCTCTCATCATGTGCCTGAGGGCCCTTGCCACGGACCTTCTAGAACAGGGCCCGTCGTCCTGTCAAGTGCGGCTCACGGGTGCGCCTAATAAAAGGGAGAATGATTTCGGCAAATGTTGCTTCAACCCCAACCAACGACGGTGAGTGGTCTGGGGAGGGGGATGGGGGAGGGGGAGGGGAGAGAGAGGATGCGAGTATCAGAATGATTTCCGATCAATTGGATAACTGCTGGATAAGTTCGAACTGTATGCATTACAGAGTCTGGAATCTTACTGTCCGGAGGTTGGCATCTTCGGTAAATTCCTTGGCTCTCCTCGAGGACCCTTCCAACATCGAGTGGTAAATTCTGGAAAAGCCAATATTGACGACGGCTTGGAAGATCCAAAAGGATATATGAAGGTATGCATCGAAGTGGATAGGAAGTTTACTCTTCTTCTCTTTTGAGTACAGTACATTGCACAATCTATTATTCCCGTGGGCTATCATGAAACCATGAGGCATGAGCAGTGATCGTTTTAGCATGCCAAGCTGCCTTTCCACCAGACTGCCCACTGGCCCGCCGAAATCCCTGCTGGGCGTCCACTCTCGTGAGCCGAAGCAGGGTGATCAATAAGCAAATCAAAGTAACGTGCAATGATAATACAGTTGGGAGATCACGAGTTTAATTAACTGTTGATGCAGAGCTATCTATCCTTCTTTCAAGGACTTCGAATCTTGCATAAGCAAGAAAACATAGGGTATCATCTGCTCGAGGCGCTGGATATTACTCCAGGCTCGGCACTAGATAGGTACATGCTCATGATACTCCAAACGCCCCCTTTATATGCCGTCTAGTAGAAGAAACCAATGATCTTTCCTGCAACGTGCTTGCGTCTGGCCTCCTCGTGGTCCATGATACCGGCCGAGGTGGTGAGCACAATGTAACCGAATTGACGGGATGGCAGGAGCTTGACAACCCACTCCTCGAGATCGGTGAGACGGACGTTGTAGCGGGGAGAGATGACACCAGTCTTGTTAAGACTATCAATTAAAATTAGCAACCACCGTCGTGTCCTCCGTTTCAATGTGGGACTCTTACCGGCCGTTCAACTGGATGACAATCTTGCCAGAGCGGTGGTCATCGACCTCCTCGAACTCGCCAATGTAACCTTAAAAATAATCAGTATGTTGCGAAAGATTAAACGTATAACATCAGGAAAGTAGTCAGAGAACGTGTAAGATCTTCGCAAGATATAATATATCGGCAACTTAAAGGACTATGGTCGTAGGCATTGAGACCGTCATCTAGTTATCATGCCGAATAGGATGAATGAAATCCATTGGTTACATACCGTGCTTCTGCATGACAGAGAGGAACTTGACGATGACCTTGGAGCTGGGTCGGATGAGAACTTGGCGCTTTCCAGACTTCTCGGCGTTGTTGATGGCGTTGAGCGCATCGTTGAGGACTGAAGTTCTAACCATTTTGGCGGATTGAGATTCTCAAATCGTGGACTTGGAAATGAGGTATCTGCGGAAGCTGTTGTTAGCCTTCATGGGCTCTGAGCATGGAGAGTGCCCTCATGATTGACAAGAGGGTTCTTCAGCTCGTCGAAAAGGAGAAGAGTAGTGTCGACATCTTTCAATTGCTTTGGTCGCATCGCAAGTTGAGTAGATGTCGATTCTCTCTCTGCCTATCATGAAGGACACTCGAATATATAACTTGAAGGCATATATGTATACATACCTCGAAAAAGTCTGTGGTGTTGATTGTGAAAAAGAAAATTTCGAGCTTGAAATCGTGAGGCCACGCTTTAGTCAATTTTCGACTGTGCGCGCTTACCTAAGCGGAAGTCTAAGAGCTCCTGTTTAGGCGAGCCCTCACACAACCAACTGAAATTCAGTAAAGTTCGCTTTGATAACTCATCCTCTTATCCCATTTTCTCTTTGCCTTGACAAAAGAGAAAACAAGGAGAGAAAAACCCAGTTTTTTGAGGACCCTCACCTTCCATTCACGATGGTATGTACAGAATCAATTCCTGAGTAAATTCTACTCAGGCGCAAGCAATCGCACGAGTTCGAACAGCCAGTGCCTCCACAAGGCGCTCTTGAAGTTTGACAATATACTAACATTGAACTCCTATAGTCCGACACTGAAGAACCCACCTCCCCCGTCGCCGAGGTCGCCGAGGCCGACGAAGTTGAAGTCTCTGGAGATGCCGCATCCAAGGGTCAAATGTCCGTTCTCGATGCTTTGAAGGGCGTTCTCAAGCTTGCGCTGATGCACGATGGTCTTGCCCGTGGTCTGCGTGAGGCTTCCAAGGCTCTGGACAGACGCCAAGCACACATGTGCGTCTTGAACGAGGCTTGCGAAGAGGAGGCGTACAAGAAGTTGGTTGTTGCGCTATGCTCAGAGCACAAGATCCCCTTGATCAAGGTTCCTGATGGAAAGCAATTGGGCGAGTGGGCTGGTTTGTGTAAGTTAGCTCTACACCGGTATTCAAGCCAACGTTACTGACGAGTATTTATAGGTGTGTTGGACCGTGAGGGAAACGCACGCAAGGTTGTCAACTGCTCTTGCGTTGTTGTCAAGGATTGGGGTGAGGAGTCCCAGGAGCGATCCATCCTCCTCAACTACTTCCAGACCGAGCAGTAAGAAAATCATGGTGGACAATGGAGTTTGCTTGCAGCGGATAGACATTTGGCCATAAGCTGGGGCTTTCTTACAATGTACTCTACTTGGATGCATGTCGGCGGGGAATGAAAATCGCATATGGGCGCCACTTGTCTGTGAAACTCGACGTGCCATGTTTTATGATTGTTCCTTTTCCGGATGCGCCCAACTCCTTTCTACGTCCTAGAAACCTTAGGTTTCGGGTGTATCCTATGATCACTTACGTCCGTCAACCATTATGATGTGATATCCAAACCCAGTTTTAACCTCAACGTATTTTGGACTCGCCGTCGTCGAGGCCTCTAGTGCAAAAGCTGCCTCTTCGAACGCAGGATCCAGATCTCCTCTCTTCTTCCAACCTAGTGATCCCCCTAGAAAATCCTGTCAGTGACCCGGGTGGTGTGCAAGGCTTTCTCCAAAACGCATACCTGCCCTGGCCTTATCCTCCGAAAACTCCCTGGCGACATCGTCAAACTTGGCGCCAGCCTTCAGCTTGGCAAGGGCTTCTTCTTTCTTGCTATGCTTCTCGCACTGAGAGATTGTCAGATTGCCGTCTCGTCCAATACTCGTGCCGAGAGACAGACCAGAATATGCCGAACGTTGATAAACTGCGCTCCCTTAACCTTGCCACCCTTCTCCTCTTCATCTGCCTTACCCTTCCCTTTCCCCTTTGCAGCACCGCCTTTGTCCGCAGCTTTGCCTTTCGGTGCCATGGTCGAGTATCAAATGGGTTGTTGAAGTGGATGACGGCGACGGCGAGTGGGATCACGTTTGCTCCAATAGCGGAGCAGCAAAACATGCCCCACGTTAAAAATTGCCTCGCGGCGATTAGAAAGCCTTCCGAGGGGCAGCCTCGTCATGCCGGGGCAACACTTGACACTGAAAACGATTTGTACAATCATAATAATAATGTTCGTGATTGCTGATCCATTACTGTATTATTATTAATCCCTTCCCTTATCTATTCCCGTCCATTTCACATTTCATTTGTTCGTCTTTTGCAATTCTCCCTTCCGCTCTGTACCTCCCGCTCTCTTATCTAGTTCGTGTATCTCAGGAACGCCCCTCAAAATCCCGGGGTTCCGTACAAAGGTCTCTCTCTTCTCGCGCTTCAAAGTATTCAGAAGCAGTCATTACGTAGCTCAAGGCACCCTAGGAGCAGGAGGAGGACTGTCTATTGCCAATGGATCCATTTCAGAAACTCGTCGCCGACCTCTCGAGGACGCTAGGCCCATCTTCCGGCCTCGACTCCGACGACGTTGATGTCCCAAAGCTACGAAGCCTCATGGAAGAATACACCTCCAACGAGGCCGACTGGGCCAAATACGCATTCGCCGATTTCAGCCGTGGCTACACGCGCAACTTGGTCGATGAAGGAAACGGCAAAAGCAATCTCGTTGGTCCCCGCCCTTCCCGCCGTTTGAATTGAATACCTCTTTGGCCAGGACCCAGATAGCTAACGGACACAACGGTGCAGTTAGTCCTAGTCTGGTCCCCCGGAAAAGGTAGCGCAGTTCACGATCATGCACACGCACATTGCCTGATGAAGATCCTGAAAGGCACGCTGAAGGAAACGCGGTACGCTTTCCCCAGCCCCGAGCACGAGAAGCCCCAAGTTATCAAGGAGACGCTGTATGGGGAGGGCATGTTCACTTATATGAGTGATGATCTGGGCTTGCACAAGATCAGCAATCCGGACCCGGATAATGTTGCTGTGAGCTTACATCGTACGTCTCTCCCACCCGTTGACATCGGAGGTGGCAGCTGATTCTGATGAGATATAGTTTATACACCACCGCATGCCGCGATCCATGGATGCAATATTTTCGATGAGAAGACGGGGAAGAGCTCCCACGTTTCGCAATCCAACTTCTACTCTCAATTTGGGCGCAAGACAGGCGCATAGAAATCTCCCAGCCCATTTCTGGTAAAATGCGGCAGTTTTTCCGGTTGGCATTCTCGATTACGAAGGCGTTTTGCGTCATGAATACAGATATCAAGGCATGGGAAGGCGTTTAGATACCCGCAGGCGCAAGCCAGATCCATGGTACACTAGAATTAGACACACAGTATAGGCAAGTCTTGATACTTAGCAGCGGGAGCGCCCTTGCCCTGCACTTGACGGCTCTTCAACAAAAAGGAACTCTGCCTCTCCCTCATCCCTCCAAACTCGCACTCAGTCCTCACTCCCCCGAAATCCCACAGAGCAATGCCCCTCTTCAGCAGGCCTTCCAGCAACCCGACCTCGCTGCCGCAAATCACCCACCTGAAGCCCATTCCCGAAAGCCAACCCGAACTGGAAGCGGAATCCGAGACTAGACGAGTCCAGATGGCAAGCAAGGGCAAGAATCCAGCCTATACTACCGAGGGGAAGCCTGTGGTCGCAGGACGATGCCTTCCAAAGGTCACCGCGAGAGAGATATCCACTCCGGCCCCGGTCATTTGTGGGTCGCCGGTTGAGCAGGCCCGGGTTGCTAAGCTGCTGAAAGAGGCGGAGGAGAGAGATGCGTGGTGTGAAAGGTTCGACGCTGCACAGCCAAGTGGGAGGACTCTGGGTGTCAATGACTCGGGGTTCCATGAGTTGTTGGGAGCTTTTAGGAAGGAGATGGAAGAGAAGAAGAAGATGAAGGAGGAGGAGAAGAGGAGAGAAGAGGAGAAGGCCAAGAAGAAGAAGAAGGCAAAAGAGTCGGAGATTCAGGAAGGAGAGGAGAAGGGCAAGAAATGGTATAGAAGGTTCCGTGCGTAATATTAAATATCTGTGATCATTGGGACTTGGGACTTGGATGGATCTTCTGTTTGCTAGCTGTTGGTATCTATCATCTACTCCCAACAACAGCTTGTTAACCATCCTTTCACCTGTCTGTGCAAGTTTGCGTATTGTCCCATAATTCCGATCATGTATCTGCAATCATTCGAGATCATACCAACCAGCCATGCCCATGCTCCAATCCTTCTATGTCGACCACTGCATGTCATCCATCTATGCTCCACTGCTGAAATCAGGCTTATAGGTCTTGACCCCCCCTGCTTTCATCAGCTCACGCAGAGCCATGGTCGCGTACATGCTTGGTCCTAGTGTGAACTTGATGATCACACCTATCTTAGCTGGCCCTCTATACTCGAAGCTATCCCAAGCACCATCCATTGAAAGACCCATAGGCTTGGCGGGTTCAGCCGCAGCCGAAGACATGTCCCCTGCTGACCGCTTCCTTGGTAAGCCAGGAGCCGGCGTAGGAGTTTCAGCCGACGTCAATGTGGCTGCGTTAAGAGCCGCATTGGAAGCATCCAACTCCATTGCCTCGGCCTTTGCGTCAATTTTTGCATTTGCAGCATTGATAGCATCGGCCTCTTCCTTTGTCAATTCCTGGCCATCAGCTCCGATGTACTTGGTTGATCGATAACCAGTACGCCTTCCCTCATTGTTAATCACTGAGGTCTCAACGAATGTCTCCTTGTAGATTGGTTGCTTGATATCATCAGGGTTGGCAGGCTTCCTCAACTCATAAGCAGCAGCTGCTGCCGCATCGTCCGCAGCAAGCTTTGCGGGAAGATTTTGCCATGCGGCCAGGTTGGGATGAACAGCAGGAGTCGGTGGACCCGAAGTTGAACCAGTTGATGGCGGAGGCTGTTGCGCATTATCGTTGTTGGGGCCATTCTGCTGATTGGACCAGTTGCCATTCTGCCGTCCTCCATGCTGACCTGCGCTGTTATCATATCGTGCGCCTCGGCCGCGACCATTCTGAGGCCCACTGTTTTGGTACTGACTTCCGTAGCGCTGGTAATTTGGCCTCGACTTGTTAAGCCTGTCCAAATCCGTTTCCACTAGCTGCTCGGTATCCTCATGGTAGGTACGGATCTGGAAGCTCAGATTCTTTCCAACCTGCCCCAGGAACTTTCGATAGCTGCCACTGAGACTGAAGTCCTTTTGGTTCCGACGCATCTTCGCAGGATCCAGTCCTCCACCGCGTTCGCTTCCCATGAATTCCTTGTAGAAATCGCCAATATCATTGTCTGGATATTCAACATCGAATCCCGGAGTTGGCAAAACGATGTCAAAAATGGTGTACCTGCCACTGTCTGCCTCCTCTGCAGTAAGTGGTCGTGCACGCTGATAGAGGTCTTCATGGGAAAGCCCAACGTCATCTTCTGCAGGATGGACTACAACTTCGCCATTCTCGTCAACCTCATCCTGTCGGGCAGCCGCCTTCTTTGCCTCGGTGTCAACAATCACGAGATCACCTTTGATTACTCGATCCCGGTATCGAGACCAACGCTCACTAGCAACAGTATTCCAGACCAGAGATTGATAGGCATGCGGATACAAAGTTCGCATGTTGCGAGTGATTGCCATAATAGCTCCGAGATAATCTTTGCTCTTTTGGCCAGAACTCAAATGGCGAATTATAGCTTGCTCGGCACTGAAAGCCTGGGGCAAAGACTGATACTTACCAGTTTTCTTAAAAAGATCGATCGCACGTGCCCGGTAAATAAAGTCAGAGGCGATCTTGTCACTGCCGCGGGCCTCTGGGTTTGGTTCAGCAGCCAAGATCTCCTCGTTAAAAGAGAGAATGGCCCAAACAGCACCTTCGTAATCCTCTTTGAGAATCTTCTTCCCCACTTCGTCTGTGCCAATATCAAACGTACCAAAACGCTGTAAACCAAAGTAATTGATGAAACCGTGAACTTTGAGGTGCTCGACGGCTTGGCCCACAACATCATTGGCAAATTGTACTCTAGCTGCTTCCTCAAGATGGAAATCGTTCCCGAAATGGCAGTCTCGCAGAGTGATGGTAAATTCATTACCTTGAAGATCACCAAGCTCAAGTCCGTGCTTCTCATACTTGAAGTCACCGACGCGAGCATTCCGTAACTCTCGATTCAGTGAGGCCAATCTGTCAGCATACTGGCGTTTGATGCTAACACGTTGAACGGTCGCAGCTCTGCGGTCTTTGGTCCCTGCGAAGCCGAACTCCTTCGGCTTAACATGCAATTTACGGCTCAAGAAGGATGTTACCTCCAAGGTATTCTTATTCTCCTTGTAGAGCGAGAAGTGCAGGTATTCTCCGCCCAGTTCCTGCCAACCCAGCTTGCCTTTTGGCCCGGAGCGCTGCTGCCGAGGATTCTGTCTTCTAACATATCCTTCTGGATGTGGCTTGACTGGCAGAGCAGCAGTGAACTTAATCACATCATCCTCGATCAGTGTTGTCTCGATTTTCGAGTCAAAAATTCGACGGATATTTTGATGAATCTGACCACGCAGTACTCGATCTGTGATGGGTGACGATAGGAGGGAGCCAAAGACAGCAGGCTTAGCCTCTGGTTTGGCCAGAATCTTCTCATGAAATTTGACGAGCTCATCTTTGAATGCGGCGCCGAAGTACTGCACAAGAATTGTATCATCCTCGGAACTGAGAACAAAGGCTGGCTTTTGTGTACCTTCGGAAGGCTTTTCGACAGAGGTAATTGGCGACCCTTCTGGCTTGGATCCTGCGGGAGCTGGAGCTTCATCTGGCTTGACGTCTTTTGCAGAGCCTTCGCCATTGTCATCAGGTTTCGAAGCAGTGGGGGCACTGGTCGTATCTTGTGCAGGATTTGAGCTGCTAGGAGCTTCATCCTGTTGGGATGGTTAGAGAGTGAACCAAAAGAGACCTCAAAATTGGCATCATTGAAGTCATATGAAGTAGAATTACCATTGCGATAGCTTTAAAATTGGGGGCCTTGTCATTAGTGAGGTGAATGACACTTCCATCAAGGGCGATCTCGTTGACAATGAAGTCAGTGTATCTAGTTTTTAATGTTAGAAAATGGAGGAGGGAAACAACTTCAACTAAACTAGAGGATGACTGGCAGCACTTTCTCCTTGCCAGCGTTGAAAGAAGAGCAGAGCGCCAGCGGCACGCGCCTCCAGCAGTCATTGCATCTCCTCAGGCAGACGGAGCAGAGACTCCACCAAACACTCTCCAGTAGCGAAGTAATGAATTGAGGAGAAGCAACGCGTGAAGCTTTGAAGCTGAAATCAAACAGGACAGAAGAGCACATAGGAAACATAAAGGAGAAACATGAACGCGTACCTCTGTTTCAACACACCGGTAAAACCAGGGTTCGAATCATTGACGAAGTGGATGATTGCGCATTGCTTTTCACGCTCTGGCTGGAATCCAGTCTCAGAGATGACCATTGGGTTCATCGGCTCGTCCATCTTCGCAACTGGTTTACCAATTGGCTGTGTTGTGGTGGTCGCGATGCTCGATATCGATGGTGGAGGGGAATCAAGCTTCTGGCGTTTGCGGGGGGATTCAAGACCCAGATCCGCTTCCTGGAGGGGTGGTGCGCTAGCCATCTTGGGTAAGGCGTCCCAGATTCACTGTCCTGGAAGGCTGCGGGTTCAGAAGCAAAAGCCAAAGCACATCAGATCAGGTCAGAACGTTGTTGCAGAGCGCACAAGGCTCGCCGCTTCCACATTGAAATAAATTCAGTCGAAAAGACGTAAATGGGCTAGCGTCGGTATTTCTAAACTCCGACCTTAACCTTGGCTTTCCATGCCGCTAATTAGGTAATCCCCGTGCAGCATCGACTGTATCATTGCATCAAGCAGGTCCTGGATCCTTCATCCTTCATCCTTCAACTTTCCTCTTCTCCTGGAGAGACATCAGCGAGCCCTTTCCAATACCTGCTTCAGCTATTGCCAATGGTAATGACCCTTTCTGCATCACTTTGTTACCCAGATGTGCCACATTTATCTTCCAAATCGACCCAGCTCTCGGAGAAACTTGGCATGGTCAGCCTCCCGGCGGTGCCATTCCACTCTCGCCTGCTCCTCCTGCTCCTCAGCAAGCTTCCACTGGCTGTAGACAATGTCCCCCTCCCGTAACCGGATGTCGTCTCCCATCACCTTGTTATACAACAGCCAGTCATCTAGTTGAGAAGGGCTCGGAATCGAAAGCAGATCGTCCAGACACACCTGGCCCTTGACCTGATCAAGTATTAATCTCACGCTGTAGATGCCCTTTCTGTCATCAAACCCGTGACCATACTGCCTGATGACATATCTGTGTGCAGTTAGCCATCATATCCTCTTCTGGTGCATGTCGCGGGATAAAGGAGACCTACTCTCCATCATATCGAATTCCAGCTGCCGGTGCATACTTGCTCTTTAATGCATGGCCTCTGAGGAGTCTGATGGTATGTCCAGTCGCCACCATTAGGAAGAGATGCATCTCTTTGAGTGGGCCTTCCTTCTTGTATTCGTACATACCAACAGTGGGACCATCAGCTTCGGTGCCTGTGAGCAGAGGCAATACAAGCGTTCCTCCTTGGTACTTGGTCACATACTCATCAGCGCTGCTAACAACACCATCACGCAATGCGCAGGTGAGATTGAGCCACCACCTGCAGAATGGGATCAGCAAGGTTAGCCTACATAATCTCTAGAAGGAAACTCACATTCCAGGCTTTATGTCACTATCCATCATGGGAGTGCTTCTCACTACACGCCATATATGTGGTACTTTCCTGTCTCCCTGTTCGGGGACAACATCGTGGAGCGCTCCAGCGTCTTTCATTTCCTTGAGGCGATCTTCATCAATGGAGAAATAAGCTGCCTTGAATCGTTGCTGCCACTTATGTTGCAATGAAGAGGCCTTTGAAATGATGTCTGCCAATCTGGGGCTCCCAGTCAGATGTTTCTTATCAGTCACAAGTTCTTCAATAAGTTTGTCGAAGCGTGATCGAGCAATGACCCTGAGTTCAGTGGCTTGCGAAGAAAGCTCGTCAGCCAACATGACCTCCAGGATTGTATCAAGTGTATCCAGATCCTTTCCAGGAATACTTGAAATCTTCAGTGTTGCACGCGCTGTGTCTGACAATTCCAGAAGCACATCAGGATCCCATCCAAGGTCAGTGTCAGCAGAGCCTGTAGAACCCGGTCCAGTGATGGAGAATGTGGTGGCCGTAGAGGAGAGCGGAGCTAGCTATGTAGTGAGCATAGTTGTCACAAGTATGGAGTAGTATTTACTTACAAAGTGGTTTCGCAGAAGCGGCTGCTCTACTGTATGCTCCATCTGTGAAGTCTGTCAATATATGCCCGGTGTCATCGTTTGGAGTGTTGCCTGGGCTTGAGATGTTCATCTGGCCAGTTGATTCATCCACTGGAATTTGGTGCTTGCCAGCTCCGGTGTCATTGCTTTCCAGGTCTGAGGTGCTCGTCTCGCTGTCGACTACTGCTTCCTCTTGATGTCTGCCAGCTGCAGTAGCAGTGTGTTCAAGATCTGGGGTGTTCATCATGATGGCGGAGTCTGTGAGTAACTTTGGGTTGTTGTCGGGTTTATTGCCAGTGTGTTGAAGAAATGGGGTGCTCATAGTGATGGCGGAGTCTGTCAGTGACTTTGGATGCTTGTCGGGTTTATTGGCAGTGTTGTCTTGGTCCAGAGAGTCCACAACAATTGAACCCGATGGATTTCGACTGTTGCCTGCGGCAACACCGTCTGTTAGATCTGGCGGATTCATGAAGCCAGCAGAATCTGTGTCTGACTTCACATCATTAAAGCCAATACCAGTAGTACTGGTGTTAGGATCTGATGAGGCCACCAAGACTGCAGAGCTCTCCATTGAAGACATACCACTTCCATCTATGGGAGGATAGTTGGATTTGATCTGAATAGATCTGACTAGGGTCGTGTCAGGCTTCTGGATATCCTCACTGTTGTTAGGAGATGGCGTGCCAACAGGAAAAGCTCCAAGATCAATATCAGCGATCTCTTGCTCAATGTTGTTGATATCCTTGGTGGACTCCATGGTGGAGGATGGGTTTTTGTGGAGAAGGAAGGTTGTGGGTGGCTGAAACACAAAGGTTTTGTGTGCTTGAGGATGAGGTAGAGAAGAACTACTAGAAACTTTGCCCAAGTGGTTGTTAATACTAGGCAGGAACGACTTGCTCTCCCCTTTTTAAGCGAGTGCAGACAAATAAAGTGAGTAGATAGGTACCTACCGTAGGTAAGTTAATGCTTTCGTGAATATGTCTCGCTTCCCCTTTATTACGCGACCACGAACAGGCAGACAGTACAGGCAGTTCTGTATAAAGTCATCGACGTTTTCAGACACTTTTGTTGAATATCTGTCTAGCAGGTGTCCCGGAGCTCGCATGGTCTGTCTTTCAGAGAATAGGTACGTTATACAGTACAGGAGGTAAACACCGGTAAGCAGGTATAGCAGACAACCAGAAGTCTGAATCAACACTGAATAACTATTGCTACATAAAAACAGGACAGGACTAGCGTCTCTATAGGTTTAGTCTGGGAAATCCGAGATGGATTTGAGGACCTCTGTTACAGTCATTGTGATCCCGTGTCTTCTAAGAAGTCCGAAAAGTTTAATATAGTAGGAGTTGAAGTCCATATATCAGAAGCTGTAATGTGATCTTGCAATATCGAGCATCCCTAGATGGGATTATGCTACAATGTTATGCAGAATCTTCGGATGAGAGTAGAGAAATGCGTGCCTCTCTATTAGCTCCGGGTTATATTCTTTTATTGTACTAGACATTCTGGAGGTAGAGAAGACCCGGTTGCTAATTACAGAAACGCCCTTCAAAATCTTGAAAAGCCAGAGTTGACAATGTCATAATATTAACTGATTCGGGCAAAGAATTGAAACATTGGGTAAATGAAACACTAGAAGAATGCTCATAAATGGTGTCAGCTTTGTTGAAGTTTCTATGCAGTACACTATTCCTACCTTAGGCACTATGCCCTTGTTATATATTGATCTAATAAACTATCAGCGATCTATCTATCTGTAGACATGACAACTTCCATTCTCCCATGATAAACCTTCCATGTGGGCTTTATCACGTGTTTAAATCCCGGAGTACGATGCCGGGGATAAGGTACCTGGTAAGGTTTACCCCGTACATGATTACATATTAAAAGCGGAGAACCCAACGACTGCTTACAATATCAGCACTTAAATAGAACTTCAACCGCTTCCCCTCACAACCGCACTCGTAACTCTGTGTTGATAAGATCGTTTTACTCTCGCTCATATAATAGTCATGTCTTCCCACATAAACCTAGTTGCAACTTTCAAACCGAAACCCGGGAAGTTGGACCGGGTGAGTCGCCAACCCTCTACCCCACATCGACCCCGCTCATAACAGTGCCAGGTTCTAGAGCTCATGAAAGAGATGGCGGACCATGTCCACAAGTCCGAGCCTGATACGTTGAGATACCATGTCAACGTCGCCGGAGAGCCCGGGTCTGAAGAAATCATCATGCTTGAGACGTGAGTGCCCTTCTTAGCAATAGTTGTGGCAACATAGCTGACCTTCATGCAGATATAAGAGCAAAGATTCATTGGATGCCCATATGGCCTCAAAGGAGTATCAAGATCTTACGAAGAAGTTTGAGAATGAGGAATTGGTGGCGGCTCCTTTCGAGTTGAAGTTCGTGACCCCTGTTGGTGGTTTCGCCTCCAGGCTGTGATGTTGTGTATCAAAGGAGGAAAGAAGGAAGTTTTCATAGTCATTTATGAGATGTTGAAAATTCAAAACTGTATGAACGCATCTTCAAGATTCACTCGGCAAATTCTCGCCTGCTTGTTTGACTGTTCGTTGTGCCTACATACGAATCCTACATCTACGTACCTCTCCTAGTTCCTTTCGATCTTTCCTTCCTCTTCGTTCCGCAACACATCTTGTCCCAAGGACTTCGTTCGATCTTTGTTCGATCTTCCAATCTTCGTGTGACTTCTAGTTCCTCCAAGAGACATTCCCCCATCATAGTCAAGATGGACGACGAGACCTACAAACCTTCTCGCCACGAATATCCTCCTCCCAAGCCCGACTTTCATCAACATCCTCCCAGCAAGGACGACACCAGGGATTTCCTATTCCTCAAACCCGAAGGTGGCACATACAAAGTCAGACCCGAGGACCTTCCCTTGGCCTGGTGTACTCTCGCAGACTGTCCTCTTAATCCTCGTATCTCTGGAATTCCACTCCCCAAACCCTCCAAGCTGTATCGTCCCATTGGCACGCCAGATAACCTCGACGGCGCGTCAACAACACCATCTCGAAGCTCCTCACCTTCTAATTCTCCTGCAGGTGCGCGTCTGATCTCCACTTTCTTTCTCTTGAATCATTGACCCAAGCTAACTCTGAGAACTTACCAGTTGAGTCGGAAGGCTCCAAAGCAACCGAGTCCAAGATGGGTAGCCTCAAGGGCAAGATGATCTACAACGAGCTTGGTATCCTGGTTGAGGCTGACAAGCTTGACACACCCATCGACTCCAATGTGATGGGGATCACTCATATGATTAAGCTGATTCACGTCAATTGGCAACACCATGTAAGTTCTATTCGATCTCTTTGAGGATTCTACAATCGATTTCGTGGAATCGCTGCTTCTTGCAACTTTACTGCGTCTTGCACCTTTACTGCTTCATAGTAATCTGATTTAACGTCTTCTACACATGGTCTCTACAGTTGATCACCGCGACGTACTCCCAAATGTGTCTTCTTTCCTTCCAAGAATTCGGAGTCTACATATTCTCAACCCCTCTTACCAACTAGCCTCGATCTCTCTACTCATACGAAACATCGGTATGCTGACTTCTTGATTCAATAGTACAAGCGCAAGACGGACGACATCATTGCTGCATTGTTGAATGACAAATCATCCCTCGCCGTGAATGATAAGGCATTGACCATCAGTGAGCGATTGATATCTTGGGAGTTCAAGCCAATTTCTTCGAGATCAAACGACAACACTCCAGACGGGTTCAAGGTTGCTGTGTATGGCGGCCTTCCGAGAGTGCTTGACGTTGGTTGTGATACTGGCGAATGGTGCTTCACGATGAAGAAGCAGCATCCGGACTGGATTGTCGAGGGTGTTGATGACGTTGCTCGTTGGACCAAAGACCACACGGATATTGAAATCAAGTAAGAAGCTCCATTTTACAATTGGCTACTCGTACCAGTGATTCAATAGAGAGTTTTCGTCCCTGGAGAGACACTACTAGCTTTGGGGGCAGTCATTACACTGATCCTCAGCATTGTGCTAACCTCGTGGTAGGGACTTCATGGATGGTAAACTTTCTGATGATAAATCTCCAGGAGACTACTTCAGCCGCGTTCATGCCAGCCAGGACAATCCCGAGTTCACGGTCCGATCCATCAATAGTCTTTTGACCCATGAGAATCCAATCCCACACAACCTCTACGGTATTGTTCGTGGTAGCAATATCTTTGCCAAGGTCAATAGTTTCAGAGCCTTCTTAGAGGATGTTCGTTTGATTCTTCAGCCTGACGGCGTTGTCGAGTTTCTGGAGGTCGATCCAAGACCGCGGAAGGCCAAGTCCTCCGACGGAGGCCCTAGTCAAGAGGATCACACCGATGATCACACCAGCCGTGCCATGACTGATTGGACTGATAATATCGCAGACCGGTTCAAGGCTCCCCTTGATGAAGAGCTTGCAACAGATGTTCCGGGTTGGACAGCTCGCATTGACGAGCGTATCAAAGCTAGTCTTCATCCACAAGATGGCGTTCCAGCTGCTAACCTCAAGTCCTGGGTCGAAGGCGCTGGGTAAGTCCTTCCTCCCAGACGAGAAAAATGCGTAGCCACTGATCAAACTTCTGTAGTTTCTGGGATGTCAAGCAAGTCATTGTTAAACTTCCTGTTGGTGGGTACTCTTTCTTCTCGTTCAAACGGGCATGACAAGAGCTAATTTGGTGATAAGGAGGCACTAGTCGTTCCGGACAACTTCTCAAGGACCTCATCCTTTGGAAGACCTCAATGGAAGACGAGATCCCAAGAGTAAGTACGTCGAGATAATCTAGCTTGAACGATTACTAACCTTTGGAACAGCTCCTCCAGACACTGCCCAAGCTAGAACTCGAAGCCCTCGAATCAGGAACCTATTTTTTGAACCTTCACATCGTGACCGGCCGGAAGCCCCGTCAGCCACGCCTTGGAGACCTGCTCCTCGACGGATCTCGACAGGAGATGACCGAATCCATGTACGACGCCATGGCACGTCATGGTAATGTTAAAGAGCAACGAAACCAGTGGGAGAGAAACCTCAGGTACGATGTCCTGTCCCGTCCCTCCCCCCCCTTTTTGAATCTTCGGATTCGTGGAAGTTTACTAATGAACGAACGGCATTTCAGATTCGATCTCGCTGGTAAGCTGACGGATATGATGGATAAGCTTCAGCCCTTCCATTCATCTCCCTAAGCCTACCTTATTGTACATCCTGATCTTGAATCTTGATCACATCATGTCACGTCTTCTTCTCCTTATCGACTCATCATAGTCATAGGCGTTTCTGAATTTGATGATGATGATGATGATAATATGGACCTGGTGGGAATGATGGCGTTTGCGATGGTCTGGAAACGATGGAGCTGGCGTAACAGTTGCTTTTTCTTTTTTACATGGATGGTTTGCTACATGGATGTATGTGTTGCTAGTACTTTGTTCCCCCATGATCTGGGACGACACGCGAATAACCTCAGCTACATCAATCGATGAACACAACTGCATAAAAAAACAAAAGGATTCTCTACTTCATAGCCGTGAATTCAAATTCAAAGACTGAGACTGAGACTTAAACCAGAGGTTTCCTCCCTTCCTCCTTAAGAAGGTGGCACAGCTTCGAGACGAGCACTCACAGCACAGGAGGTTAAATCATCTTGATTTTCATTTCATTCTTTAATTTCCTCTTGGTATATGCGATATATGCAATATAAAAGCTTCTTCAAGTCGTAAGATATCATCATCATCAACATCATCACAACAGAGACGGGAGAACACACACACAGCAATCCGACACGAGACAGGAAGGGGGATGTATGCATGTATGTATGTATGTATACGGTATGCGCAGCGAATTCGAATTCTTAGAACATTCCCTCCCATGCATGCAATCAACGGCCTTCCATCCTCCCTCAGTTCCAGCCCGGGCTTGCCCTCCAAAGAAAAAGAGTTGAATCCTGATTCCTGAACGCCGTTCCACTGGCTATGCGTGGAGATAATGCCTGATGTGATTTGGAGCTGTGCGAAGAGATAGATAAAGATGGTTTGTTCGTTTGTTCGTTTGTTCGTATATTGCGTGTTCGTATGTATGCATGTTGCGCCTCCTGGGAACCCTGCCCCTGGTAGGCTATAATGAAGTTTTGGGGAGTTTGGGTAGTAAGAGGGTAGGTGTGGGCTGAGAAGAGGTGATTGAGTGATAGATGAGATCAAGCGTCAAATCACGCCTTGGAAGTTTCGTCCCAGCCCCAGACGGTAGCCAGGAAGTGCGCCATGTTGACGCGCTTCGCGCGCATCTCGACCATCCAGGGGTGTTCGAGCATGCGCCAGGGCGAAGCACGGCGAGAGGGCTCCTTCTCCAGACTGTGATGCATCTGTCAGTTGCGATTCACAAATATAGGAGTCTAAAGAGACAAGGGTGAAAACAACGTACCAACACTCAATAAAATACTTGAAGTTATCACTCCATTTAATGCCTGCTTCGGGCTCGTCTTTCAGTTTCGGGATCGGTTGGCGCACAATATAAGTTAAGAGGTCGATCAGGCCGGCCCGGGGTTGCATCTCTGTGCCGTCGGCAGGGAAGGGGAATCGATGCTGCGCGACTTCGAGAAGGGTGACGCCGGTACTCCACACGTCGGATGTGATGGTGTACGACTGCCCGGTGATCCGTTCGGGAGCCATGTAGTACGACGTCCCGATAAAGGTATTTGCGTCCCCTTTGGTTCCGAACTCACCGCTGACCCCGAAATCACAGAGCTTAACTTGGCCGTTTCGGCACAGCAGGATGTTGCTGGGCTTGATGTCTCGGTGGATGATCTTCTTGCTGTGGAGATAGGTCAAGCCATTCAATACTCCCTCGGCGACTTTCCCAAGGACTTTCTCCCCTGTTCGGCCACCGAGTTTCTTGACTTCTCGGTAGATGGAGTCCAAGGATCCTCCCTCGCAGAACTCCATGGCGATGCTGATGGTGGCTGTGGATGGCTCCACGAAAGCGCCGTAATATCGGCAGATATGCTCACTGGCGCAGTTCTTATTGAACCCCAGTTCTCGGAGAATCTGCTTCTTGACATCTGGGTCAGGGTTCGTGGTGATTATCTGCGGAGATAGGTTAATCGGGCTCAAATATGTAGCATAGGTAGAACTTACCTTAAGCGCAAACACGGTCTTCCCGCCTTTCAGCATGCATCGTGTCACGGCTCCACCGGCACCTTCTCCTAAGCTGCCTAACTCTTCAATCCGTTTCTCCATGCTTGCTACTTTCCACCCTTCGTCGTCCAGTTCTTCCACGTCCAACGTCCTGCCTCTCTCTAGGCTGAGTTTGTCGAATGCTTCGAGACCGTTCATACTACCATCTCGCTCCATTCCAACACCACCAGCCTCACTCCGTTCAGAGTACATAGATCCCACAGCAGATGCAGGATCTGGTGTCCCCTGTGGTTGCCGCAGTCCATACTGCGAGGCGAAAGACAACGCTGAATATTGTGAACCAGCAGACGTTGGCCCGCTCACCCTTCCATCCAAAGGACCAAAGCTGCCAGACCGTGAATGTGCAGCACTACTCTCGCTCCCTCCACTCGCGGACTGATTGGCGTTGGTTTGTAGAGTTGGACGCCCGTTCTGTAGACCCGCTTGCTCGTAGGGAGTTTGGTTGCTTCCCATCGGCGTGGCTAACTGCAATCTAGGCAGAGATGGTCTCGAAGGCGCTTGGCTCGGCATCTGCAGGGAGAGTGGCGGGGGGTGAGCAGGTTTGGCATTTGGTGAAGGTGGGATGGCAAGACCGAGCCTGGGAGCTTTGGGGCCACCGTTTTGTCGGTTGCCCGGAATTGGCGGACGCAGCAATGGAGCTGGGGAAGACATCTTAGGCTGGGGATTTGGATCTATGGTGTTTGAAGGCTTCGCGACGTTAGCATTACTCATTCAAGGCATCCAAGCTGGCGAGTGGGGTAGAGACCCGGAAAGCAGACAAGAGAGGTGCCATACAGGGTGAGGTCCAACGGCAGAACCGTGGGAGGATTGTTCTGATGTAGATGTGTGATCTAGCATCGGCGGTCGCCCGCTGTAGCAGACCGTCCTGGCGTTGTAATCAGGGTAGAGTTGTGACCAGACAGGCCGTCGATGGTACAACCAACAGTGGGAGAGTCTCAGCACTGCTGGCCTATTTGTAGATGGGTTGGAGGCGGTGTATCAGCTGCCAGTATTCGCAGGATCTGTTCTGCAAGTTCTGTTCCCACACGAGCGTTGTTCCTCTGGTCCAAGCTTATCGTGGGCGGGTCAGGATGGGTTCGTGGAGCGGTACGAGGGGTACGAGATGCAATAGCGAGAGGAAGTGGAGGTGGTGAGAGAGCGCGCGGGGGGGAGAGAGGAGGAGCGAATGACAGTCAGGTCTGAGAGAGGGAGATGGAGAGGGAGAAAGAGAGAGAATGAGAATGAGAAGAATGTGAAGATGAAGATGAAGAGGAGGAGGAGGAGGACGAGAAGAAGAAGAAGAAGAAGAAGAAGAAAGGATGTTGAATGATGCGCGATGATACAGGGCGATCAACTGCCTCTGACGGACACGGGGCATTGAAGCAGACGAAGACGGGGGGGAGAGGGGGACGATGGCCAGTCACATCCCTGCGAAGACGCTGTTTGCCGCCGGCTTACGACACAAAGCCTTTCTGACACGCAGTTGGGCGATTTGAGATTTTGGATGTGGATTTGGATTTGGATTGAGGATTTGTTATCATTGACAAGGGCATTTGATATTGTATTTGTATTTATATTATTTATATTTATATTCATATTTATATCTGCATTGCTTGCCGTATATGGTACATCGACTGTACATGACCAGGTCATAATGGGTGGCGGTGTTCGCCTCTTGTCGTCCTACACAATATGACCTGCGTATCTTGCGACTGACAGGACTGGAATAATTCATATCATATTAACATTTATTTAATTATTCATTTATTTATCATATTAACCCTCGCATTGATGTCCATATTGAACCGCATGTATCTCGACCTCTGATGCTTGCCCACCTGCCGCCCTCTGAGTGGTCTGCTCGCCCGCTTCCAGGCGGGACCCTCTTCCGCAGCGCCGTTTTGCGCGCGGCAAAGCGAACATGCGGCGGTACTGCGATGAAATTTCACCTTCACGAGAAGGGCAGTAAAAAAAATTGAAATATTGACAAATTTAGCCACGACCACCACTCACAAATCCTCATGGCGGCACAGAAGACCCAGGCGAGGCCTCTGCCGCCCAAGCAGCCTTCAGATGAAGCTTCGGATTCGTCCGATCCTTCGTCTTCTGAAGCAGAATCAACGGGCGAGGCTTCTGGTTCCGATTCCGACTCTCTCGATTCCCTGGCCTCGCGAAAACGAAGAAGAATATCTCCTATAGACGACGATGATGACGAACCTTTTGTTCCGAAACTCTCTGTCCCGTCTCGTGCCTCACGGGTACAGCAAAAGACCCAGCCTAAGGAAGCCAACAATACTGCACATAGCAACAATGGAGCAGTACTGGCTCCGACCGATCCCCAAACCAGCTTCGCAGCCCTCGGGGTCAAACCATGGCTGGTGGGCTCCTTGGGGGCCATGGCTATAAAAAGACCGACGGGCATTCAAAAGCACTGCATTCCAGAAATACTAAAGGGGAGGGATTGCATTGGAGGGAGTAGGACGGGTTCAGGAAAGACGGTCGCTTTCGCTGTCCCCATCTTGCAACAATGGGCTGTGGATCCTTTTGGCATATTTGCCTTGGTGCTGACGCCTACGAGGTATGGAATTCCATGGCGATGACAGAGAGTCCTGCGACTAACATGTTTTTTTAGGGAACTGGCACTGCAGATTTACGAGCAATTCAAGGCCATCTCGGCTCCTCAGTCACTCAAGGCGGTTCTCATCACTGGTGGTTCAGATATGCGACCACAAGCAACGGCCCTTGCTCAGCGCCCGCATATTGTGATTGCGACTCCTGGTCGATTGGCGGATCATATACGGACATCAGGGGAGGATACCATTTGTGGTCTGCGACGAGCGCGCATGGTTGTCCTTGATGAGGCGGATCGATTATTAGCAAGTGGGAGTGTTGGCAGCATGTTACCAGATGTTGAAGAATGTCTGTCTGTACTTCCTCCACCCTCGAAGCGCCAGACGCTCCTATTCACGGCCACCGTTACTCCCGAAGTTCGTGCCTTGAAAGAGATGCCTCAAACCCCGGGAAAACCACCAGTCTTCATCTGCGAAGTCGACACCGAGACTCTAGCGATACCACCTTCTCTAAAGCAAATGTATCTCCAAGTACCAGTTACGCACAGGGAACACTACCTCCACATGTTCCTCCTGACGCCCACGAACCTCCCTAAATCTGTCATAATCTTCTGCAATCGCACAGCAACGGCCGACTATCTAACGCATCTCTTGCGCCTTCTGGAACATCGAGTCACGGCCTTACACTCCAAACTCCCACAACGGCAGAGGATCGATAATCTTGGGCGATTCCGAGCCTCAGCCGCACGGATTCTCGTTGCGACCGACGTGGCTGCACGAGGTCTCGATATTCCCGAGGTGGGACTGGTGGTCAATTACGACATACCGAGGGATCCAGATGATTACATTCATCGAGTTGGACGAACGGCCAGAGCCGGGAGGAAGGGTGAAGCAGTCACCTTCGTGGGACAGAGAGACGTGCAGCTCGTTCAAGCGGTCGAGGCAAGAGTAGGGAGACAGATGGAAGCATGGCAAGAAGAGGGCATCAACCTGGAGACCAGAGTTATTCGCGAAGCATTGAAGTTGGTGGGAGAGAAGAAACGAGAAGCCTTGTTGGAGATTGAGGAGGGTCGAGAGGTAGGAGGGAAGCGGAAAAGGGGAATGCAGAAACTTCAGCGGTAGATAGGCAGAGTAAGATCCTCAATCGCAAGCAAACTTTCGGCTTCATTCATTCACAGATGGCAGGCTGTTGCATAGATTCAATGCGGGAGTCCGATTGGATGACTTTGATAGGTTCTGTCGGCCTTCCTCTTTGCCGTTGCTCTACTCCGCTGTCTTCCCCCGGTTTCCTCCCCGGATCTCCCACTTCTTTCTCCGCACCTCTCCGGATCTCCCGCTTTGCATTTGTATATTGCGGGGTAACACGATCCCCAGCAATTGGCGAAGCTCTCGATTTACTACCTCGGCCGCCCTTAACTTCATTATCCATTTCCTCCCCTCGATGTCCCCATTCCCAGTCTCCTAACAAGATAACCAAAGCGCCATAATGTCTCAAAGCGTGACGCAGTCCTCTTCCTACGCGTCCCAGAAAGCCACTGCTGCAGATCTATCGATCTTCGAGAAGTTGGATTTACTCCCTGCCGTTGCAGTTTCATGTACGTCCTGTCCTCCCTTGGGTCCAGAGAGAGAGAGAGAGAGCACACAGCGGAATCGTGGGAGTATATATATATATTGATATATATGGATTTTTTTTTTGACTCCGGGAATATATAGGGGCGAATGCATTTGCGGCAATCTTCACAGGGGTCTTCAGACCCAAGAGCCAGAGACCGTCGTCTTATTATCGATATGTGAATCTCACGTTTCTGAGGACCATCACGAGGAGAACGACGGCGAGACAGCAGCAGTGGGTTTTTTCTTTTTTTTTAACTTCTGGAATCTAATAAGAAAGAGAGAGAAAATGCAAGCAAGCAAGGACTGATGATGCAGCTTACAGTTATATGACGCCGCCAACAGACGATGCGTATATAGCAGTATGCAAGAAGCGAAACTTTACTCCCAACAGTGAGATATTAGAGGATGGCACTCGAGCGCATTGGATCGGGAGCAGCAAAGCCGAGAAACTGGTTCTGAATTTCCACGGTCCGTCTTATTTATCCCCTCCTGAACCCTAAGGGGATCAAATCAATCATGATTACTGACGCCCGGAAAATAATAGGAGGGGGATACGTGGTGCCCGCTTCCACGGCAATGTTCGAATTCATGTTTCAAATCGTCGATACACTGAAAGCCCAGGGCAAGGACATAGCCGTACTAATGCTCTCCTACGGTACTCTACCTAACCTGAAAACCACCCCCCCCCCCCCCCCCCCTCCCTCTTTCACTCCTCCTCAATAATCGCCCAACTAACACAAACACCAACCAACCCAGATCTCGCCCCGGGCCGTCCCTATCCGCGACAACTCCAACAAGCATCCGCGCTGCTCAACCACGTACTTTTGAACCTGAACTACCGACCGCAGAACATTCTCCTAAGCGGCGACTCAGCCGGTGCAAATCTCGTTCTCTCTTTACTCTCGCACCTCTCACACCCACACCCCTCCACGACTCTCCGCATCCCGGCCATCACACTATCCGCCCCTCTCCGCGGCGCCGTCCTCATCTCGCCCTGGGTATCCTTCAACACGCAGACCCCCTCCTTCCTCAGCAACGCCTACAAAGACAGTCTCACACCCACCGCACTGCACTCCTTCTCTACATCATTCCTCTCTCACCAACCCCCCGATTATTACAACGAGCCCCTCTCCGCGCCGGAATCTTGGTGGTCTGATATGCCAATCGATGAGATCCTGATCGTTGCTGGCGAAGACGAGGTTCTGATTGATTCTATCAGAGCACTGGATGAGAAACTTAGACTGGCGTTGGGTGACCAGAGGGTGAAGAGGCTGGTTGCGAGGGGTGAGTATCATGATCAGAGTTCGCTGGATTTGGGCTTTGGGTATACAGAGATGGATGAGGGCGTCCAGGCTAAGAAGATTAAATCGTGGATTGGGAGTAAACTTTGATAGGTGTGGGTGCGTGGTGGGGAGAGGAAGGGGTAGGGGGGTAGTAAGTAAGGTATGGTAGCGATGGATATGTAATGGAAAGTTTTATATATATATATATATAATCACAACAACAAAACCCGCCCCGTACTTGGATCTTTCAAAGTATGGAAAATGCATCAATTCAGATCTAACACTGATTGATATAGCCTTTGTGGAACATCTATCTATATCTTCCTTCCTTACATCATGTATCAAATCTCCTAATCCCCTTTATCTTTCTCTTCCCCCCCCTTCCCCCCACAAAAATCCAGATCCACACACAGACGCCCACAACTCCCATCTTTCCTTCCTTCTTTCCTAATCTTCTCTCTATTCCCTCCCGGGAAGTCCTGGGCGAGATATATAGCGAATCGATTCTTTGGAATTGGATTCTGTATTGTATGATTGCGGTGATGAAGATAGATAGATGTGTTGATACCTAGTGATGGACGGTGGTGGGGAAGGAATAAGGAGCGGGTTTGGTTGCCTTTATAGATGGATCTATATGTGATGAAAGATCCATCCGGTGTGTACATATATATATACAACTATCTGGATATTAAAGGGAGAATCCTCTATGACCAAGTTTGAAGCGAGGTATCCCGGGTATGGATGATCGGGATTTCTTATTTTGCATGAGGCTGGGGATGGGATGTGAGGCGAAGGATGATTTGAGTGATGGACGTAAGTGAGCTCACTTGGACTGTCGACTTACACCCCTCCTGTTCATGCCCGGATTCTGCATCTCGATGGACTCTCCCTCGCCCCACATCCCGCTCCTCCCCTCCGCTCTCCAACTCTCCCTGCGATGCGTGTTTGACCCCGTGCCAGGGCCCTCCCCCCTCTCCGCCAGATCGCCGACCCGGACCCCATCACTCTCCCTCTCACTCGTGCTCTGGATGGCCGTCTCCTCGCCCGAGCGCCCTGGGTCCGCATCCAGACTCTCTTCCGAGCCCTCGCCGAAATTGCCCCCGACGCTGATCATCGTGAAGGGGCTGGCGGTCGGGGCGTCGAGGATGCGCAGCTCGTCCGGGGTGAAGAAGCGCGGGAGGATGAAGGTGCGGATGGGCACGAGCAGGCAGATGATGATGGGGAAGCCGACGGCGGCGATGGTCTGCGTGATGGCGAAGGTGGCGCCGAAGCCGAGGAGCTGGATGATGACGAAGGCCCAGAGGGCGGGGCGGCGCTGGATGCGTCGCAGCGGGTCGGAGGGTGGGGTCAGGGCCCGGTCGCGCAGGAGGAAGAGGAGCTTGAGGGTGATGCCGTTGGACGATAGCGCTTGCATGCCCATGACGAAGAAGAGGCCGGCGAGCACGGCTTGCGGGATCAGGTGCAGCACGACGAGGAGGGGCCCGCTCATGGTGCCGAGGGTCAGGAGGCCCTGCGCGAGGTTGGAGACGCGCTGTTCCACGACGTGAGAGATGCGTGTGGTGACATGGCCCTTGGCGGCGCCGTCTTCGTTGGGGTCTGCCACGACTTCTGTCACGCAGAGAGAGTCGGTATGGAAGGGCGCCTGGGGGATGAGCCCATTGGGGAACGGGATGCCGAGAAGGCCGGCGACGCCGGTGGTTAGACCGAGGAGGAAGAAGTCCCAGTGGAAGCCGGCTGGTTTCCGCAGAGGAAATTCCGTTCCTTGAGCTATGAGGGACGAGACTTGGTGTTGTTAGCTATAGTCAAGGCGAGGGACGGGAAGAGTTGAGTACCGTTATGGTCGAAATAGAACAGGATAGTCAGCAGTATGGCAAAGGGAATAGCGATGAACACATCCGAAACCCTAACTTGCCAGAAATCTATGAACCATCCTCTATCGCTCGTCGGAAAGAAAGCCTTGCTAGTAGGTAGCACATTCAAAGACACGTCTCTCATCTTCCCTATGTGCACAAACCCTGTGAAGAAGACCACTGTGAGAGGCGTACCGTAATCTTTGATGAACACCCGAACGTAGTGCTGGAATAGTGGACTCGTGCCAATGACGCCGCAGAAGTAGCCAACCGCGAGCACCAGCAGAGCGACCATGATAGAGAGATAGAAAGCCTCGCCGGATCCTTGGCGGGTGAGGACTTGGATACCCTTCTGTAGGTAGATGAAGGCGACGTAGAAGCCAAAGATATCGCAGGGGAAGCGCGTCACATATCTAACGCCATTACACGCATTGGTTATCGCTAGGAACCAGTGCATTGCCATGGACCACCTGCACTACTTCAGTTCGGAAATTTTGGGAGAATAGGGGGTTAGAGACTCACAGTCCAATCAAAGCCATAAAAGAGAAATAATTCGCACCATTCGGAACCATAATATCATAAACGGTACTTTTGTCAGTCAGCACTCATCCATCTCTAAACCCAACCAAGAGAACCCACTAATTGAAGACAGTAATCGGACCCGTAACGCCCACGATGACCAGGGGCTGCGCAGCAAAGACCGCGAAGACGACAGACCCCAACACCGAAGAAAGCAACACCTCATTCACACCAAAGCTCATATGCGTTTTCGTGAACCTGCAACCCGTCAGCCTCTGCCCATCCTCGTCTTCTTTCACCAAGGACATACATATCCAACGAGAACGCCAACGCAGGCAAGATACTACATTACACCCAAGTCAGCAGCCATTCTCAATCAACCATCACTATTTCATTCCCCCATTAATTTCCCAAGTCCACCACACTCCTATCAAAGAAAATCATATCCCATACTTAGCAAAATACATATAAACCGTAGCCGGGACGACCCTATAATCCCACGCATCCCACCAATCACTCCAATAATACGGCAGACGTCTCCGCACATCCCCCACCATGCCCCTGAACAACCGCACTCTCCACCATCTGTGGCGCCTACTCGCACTCTTCTGCGTCCCCTCAGTGCTGCTGCGCACCCTCTCTGTTCGGACCCCGTCTTGCGATGATGCGCCGCTGCAATGATGCTCACGCCGCCAGTTTTTGATGCGCGCCGTGCCGGGCAGCGCGTAGCGCGCGGTGGGAGACGTCGTCATTCTTGGGGGAGGATGGTGGCCATGGACCGCGCGTGCGGATGGTCGGTCGGTCGATTGAGTGAGCTTGCTGAATGTGCGTCGGGCCTGTGAGTGAAAGTTGGGAGGTGGTGAAGAGCTGTCGCGGGGCTGATAGCTAAGTTATTTAGCGGTTTGTGGGGTATAGCTTTGGGATTAAACCAATCAGGGGAGGGTCTGTTCCTTGAAGGTATATATATACATGGGTATATTGCATATACTAGAGCAATCCAATATACCTCAAGTACCTACACTCCAACATCTGCACATACAATTACACATTTTATGTTCTGCCTTGAAGATGATTTTTCTATCCGACTAGGTATGTACAGTGGTAAGTTTTTATCTACCATAAAATTACACATGAACCGGTGACAAAGGCAGTGTAAAAAAAAAAAATCAGAGAGCTCCAGATCCGAACATACGAGATGAGTGAAGTGAGTTTTTTTCCTGTGAAGACATGCATAATGCACCGCCCGATGCTTATAACTGGCCTGGCTGACTGACTGGCGCAAGATTTGACGCCCAAAAAATGCCAATGCCGGGACGCTTTCTACGACCTCTGTTCGTCCAATCTCTATCCCTATTCAAACATTCCTAAGAATCCCCGGTTCAGCCGAGGAACTAAGCCCTGGGGTTTCACGCAGGTGATGGTGACTCGGGCGGACTATCCGTTGACTCGGTCGGGAATGGCGGTGGCGCACTTGTGCTCCCACCTCCAAAGTACTTGGTGAAGTTCTTGTCCTCTTCAAACGGCCGTGGGCCCAACAATCTGACCATGTCATCTCTGCTCAGGACCTCCTTGCTTAGCAGCTCCTCCGCTATGATACCGATCTCCTTCTTCTTTTCTGTCAGTAGATCTTTGCATTGCTTGTATGCTTCGTCTACTATCCTCCTGACCTCGGAGTCGATTGTTTGCGCTGTGGCCTCCGCGAACGGTTTGTGGAGCTTGTTCTCATCGTCTTCGAAGTGTAAGGGTCCGAGCTTCTTGCTCATACCCCATTTGGTGACCATGGCTGTCGCCATTCGGGTCACCTTGTTGAAGTCGTCCGAGGCGCCAGAAGTCACGGTATCGAAATGAAGTTCCTCGCTGATGCGGCCACCGAGCGTCATGGCCATGCGGTCCATCAGTTGGTTTACGTTCATCAGGTAGGTGTCTCCGGCAGGAAGGTATTGCGCGTATCCGAGAGCACCTTGGCCTCGTGGGATGATGGATACCTTAAGCAGGGGGTCGGCATATTTGAAGTACCAGCCACAGATGGCGTGGCCGGCTTCGTGGTAGGCGACCGTCTTCTTCTCCTCAGGTGAGAGAACGAGCGACTTCTTCTCAAGTCCACCAATGACACGCTCGATGGCTTGTTCGAAGTGGGTCATCGCAACGGATTTGGCGCTGGTTCGGGCAGCTACAATAGTTAGTAATGTAGATTAAGACCAGTGAGCAATAGTACATACCGATCAAAGCAGCCTCGTTACAACAGTTGGCGATATCAGCACCAGAGAACCCAGGAGTCAAAGCTGCGAGGCGTCCGGACAAGTGTTCCATATCCTCGTTTGTGACAATCTTACCCAGGTGGACCTTGAAGATCTGCTTTCGGCCGTCCATGGTTGGACGATCGATAGCAATATGCCTATCGAAACGGCCAGGACGCATAAGGGCCTTGTCAAGCACGTCTGGTCTGTTCGTACCAGCGAGGACGACGACTTGCTCAGCGGTGTTGAAACCATCCATCTCAGTCAAGATCTGGTTTAGAGTTGCTTCTCGCTCATCGTTGCCACCGCCGAATGAACCGCCCTTTGCACGAGACTTCCCAATGGCGTCGATTTCGTCGATGAAGATGATACAGGGAGTGCTCTTCCTTGCCATCGCAAATAGATCACGTACTCTGGAAGCACCAACACCGACAAACATCTCCACGAACTCGGAACCGCTGACGCTGAAGAATGGTACCTGCGATTCTCCAGCCGTTGCCTTCGCCAAGAGCGTCTTACCAGTACCTGGTGGACCAGATAAGATGGCACCTCGGGGAATCTTAGCACCTAGTCTTTGGAACTGCTCCGGTGTCTTCAAGAAGGCAACGAACTCCATGATCTCTTGCTTAGCTTCGTCCATACCAGCAACATCCTTGAACTTGACTTTAACATCCGTCTCGTGATTGAATTGCTTCGCTCGGCTCTTCCCCATACCAAAGATACCACTTTGTCCGCCCGCACCTGCAGATGCGCGACGTGACAGCCAGAAGATGGCACCGATGAACAGCAGCGTTGGTCCAAAATTCATGATCACCGTCCACGTATCAGAGCCTGACGCATAGCTCACAGGTATCCTTTCGTTGCTGGGGATTCCTAGTTCGTTCTGAGCTTCATCTAGTCGTCGCTCAAAGGCCTCAACTGAACCTATCGAGAAGTAGTAGTGGAAGTTGGGGTTGGCGGCAGGGGAGTCGGGGTACATTGATTGTGTAGCCTCGCGATGTAGATCAACCCGGACTCTGGTCCCTCCATTGACAACCGTCAGCTTCTCCACCAATCCCTTGTCGAAGAAGGTATTCCGGAATTCCTGGTACGTGATCTCGCGTCCGCCCTCTCCAGGCACGAGCATCCGGTACATCAGGTACGAGACGAAGGCCGAGATCACGAACGAGGTCATATCGAGCTTCACCTCCCCAACCTTGAACCCCTCCTGCTTCCCACTCTTCTTCTTGCCATCCTCACCAGCCTGACCCTTCGATTCATTGCTCTGGAAATCCGTCTTCTTGCCACTCATATCCCTCTCCGCCTGCTTCCTTGCCATCTGCGACGTTAAGCGCGTGAGCTTCGCCGCCCGCGCAAGCGTCATCGGCTTGCCGCGAATCTCATCCATGAACTCGCGCAGCTCCCGCGGGATGCCCTCTTTCTTGATCGTCTGAAACGCCCGCTCAATGTTTTCCGCCTGTGCCTTCGGCATCCCCTTCTTCAGCGTGCCCAGAATCTCCTCGAAAGCTTTTTCATCCTCGGGGTTCAGCCTTGTCATGCCCTCCGCCAGCGGCGGCTCGCTGGGCTTGTCTTTGGACTCATCCGCTGATGGCGGCTTTTGTCCCTCCTGTTGACCCTCCGTGCCTGGCGGCTTTGACCCGGGCTCCTTGCCGTCCTTGCCTGTCACCTTGGACTCATCGTCCTTGCCTGGCGGCTTGGACTCGTCCTTCTTCGGGTTTTTCGGTCCATTGCTCTTGGAGTATGTGCGAGCCTGCTGTGCTAATAGTCGTGAGCTTAATACGGAAGTATTCTTCGAAGGGCGGAGGCTCGATCGGGCGGCGGCTTGGAGAGAGGACCTCGAGATTCGAGCAAGACTGCTGGACTGCCGGAGGATTGAGGTCATCCTTGGCTAGAGGTGTAGGATGTCGCAGGGGGAAAAGGGGGGGAGTCAAAGTCACTGGTTCGTGATGACAGTGACTTCTATCTCTTGGTCATCAGGGGAGAGAGGTTGTTTGCGAAGGTATTGATGTAGAGCTTCGCGAGGTCGGAAGGCAAAGATGCTGTCGTGTGTAGTAAGGCAAGGTAAGGTATTGATCAACGTTATCCACCTCAGGGCTAGCGCCTCGGAACAATTCCACTACGGTCACGTGCTATTATAAATTTGCTCTTGGACGCAGACTAGACCGCCAACGCCTCAATTGTATCCAATCGTGACTCAGACGACACAGTCAATGGTTCTAAGTATGGTATAAATGAGGCGGGTTTTATGAATCACATTGCAATTACAGCAAGTAGCCATTATGTCATTATTTTGCCATAGCTCGCCCGCATCAAGCGAATGCCAAATTCCTACCCAGAGTAGGAGTATCCTTTTTAATACCTATAAATACACCCAAAATCCATGAAGAGGAGAAAGCATCAACGATGCTGTTGCTGGTATCATAAAACCCGTACAAGTGCTCGAACCCCCAACCCCTTTAAACGCTGCTCCGTCCAACAAATGCGATTAACTCCGCTATTTTGCCCCCCCTTAGACCCTATCCTTGACAAAGAAATATCGCTCCGGAGTGGCACCAGAGGCAAATCACTGCTGACGTTGCAGATGTTGATTATTGTTGTTATCTAAAGTCGGATCGCCCACGATGCCATTCTCAAAGCTGGGGTACGGCCCGCCTGTCATATCCGCCCAGTCCCATTCGATGGTCATGGGCATTTGCCATAAGTCCTGCGGGACAAAGGGTGGTTGGAAGGAATTCGTATTATTGAGTAGCGAGTTCATTCTGTTTCCGTCCGTATATCCTTGCATATCCGAGTAAGGGGGCACGCCGTGTCCATTCGGTTGTCCATTCGGTGTCATGTATTCGTTTCCATTGGGATAGTCAGGGTGCCATTGTCCAGAGTTTGGCGATTCATTGTTGCCCATGGGACTATAGCCGTTCTGTGAGTTCATCACGTTGGCCATGCTGGGCGAGAAGACTCCCGGCATGAGATTTTGGTTGTTGTTTGCCATTGGCGTTTGCGGTGGGGGGGCAGAGTTCGAGTTCGGAGCTGGTTCCCTCGCCTTCTGTTCTTCTTGACTCTTGCGTTTCCGTCGTGTTGGGTTTTCCTTCTCCGCTTTATCTAACACCACCTTGGCGATCCTCTCGAATTCTGAGCAGACACCCAACATCCTCTTCACGCCACCATTCTCCTCATCCGCATTTAACATCGACAGAAAGTTGACGACGAGATTCATTAACCGCACATCTGATCGAGCCCGGGGGTCTTGGGGATTTTGTAGGATATTCCCGAATAGTGTCACTAGAGCTGAGACCGGGAAGTATAGAATGAGCCTTGTATATATCAGCGCACGTCCCAACAAAGGCAGATATCTCATCTCACTTACCAAACACAAGCAAAGTCCCCCTGTGGCACATATTTGATTAGATGGATCGATGCACGCGCCGCAGAAACACACAATGCGGCGGAGGAGAAAATACGAGGATTCAGTGGTTTTGCGTTTAGACCCTGAATGGCATAATTTGAAAGTCGACTGGTCCAATATCCATGATGGACGGACATTCGGTGGATGGTAGTGAGGCAGTTGTAGTATGCAAAGTGAAGAACGACAACGTGGAGGATTAGAGGTGTATGTGAAGCTTTGATTTCGTGTTCGGGTCGAAAGTCGACGGGGATACTATCTTTCCATTCCTCTAACTCATGGTCAAGCTCCCCAATGGTATTGAGGAGTTCGCCATCCGATTGCTTGGAGGCTTTTGTGGAGTATAGCTGCTTGTAGACTTTGCTTTCTATGGTGGCGAATTCGCACATTAGACGGAAGAGGTTGACCTTTCCCTTTCCATCCGCCAGCGGGATATTGCCAATATTATCTTCTGGTTCCGCACTCGGGAGCTCGACATTCATATCATCGTCGTCTTGAGCCGGGGGTCGTCCAGATCGTAGACATATATCCTTATCCAGCATATATGCGATCCAGAAGACCCGTTTCCGCTGCTCGATTTCGACGGGGTTAAGGTTGAAGCCAGAACCCCGCTTATGCAGTCCTATGCTGTGCGAGGATCGAATAGCGGCTGCAACGAGAAAGAAATTAGGTTGTGGATTCGGGGTTCCCTGTAGGAATAGTGCCATCCCAAGGAGCGCCTGTACGCTCAGAAGATCGGTGTTACGCATTGTAAGCTCTGTGAACACGGCCATGGCGTTCTTGAGGTGCCCCCATGCCTTCTCATCCTCCTCCGCGGGGACAAGATTACTCATTACACGAAGCCTATGTGCTATTGCGAGGGCAACGTTTAAACTAGCCCACCAACCAGATCCCTCGTACGGATTCCGCGAGTACTCTCGATCGACGAGATGCATAAAGGTTGGTTGATGAAAGAGCGGGAACATGCAGTTGAAGTTCTCAAAGTAGTCTTTGAGCAAGGATATAGCTTCATGCTTGGGAGGTAGTTGTCTGTAGATCCGTCTGGAAAAAAGATCACCGAAGACTTCAGGTTTCCAGTACATCCATTTGTTATCGTCCACAGAGGCTGATGATATCATGTCCTGGAAAGAGGTGTCGCCAGTCTTCTCGTTGACCCATTGTATACCTTTGGGTGAGAAGATGGAGAACCCAGAAGATGACCCTGCAAACCGTCAGCATTAGATATTACCTTCTTACACGAACTCCGTACCTATATAACGTGTTTCGCCGCAATTGTTGGTGACTAAAGAGCACATCATGTCCGAAAGAGCCTCAACCTCCTCTTCTGGCTTCTCTGGCTCAACACTGGGCTTAGGTTTATCCCTCTCGCTGATTCTGCTCTGTGGTTCTGGAGATGCCAGGGTGCTTCGCGGAGTAGACGCATTTCCTTCAATTGGGCTGCTTTGCGTTGGGGATGTAGTAGTCGAGCCGGGCAAAGTGGAAGCCCTCCGGAGCGATTGTGACAAGTGCTTATTCTCTGCCAATCTCTTCTCTAACGTGCGCAGATCGGTCCGTCCATTATCATCCTCGTTGAGTAGTCCTACCTTGTGTTAGCCGAGGGACGCTTTGGTGATAAGAGCAAACGCCCTCCATGAAGGTATCGCGGCGTAAATCTTCTGGGGACGTACCAGACAGTCGCAATAGGCTCTCCATCCTGCCTAACCGGTTCTCGAGTCCTTCGATATATTTTGCCCTGGCCCGAGGTCAGCACCAAGCGCCGCGGTATCAAGGCATATATATAGTCCATGCGCATACCCCTTGGGAGGATTCCTCTTCTTCTCGACCTGTGTGAAAACGCACTCCGTCTTGTAATTGATGCAGTGTGTGCACGCGGGCATCTTCCCATCGCATTTGATCTTCTTCTTCCGACACATATCGCAGGCCTGCGGTACATCAGTCTAGATCCCTGCGCCCCGGGGAGCGAGATATCGTACCCTCGCGATCCTCCGCCTCTTGGCCTCATTGCTCTCTTCCATGAGGGAACCGTCGGTGAACATTGGGGCCCCAACATCTGGTAGGGTCGCGGGTATTGGCACTCCCTCAGGAGTGTAGGCTCCAAAAATCTGAGGTGGGGGGTTCATCAAGGGTGGCGCCGAGACGGGCGAGGTGCGGAAGGAGTTGTTCGCCATGTTGGGCGGCTGCGACATCCTCCTCTCTCCGCGAGGGTGGAGGATGGAGAAAAACACGCAGACACAGGATGGGGGAGGCGAATATTGGGGGGGTGGGAAGGGGGGGTTTGCGGCGTGGAGTCTTCAGTACTCACTCACTCACAAGGACTCACAGCCTCCAGGACTCTCAGCACTGCTGCTTTGCCCTGAGGAGCGTATTCGTCTTCGTATTCGTTCCTGGCTCTCTCGGTCTTTGGGCCCTTAACTCCAGTGGGCGGGCGGGCGACGGGCAATGGAAGAATAATCCTGGCTCAGGACTCAGGAGGCAGAGGCTGGGGCTACAGACTAATTATTACAGTAGTGTACGGGTGCAGAGTGGTAACAGGACCTTTTGCCTGGGGGGGCCAAACTTTCCAACTTCAAGGTTTCTTTGAGGGTCGCGCGGCGCTAAAAATTTGGTCGACCGTCGACGGCGGTGCTGGATGAAAGCTTGAGCAAGCAGGTCGGACTCCGGAGTTTAAAGCGTCACGAAAGGCCGAGGCAGGCATCTGTCGGAGTCGCTGAGTGGCAGACGAGAGGGACAACTACTCCGTACTTTGGTCCCTATGGCAGAGATCAGAGGTGCGGAGTAGGAGTATCATGGGTATCGACTATGGTCATGTCCAGGTATCATGATGATCCTCCCTCGCCTCCTCCTCTGCCCTCTCGTTCTGGATCGCCCTGGGCGCCGCTGATCATTCTTCTTCGTGGGTAGATCCCCGCGCTGCTGACTGCAGTTGGGCCTCCCCGCCATCGAATGGCACCGATGATGATAAATCTCCCGCGCCAGTATTATTCTTGCCACAGCATTATTACTGTAAGGCTGCCCTGCTGCGGTGATCAGATAAGCCTGGACTCGTGGCCAGCGACGAGCGCGGAGACTGCCCGAATCCAGACTTCAGAATATGCAATGCTGGAATCAAGAATCAAGATAACAAACCCTGTCAATATTAGATGCGAGGAATTACCTCATGAGCGATCATCTGCCGGTACTGGACTGTACGTGACGACGCTTCTACGGATTTGATAATAATAATGCTGGTCACTTGTAGGAGCGTAACAAGGGGTCCTTGACAACCAGAGCATCAATCAAGACCACAAATCCCTCCCCCGTCCCCGTCACCACCATCACCCCCTCCCGACGCAGTGGCAGAGCACAGCGTCTCCCAGAGAATCCTTTGGATCCTTTGGATCCTTTATCTTTTTATTACACTACATATTCGGAGTATTCTCTCCACGCTGTGCAGGGCCCGGTGTCCTGACTCTTGGCTCCCACCCCGGCCAATGGGTTGATGGGTTTTGCCCGCATCGCATCTCGGGATGTCATGAAACCGTCCCACCTAAACTCTATCCTTCTAGGACCGACCTGGCCGTGGAGGGGCCTCCCGACAAGGGGCCTTCTAGTATCTGCTGGAAGATTCTTATTATTACATACGCAGATATACAACCACACACTGCATTTGCATCAAGTGGCGCGGCCACGCTGCACACTTCGAGATTTTCACGGCTATGAAGCAGAGGCAGCAACCATATCACAAACACGCAATACATTGACATTGTCGCTTATCCGTGCTCATCTGATCGGGATCTCGAGAGCCTGATCGAGTACTGTACTGTACTGTAATATACAAAGTGACACAGACCAACACGTATCAAGGTAACCAGCCACGACACCTGACCCATGACAAAGGATCAGCCCTTTCCCAGTCCCGTCGCTGGTCCAGTCCGAGTTCCAGGTGCAGCCGGAGACTTCGCCCATGTGGCATCGCAATATGAGAGACCAGCTTTTCCCAGCGCTCAAAGGTATCAAATCTCCAAAGGAACAAAACGCCAGACAAATGCTAAACGAAAGCACAAAGGTGCGCGCTGCACATCGCTGAAATCTACAATATCAATAGGCAAGTGAAATCGGATTCGTCGTCATCCAAATCGGAGAGGCCCGGACCGGAGCACCAGGCATATCGTTTTAAGAAAAACCGCCTTTCAGACTTCTTCGGTAAACCTCGACGTATGTGAATCATGCGAAGGCTGAGAGCGTCCAAGACCGGGCCGTCGTGGTGGTACATTTAGTGGGGGCGGATTCATTGTGAATGGGCCTTGCTGTGTAACGGGTGTTCTTGCTGGGCTGGGCCGTATAACAGGTATCCCACTGTCTCGTTTCCTTGATGGGTGTCCAGGTGACGAGGGGGGGCTTGAAGTCCCACCATAGGAGGCTTGCGAATCTCGGAAGAATGACGCCGCAATCAGTGTATTTCCATCATCTCCATAGCCATCTCCGCCCGTCCGTAGGACCGAGGGTAGCTTCCTTCCAGAGACCCTATAGAAGCCTCGCTCGCCAGTAGCCGCAGGCGTTACATCTCGGTTCGTTTCTGCATTCTGAGATGGCCTCTTATATCCCGTCAGGCTGGCCAGGGCAGCAGGAACGGCGTGGATCAAAGATCGTCGTTCCACCATCCCCCCGGACGGCCCAGAGGGCGCTCCCCCAGTAACCGTACGATTCCCAGTTGCTCCGCCATCCCCCAGAGGCATCCTATTCTGTTTCTGCTTCCACCACTTCAAGATAAAAAGTAAAGCGAGTATTATAAGGCTTGCGCCAGCAACACTTCCCACGACACTGCCCACAACAACGGGAGTCGGGGTTGCTGCGGCTCTACCCGTGTCAGAACCGCTTGTAGAAGTTGTTGTGTCGGAGGCTCCAGTAGCAGAGGTGGTTCCCGCTCCCCCAGCGATAATCCCTGCCCCACTAGTCGCTGTCGCTTGGACGTATGCACCGGATGAGGAATCTGGAAAGTACGAATACGAATACGAAGACGACGAGGACTGAGACAAGAAGGTTGAGGAAGAGGAGGAAGAGGAGGAAGAGAAGGACGACGAGGACGATGTTGATGCGGATGTTGATTTGGTCGAGGAGCCACTAGAAGAGGAGCTGCTAGTAGATCTTAAGTAGGTGACCGAGGATCTCGATGAAGAGATGGTCGAGTTGGAAAAGGCATTGGATAAGCCACCTGAGCTTGAAATTACTAGAAGCCTCGTCAGCAAGTGATGCCTTTCCACGTTCTTCTAAAACATACAACTGGTTGAATTAGCGTTAACGCTGAGTGAAGAGAAGGTTGTGGGTATCGAAGGAGTGGATGTCAGCGCAATTGGTGTGCTCGGACTGGGAATCAAAGAGAGTGTTGTTTGAACGGACGAGTCTGGTCCTGGTGTCGCAGATGAGGGCAGCGGCGTCGAACTGGTGATCTCCGGGGCCACAGGCGTTAGGATCGCAGACAAAAAGGGATCAGTTGGCGCGGGCGATGGACTTTCGGTCGTATCGGGGAGCGTCTGTAGGGAGTAGGTATTGCCCGTGGGGACGACATTGACCTGCTGGATGATGGACACAGTCTGGATGACCTCGGTCACCGTGGATGACGATGACGATGATGACGGTGACGGTGACGGTGATGCGGCGGCCTGTCTCCTGTGGAGATAGTAGTGGTGATGGTGCTGGAGATGTTGATGCTCTCGATGAGCCATGTCGTGCCGGGCCAGAAGGAGTGATGGCCGGGCGGGTTCGTCGTCGCTCATGGCGGCGCCGGGTGCTGCTGTCTACAGCGCTCTGATGCGTAGAGTGCGCGAATTGACGCGTGTGTACGGGGGAAGTCGTCAGCTCATGGCCATCGTGAATCGTGAAAGAAGAGGAGTTCCAAAAGTGAGGAGGGAGGAGGAGGTCCAGGGCGATGGTCCAGCCATCAAATTTCGCTTGTGCCTGGGGGGGGCTCGTGTTTGTCTGTCCGTAACGAGGGACCATCCCAGGGTCTCGTCGCATTGGCCAATGAGCAGCAGAAGCGAGACATGCCAGTAATTGCGCTCGGCTAATAATGGGTCTAGATGCATAAAATTGCACAAACGTCATATAGTCCTGTATAAAAATATCCCGATGTCTGGACCGCTGCGGATAGTCCCATCACCTAGGTTACTACGGGGCAGTCGTACCTGGGTGGCCGTAGTGGATACCTTGTAGCCTGAGGCAGAGATGTACAGTACCTTACTGCCCCGCTGATAACGACGCGACGACTGACCCTGATTATTCTGATACTGAGAGTTTGAGACTGAGCACATCGGCACAGCCCTGCAACCCCCAGAACTCTTCAATGGACCTGCAAAGTGCAGCATCTCTACCTATTTATATGCAGTACACTGTATTCTTATATTAAACCCTACACCAGAGTTAATTCTGCCGCAACCTAGCCTGTGTAGCCGGTGTAGCCTCACCAAATCTTACAATACTATACTAATAGTAGAGCAACGAGAAGAGAATACATCCAACCTCAGACATATCTACCTTATACTGCACCCATCATGGCGACTCCTGCTCAACTGGCCGAAAAGGTCAGACAGGATCGCGCGGGTCTTGAACGAAGCATCCCTCGTCCGACCCCTCCCCCGCTCCCGCCGCGTGCCAAGTCCGCCCCCGCTCCGCCTCCCCCTGCCTCTCCTCCTCCATACTCCTTTGACGATGCCGAAAGGGGTAAGCTGATCTCCGAGCAATGGCACTCTGATGATCCCAGATCATCATCGACGCTGTCGTTGGTGCCCTCAGAGTCGGGAGAGGACGGCGGCCGTCGAACTTTGTTGCTCATCTACATCCATGGCTTCATGGGCAACGAGACCAGTTTCCAGAGCTTCCCAGCACATGTTCACAATCTTCTCACCATTGCCCTCGCAGAGACGCATGCTGTGCACACCAAGATATACCCTCGATATCAGTCGAGGAAGGCTATAAACTTCGCGAGAGATGATTTCAGTACTTGGTAAGCTCTTCTTCCTGCGTTGGATCCTCTTCAGCTGACGCCTGCTAGGTTAGAGCCACATGAGAATCGCCATACAGATGTAATTCTGCTAGGCCACAGCATGGGAGGGATATTATCTGCAGAGGTTGCCTTGAAACCATCCGATTCTCCAGCTAATGGGAAGCCGTTTCAACACCGGATATTGGGGACAATCAATTTTGATACTCCATTTCTGGGAATGCATCCTGGGGTCGTAGTAAGTGGAATAGGTAGTTTGTTTCGCCCTGCGCCGGAACCCCCAAAATCAAATCAGTGGCAGTCCTCGACGAGTGGAACAGATACTCCATATGGGTCTGATGAAGCATCTACCTCATCCCAAAGTCATACACCTTCGATGGCTAACTCGGAAAACTCCTCACAACTGAGCCTTGTTCAAAGCCTCGCATCATCATTTACACTTCCTTCGCCGAAGGATCCATTTTTCAATCCCGCATTTCCAAATGATGTTCGACGACCGGAAAGAACGGGATTGTCCAGCGTCTTGCATTTTATCAACAAGCACTCGGATGGCCTAGCCTCTGCAACAAAGCAGTACTTTATGTCACATTTAGAATTTGGGGGATGTCTAGCAGATTATCCCGGTCTAAAGAACCGTTATGAGAGGCTACGGGCCTTGGAGGATGTTGTCGGGCTAGCAGGTCGAGATCGTCCTGGCTATGGATCTTCTACCAGGTGCATTAGATTCGTCAATTACTACACTGCAAGTACCGGGAGAGTGAAGGCACCGAAAACGCCGTCTGGGCAGACTATGGACCAAGGTGAACATCTCGAGCCTATGGAAGCTCAGATGAAGGATATGAGTTTAGAAGATTCAGAGAGTCACTCCTCCACACTGAGTCCCAGCCTCTCCAGCGGAGAGCAGACAAATGGCGTTACTACTCCCCAGCAAGTTGGAAAGGAACCGGATGCATCAGCGATTAAGGCTCAAATGCAAGACCTGGGCGAGAACTCGGGAATACAGGACGACGTCCAGGAGCCTCCGGAAATGCGCCACATTGACTCAGTGCCTATTGATGATGATGAAGAGCCCCCAGTACCGGTGGCAATCATTGAAAGCACAGAAACAGAATTAGAAGCTACCCCTCCCCAGTCTCAGCCATCATCTATCCAACCACCATTGCCTCCTCTTCCCGAAGTTCCTACCGAACCAGAACTAATCGATCTAAGCCTTTACACAGACAAAGATTCGCGCAAAATAGCGGAAAAGGAGCAAAAGCGGGTGATGAAAGTCTATCAGCAAGCCGTCAAGGACCGCGAAAACGCTATCAAAGACCGCCGCAAGCTGCTCGAGAAACGGGAGAAGAAAGCGCGCCAGGAGCGCGAGAAGGCAGTAAAAGCCGAAGAGAAGCAACGCTTGAAGCAAGAGAAAGAGGAAGAAAAGCATGAGCCCGCCCCGCCCCAACACCTCGAACGCGAGCGCCAGGAATCCACAGCTTCGTCTTCAACGCAGGAAAAGCCGAAGAGAGATAAGAAGTTCTGCATGCTGCCACCGGGATCCGGAGGCAAGAGGGACAGGTGCTGGGTTAGGGTGTATATGGAGGGAGTGGACGAGGTCGGGGCGCACTGCGGACTCTTCTTCCCGGGCCCGCAGTACGAGAGTCTGGTCGGGGATGTAGGGGCCAGGGTTGAAGACTGGGTGCGTAAAGATGCGGAGAGGAGAAGGGCGCTCGAGATGAGGGCGTGAGAGTGATAATTCCTTCGAGACCGGACGCTCGGTGGCTGTTATGCAAGCATATTCATGAGTGTACAGTACATTGGAGATACCCCAGAGAAACACGAACCTGGTTAGATAGATCTAGAAACTTAGATTGCTCACTGCATGTCATTCATTATCCCCATGTCTCTACTCCACTTCATTGAAAGACTATCTACCTACCTTACGGGGCGAACATCCCACCCCACGCATTCCAAATTAAATACCTGACTCCCATCTAGATAAGGTAGGAACAAATACTCCATACTATATATGTATCCCTCCCCAATCCTCTTCTCAAAATTCAAAAAATCAAAAATCAAAAATCAAAAACCAGCCAACACCAAAAACTCTCCCGCAAGATCTCAAGATCCCTCGTTAAGAGAAATCATAACCGAGATCTCAGCACATACACATGGCCTGCTGGCCCAATGGCAAGGCGCTTGACTACGAATCAAGAGATTGCAGGTTCGATCCCTGCGTAGGTCACTACTTTATCATCTATATCATAGGATAATATTATCCTATGAACTTGCTTTTTTTTCTGTGATTTTTGGTTTTTTTGGCTCGTTGTTGGGGGTTGGAGAAGGGGAGGGGAGGGGAGGGGAGGAATTTTTTTTTTTTGGAAGGCGGGGCTGCTTTGGAAGCTTTTTGAAAATCTTTTTTATTTTTTAAGGGGACGGAGGGTTGGGTATAGTCTATCCATCTACCTTACTTAATTGAACGATATGCTCAAAAAGGAGAGAGAGGAAGAGCCAGGTGATGAGAGAAGGCGGGGCAGTTCTCTCTCTCTCCCCCCCCCCTTTTTTCCCCCTTACCCCCGAACCTCACTCACACTTCCCGACCCCAGCCCACCCCATCCTATTCCTTAGGCACACTATATACATCCATCGCTCATTATAACTATATATTCACCTACGGATCGGGTCAATCATGACGGTTTTCTCGATCTTGATCTCGATGTATTATTCCCCCCCCCCGCCCCCCAAAAAAAAAGAAAAGAAAAATATTTTGGGAGTGAAAAGAAAGAAAGAAAGAGAATCGATTAGTTAATCAATCAATCAAAGAGGAAAAACGGCTTGTATATCCATGCTATTTTACTTCCATTAATCAATTACTTCACAGATCACGAGGAGGTGGGTTTTGAAAGAAGGGGGGGGGGGGGAATGCGGAATAGATAAGATAATCTGTGCGCATTCTTTTTTCTTAGAGGGGATTTACATAAGAGGTATTGTACCTTTAGGTAAAGTAGGGAGGAATCTCATCCTTCTTGTATAAATAGTCTAGAATCATCATTCTATGATTATAAGTTAGCAAGTAAGTACCTACCTAGGTAGGCAGCTAGATGTTGTTTTGGTGTGAAACGAGTAGAAAATAAAAGGATATGCTTAGAAGGCCTTCTTCTTGCTTTTTTGATATGGAATAGAAATAGATGATAATACTCATTATCCCACTCGATATTCTTGGTCTAGAAGGACTTACTTACTTACGATCAAGGGGAGCGTACCTAGTTTTGCCTAGGCGTAGGTAGCATCAAATCAAACCTCTAGGTTCTATATACTATATAATACATAGATTTACATGTAAAATCTTCAAGTAGGTATGAGGCGTTGGCTATCTATTCTCCGGGCTCCATTCCTAACCTATTTTCTCCAGATGCGATTTTCTGCCAACCATTACCTGTGTAATTTCCAAGGTACTGCCGAAGTGGGTAGATAATCCGGATACACCACAAATTGCTTGATCAAAGTCCAATATCGATACTTGAGAAATTTACCTCCCGAAAGAGCGCCACTTTGCCTTTCTAGCCTCGACATAAGTCTTGCTCTCAATAGCCGCCTTGATCCCGTAGAAGCCGCTAAAGGGCCACATGGAACGGAGGCGCGGTTGTTTCTTCTGCGCCGCCTTCTCGGCCTCGACATCGACCTTCACCTTCTCGTAGACGCTCGGCAGCGACGTCGCATTGTACTTCTCGCGCAAGCCGCGATACCACGGCTCGTCATACATGGCCCAGAATTCCGGCTCGTCGTAGTACGTGTGCGCGTAGAGCCATTTCATGCCGCCCAGCTCCCGCAGCTTGCGCTCGAGATCCCGGTTGGCGGCCAGGAAGTCGTCGTGCTTCTGCGGACCCCAGCCCCAGAGTCCGATGTTCAGCATTTGCTTGAGCGTTTTGCCGTCGGCTTCGTACTCGTTCGAGTGTGGGTGCATCGTGGGTAGTGGGTTTTGCTTCAGTGGGCAGAGCCAGAGCGGATAGATGCCAAAGGCTTTGTCTGTGTAGTCGACGAATTGCTCAGCCGTGGAGTATGGCAGTGCCAGATCTTGGACCACGTACTTCGAGGATTGCCCGCTGGCGTGTAAAGCGGTGTACATCATCCGTGTGTGGAGGAAGTCGTCTAACCACCATCGGGTGAAGCGGTTGAAGGGGAAGTGGAAGTAGTCGAATGCTGAAGCTCCTACCCAGAAGCCGCCACGGTCATACCGGAACAGGTACTCAGGTAATGGGATAGCTTCTGTAACTGCTCCAACCCCTTTAGAAATCGCATCCTGAACGTGCAGATAGTACCAAGGATCACTTGCGTCGCTGAAGCGTTGGACTCGAATGCCATCCTTTAAATCATTGGTCATACGCCCGGTAATTACGGCTCCCTTTGTCTTCGAGAACATGATCCCATCGACATAATCCAAGTCCTGATCCGCGGTAAACTCTTGAAGCTTCTGAATAGCCTCCGCCATGCCTGACACGGGATGATATGTGGTCTCGACGTATTTCTTGGCTTCGCGGAGTTGGAGCTCAACCAGAGTTGTGACGCCGAACGTTCCCACCGCACCAGCTGCACCATTGAAGAGATCCGGCTTCTCTGTAGGGGAAGTCTTGACAACCTCGCCATCTGCCATCACCATCTCCACATAATTGATCGTCCTGTCGAAAAAGCCGTGTTTAAAAGAGCTGCTCTCCCCAGAGGTGCCAGAATATCCCCCTCCCACTGTGATGCCCGGAAACTCCATTACCACAGGGGGTACAAGATTATGCTCCAGCGTCTTCTCCACCAGCCGGTCCATAGGAACGTTCGGTTCCACCAGACATGTTTTCCTCTCTTTATCGACGCTCAGGACATGTGAAAGGCTGCTTGTATCGACCAAGTGCTTCTTGAGTGTTGATTGCCTCGTGCTGTTGGTCGAGCCGTGGAATATGCGGAACTTCTCCTTTCGTTCGTAGAAACCACGCACCTGGGCAGATATTTCCTGGACGGTTTTATTATGACGCTCTATTGAGCTCGAGGGGGAGCTGCTTGTGGAGGATTGTCGAACTGCGCGAGCCAGCCGGAAGGAGGAGGTGATTTTTCGGACCGCGGTGGCCGCGGGTCTGTAAAGATCCATTCTGAGACCTTGGTACTAGAAGCACCGGCAATGATGCTCTGCTAGATAATTAACATGCTGCAACGACTCAATGCATATATGCTGGTGTGGCCTACGAACCTGCAGCTCTTGCTGTGTCTGAGCCCCACGGCGAGTCTGCAGAGCTGGGACTGACCGGAGGTAACCCTGCGTTAGGATACCGATTATTCGATACCCTAATGGGAACAATTGAGCCCTTGAAGCAGTCGAGGCCACCGGAGGCCTTCAATTGAGATGCACCAGTGGTGGAAAAATGAGGCTCTGGGTTGATCGGCGGCGACACGGGTATCTGATTAAGTTTAGTAAAAGCACTATAAAGTGGAGCTTCCAGAAGCCAGCTTCTCATGTAATGATGTAATGCGGCTCGCATACAGAGGAATGCCAAGCAGCAAATTGTCAATTTTGAAATATTTGAAGGGATTTCCAGCTTGGTTTTGCTTCTATTGATTCAGGTGCATGCCATTGCACACAGCATCTTGCCAGATGTATCTTTGTATACGAGTTACAACTCCTGTACGAACAGCCTAAACGATTTCGAAGAAAAGTAGCTGCATAGTAACATTAATTATTCAAGAGAGAGGATTTATCGCCAAGACTTTGATGTAAATTAATTACAGGCCATTATCAAGAGGAAGAGACATTGTTTCGTGATCCTCGAGATAGGAACACGCTAATACTGTCGGGTACCTGAAGGTACAAACGCGGGTGCACGTGATATTTCCGGAATCACTTCCGAAATGGACCGCCGAGAAGAAACTCCAGGTACGCAACCATACAGAGTCAAAGTCAACACAACAAATAGACCAATAGACATGGCAATATCAACTTACGCTGTATCGTAAGTGCAACTAATCCCAGTCTTGCCAGCTTAGAAAATCGCCAAGATATTCGGCGGACTGGCTACCCCACCGGGCACATTACAAACCTCACTGGTGACGAAAAAGCTCCAGCGCTTCTCCTTCTTACAATAGGCGGCCAGTTTTTCGAGATCGAAGAGCTCACCGATGGGCATTCCCCAGCCCGCGAGGAGGACTTCGTGGAGGGAGTAGGATTGTTGCGTTGCTGCTCATATTGCGTTTAGAGAGATGATGAGTGCGGAGGAATGGGAGAGCGGGGTCTGTCTGGGGAAGAAGACTGTAGTGGGGATGGGAATTGGGGAAGACGAGGAAAATGGGAAACTTACGCCAGCATTCGAAACTTGGCTGGTCCCCTGCAACAGCGGAGAAGTTCTCCCATATCCATCTCAACATCTCTTCGCTCTGCTCTACGCCACTGAATGTTGGGGGCATAACATCCTTCAGGGCGCTCAGTTCCTCTTCACTCATCTCATTATGCGCCGCCATATATCCTGCTCATTTGTCAACCGATATTCTGCTTCTTCCTGATTCTGCTCATTCCTGAACGGAATCCCTATAGGACCAGGATGCCAGAACTCACCGGAACGAATGAGCAAAATATCCCCAAACTTAATCTCCGTCCCTTGTGCTTCGGCGGTAGCCTTCAAGTATTTTAAAGGGATGGAGCCGGTTTTGAAAGGGTCGTAGGGAATAGGTGGGTCTTGGGCTAGTCGCCAGGAGTGGAAATCTAAGAGGATTCCTCTGCCCACGATACCCTGTTCCGCCATTGCTGTTTCGTTGTTAATTTTACCTCTTTTATCACTCTCTCCCTAAACGCAGAGCTCAAGTGAACAGAGGGAAAAACAACACGAACCCTGAATCCCCAATATCTCACTCCGCCCATCCCTCGTCGTATTCCCCTTCTCGAAACCTTCACCATGGATCTGCTCCAACGTAACTCCATTATAAAACCTTTCTTTCACCATCAGTCTCTTTTCTCTCAGTCCCCAACTCTCCTCACCCCCTCCCCTCACCCCCACCCCTCAACACCAAAAAAACCCCCCTCCAAAAAGAAACCAGACAGTATCACATCACATATACACAAGAGCAGAAGAAAAAAAACTCACCTCCCCTCTTTCTGATACGCAAAATGCCTCAACCCATCCCACTGACTACTGACCTGCGAATTAAAAGTCCAAATATCATCATTCACGACGCGGGGCGCCTTATGAATCACATCGTGATGAAAAAGCGCGCGCTGAAAAAACGATTTCTTGCTCGCGGTTTGCGCGTTCAGGGGCCAGTTTAGTGATATCCTATTTTTTCCCCCTTTAATCACTTCCCCTCTCCCCAAAAAAACACAGAGTCCCGACAAAACATACGTACCTATATCCACACCTAACCTCCCCCCTAACAGCATCAAGCACCCTCTCATCATCCAACCTGCGTAGCGCTCCCAACTCATCATCCTCTCCGTATAGTCCCCACGCTGAGAGATAAGGATCTCCTGCCCGGAGTGGCAGCGCGTCGAATGGTGGGATCTTGTTCTTCTTGTTGGGCTGGGGGTTTTCCATCTTTTTTTGGTTTCTGGCTTTTGGTTGCGCTGTTTTTAGGGTTTGAAAACTAAAAGTTGAATGAATGAATGAAAGACAGAGAGAGGTAGAGAGGTAGAGATAGAGGGAGAGAGAGATACCTTACCTTACCTTACCTTACCTTTGGTAGATGAGAGAAGTGGGGTATATCTACATCCATTCCTCATCTTATTTGCGGGGACCGCATACAAACACGGATATACATATACCGAAGCCTACCTTACCCACCTTACCTTACCTTACCTACCTTACCTTACCTAAGCCGAAGCGGAGAAGCCAAGCAAACCAACGTACCTAGCTAGAGTATCCATAGAGGTGTGCGTATAAAATCGATCAATTGCTTTTTTGTCCGAAGATCGTTCGATTGGTTAATAATATTGATGTTGCCGGTGCCACCCCCTCATCACTTACATCACATCATCCCCACTCGACTCGACTCGATTCGATTCGATTCGACCCCCTTTTTTTTTAAAGGGCTCGGTTAGATGGATGGAAAGCTTGGAAAGCTTGGAAAGAAGGTTGTGGAGTGGAGTGGAGTGTGGGTGGAGTGTGGGTGGGTACGGGGTTGGTACAGCACTGCACAGCACGTGTAGTTTGTAGTTTGTATGCACGGCGCAAAAGATATAATCGAAGAAGAGGCGAGTCACGACAATACAAGGTAATGGATGTAAATTTCATTTTTCAATTAAGCAACGAGAGGGTACTTGAATTTCATAGATCATCAGTTTTAATTTCGTCCCAGTGGTTTTCCCACCTTCCCATCCATGCCTTCCATGCCTTGCCTTGCCGTTCTTCCTCTCCTTCCGCTCATCAAACACATTAAAAGTTATCATCATCTACTAGTTTTATTTAAAGACGGCTGTTGGCGCTTCCCGCAGCGGCGCTCTTGGGAGCAGGGGCCAGCTTCTCGGTAGCCTCCGCGATTCTCTTGCCCAGTTCCTTGTCGACGTTGGAGAACATCTCGTATGTGCGCTTGCGGGTGTCCTCCTTGGCGGCCGCCAGATGGGTCGAGACGTTGGTGACAAAGTTGTCCTGCTGGCCGGGCTGTCTGCCTAGGACGTCCCAGAGTCCCTTGGCTTGGACGTAGTCCTCGGCGGTGACCTCCGACAGGTAGGAGACGGCGGCACCGACCCACTTCTCGTGGTCGTTGGTGGCGCGGACCGGCTTGTAGGTCAGCTGGCGGTAGGAAGAGGGGTAGTTGGGGTTGGCGCCGTAGTTGCCGTTGACGGCCATGAAACCATCACGCTGGAAGGGGTTGAAGGCGCGGAGGGGAGCGTTGACGGGGATCTGTTGGTAGTTGACACCGAGACGGTAGCGGTGGGTGTCGGGGTACGAGAAGAGACGGGATTGGAGGACGGGGTCGGCAGAAGGCTCGACACCAGGGACCAAGTGGGATGGTGAGAAGGCAGCTTGCTCGATCTCGGCGAAGTAGTTCTCAGGGTTCTTGTTGAGGGTGAGCTTGCCGAATGGTCGCAGTGGGACCTCCTTTTGTGGCCAGACCTTGGTCAGGTCGAAGATGTTCCAGCGGAACTTCTCGGCTTGCTCAGGGGAGAGGACCTGAACGTAGACGGTCCACGATGGGTAGTCGCCCTTCTGGATAGCCTCAAAGAGGTCCTGGGTATGCCAGTCTGGGTTGTCACCAGCAAGCTTGCCGGCCTCCTCGTTGTTCAGGGTCTTGATCCCCTGGTCGGTCTTCAAGTGGATCTGGACGTAGTTGAAAGTTCCGTCCTTCTTGATCCACTTGAAGGTGTGGCCAGAGTAACCGTTCATGTGACGGTAGGAGTATGGGGTACCACGGTCACTGAAGAGCGTCATGACCTGGTGGATGGCCTCCTGGTGGGTGGAGAGGTAGTCCCAGAACATGGTGGCATCCTTCAGGTTGGTTTGGGGGTTGCGCTTCTGAGTGTGGATGAAGAGGGGGAACTTGCCCGGCTCGCGGAGGAAGAAGACGGGGGTGTTGTTGTATACCCAGTCCCAGTTACCCTCGTCGGTGTAGAACTTGACGGAGAAGCCTCGGGGGTCACGAGCCGAGTCAGCAGAGCCCTTCTCGCCTCCGACAGTTGAGAATCGAGCGACGGCGGGGGTCTTCTTGCCAACCGTCTTCAGCATGTCAATGGTGGTGATGTCGCTGATATCGTGGGTGACCTCGAACTCTGCACGGGCATGTTAGCACATCTCAGCATGACCGGACGGGGACAGCATTGGGCCAACATACCTCCATAAGCACCCGCACCCTTGGCGTGGACAACACGCTCCGGGATACGCTCACGATCGAAATGGGCAAGGAGATCAATCAAGTGAAAGTCCTGAAGCAAGATGGGGCCATTCTGGCCAATTCTCTGGAATTCCTCCGGGTGGCGGACGGGGCATCCGTTGGAGGTTGTGTAGGTAGGCTTCTCATTGTACCTGAAGGTGGAAGCGGGCTTGCTGTCGGCGGTCATGGTTGCGATAGATGAACAAATAGGGGGTATTGAGTGAATGGGTTCTTCGAGTGAGGATAAAGGAGTTAATGGTTGATGGGAATTAAGCACTCTGGTCAACAGATACGAGATTCCTTGAGTGAGACAACACAAAGAATGGGAGAGAATGGGGGGCGGATATAGGTGGGATGGGGGGGAGCTTCTTAAGTAGACAGCGGGGGGGGAAAGGACAGGAGGGGCGCGCGAGCGGGGAAGGGCCAATAAGACGTGGCGAGTTTACAACGCAGCAATGAACAGTACAATACCGTCCAGCACGGAGCAATATTAGTCAAGCGGAGGGGTCTGGATGTGTTCGCTCTTGGTAATAGGAGCATTGTCTGGGCCCGCTGGGAATAGCTTCCCAGCATGTCGATTTGGGGTCGTTGACAAAGCGCCATGTTCTCGTTTGCTCCCGCCTTGGGTCCTCGATGGGCCCGTCGACACGGTCCCCACTTGGCAGGCTGATGGATGAGCAACAGCTGAGTAACGGGCGAGGAACGACGAGGACCTGGGTGCCAGCAGACACGACGAGAACATCGTCACTATCGTCATCCTGGCGCCCTTCTCTCTCTATTTCCTCTGGGCCACCAGGAGTTAACTCGGGATTGCATTGTCGTGGTGGTGGTATCGCTTGTCGCTGTTCAACTTCCTTGTCCCAGCTCTCTTTCGCCCTTTGCTCTTCTTCGCCACGCGGGAATAATTCTAGCTCCCCCGCATCTCGTCAAAGCTCCAGCCCACCTCCCACCGGCCGGCGCCACAATCCTTATCTCGCCTGGGAGCGCTGCATCATCCGACGACATCATCATCACGCCCGCCTAGTCCCATCCGCCATGGCACGATAGTATGATGCCATCTCTGAGACTCGTGCTGTAGCCCTTCACACCCTGGGCAAGACGCGTGTTGGTAATGAGACAGCCAAGACAGACTGTCCTTAGGGGTATCTCGAGCTATATCGCATGTACCTTGTGCTAGTGATTGCCCTACCATAAGGTAAGGTATCTTACATTATCTCCGCTCACCACTACTACTATCTATTCCAGGATCCCAAGGTCGACCAGCACAGGGCGGACCCGCAGAATAATAATAATACATACGGAGCATGGTGTACCAAAGGATGCCCTGTGGAGCCGCAGTCTGGAGTTGAGGCGCCGGCTAAGAGGTCAACCGTCAACAACTCAACGGGAATAAACTTCTCCCTTGAAAAAACCGAGAAAAAAGGGCAGAGAAAAGAAAGGGGGCCAGAAAGTACCCTGGTTACTCTACCTATGGCCTCCCGGGAATACCTATCGGGCTTCCGACTACCGCGAGTCATCGACGATGCTCATCATACGATGCGACGAGCTTCACCGCCTGGTCGTCGTCGACCTGCTGTAAGGACCCTACCGTGTATTGGTGTAGTTCCGCCATCTTGGAGTCACGTGCGGATATTACCATGCTATACCTTACCTGCCTCTGGACAGCATCGAGGTGCTTGCTTGCTTGCTTGCTCGCTGTGCATAGAAAAAGGAAACCGTGAAACACAATGCCCCCCCCAAACTCAAGACCGATCATTGATACAGAGGGAAAAAGGAGTTCATTATTAGTCATGCTCCACGAATCTAAATGCTCGGCTCCAGCCAACGCTCAATATATCGTACCGTCCTTCATCCAACATCGTCCCTTGCTCCCCTTTTCCTGCCTCAATCGAACCAGGATATCAGAATTTCAAAAAAGCCCAGAGCCCAGCGATCGTCCTTTCTCCGTGATGTGCTCCAGGCGGACTGCCTCAATGGCAACCGTGGTGATGATACAAGCTGCTTTTCAGCTCCCTACGAGTCCTGCTGCACCGTTTGCTGCGTCCCATTAGCTCCCATCTAACCAGGTCTCCAACATGCACAGGCGGCCAAAGGTCATGGTTACTCACCACAAGCCAATCCATTCCCTCATCAACACCCCTCCCATCCACCGCACTGCAGGCGACGATACTCCAGTTCCGATCCCTCAGCTCCCCCAGCCTCAACACCTCACTGATTTCCCCCGCGCCCTTCGCCCCCGGCTGGTCCTGCTTATTCGCAAACACCAACAGCGCTGCGTCCTTCAACTCGTCTTCATTCAACATGGCTGCGAGCTCTTCGGATGCTGTTCCTAGCCGGTCGATATCAGTTGAATCGATCACGAAGATCACGGCGGCCGTGTTGGCATAGTAACATCGCCAGTAGGGTCTGATTGAGGTTTGTCCACCGAGATCCTATCCTCAACGCTTATTAGCAGGCGTGGATGGGTGGGAGGCAGGAGCGTCAAGAGAAGAAAAAGGGGACACGTACCCAGACGTTGAAATTCAGATTCTTATATGTGACCGACTCGACATTAAACCCAATCGTGGGTATCGTCGTAACGACTTCTCCAATCTACACGCGCATCAGTATTCATCCCCATGTACCCCGCTTGTGAAATGGAGAAGATGGCAGACCTTCAATCTGTAAAGCAATGTAGTCTTTCCCGCATTGTCCTATACCGCCACCGATTAGCTCCAGAGCAGAGCCCAAGGAAAGGGGGGGAGCAAAATACTAATCCCAGGATCAGTATCCGGATCTCCTTCTTCGCGAATAGCAGCCCCGACAACCACGACATACTAGCACCCATCTTGCTCGTTGTGCTCTTCCTCCCGATCTATATCTCTTCCACCTGTCTTGTTCCCAAGTGATCTCCCCTTCCCCTTATCTGGCCCCAAGTTCGTATCCTCAAGTTTTGTCGCGGAAGCTTCGTCTCGAGGGTGTGCACGTTGTTCGCGCGCCGTGTCTTTGGGTCGTGTTGTCCTCGTAGCAATTCTCGAGTTGGTGCTGGCCCTGACTCGCAATTTCCAATCCTCCTTTGACGTATTTCCAATCAGCTCTCGCCTCTCCTGCGGTTGCTTGGAGCCTCACCGAGCCACCCCCCGTCCGCGCTAAATTTTCTCGCGGCCTCAGGTACGCATATATACCGCTTTGGGGATCTATCACGTGGACGCGGAAAAAAAGTGGCGGCCTGAGGAGACGAGGGCAAGCAAACCCTGATGCGAAAAGTGGCCCGCAAGCGAAAATAGGAAGATCCCAAACTTCACGACGACCAAAGGAACAACCAACGAAGACTCGACACCCCGATCCTCCGTCACGATGCCGGTATGTATCTCCCCCGGATCTTTTCGATGGTTATATTTCGAGTATGCGATACAAGCTGCGATATTGATTTGGCGATGCCCGCCCGCTGTGTGGAGAGGAGTGGGCGACGGGAAGATGCAATTTTGTTGGATGGGCGGGACTGGGATTGAGAGATGATGATGATGTTCAGCGGAAAAGATATGATATGAACAAGAGCTGATGAATGGGATTTCTACAGAGCCACAAGTCCTTCCGCACCAAGCAGAAGCTTGCCAAAGCCCAGAAGCAGAACAGACCCATCCCGCAATGGATCCGAATGAGGACTGGTAACACCATCCGGTACGACTCTCCCCCCCTCCTCCGCATTCCCTGTTCATCATGAATATCATGATCAAGCATGGGAAAAAAGAAGAAGAAGAAAAGGATAAGAAAGAATAAAAAAGAACCCATTGATTAACGCCCTCCCTCACAGATACAACGCAAAGAGGAGACATTGGCGCAAGACCCGCATCGGAATCTGAGCAACCCATCAAGTTCTCGCACAGCAGCCACCCGCCATCACCTTCCCTCATCATTTCCATTCGTCCGCCCTCTCGCCACTTTTTCCACGGGCACGAATGCATTTTCAATCAATCAATCAACCGCTCTCTTGTCTCCCTCTCTCTCTCTCGATCGATCGATGGCATGCTCTTTGCGCGGGAAGCCTTTTCTCTCTGTTTTATTGCGGGGCACGGGATGGGCTTTCGAAAAAGATAACTTTGTTGAGGATTGATTGATGGCGTACCGATCGAGGCAATGGTTCCTTTGGGATGTGTCTGCTGGCAATCAATCGGTCTATGAATTGTTGCTCTCTCCGAAATCCTATCTCGCCTGTGCTGTGTGTGTGTGTGTTCATCATGGATGTGGGACTACGTGATATGGCCTATCCCCATCTTCATCCATCCATTCCACCCCATTCCATCACCCTCCCTTCCCCCAAATCCCAAATCCTCCCCTCTCCTCCCCAAAGAAACAGCACAAGCTCTAAATCACTCAAATATTCGTATCATGATTACATTTAGATGGGATATAGATCTAACTAGGTACTGGCCTTTCACGAGGGCAGATAAGAGAGGTGAGCAGGTATCGGTTATTTAAGTGTGGAGATGAGGGGTTCAGATCCTCAAATTTAGAAGGGTGGAGATTTGGGGCGTGTAGATCACGATTCATTATCATGTAAGCTGCATGTGGAGAGAGAGAGAGAAAGGTAGATGGCTTTTCTGTACTGTCGATCTACCCATCATTCAAGAGCAAAGCCAGGGGACATTTAAGAGGGACGCTGCGTAGCAACAGTGCGAATACCGTAACTCCATGCCATATCCGAAATGTCCCATGCCAGAGTTAAACGCGCACCCCGCCCCACGATCGATGGTAGAATGTCATAGCCAAAGAAAACGAAACACCGAATGTATGCATGATAGGAGGGTCTCAAGCAAGCAAGCAAAGAAGGATGAGCAGGAGCTCGATCGATGCCGCGCGAATGTCTCCCCGCGTCATAAGATGACTCAGATGACTTCCACTTCAGCACCTCAACGATCCTCGGCCCACTCATTCTCACGGCGGATCTGCTCCTCCTCCTCGGGGGTGAAGTCGTTCGTGATGTTGAACGTCTTGCGGATCTCCTCGGGGGACTTGCCCTTGATCATGTTCGCAACGGTCTTGCAGCCAACGTCAAGGAGGGGCTTGATGTCGAGGTAGTTGGAGGCCTGTAGCAAGTCAGCCCAGAGAACAATGAAGATGACAAGATAGTTAAAGTAGCTTACCAAGATGATCTCAAAAAGCATCTCCTGATCGACCTGCATGAACTTCTGGTCCCACTCCTCAATGTCGGTCGTCTTCTTGCGCGAGTCGGAATCGTCGTCCTGGGCGGGTTGGGGGTCGTTCTTGTGATGCTCGCACCACTCAATAACCTTCTTCAAGACAGACTCGTTGACCTGGATCATGGCATGTCAGACCCGGGAAGTGGCTTCAGAAGGGAGATGGAGACGGGGGAGGCACTCACGTTCGGGATAGGAACGGCGGTAGCAGTGGCGCCCTCTCCAAGATCCTCCATCATGTTCTTGATCAGCATGGAGCGCTCAGCAACCTGGCGATCTGTCGCGGGCTTGAGTCAGTCCTCTTGAAGCGGCGCGGCATGAGGGGGAGGAGGAGGTACTCACCAACCTCAATGGAGACGCCATCGTTGGAGGTGAGGGTAATGGTGGATGCTTTCTCGGTGGACATCTTGCTTGAGTATTTGGATTATGTATCGAGTGAGAGGTGGAAGATGGAGGAGACGGAGCGGAGATTAATAAGAGAGAGAATTGGAGGATGTGGTGGGTTGAGTTGGGTTGGTTGGTTGGTTGGTGGGGATGGGTGTGGGATGGTGACGGAGGAGTTGGTGAAGTAGCCTAGGCAGGTAGATATGGCGTTGGTGGGAGGAGCAGCTTTGGTGGAAGAGAATCGCGCTTTTCCCGAAACGCCCTAGCGTGTGGGAGCCTTGGGCCTCTTGAGATTCACCTCGCTTTGTCCAACTTTTATAGTGAATCAGGCACGGATATATCACAGCGGGGGATGGCAATGGGCGACAAGGGCTGAGGAGAGGGTGAGGGAAGATGACTGGGTGACGCAGCGTGGGGATCCGTCTCTTTATGTGCGGGAACCTGCTTTCAGTCTGAATCAGAATGCATGCGGCTCACCACTCTTTCTTTAATTCTTTAACCTTGTCTTGCTTTATGTTAAGGTACTTCTATTTCCTATTCAGGCACCCTCTATTTTTAGTTCTCTCCATCCTTCTCTTCTTTTCTAGCGCTGAGGTGTGGCGCGTTGCTGTTTTGATTCGATCCTTCAGCCTTGCGGTTCGTCGGCATCGATAGCAGAGATCCTATTCCAACTTCAAAGGTCAGCCAAAACCCACCACCACCATCCGCCAACAAACAAGAGCGACCTCCCTGCCTCTCGGGAGGATCTGGTCCAAGGACACCTCTTAAATGCTATTCTTGACTGCGGAGACAAAGGCTAGATCACGACAGAAGACAGAAGACCGCTTACCTTGGTTTGGTATTTGCTACCCGAGGTATATCACTTGGCCTGATGTCAGTTCTTCCCGTAAAAACTGCTAGACGCGTCAGTCAGGGCACGCCGCGAAACTACCTACTATTATACGTAATTATCTCTAATTATTTTGCATATGCTGTTACCTGGATACGCATAATAATAATCTATAATTATATCTAGATAATAATGTGATTCAGGCCAATGGCAGCCCGCGGCGGCAGCTGACTGATCAAGTCTGATCGATGCATCCGTCTCAGCCCGGCCAGCCCTCCCTTTGCTTTCTCTCCCTCCTCAGAGGTCCAACATCGCAAATGCCCTCCATCACCTCCTCCGCGCGTCTGCGAATCTTCTCTTCTCCCAGCGGCAAGATCTCCATGCCATAGCCAATTGCCAATCATGTGGAGGCGCGCGTATCTGTTCCTGCTTCTGGTCCGTCTGTATTTCGCTCTATCCCCGAGCTATCTCCATCCCGATGAAAACTTTCAGGGCCCAGAGGTTATTGCTGGTACGTTATTCCCGCACCCCACCGCAGTGCTGAGGAGGAGAGCCTCTCTGCCAACCTGGAGGCTCCTCTCCATAAACACCCAGTAGCAGACCGGCGCGTCATGAAGTAGACCTCTCTATCTACGACTTGGTGACAGCCTCGCGACGAGACCCCATTCCTGTGACCACCCGCTGACCCCCCCCCGCTTCGCAGGCCAGATCTTCAGCTACCCAGTCAAGTTAACATGGGAATTCACCAGCGAGAACCCAATACGAAGCGTGTTTCCACTATGGCCTGTTTATGGTCTGCCGATGCTTCTCCTGAAATGGCTCTGGATCGAGCAGGGAAATGATGGGGATATCTCGCCGATTGCGGTTTTCTGGACTCTGCGAGTCCTGATGTTCTCCTTGAGTTTTGTGCTCGAGGACTGGGCTCTGCACGAACTGATCCCGTCAGCACGGCATCGGAAACTAGCTGTCATACTGGTCGCGTCTTCATATGTGTCTTGGACATACCAGACACATACCTTTTCGAATTCCATTGAGACCTTGGCTGTGGTTTGGAGTCTAGTTTTGATTCAGCGGATCGTGGGAAACAAGGTAGCGGACTCGTCGCTTTGCATTGGAAACCAATCTAACAATCACTATAGAAGCGGCGCTCTTCAGTGGTTGCTTCAGCTCTTCTCGCATCGGTCGTGGTCTTTGGAATCTTCAACCGCATTACTTTCCCGGCCTTCCTTCTTATACCCGGACTTCGTTTGATCCCACATGTCATTAAGAAGTATGAAGCCCCGTCCTCCCTGGAAAACTATACTGACAAGAACAGGCCCTTATCACTCGTTTCCATGGTGCTATCTGGTGGCTTGACGGCTTTCGTTGCGATTTACCTTGATACCACATTTTATACCGATGGCCCAGTCACTTGGTCAACCCTCTTCAACCATCCGATCATCACCCCCCTTAATAATCTCACTTACAACCTTTCTACAAGCAATCTTGCACAGCATGGCCTACACCCTTATTACCAGCATATCTTGTTTAATCTCCCACAACTTTTGGGTCCTGCAGCTGTGCTACTATTCGTCGAACCACACCTTTCTCTACGCCTATACTCCGCCATATCGGGCATTTTTGTCCTTTCTATATTCCAACACCAAGAGGCCCGATTTCTCCTTCCCACGATACCGTTACTTCTTTCGTCTGTCAACCTTCCGAAAAACAGGACACACTTACGCATCTGGGCCGGTCTCTGGATAGCATTTAACGCCGTCTTCGGCATCTTAATGGGGATATACCACCAAGGAGGCGTAGTCCCAACCCAAGTCTTCCTAAGTAATCAGCCCGATGCAACAACAGCCGTATGGTGGAAGACCTACAGCCCGCCCATCTGGCTCCTGAACGGGAAGAACGAGGTGCTCACATCTCACGATATGATGGGCATGCCGGGCCCATCCATGCTCTCGGAGCTAAGCGCCCTCGCAACATGTCACCTGCCCCCCGCAAACCAAACACTATATTCCAAAGAGAAAGAAGGAACCTACCTAATCGCGCCGCTCTCCGCGACCTTCTTGGATAGCTACCTTGGCAAGGATGGCTATGGCGGATTGCAGTTTCACGAGGCTTGGAGGTATACTCAGCACTTGAATCTAGATGATTTGGATTTCGGCGATGATGGCGTTTGGAATACCCTGAAGAGGGTTATTGGGCGGAGGGGTTTGGCCGCTTGGAGAGTGACGAGGAGTTGTGGACAGGCGCAGTCACTGCCGATTGCTGATAGCTGATAGGCAGTGATAACTGATAGTTAATTAATGAATGTCCACTCAGTCCGTCCATCGTTTGTGTAAGGCAAGGTGACGCCTACCTACTGTTCAAATACTGAACTTTTATATTTATGAATTACCTTGGGTATACCTACATACATACAGTACTTTTGGATTATACACACACCTTACCCCATGCCTAACTCTTTTTTCCCATATGAACTCCCAGATATATCCCCCCCAAAAAGGAACCCAGCACACACAAAATATAAAACATCTGAGAGGAGAAGAAGAAGAGGCGAGTTGAGTGAGTGAGTGAGGTTTTCCACATGCCCGCCATCTCCCTTGCATTAATTAAACCTTTTCCTGCTGTTCTTTCGGTTCTCTATCCCCCGGCCCCCCATCATCAGGAACCGTCAAGACGGGATCCGCACCTGCAGCCGCAGCAGCAGCCTCCTCCAGCGCCAACCGCTCATCTACGGTTAGCTCGCTCTCGGCTTTCTTGATCTTCACGAAGAGAGCGAGGATGATGAGGGCGGCAGCTGCGCAGGCGACCTCGAACCAGAAGACGGCGTGGTAGCTCTTGCGGGGGCCGAGACGGGCGACGGTATACGTGTTGACGATATCGGCGAAGCCGAGCATGACGGCGATGCCGAGACCGAGCAGGATCATGATGAGGGCGCCGGCGAGGCCCTGCTGGTTGCGGGGCAGCGACGTCGTGATGAAGATGTTGGTGATGCTGAACGTGATGTCGATGCCGACGGTGGCGCAGATCATCGATGGGAAGATGTAGGCCCAGTAGTTGGCGCCGCTCGGCGCGATGGCGAACAGGAGCGGCGCGATGATCCACGACGTGCCGGCGATGATGATTAGGAGCGTGCCTGGGAGGAGGTGCAGGATGAAGCCGCCGAATGTGGCGATGGTGAAGCCGCCGAGCGCCATGGGCACGTACCAGGCGACGACTTGGAGGGGGGAGGCCCCCATGATGTTCTCCATGTAGAAGGTGCCGTAGAGGAGGAAGATGCCGAGGGAGCCGTAGGTGAGGAAGAGCGCGATGATGAGAGCGGGCAGGCAGGGCACGCGGAAGAGGGAGGCGGGGATGAGGGGTTGGGTTGCGACCCAGCCTTCGACGTAGACGGCGACGAGGAGGAGGAGGGAGCCGACGATGAAGAGGACGTAGATGTAGGGAGTCTTCCACTGGTGAGGCGCGTGCGAGGAGTCGATGATGGCAAATGTGAAGAGGATGAGACCGCTGACGATGAGGATGGCGCCGAGCCAATCCATCTTGTCCTTCACGGCCACTCTGCGTTTCTCTTCCATGTCCGATGGGATGGAGAGATATGCTGTTACTGCCGTGATGGCTGAGAGAATAGTCCCAACCCAGAAGAACCAGCGCCAGGCGTCATATTGAGCAGTCAGGCCAGCAAAGAAGATCCCGACGAAGAAGCCTATGCATGCCATGGCCCCATAGATACTGAAGACCATGTTCTTCCGTGGCCCGGGACGATAGATGCTGCCGAGGATCATTACACCACACGGAAGGAAAGCAGCTGGGCCCAGTCCTTGAAGAGCACGACAGAAATTAAGCATGATCTCGTTCTGGGAGAAGCCCCCAACCAAGCTCCAGATCGTAAGCCATACCAATCCAGCAACGTAAACGGGAAACCCGCCATAGATATCGGCCAATCGACCGAAGATCAAAAGGAATGATGCCATGGTCAAAGAGAAGGCACTGGCAGGCCATGTTGATGATGCAGCTGGGATATGAAGCTTTGTAGCGAGGGACGGTAGGATCACTGTGAATCCTGAGACGAAGTATTCCTACTTGGAAATAAGCAATTGCCCACGGTCTATCGAAGGTTGACTTACAGAAAGGACCTGGGACATTGCTATAGAAAAAATAAAGCCTACTTCGGACCATATTGAACCGAAGACCTCAGGTCGTTGCCTCCCGAGTCTCTCCAATCGAGCTTGGTCCGATTCCTCTATCGCTTCGAGTTCTTGATCTTGGTTGTCCTCCGTCTTGTGTGATTCAGAGGTTGGTGGCCGGTTGACCCCCGGAAGAGTTGTGGCGAACCCAGTTTCATGAAAATGATCCAAGTTTATCTCGTTGGAATTAGGTGAGTCTCCGTTTCGAGAACGATTATCCAGGCCATCTGATGCATGGCGGTTTTGATTTCCTTTTGGAGAGCCAGCGGCTAAAGCTTCAGGAACAACACTCGTCATAATGATGGTCGGAAGTAGAATCCCAAAGCCGCCAAAGAGCGTATATATACAGAGGATTCAAAGAAACGGTGAACAATCACCCACACAATATCAATAGGGGAGGTGCACAGGAGATCAGCTCTTGCTTTGCCATTCCAAGAGGCCGCCTGCTCGTCTATAGAGGACGAATTGAGTGGCAAAAACGTGTAGACAAGGGATTTATATCTGATCGTCAGGGCACAGGTAAAAAAGCACGAGGGTATCAGAAGTTCAGAAGTTCAAAAGACTTGTCAATATTTCTCTTTCTTTTTCGCGACCAAATAAACTTCTGCTGTGGGCCGGGCACTTTGTGACGAAACCCCCCGGCGGCAAAGCCAAATCATGCCGAACAAAGCTCAAAGGTGGGAGCTGCGGGAGCCGATTACTGACTGAAATGCGTAATGGCAACATTACGAAATTGAAACAGGTCTGTACGTGCTTTGCCACGACAATGAGTCGCTCCTTGGCTGTGTGGCTAGGTAACTGGTGAATAATAAGCTTGCAAAGACGACAATAAAACGAAGAGAGAGTCCGGTTTGTTGTCGAGACTTGAGAAGAATGGGGGAATGGTCCCATCTTGTTTGGTAATACCCGAGAGATGGCTTTGAGTAGTGGCGGTGGAAAAGAGATAGACAAAGATGGTCATGGAGTCCTGGGTCTGCTATGCAAGTAGCCATAGCCACATTATATTGATAGACGCTGGAGGGACTGCTGTCGTTATCTTGGTGCAGGCTCTGAGCGCTCTTTTCTCCAGACTCTATGGGATTAACTTTCGTTCTGGCTGCCTGACCAAACAGCCGTGGATGTCTTATATACCAGGCATGAACAAGATCTTTTCTCTGCCTCAAGTGCAGGCCTTAGATCCCAGGCTGCACACTATCTCTGCACGGTTCCTTCTTCCTGCCTGGCCAAAGAGCCTCTGCGCCTCTGCACACCTGAAATCCAAGGCCCGCACCCACTCAAACAACTCAAACTTTTAACCGAGCTCACTAGCGCGCCCCCCCGAAAACGACTACATAAGACGTCGCTCCCCTCTTGGAAACTCTTTTCTTTTCTCTTCATCATCAGTAGAGGTTATAATTAATACTTATAACATTTACATGGGGGCTCCTCTACGGAGGCTTGCTGAGGGTTATTCGTGTCTCGCGCACTAAATGGGTTTTCCTCCGTTCCCGGCCCCCTTGATTGACTTCCAGGGGAACACTCTTTCCTATCAGCCAATATCGCCGCTTCCTCGTGGATGTTGACTGTGGGGTGGTCGCCACATTTCATCTTGTGCCGTATTACTTACTGTAGGTTGAAGAAGGGAAGGATGGAAGAGGATGGAGGAAGGAGGAGATAGGAGACTGCTTCAACTGCTTCAGTTCTCGCCGCATATCCCCGCGGTTGCGCCCAACACACAGAGAGAAAATTTGTCGCGCCTCATGCCCATGTGAACGGCCTTAGCAGCCAACCGACTCTGTGTATGATGCGATCCGAAGACATGCCATATGCCTGAATGCTTGCTAGATCCGTTTACCTATAATGGATCCCTAACGGAGCTGCAAATCCCATGTGCAATGTGCAGGGTTTTCTTGGCTTGGTGATCTACTAGGTCCGGCAGATAAGGTAGGACCGCATTAAAGAAGCTTCAAGCTGCGATACTGTAGTAATATCAAGAATCACAACTAATTTCTGCAATATCACTGGTGGTCTGCAACATACACACTGAATCTCATGCACTTGGTATCCTTGATCATTGCAGTAGATAATTTTGTCTAGCTACAACGACACTCTCACTCCATGCCGGTATCTCAATAAAGAGCACCCAACACCGTTCCACCATCTAGTAGAGACGCTTTGGAGGAGACATAGAAGCCTTGATAACCAAGCTGCCCACGTTTTGCCATCCCTTCTTCAACAGAGAGACGAGGTAGTTGATGGCCAACATGATGTTGGAGATCAACTGGTCCTCGGTCATGCCAACGTTGCCAACAGCGACACCCATGCAGAGAACCTTCTTCAATTGGAACTTGATGGTGGACTTGACCTCGTTGATCTTGCCGCTCAAGTCTTCGCTGTGGGAGACAGGGGTAGGGAATTTACCAGCTATAGCACACATATATTAGTCTTCATGCCGAAACGTGAAAGGAGGAGACACAAACCCTTGGAAAGACCAGGACCCAAGAGACGGGGGATCTGCTTGATCAAGGTGTCGGAAGCGACGAAAGCATCGTACTTGCGGGCGAGCTTCTTGATCAGCTTCTTGTTCTTGTTGAGCTTCTTCAAGTCATCGGCAGACATGGCGTCAACACCACCGTGCTTGGCACGGTCAATATCGTGCTGGTCACCGAGAATGCTATCACATTATCAGCATGCTTCCCCTTCTCTCCTATATTGTGGTCGTACCAGATGCTCATGTTGGGACGGGGGACGACCGGCAGACGGACGGTTCCGGAGAAACGCTTGTCACGTTGAGGGTCATAGTTCTTGAGACCAATTTGGAGCTCGACGGTCTCGAGGAAGTTTCTCTTCTTCGTCTCGAGAGAGTACTCGAGGAGTTGTTGGACGTTGGTACGCACTCCGGCTGTGGCGAAACTTGTCAGATTCTGCTCGAATGGAATTGTTGCGCAATGAGGAGGAAGGACAGTATCATACCGACTGTGATTTTAGACATGATGACAGTCTTCCAGTAGAATCGCTGAGGTTCTAATGGTGAGGATTTGCGTGATGTCTTTAGAGAATCAAAAAACGTTTGCGAATTTTCGAAATCGTTTGTGGGCGGGGAAAGTTAGCGAGATCACGTGCCAGAATTGTGTGCCGCAGTTCTCGCGAGGCATTCACGTTCTTCATACTTCAATCAATACGACCCTGAAATTTTCAGTGTACCCATCAGATTTGCATTATACCACTGGAGTGTATATTACGTTATAACTGGATGGTCTCCTACAATTACAGGTTATCGATTGCCTGATGTTGAAGACTTGATTTGGTTAACTCGAGATAGTATCTCGGCATCAGTATATTTGAGGAAAGAATTATTTCTATTGCTCATTCTCTGATTATTGATCGCTTTCTTATTGTCAATCATTAGGTCTTCAATCTGCTCATAGAGGGGGAGAGAGAACGGGGTTGATTCTGATTTTCATTACTTTTCCCAAAGTACTGGGTACAAGCGGTCCCGTTATCCCCCCATCTGTTTCTTGTATCCACCATCCTCTCTCCCCTCCCCCCTTCCCAAAGACCAATCGATCCATCCTCATCTGGGCACTGCCGTCAATTACTACCTAGCTGTGCTTACAAACATCTAGCTGTAGTAGTAATGGTCGTGACAGCGGTAGCACATCCAGTTTGACAAGTAGGGCAAACTCCAGTACCAGTGACCGTGGCCGTTGGCGTGACAGGACACGAGGGGTCTTCACATGGTACTGTCACTGTATGCTCTTCGGAGATAATACAATCTGGAGCAGCCGGGCAAGACACGGGCATCACTGGACAGGTGACTGTGGTTTTTTAGCCTTGCCAGCAGCAGAATGGGAGGAATGCTTACTCATCCCGGTGTATGGTGCTTCAACGGTATATGAGAAGCATGATGCCGGGGTGGCCAATGGATTTGATGCTGGGGTGACCAATGGGTTTGACTCTGGCAACGGGTTCGATGGGTTCGATGGGTTCGACGGGTTCGACGGGTTCGACGGGTCGGATGGGTTAGATGGGTTGGACGGGTTCGACGCTGGCAATGGGTTTGACTTTGGGACCAATGGGTTGGACGGGTTGGACGGGTTGGATGGGTTGGACGGGTTCGACGCTGGCAATGGGTTTGACTTTGGGACCAATGGGTTGGACGGGTTGGACGGGTTGGACGGGTTGGAAGGGTTGGAAGGGTTCGACGGGTCGGATGGGTTCGATGGGTTAGAGGGGTTAGAGGGGTTGGATGGGTTAGAGGGGTTCGATGGGTTCGACGGGTTGGACGGGTTTGAAGCCGGCAATGGGTTCGATGGGTTAGAAGCCGGCAATGGGTTCGACCTTGGGACCAATGGGTTTGACGGGTTAGATTCCGGCAATGGGTTCGACGCTGGCAATGGGTTTGACCTTGGGACCAATGGGTTTGACGGGTTTGAATCCGGCAATGGGTTTGATGGGTTTGAAGCCGGCAATGGGTTTGATGCTAGGGCCAATGGGCTTGACAAGACGAGCGCAAACTGGCTGACAAGATATTTAGTTCAGACGCCTTCAGAAACAGGGAGCCGAAATACCTCGAGATTGCCAAAGCAATTACCACAGACTCTCGGAACATATTGGCAGGTGAGTTTGTAGGTTTGACGAGTGTATAGTATTTTGATCAAGCAATTTTTAGTGCAGCAGCTCATCCAAGGCAGTGTCATGGACGTCTTTATATGCGCAATCTCGGAGGCCCTTTCCTTCCTCCTTAGCTTGAGTCACCCGATTCGATATCCAACTTCCGTCCTTGAGTTTTCAATTCAGTCGTATTCCTCAGCCCTTGCTTCGAAATAATATTGATAGTAGCACAGTTACAACATTTCCTCCTCCTATGGTCAGGCGGGAACAGACTCCCGCAACCTTGCATATTGCGGTGTAAAGCTGCAAATCCTATCCTCATTTTGCTCCAACCTCTCCAGTCACAACTCCTCCGTCTATGTAAGGGGATCATGTTTACCTCGTGTCAATCATTTTTTATCTCGCCCCTCTCACTGGAGGTATGTGCATACATTCCAAAAGCGCGGGGTTGTTCCAGAGACTGCTGGAATAATGCTGATCTGATAGCGGCCTGTAAGGGCTTTCTGTTATTGAAGCTTGGAGTAGCACAACGCAACTTGTATTCTCGAAGCCTTCATAGCTTTGGACTGGTTTCCAGGTTGTGGGCTAAGGGTACGCATTCATTTACATACGGCTTTGAAGCCGGGAGAAGACGAAAAGGATCATCCAAAGTCGACCGAAAGAGTCATATCACGTCTATCAATTACTCAGTATGGACTGCGCGAAAAGCCGATCAATCAATTGATGAGAACCTCAGAATCAGACCCTAGAATCCGATCTCCGAAAGGCTTTTTTCCTCCATGATCCTTTCACATATTTCTGTGATGATCGAAACGGCTAGTTGGGCCATCTCTAGATGTATGAAGCTGGTCAATGGCTTCCAGTAATCCAATGAAGTATAAGCTGGCATTAGCCCGTTGAATCCGGGAGAGATGCTGGAGTTCCCAGTAATCTAATTACATTTGATAATTGATGCAATCTCAAGCTCTAAAATTCAAAAGACGCGCAGAGTTTACTTCCATGTCATTTGAGAGAGAAAATGGCGAGTTGTCGTTTCGATCAATCTGTATTGTTAATCATTCTCTCAGCAACTGTTGCTCAACTCGGCTTACACACATCTCTGGGTCTGTAGACTTGGCTTCAAGCTTTGGAGATGCGGTATTGTCCTAGAGGACTATGAAGGCAATTCATTTTGTAATCCCAATCCTCTGCTAACAGAATGCTTCTTTGATCCTTCGTCCCTCTGAATTTCTTAATTATGTTCTTCGACAGTCAAGCTCCACAACTTAATTGAACTGTTAGCAAGAATATGTGGTTGTTTACTTTCATTATTCATGAGGCATGATCCTCTGATGTAGAAAGTGAAAAGTGAATTTGTCAATCAATTTGCGTGAAAGTGATTCACTAAAAAAAGTTCCAGTTGTTGTTGTGTCTGCTGTCGTTTCTTCAACCATCTCCCTAAGATTTTACTCACGCCAGTGTTTTGTTTTCTCAGATAACAATAACTCGACAATTCCATCTCCACGCTACGCGCTCTTTCTCAACTAAACGCCACGAATATTCTCGGGCTTTGTTTACCTTACAACTTCGTACGATCTTTTCGTAGCTTTTGTTCAATCGTCAACACTGAACCCCCTAAACAAAAGCCAAACTCGTCAAGAATGTCTCCACGCGGTCGCGACAAGGTAGCGCTCTCCTTCACGAACTGGATCCTTGGTGGATCTTTGCTCTGTGACGCGTCGCGCAAAAGCTCTATACGTCACAGCTCTGGGCATCATGTCATCATCTCTGAGGTCGATAGGGTACGTCTTTTGCTATTTCCTTATCCGGATCCTTTCCTCCCCGCCCCTTTCAACTTAGTTTGGTATGTAAGACTTTAGCTAATAATACTAGAAGGGAAATGAGATTGAAGTGATCACACCTTCAAAGGGAAAAGACAAAAGCAAAGACAACAAATCCTCTGATGAGCCGAAGGAGGATCCTGTTTCCACGAAAGAGAATCTCGAGAAGGACTCTGATTCCTCGGAGAAACCAGTGAAATATTGTACTTGCAATGAACGTAGCGGCAAAGAAGATGACACGCCCGGCAATGATGACAAGAAGGAAGATCCCAAGTCCAACGAGCAGGAGCCAGTCATGAGCGGGGGTCTGGGAGGTGGCTGGACAGCGGAGCAGGATCAGAAAATCAAGGAAATGAAGAGCGAGAATAAGAGCTGGAAGGAGATCGCCGCAGTTGTTGGTGGCAGCAAGAAAGCGCTCCAGAACCGATTCAAGGAGCTACAGAAGGAGCAGCAGGAGGGTGAGAAGACTGATGCCGGCGGTATTGGCGCGACAGCTGGGGGAGAGGGGCAGGGAGGAAATGATGTCGATGCCGGTGGTCTGGACTTCAGCACCTTGTTCCTGGATGACGATTTTGGTGACATTGGCGAGAGTAACAACAAAGCTCCAGGTTCAGGTGACACCGAGCAAGGGAAGGAAAAGAAGCATGATGCAGGCGGCCAGAGCAAGGAGAACCAGCAGAACAACAATAACGACCAAAGCAACTATATCTATGAAGGATATCAAGATCAGCAGTATCCAGGCCGACTCAGAATCAACGAAGTCTGGTCCCGAGACGACTGCGAGATCCTCGAGTATCTGGAGGGGCGATACCGAGAGCACAAATGGTTGCACATGCAAGCCAATTTCTTCAACTTAACGGGCCGCATGGTCCCTGCAGAGATCATTCAGCAGAAGTTCAAGGACGATGAGTATCCTTGTACCGACTACTAAGCTTTTATTTCTTTTTCTATGCGTACTGGGAAGGAAGGGGGGAGGCTATGGCGTTTGATATTGAGGCGTTTGATATTGAGCCTTATGCTCCTTTGCATAGATGGGAGAGCAGGAGAGGCAAAGGTTAGAGGCTAGAGAGGGGTCTGTCTCTTTTGATACCTGCTTCTGCTGTATCCTTGCTGCACATGTATAAGATAAAGATCGGGAAGCTCATCCAAAACTGAGAACTGTCTAAGTAACCATGTAATTGAATATTGTAAGATAATGTCCCTTGTGACACCAAACCGTACTCTGAAATCTACATCCCCAATTCGGACGCCTAAGCCGCAAAGCAGCACAACAACTACTAATATCAGCCCCATTGTCACAAGTTCAACCACTATGTGAGATGGATCCAAGCTTCTTTCTTGGTATAAACTTGACAGTCATGATAGACTGGCGCCGTCTTGTATCTGTATAAGGTTACGGAGAAGTTTGAAATCCTGGTTGTTTCCCAAGGGATAATCAATCGAGCAAGACACCACAGATCTGAATTCTGGATTCACGTCGACGATTTGCAGAGGTCTTGAAAATCACTAGTCGTAGTATGGGTCAATACAACCGTCCGCGTACTCTCTAGTACACACTCATTTCCATCATGGCGAGCAATCCAACCTAGATAGAGGAAGATGAAGCCGTCGCCGACGTACCATTCTATTCTCTAACCACTTCGAATACAGCTAACAAGCATCAGATAATTCGATGTATGGGTCGAATCATGGAGGAGATTAGATGAAAGCATCTCCTTTCACGGTCTCAAAAAGTCACAAGGAGAATAGCACCATGACAGCGAAAATATGACGATTTCAATGCATTGAATAGCTCAGTTGGCCGACATCCCATGGGTATCATACCCCCTATGTATTTTTACAGAATTCGAACGCCAGCAAATGCTAATGCTAGCCCATACAACAAGAGCCCTCAGATCGCGTTGTCCATACCAGCTCGAGACGACGCACCGGGAGTGCTACCCGCACCCGGAGTGCCCGATCCTAGACCCCGCTTCATCATCCGTCCCAAGATACCAACCAGCTCCGCCGCGTCCTCAAACATATCATCGTCCATGCCCTCCTGCGCATTGTAGACCTCGGCAATCGTGGCCTTGGCCAGTTGACGTGAACGCTCCTTCTCGTGCAGACAGTCATAGAGGAAGGCGGTGAACTCGACTCGGACGGAGAGACGGAGTGGGTGACTGCCCCAGCAGTGCTTATCGGCGAGGGAGGAGGCTTCCTGGAAGTATTGAAGTGTGAGGGGGCGGTAGTCTTGGGCTGGAACGAGGAAGTCGGCTGCGTATTCAGTCGGTGGTGGAGTGATTGTGCGTCCGCCAACTGGACCTCCTTCGAGCGGGTGTGTAGGTTGGACAGAGGTTGGTCGGGAGGGATCAGGAGAACCGCGGTCGACACCTTTGCCCTTTGGGTCTTTGGTTGCACGAGGCGACGTGAGGCCGGGTGGGGTGTGGACTTGCGTGGTGGCTTTGAGAGCGACTGGGGGTTTGTTGTGGAAGAGGACGTAAAGATGATAATAGCTGGCACGTAGCTTGTAGCAGAGAACCTTGAGTTCCGTAAACTTGCCCACCATTGGAAGAACCCACTGCTCCAAGAGGACAAGACCCTCTCGGGCGTACCAGATGATCCGGCAATAAAGATCGACCGACTTCGTATCCCGCGTCGCGTCAAGTCGACGCATCTTCCGCGCCTTGATGACATATGGAGACAGCATGACCAAATTACCCTCGATCTGAAACAGAGTTTGTGCAAGAAGCGGATGCTCGTCCTTGATGTTATTGGCGAATCTTGTCAGAAACTTGAGATCAACCTCGGAGGAAGCCATCGCGAGGAAAGCGAGGGCTTGATCGTAAGAGTGACGATTGTGACTGGGCGCGTGTCCGTTTGGAACGAGCTCAGCAAATTGACACGCAATGTAACCTGCCGGCGTCTCAGGTGCTAAACTGATCTCGTATCGTTTTGGGACTGCCGTATGCTTGCTGGAGACTCGATCCGCGTACCTGGGCATGTTAGGGTCTGGAACATTGACGGCAGTGCCTCGATTTGGGAGGATGATATCAGAGCTGGACGCGGTAGCAGTCAAACCACCAGGAACTTTCCAACCGGTGGATGAGGAACATTTTGATGATGACCGAGGTAGGGGACTTCCCCTTAAGATGCAGCGTGATCCCAATTCCCCCAAGGCCCCGGCAGAAAGCAAGGGTTGTCTGCTTGGAACGTGGTGAGATCTAAGATCAGAGAAACGTGCAACGGAACGCAAAGAACCGGACGTCGAGGTACTCGAACTAGCCGACGATTCAAGGCCCTTTGTCTCCCTCTTATAAGAAGAGCAATTGTAGCGGCCCTCATCAATGGACATTGTGGTTTCAAGGATGTGGCGTGAATGTGGGGAGTGGAGTTGAGAGTTTGAGACAGAAAGAAAACTTGAACTTACAGTTGTAAACAAGTCTAATATCCCCAGTAGTGTCTCGGCGCTCTACCAACGACTCAAAATGATGTCGTTGGTGATTGGAATTCGTGGGGCTTTGACGTGTGACGAGAGGATGCTGCGATCAAGATCGAAGAGGGAACGAGACTTTTTATATCCTCAATTGTTTTTGTACCGTCCTCCCCCACTACCAAAAGTCCCACAAGCGAGTATTTCCCGCACCAGAAGGCAATGCCCAGCAAAAGTGAGATTCTTTAAGTTATCCAGGAAATTGCTGATATTGGAGTTCAAGGCGTCGGTAAGAAGCTAATTATGCCTTGTTCGCAGTATGCTGGAAGAAAAAAAGAAGTCGACTTCAACACAACAGTATACTGCAAAACGTCAGATCTAGGTACCTATACCAACACAAACACACTCAAAACAACGCTGACAGACTTCTGCCATCCAATTGAGCTTCACTGACCACTATATTACAGATTCCTTAAGCGCGAACTGGCAGTGACCTGTGAGCCAATAAAGGAGGCGGCGATTAGAGGTCACGGCCGCTCGAATCTCAGCAGGATAGACGCCGCGAACCCTTTAATCCTTCGAACGATATACTGGAACGCGCACAAAGCATTTTTGATTCTCCCTAGAGGCGCAATTGCACCCAAGACAGGACAGATTGCACAGGGCGGTGACCAGACGGTGAGGTCCCAGGAACTTGGTCTCGAGGTCGGTGATGCTGCCAGGAAGCTTGGGAACCCACTGGCCGACACTCAATTGGACCGGCAAACGCACAGATAGTCCAATTGAGCCAGAAGGGCACGGATTAGAGGAGGCGGCGAGACGGGGGCTGATGGGTTTGCTGGCCCACAATGAACGAGCGTATTGACGGCGACGCGTCGACTCAATTGACAATACAAGCAAAACGAACAACAATGAAAGAAATCGCAAGACCGGGATAAAGAGGAGGAAGTTCTAAATAATTCCCTGGAACCTTCCGACCACTTGATTCCCCCTACTCCGTATGCAGCGACCTGATGTGCATAGTCTGGCGTTGCTTCTGCACGATACGTGGCAGCGCAACGCAGCGCGACGGCGATGTTCTGCCTGGGTGCCTCAAGGATGGGTCCTTGGTGGTGGGTATTACTGGTCTATTCCACATTTTGAGAGCTTCCGCGTATCCTTTACAGGGCCGCTTTGGAGCCATTCCCTCCACGAGGCCCCATCGGCAAACCTCGCATTGCATATTGACACTATGTTTGCCATCAATGACGCTGCCGATTCTGATATAGCAGATATCCCATTTGGGAGGAAATTCGCCGAGTGGTGCAGAGTTCATGCAAGCGTGTACGGTGCGGTAGGGCTATATGCCAACTTCCCGCTTTCACTGGACGACAAACGAACACCAGCCACGCCTTTTCCACAACTCCCAAAATGCGGACGTCCAATCACGACGCCAAAGGGGCACTATGGAAATGGTGCTGGGGCGTGCCATGGAGGTTGCGTTTATATGCCAGACGTCTTCCCATTGATACTGGTCCAACCGCCTCTATTAAAAGGCTGAGCTGGCGATGCCAGCACATCAGTGACCTCGGATCTTTGCACTTGGCCTTCATATATGCGGCCTCCCCTCCCATCCCATCCGCCTGTTCAACTCCACGGATGAAAGTGGCAGCGATCCCTCTGAGCAGTCGGCAACCAGACTCGCAAATTGGCGGTGAGAGAATAACCGGAATCGCGTCCGTCACGAGTACGCGAAAATCGCGTGCAAGGATCAGGAAATAATCAGGAGGCTGGGCCGGGACGAAGCCGCGGCCGCATGGCGGAAGTCGGGGGCGAGTGCTCCTTTTAGAACATGTGTGTAGTTGAAGAAATACATCATCGAAATGATCTCTGCGGTTGGAAACAACTCAAAATGAGCTCAAGACGTATTTCGACGATGAGGTGTCCGGAACGATGTCGATGACCTCCTCTCTCCCTCTTGTCCGCCTCCCAGGTTGGAAATGACAGCCTATCCCCATCTAGCATTCAAAAAAGCCTCAAATCGAGACAATAAAGGCGAGTCAATCAGGCAAGTTGCCGCTCGTCTTTGAATTCCTATTGTTTGTTCTCTGCAGCCCTAGAAAGACGAGACAGCGGGAAGGTAGCCGTCAGTCCTTTGTTCCGAGGGGCCAAATGAGCCTTAGGGGAAGCAAGTGACTGCTTCCCCGTGTCACACGAGCCTAATCCCACGTTCACCTCTCCCTCTATTTCCCGTAAAACCTTTGGAACAAGCCAATAAATTTCCTCTCTTCGTCACACAGTCGCCTCGTTAGAGCCCGGTTTTTTGACCCGGCGGCCAGTTGCCGATAGCAAACAGGTAGTACAAAATGTTGGCAAAGCAAATCGAGATTCCCAGGATGTTTTTGAGGCTGGAAGGGTGATGGGGCGAGTCCATCAAGCTGGTCTTGAAACGTCGTGGGGGAAATGCAGAAGATGCGTCCTCGCACGATAAGCCGCATCGGAATCTGGTCCGGGGTGAGGAATAGATCGATAGATAGAGAATGAGGCGTCTTGAGATGAGGCGATTGAGTTTGAGTATAAGACCTGGTTTGTGACGCCTAGATGGACCTCCTATAACCATCGATCTGGATCAAGCTTGCGACGAGGACTCCAGAATCCAGCACGTCGCTCTCTGTTCCGGTTGTGGACCGTGGTCATCTCAGCACTTGCCACATATCCTTCCTGTCCTTCAATCAGAACTGCCCACGTTTTGATTGACTTCTTTATCAGGCTTCATCTTTCTAGCCACCCAACTCCCGCCCTGACAAGCATCACAAGCACACTTTTCAGCTCCGGCTCTGACTACCAGCAACTCCTAGAGTGGTGGTCCCGTCTCCTCTATCGATCAACGCTCTCCGCACTATTCATTCTCAGCAGACTTAATTGCTGTCCAAGCCCCGCACTTGCAAGGTCCGAATTCCACACTCTCTTCCCGTCAATACAGTATCAATACACGTTTCAAGATGTGCCATTGGTACGCACACGTTTATACCTGCAAGCACACGACATACGCGCTAGGAAAATATTGCACGCCTGGGAACCTGGTGCAAACACCATGCAAGAAAAAGAGCATCTGGCAGACGATCCGGATGGGTGAGGAATGCGAGAATTGTGCTGTGCCTGAGAAACGGGGAGAGAGCTTTGCGAATGCGGGGATAGGAGAGGCGAAGATTGATAGGAAAGGAAAAGGCTGCCGGAAGCGGTAGGTAGGTAGACTTTGGTGTTGTGGTGCGATAAGCGAAAGCATAAAGGGGGGAGGATTTCGAGGAAGGAGAACAGAGATGGACACAGGAAAGAGGATGCGTATCGGGATAGGCCTCAGGCCTTTCCGGCGATTTATTTTTTTATTCTTTTTCTTTAAGAACTCGGGGCATTTGGTGTTAAGTACATGAATTTCCGGGGGAGTCACTGGCTTTAATTCTCTTTTCTGTGAAACAAACAATAAACCATTGAGAGTCACTGGCATTTTCTCTTTATTCCAACCCGTGAATCCAACAGTTTGGACCGACCAATCACAGCGAGTCATTCGAGTAATTCAGAGTCCAATAGTTGCGCGGTGAGCCATGACTATTGCCACCAGCCCTTACCGAGGACAAGCGCGGACTAGATCAGATGAATGTCTCTCCATCGCGCAATTTGTGATAGGCCAAGTAATGCAATGTAATGTAGAAGAGCCTCTATATATCATCTAATCAATCATCTTACAGATCCACGGTTCCAAACATCTTTAACTGCGAAGCCGAGAGTTTTGGGTAGTCCTCATAGTCGAAATGCTCTTCTCGATTTCCTTTCACTCCTAACTCAAGCTTCCGAACGAGAAAGGGTGAGCATCTACGCTTTTCAGAATGTTATTTTATTATTGCTTGTAGTTAAGCACGTAGATCCAAGGGAGGAGAGTTGTTTTTCAGAGATAGCTTCAGTGTGATAAGTTCTGCCTTAATACCATCGCCAACTTCCTCGTCCCATCGACTGCTGATTCACACTCCTAGTTCGAGAGTCATTAGGTAGCTGCCAGGTTAGATTATAAAAAATGCAAGTGTAGGACATACGTGTCTTACGCACACTCGGTGTCTTAAAGACAGGTCTCAGACAAGTTCCATTGTTTTAGGGCTCTGCCGGGATGTCCTTGCGGTACCTAAGGCTAGGTTCTAGTTCGGGGTTTTTAGAAAAGCTTAATGGAACCTCAGATTTGAAGGGATTATATAATACTAGTGCATATCAGTCTGTCTAGATACTGTACTTAGAGTGAAGAATGTAAGGAGACTTTCGAAGATAGATTGCGGGAGAAGTTGATCGATGCCTTGAAGATGGTGTGCTTGGGATCCAGTCTCCTCATTTCGTTGACGGTATTTGTTTCTATACTGCTGCACTCCCGTCTGGAAAGTTCCTCTATGACTTATATTTACGACATTAAACAGCCATCCCAACTTGATGTTCTTCACTCCTGTACCTCCTATACTCAACTTTTTCAAATATACGAAGTGCTTTTGCTGTAGTCTTAGAGAATAGACTAATAATCGTGTAGTTCACCAGATCTGTGTTGATTGCGAGGACAGAGAATATACAGGAGAATGTAGATCATGAAGGGACACGAGAGAGAGGCCACTACTCTTGAAGATGTGCTGGGATAGGAAAATCTGTCAGATATATTTACTAGATCTGTACAGATAAACTTCTGATGTTCAGGGTAAGTGACAGCGGTTATGATTATTCTATTTCCTTTGGTTATATATTCTCGGTTCGGGGATATCTGCTTCATCTCTTCATTTATTGGAATAGTTAGGCCTAGCTTATCGTCAATTTCCGGGATAGGCATCTCTAGATCCACGATATAAGTTTTGCATCTACCAAATGGTGTTGTGGTAAAAAGGGTTCTGAGAGCTACTCTAGGATTTATAAACACTCGTAATTCCTCCCGTTACAATATTGAAATACATCTTTGATGGTCTAACGGTCATGATTTCCGCTTGTCACCTGATGGCAAAGCGCGGGAGATCGGGGTTCGACTCCCCGTCAGAGAGTCATCTCTTGAGTTCACGACCCCAAGTACTAGCTTGGAAACTCATCTTTTTTGCTTTTTTCTTTTCTTTTTCTGTTTTTTTGGCCCTCATATCCTCTCTTCTATTTTTTATCATACAACCCTTCAGTTTAAAACTTTTCAGAATTTTCGCAAAAACCAATTTTTCAACAAAGCAATTTCTAGAAATTCCAGACACTTTTCCAACCCCGCAGTGAATGTATTGTCGTGTTCTTGTGATCTTGTGATTCTGGCGTGATCGAGGGGTCTGGTGTCGAGCTCCGGCCACATGCGGACCTCAGCTAATCAAGAAGTTGTGGAATCGTCAGGCGAGAAGGAGATGGCGACATCAAGGAATTGATGAAATATATCAGAACTGCTTGTCCTCTTGGTTGACAGGAAGATGAAGCAATCCCATGTATTGTATTGACACTTGACTGAAGTACATCTATCACAGGACCAGATTTATCTGATAACCTTCCCTACCTGATTTAAGTAGTAAATATCGCGAACATGGCTCCATCCGTTGCCCAAGAGCCAATTCCCCAGCCTGAGATCCAGGTCAAACAGGCGTTTGACGAAAAAACCCACCAGGGGGTGAGCCATACACAGTCTCAAGCCCAGAACCTGCTAAACTTTACTTACCAGTACAAATATGCTCAATACCTCCCGGTTTATGACAACACCACAGTTTTTCCACCCACTGAGCCCTTCGAGGTTGTTGACAAAGGTACTCTAGCCGACAAAGCCAAGCCTCACCTCTTTGCAACCAATGATCCAAATGTCTCTATCACCAAACTCACTCCCCGAATCGGAACCGAGATTAAAGGCCTGCAGTTAAGCAAGCTTAGTGATACTCAGAAGAACGAGTTAGCTTTGTTGATTGCGGAGCGAGGAGTTGTTATTTTCCGCGGCCAGGATTTCAAGGACATTGGACCTCAGAAACAGAAGGAGTTCGGCGAGTATTTCGGAAAATTGCACGTCCACGTATGTCCATCAATTCCAATTTCTTGAATTCTAGGCTTACATCACTTGAATGATAGCCAACAGGGGCTCATGTTCAGGATCACATTGAATTCCACAACATCTATCTTGGACCCGATAACTTATATCGTGCTCAGAGCAGATCTAAACGTCTGACGACGACTGGATATCATTCTGACGTCTCATACGAGCATCAGCCGCCAGCCATTACCATATTAACCCTACTCCAGGTCCCTTCAACTGGAGGGGATACAGCATGGGTGTCCCAGGTTGCTGCTTTTGAGCGTCTTTCTCCACCCATCCAGAAGTTGCTCGAGGGCTTGAGAGCAGAGCACTCAGCATATCCGCAGGCAGAAGGAGCGACGAGAGATGGGAAACATGTGCGAAGAGCGCCCGTGATTTCGAAGCATCCGATTGTGCGGATCCATCCAACGACAGGGGAGAAAGCTTTGTTTGTGAATCCTGCTTTCACAAAGAGGATTGACGGGCTAAAGGACGAGGAGTCGGATGCTTTGTTGAAGTTGCTCTTTACGGTAAGATCCATTTTCTTTCCTACATCGCGTGGCTTCAACCCGCGAGGAATGATAAAATAAATGGAAGGGCTGATCGTATTGCGAGCAGCACATCTCGCATGGCCAAGACTTACAGGTTCGCGTCAAATGGGACGATCAAACTGTTGCGCTTTGGGATAACAGGATTACTGCCCATACTGCAATCTCAGATTATGATGTCACGAATCCGTCGGAAGGTTTGAGACATGGGTTTCGAATCACGACACTCGGAGAGAGACCAGTAGGCGTGAATGGTTTGGAGACGGTTTGGTGAATTGGATCTGGTTATCGGGAGGGCGATCTCAAGACGTTCATAGTTTGACTAAGAGAGCCTTCTGGGATTTATCATTTAGCGAATAGCGGAATATATTGATGAATCTGATGTACGTTGAAGTAATAAAATCCGTGTACGATGCTTGGTAGATATCATACGCTGCTTGGGTGTATGCTGCCCCATACGACTTGTAGGAACACTTGTTGGGGTGTCTTAAACACTGCCGTTTGGACGGTAGGATCTACAGTAGTAGCCCTCTTAGACTTTGCAACTGGATTAGTGAAACATAAGAGAAGGAGCACAAAACGTAAGATGCCATTGAAAGAGACCATGGACATGACAGGTGCGTTCAGTCAAACGGAATGGCTTTAATCTCGACACTGAAAGTACTTGGCTTACTTTCCAAATTTTGATGCCTCGGAGTAGCAGGAGCAAGGGTGACTATCTATATCTCTCATATCAGAATGGATATTTCTCACCTGCTTCCTATCCGTATTCTTTGATTGACTAGGATAAAAATGTAAGGCTTACGCCGTTCCTGCAGACTAAAGCTCGATTCCAAAAGCACAAGGGTGTATTACTTCAGGCGCAAAATTAATCATTTGGTAAAAGAAACTGTGACCGAGAAACTATCAGCCATTGGGCATTCGCCAAATTTCTCAGAATCTTGCTCCTCGGCGCAAAGCCCCGATAGAGACTACTGTTCTCCGAGGCACTGAGAGCATTTCACCATAGAAGGCACTTCAAAAGCTTGGATAGCACATTCAGTACCTGGCAGAAGTATTCAAGTATGATAAGAGTGCCTAACAGCAGCAGCCTCGTAGATGACCGTACGAATTGAGCACTTGCTTCATGCTGCATGCATCGGCTGGAATGGTATCACAAGTCAACTTTAGTGGCTATCGAGAAAGCGATTGAACAAGCATTGAGCAAAACTCTCATCGACCTTGGATTGTCCGATTATCTGACAGGTTCAAAGCCAACCTCTCGGGCAATTTGGTAACTAAAGCTCGGCGCGGTCGGTGCTTACTAGTTGCATTCCTGGAGCCCGCATATCTCTTGTGATGAAGTTGACAATCGGGCATAATGTGATAAGAAGTGAGTATGTTGAATGTTTGTGCGGCTCCGAGGGATGAGTGCTTACCAGCTACTTGTACCACGTCCCCCTACAACGCCACTGGTACACGAGACGCTGGTATGATCTACCAGGTGTTCCTCACCACCACGGAAAAAGATTGATAAGGAGCTCAAGAGCGTAGTTAATACTTCGCGGCCGTGCAGAGGTTGGGGACAGGACTTTTGGGGATGAGAGAGAAGTACCCTGAGTATGAGGCGGGACAGGTGTGGAGTGGGAAAGAGATGAGAAAAGTGAGCTGGATAAGGCGAAGATGTTCAAAAGAAACCTTCACATCAGCAATCAATGCATCATTGTTGTCAGATAATGTTCTGAAATCTGACATGGTGAAGTGATGTTAAAATTGTGTTCTATTTGGAGAGGTCGGTTAACTCATCTAACGTCGGTTATTCACCCCGTATTGAGCATTCCGCATATCAAGAGGATATCCTCCGTTAAGGACAGATGGCCGAGTGGTTATGGCGTGGGCTTCAAGAATTTCAACTTCTTGCTTTGTGTAACAACACATGAGTATTTCCATAGGGTAACCTGCAGGGGTTCGAATCCCCTTCTGTTCAACTACTGTTCATGAGACAGTATATTTTTTTTGCTTTTCCTTTTTACGTTTTTGCCCCCTTACTTACTCATCTCTTTTATCTATGATTATATTATCTCATCACTTGTTTATCCTTCCCGCGATATTCATTCATCATTGACGAGCGTATTGTATAACCGATATTGGGGGAGCTATTACTGAACGGTTACTCCTAAGGAGGAAAAGGATTGTACGAGAGGGGAAAAGGGAAAAGGGGAAAAAGGGGAAAATCTCTACAGGGCGGAAAGGAAAAACGATGTCCCAGGCACGTGCGGTTACTGCCTATAATTTTAGTTCACCGCCCCCGCATTAGGTAAAGGGAGGGGCTTGCATATCAATTAGGGGGCGGGGGCGGGGAGGAAGGCGGGGCCGCTCGCGTATCATACACCGCGTCTGTAATTCCTCAACGCATCATATTCTATGTAATAGGTACGTCAGGGCGGATGCCGATCAATTTGTCTGGTTGCCATATAGTGATGATTATGTACCTATACATGAAATGTCTGTCACCAATGTCCAGAATGCATAGTGACGTAATGCATTTTTTCCATCGTACCTAGGCTCGTGATCGCAACTTCAACTTCAACTTTGGCAATTCGACAATTCAACTCTGCACATCATACAGACACGGCCAGTTTCGATTATGTTCGCACAGAACAACTTGATCGTATCTAAACAAATTGCTCTATTAACACTTTTATTGATATCGTCCTCACATGTCGCCGATCACCTTCGTCCACGATATCATTGACCGTGCGTTGGAATTCGTGAAGCTCGTACAAAATCGAGAAATAGGATGGCAGACAGTTGATCGAAAGACCGGTCAATATAAGAGGGAGCAGCAACCAATCCTCAAGAAACTCAAGCTGCTCTTTCTTTTCAGTCCGGTGATGACATGGCTTGATCGAACACACCTTCTTCGATTATGGATTCATGACAAGACCATCGAAGCCGGTAAGACCTCATCATCATTCTGGTCTGCTTTGTTCAATCTATACACCTTTTCATTGTCTCATTTTACAACAGGTGAGAGGGAAGCCTCAAAGCGGTCAGCCAGTCAGATACAACCATTTGTAGAATTCTATGGTATCGATATGAGACAATTCCACCCTTCGAGTATATACGACTACAGGTCTTTTGATGACTTCTTCATTCGTGAGCACGCGCCAGGAAGTCGACCGATTTATAAACCCGACGACGACTCGGCAGCGGTGGTGGTTGCAGATTCGCGCGTTGTGGTATATCCAACATTGTCCGAAACAAGAAAGTTGTGGATCAAGGGAAGGAATTTTACTATGGAGGAACTACTACTCGACCGGGCGAGAGCAAAGCTTTGGAACGATGGCGCTATTGCAAGCTTTCGACTGAGTCCGCAGGATTATCACCGATATCACTCCCCCGTCAGTGGCACTGTTACAGGGTTCAAGGCGATTTCTGGGGAGTATTATCAAGTGGATCCGCTGTGTTTAAGTAGCGATGTGGACATCTTGACACGCAACGCGCGCTGCTGTATTGAAATTGAAACAAAGGAGTTTGGAAGAGTCCTATTTGTAGCCATTGGTGCTACTGATGTCGGAACAGTAAAGTGTGTTGTTTACCACCAAACCTAGAGTATCAAACTGACCAACCTCATAGAATCTCCGACAAGTTCCGTACAGAAGGAGCAGTGGTAAAAAAGGGGGATGAGATTGGCTTCTTTCAGTTTGGAGGTTCGAGCATTATTGTTGCCTTCGAGAAAGACAGAATCAAGTTCGATGAAGATCTTCTAAGTATTAGTCGGCAGCGCATCATGGTAGATGTTGAAGTAGGCATGAGTTTAGGCAATGCAATATCCAGATAGATGATCAGCGCCGTGGCCATGACCCTTTTTTAATCTTATCGAGAGTTTTTTGGATAGTATCTCTTGTAAATTAGAGGGCATCTAAGTGAGTGCGAGACGCTGGAATACCCTTTAGCGGAAGTTTATCTTGTGGGACTAGGAGCGTTTCTAGGTTATCGGTTCTTGAGTCTAATGACATAGAGAGGTTGGAGAAGTTGCCACCCTCGCTTCATTGGTTTTCCTTGACCGAACTCTGAAAACCAGTCTTCGTTACACTAGGGTCGACAAGAGGAACGAGGAATAGCAGTATGATTCCACTTCTGCACGATCAATCTATCACTACAGGGCTGAGGAAATGTTTCGATGATGTCACAGATCGACTGGGACCTCTCCGCACAGTGATATCAAGCTGGAAATACGGGATAGAAAGGCCCCATGTCAGTCATCATAGTTACGAGGTGCGGAGATCCTGCCATCTTCTGGCCTCTCATATCCCCATGCTTCGTACTTACCAAATTGTCATATGATGACCTTCAGTCAGTGTCTGCGGGGCAACTTGCGTACGGCGAGTCCATGATCCATCGGATTTGACACAATAACTAGAGGACTTTATCCAACCCGAGCCCTCGATTTTCGCAGTCATAGACCCTGTGGCCTTCACAGCAACCATTCTGCAATTTAGGTTTCATGCAATCGTCATAAACCACTTCCATAGGGTGACCTAATTTATTACCCCTCATTGACGACAGTGGGTTTCGAGAGATATAATTCCATGGCTCGACTGCTTCGTCGCCCATTCTTCGTTGCGAACAGACTCGGAAGCACTTATTTCACCAGGAACATGGCTCAGTCAAACAACGAAGCGTTTAAGCTCGGCCAAGTCTTCAATGTGACGGGCAAGGTAACTATAAACCACCTACGCTACCACTACCTCAGAGACTTAACACATGACATAGGTTGCTCTCATCACAGGCGGTGGCAGTGGCATCGGGCTTATGGCTACACAAGCCTTAGCCGTGAACGGTGCAAGAGTCTATATCGTGGGCCGTACCGAGGAGAAGCTCGAGCGTGTTGTGCAAACACACGGTCAGAATATTCCCGGCGAAATAATCCCTATCACTGCGGATATCCGTCAGAAGAGCGAGATAGCCCGCCTCGTCAAGGAGATCGAGTCTCGTGAGAAGTGCCTGTGCATCCTCATCAACAATGCCGGAATTAGTAGTACTACGCAAAAAGTCGAGAGCAAGACTGCGGAGGAGATGAAGAAGAATCTGTTTGACAACGAGGCTTCTACGTTTGATGATTGGGTCGAAACCTATCGAACCAACGTTGCTCAAATCTTCTTCATGACTGCTGCTTTCTTGCCGCTGCTCCAGAAGGCAACCGAAACCCAATATGGGTATTCGGGTACCGTCATAAATATATCGTCCATCTCAGGCCTCGTCAAATCGTCACAACACCACTTCAGCTACAACGCCAGCAAAGCAGCCGTCCTCCAGCTCAACAAGCTCCTAGCTGCGGAGATTGCAAACAATGGGTTAAAGATCCGGGTCAATACTATTGCCCCTGGGCCTTTCCCTAGCGAGATGACCGCAGGTGAAAGCGGAGAGAACCAGAAGAGCCATCTCGATAAGGAGAAATATGAGAAGGTGCCGGCGCGGAGGCCGGGCAATGACAGGGATATGGCCGGTGCGGTTCTATTTACTGCAACCAATCAGTACCTGAATGGGCAGACGGTGGCCGTCGATGGTGGATATATGCTTAGTGCTGGGACATAGATATCTTCTCCCGAACTTGAATTAGTCTAGTTTAGGACACCCGCTCTGAAGGGTTGATGAAATATATGAAGATTACATATAATCTCTTTTTCGTTACTGCTCATCCAAAACGCAGGCCTGCTAGTAATGAAAGAAGTGACGACACATGATCTATTCAATATTGCCTTTAACAAGAATTGAGACTCAACTTCTCTGAACTACTGCTCTTAGATATTCTTATCATAAACACTAATTTAGTCTCAGCCATGACCACACAGACTACAGTGAAGTTACCAAGTGTCAATGGATGATTGTTCACTAATAACAACCTTTTCCCCTGGACCCTGGTGTTCTCGGCATGTCAAAATATACCAAGAGATAGCTAAAATATAGCCATTTTCCCACCGTTTTCATGGTAGATCTTCCTCGTCGCTTGCTCGACGTATTGTCCTGTCAGTCCTGGCTTCCCTTGATTGACGGCATTATTGTCACGAAGTGGGATGTTACAAAAGTGGAATGATAAGATGATGCTACCTCAAAGGCCTTAGTTGATAAATCATAGTCACACCATAACCATGACTCTCAGAATTGTGGATTGATAGCTACCTACATATATTGAGAACTTCCCTCACAACGCTCCTCCTACCTTGATATCTACCAAATATTGAGAAGACCTGAACGATACGCAGAACAAGAATTCGCTTAAATCTTTGACAAAGCATCAAAATGTCTGGCAACTTGGCAAACAAAGCCGAAGAAGAGATCCATAAGATGGCAAGTAAAACCGGCATGGAGCCTGATAAGAAGGTAAGAAATGGAACAACCACCTTCCTCGTCTTTTATCTGTCATAGGACATTCCTCTTGTTGGACAGAGCTGATAAAAAGTGCAGAAAGAGGAGGGCGGCAAGGGAGGAGGTCCTGTCGAGAAGGGTACTGAGAAGGCCAAGGAAGCGGGTGACAAGGCCAAGGAGATGGGTGAGAAGGCAAAGGAGGGGGCTAAGAAAGGCGGTTCAAAATCAGATGATTGAGATTGATACCTAAGGTATATGGAACTTTGGGATACCACCATGGTGCATCATGTTCGTTAGGGTGCATGCCAGATTTCACTCACTAGACAGATAATGGTAAAAGATAGGCAGAACTCAATCAATTGTTAGACCTATATATACTACGGCCTCTGAGACCACTTGCGTGCGTGTACTACGTAAGCTAGCTGGTACCATGTTAAGACAGCTATTTCGACTCTTATCAAACTCCCCGGACATCCCCAACTAAGGAGTGTCACTACGGAGATATCACAAAGTAATCAGATCAAACAAAAATAATGGATTGAAAGGCGATCAGCGAGATGTATGACACAATGAACGCAACAGCGGCTATCTGCCCACCTGAACGTGGAGCCAACCGATGGAGCTGGGAAATGGAGGGTCTTCGACTTTGAATTCGGCTATAACTGGGATCATAGCGGCATAATCCAACTACGGATTGATCCGTGAACTCAAAATTTGCCTTTTCCTGATATGTGGAGTTCAATGTAAAGAGTGAGTGACTCTCCACTGATAATATCTACCCACTTCGCTTATGTCACGAGACCATGTCACGACTCCACTGACCACCTTCTTCCCATTGCGTCACCCTGCCGTCATGGCAAACCGCCAGAAGTTCATGAGCTGGTCTTTGCCATAGCTACGAGTTAGTAGACTCGTTGTCTTATAAAGGATGGCTCGTACAAAGGTATCGAGGACTTATCACAAAGTTCACAAATAATCATCAAGACCTGCAGACATGGATGTCCTCGAAAGATTCCGTCGGATTGGCATCGTCGGTGCCGGGAGCATGGGATCGATGATGGCTCTCGCATTCTCAGAGCTGGGCCTTGATGTCTCTATATGGGACGTCAAAGCCGATAATGTCGATCGGCTTCTTGACAATGCCAAGAATGTCAAGTCTTTGAAGGGTTCCCTCGATGGGTTCCACAAGCTGGAAGATTTCATTCGAAGCCTCGATAAATCTCCGCGGCGACTCTTTCTATTCTCCATCACGCATGGCCCTCCGGCCGATTCGGTCCTAAACCAGCTACGGGATCAACTCAAGTCGGGGGACATCATCCTAGACGGCGGGAACGAGAACTATCGTAATACCGAACGTCGTCAGAATGAGCTCAAGAGCAAGGGCGTTGCCTGGATAGGCATGGGGGTTTCAGGAGGATATCAGGCTGCGCGGCACGGACCAAGTCTGTCTCCTGGTGGGGAAGAAGGTATCATTAACGATGTCCTGCCGTTGCTACAGAAGTACTCAGCAAAGGAATCCAAGACTGGCCGGCCGTGTGTCGCGTACATTGGACCCCGTGGTAGTGGGCACTACGTGAAGATGGTGCATAATGGGATCGAGAATGGCATGCTCTCGACTTTATGCGAAGCCTGGGGATTGCTACACCAATGCCTTGGTCTCGAGTACGATGAAATTGGCAAGATCTTTGAGAATTGGAACGCCACTGGGGAGCTGAAGAATACGTACCTCGTTGAGATCGGGTCACAAATCTGTGAACAAAAGAGAGGGCCAGAAAGTGACCAAAAGGGGAAAGGGAACAGGAGGCAGTGCCATATGCTTGATGAGGTCCTCGACAAAGTCGTTCAAGACGACGACGATACGGAGGGAACCCTGTACTGGAGCGTCATGGAAGCCGCCGAACGGCACATCGCTGCGCCGACCATCGCCACTGGTCACTTCCTCCGTGTTGCTTCTGGTAACCGCGCACAACGGGTGAAAGTGGCCACGAATCTCAGGAATGTCCCACGGCCAAGGCAGGTCAAACTGAGCGAAAACGACAAAGCCCGCTTTATCGAGAGCCTCCGTCTAGCTGTATACGCCTCGTTTCTCTGTTCCTATTGTCAAGGGCTTGAGCTCATCGCCCGCGCCTCTACGGACGAGGACTGGCACGTCAACCTAGAGACGTGTATCCAGATCTGGCGTGCTGGCTGCATCATACGCGCGGACCACATTGCTGACATCCTGGAACCGGCGCTCACCAATGCCGCAGAGCGCCATATCCATGTCATGAATGTGAAGCTCATAGACGAAGTAGCCGCTGCACTGGCACATAACTATCAGAATCTGAAAGAGGTGGTACTGCGCGCTGGCGAGTGGGACGCTTATGCGCCGAGTCTGTCAGCGAGCCTGGAGTACGTGAAATACGAAGCAGGCACGAGCCTGCCGACACAGTTCATGGAGGCGGAGATGGACTTGTTCGGGGCTCATGGATATGACAAACCGAAAGTGAAGGGCGAAGATCCGGGAAAGCCCCAGAAGGGAGCGCATCACTTTGAGTGGAAGCCAGCCTGAGATGAGGGCAAAAAGGTGGTAAGTTAGTTTTGATTGTTCCTGTAGGTACGGGTACTTTCAGAAACGAATTTGCATATTTGGACATATATATAGACCAAATGTAACGTAGTGATGAGGTTACAGCCCTCCTAGACGGTCGTATTTGAACCACGGAAAGCAATCTCAAGGTAAGTCAAGGTAGGTTTACAACGTTTTTGCCAGTCAGATCATCGAAATTCATTTGGTTGTCAAAAGAAAGGGGTATTTCACATTTATTCATGATCTCAAAATAATATAGTCACGACATCTGCACCCTGGTAGTGTGCCAGACAGTTACCAACTGAGCAAGGTCTTAAAGTTTCGAAAATAAGCATGGGAACTCAATATGGCATTCTCTAACACCAACGCGTGGGTAAAGTCTGATCCAGCCACCCCATTTCATCTGACTTAAAAGTATGCAAAACTAAGTTATCTGGTAGATGAAATGCCTTCATCCGGTCCTGGCAGGCCCTCCTCGTCGCCTGGCTCTTGATATTTTCCACTCGGCTGTTTGGCACCACGCGTACGTCCTCCTCCGAGGATGTTGCTTTTGTCGATGGCTTCAGCCTCATCTTGTTCTGTTCAATGATTAACTTGTGCTTTGAACCTTTATATCTAGAAATCAGTGAGCTTACGGAGAGCTGCATCAGAATCTGGGTCTCGGGCAGTAGTATTAGGCTGCTCGACTTGCGTCTCGTCCTTCACTACGGGAATCTTGGTATTAGATTCGGTAGCATAAGAATTGTCGACCGTATCTCCACCCTGAGGGACGTCGTCGGTGACAGTGTCGGGATCGTTGAATTCGTCAGCTGCATTCGTCGCCATCTTTCGAGATTTTGAGTGTATAAGGTCCAAGTACAAAGTGTGAAGGAAGAAAGGTTAACTCAAATACTTCGGGAGTTAATATACTTTTTAACGATTTGCAATAATTCGATTTACCATCTATACGCTGACATACTGCTTGCCAGCTAACAAAAATTGTTCTTGTACTCGCGAGACAATTACGTCGACAATACAAGTACTTTGTCCATGTTACAGCGATCAGTTCATCTGCTTTTTACTTTTTCTAAAGGACACGCCATATCTCCATCATCAGTTCGAAGTTACATGAAATGTCATATCTCCATCATTTGGATGAAGGTGACATCAATTGAGGGGTCGATGTTATGAGCCCAGTTTACGTCACATGTCGCTCGACCACATATCACAGCCCAGGATTGAAGTATAAGTAGCACTTCCATCTTCATATTTCCATCACTCGCTTCAAAATCCGAACAACTTCTCTTCCATCCACACAAATACCAAAACAAAGTCAAAAGAAATCTCCCGATACAATCTTAACCTGTCATAATGACCGATAATCCAAATCCAGGCAACTTTGCCAATCGTCCCAAGGAGGAAGTTCAGGACATTGCTAGCAAGGGTGGTCATTCCAGCCATCATAGCGGTTTTGCTAGTATGGACCCCGATAAGCAAGTAAGTCAATCCTCTCTAGCCGTTGCTGCTCAGCTGTATAAAATAGCATCCTAACAAACCATAGCGTGATATTGCCTCGAAGGGCGGACAAGCATCTGGCGGCTCTTTCGAACCTGGCAGCGAGAAGGCAAAAGAGGCAGGCAGAAAGGGAGGATCGTCAACTGGCAGTTCTTAGATTAAGGGTGTATAATATAGCCTTGAAGGTCGCAACAGAATAAAAGTTACTGTTTAACAAGATTATGATGTTTTAACTTGAAGATATGAAAATATGGGTTTCTGGCAACTGGCAACTGGCAACAGACTTAGAAGTTCGTGACGAAGAAGGGTGTCCTTGTTGTTAGCATCGAAGGTGTGATTTGTAGGAGATGCTTTTCTGCGGGGCATGGTGCTCAGATACGGAAGGTAAGTATTTCTGCAGAGCAAAGCCACGTGCCGAATACTTCTGCCACTCTGTGTCTGGCTCGTTATAATAGACATGTCTGCTATTAGGATGTCGAGAATTTATAATTAATAATTTAACACCTCGTGATGAGCGTCTACATAAGAGAGCTTATTATATTTCCTTGAGGTGACTTTGATTCCATAACAGATGGACAGCCGGAATGTAACCATCGAAGGGACGTGGCACCATACACAGTTCAATCTCACTGTGAATATCATTCTCCACTCAATCAGACACAGAGAAACACTACATTTTATGGCTACATACCTTATACGAAACAGATACTAGATGCCACGTGCATTGGGCGATTCAGAAGATCTTAGCGGCCCGGAGATCTGTCCGTCCATTGCTCAATAATTTCGTCTTAACGTCACCGAGTAGGAAGGACTTACCTACCAACGTATTTGAATCGGCGATCTGGTTATAAACAGCCGGGAAGATCGCTGGTTAGCTATACCGTATGATGGGTGAAAGTTAAAAATAAGAGGATGCCTGGATGATATTGACGAGGAGTTGATGAGAGTCCGCCGGAACGAACACAGCGACTGACCATTCAGAGGCGATATCGAGCACTCGACGAGGAGATGCCCATCTCGACATGGTAGTAGGAGGTACCTCCGTTATGGTTCCACTTTTGTTCATTGTTGGATCATAGTCAAGGTTTAACGAAGAGAGAAACTATAACCTATAACATCTACTTAGTACTTGGAGTACGTGGGCGGGGATTGTCGAAGGCCAGTAAGCTTACTTTCACAGCCATCTTCTTGGACTTCTATGATATTGAATGAGGAGACAGGGATTTTTCAATCAACTGCTGTAATGATTGGAAGGAAATGGTCAAGTGCTGGCTGGGTTCATTACCGAGCGGGGTGTTGTGGTCAATGACGTTGACCATAAATTAACCTGGGGGCTTCTTCATAGGCAATAACAACTTTGTATTATATTCTACAACTGTGTAGGAGAGAACGAAATCAAACAATCCATTCTCGATAATTCCTGTAAGCAGAAAATAGTCAGTCATCACGAGTTACAGATATGTCAAGTCAAGTAAAGGACAAGAATGGAAAGGACATCAATGAAGGGGATAGGGTATTCACCAGAATTAGAGGCGGGAAGCACGAGGGAGAGGCAAGTCTCTGTCTTAAACACTATTCAACTCATTCTGAGACTTTTAGGTCGAAGAAATAGTCACGACGCAGGAGGAGGCTGAGAAGGAGAATGTCAAAAACCCTCCAAAAGGTTTGAGAGAGAAAATCATGTCGTGTCAATGAAAAGACTAAGCAATTCCAGTGGTCTTCCGCGATCAACGCGGTCGCAAGGTTGCCCACAACCCCGAAACGCTCGAAAATTTGAGTGCACAGGGATGATCAAACTTTATTACAACTCCTGGACAGCTCATCTGTAGCTAGCAATCTTTCCAAATGTATCAGCCGTTACCGATATCCCACTTCTCAAAAAAGTGAGCCAAGCAATCTGACTGTGATCCGCAAAAAAATTGACATCAATGCCAAATTTTCTAATATACCAATTGAAAACGGAGAAAGACATAGCGGCCTCTGTACCGGGTTTCAATCCGTCATTCAGCTATGCTCTCAAACAAGCATCATTCCCATCTCTTCAATCAGTTGGCATATTGTTCCGCTCGGAAGATTCAGGGTCTGACGGTGCCATATCTGGCTCTAAATGCTTTGGTTCCCAGATAAAGTCGCTTTGGAACCCATGTAAACAGTCTCAGTTGAACGGACCGGACAGATGGAGCAAAACGATCAGTACTACAGGGAAAAGCTTTTGGCGGAAATATTCTGGAGATGGTGCTTGCGTGCTTTGAAGTATACCAACTGGGTTCGACGGATGCGAGGTGCATGACGCCCTTCATCTCGTACGGGGGATCCACTATCCCCAGGGCCTATCATGGGAATGGAGACTGAGTCGGGTACCACAGGTAAGGTAGGTATAATGCAAGATTGCGGTCGGCGATAGAGGATTTCCGATTCGGGAATACCCGATTTCACTAACGTAGCCAGAACCATAATTCAACGACATCTACATGGCACCATGGGCGATGGAGCATGGATTGGTACGTTTCAAGTAGTACGGTCCACGGAAGTGTCGTAGCCCTCGGGATCAGTCGCCATGGCCTTGACCAACGGAATATTCTTCTTCAAGAAGCTTAAGTCTGCCCAGGAGAGGGGAGACTATGTTTTCAGCGATAGAAACTATCCCATCACATATTGATAGCGTACCTAGTCTCCCATTGTTTCTCAGGCTCTGTAATAAAACGGGAGTAGGAGCTGTAAGTGATGTAGCAAGCACTCGACCAGCTCATCTAACTTTAGACAGGCAAAATGAGAGATAAGCTACAAGAAGGCAACATCATGTTGGAAGTAAAACATGAAGAGTGAAAGCCCAATCTAAATAGATAAGATGTTTCGTGAGGTCTACACTTCAGAGACCAGTAGGTCTGCCAGAAGATTGCAGCAACTTGGAGCTACACCTGCGAATATGCAAACCAGAACTGTGAAATCTAATGATAAGATTGATTGCCCAGCATTCCCCCGACGCAGAGAAGTATTAGCCATATTGACGTGACCATTTTCCATCGCTGGTCCTGTTGAACAGTGATATTTCTGAGTAGAAAGTCCGAAGTCCGGGAGAGATCGGGCGATAAGTGATTGACAGACCTGATCGCCTCTGACCTGCTCGTATCACCTTTCAGAATAACCCCAATAAAGCCGGAACTGGCATGAACTTTCAAGCCGCTCAGGAATACTGGGCTGTAGAGAGAATCTTCAGTGTGTGTGCTCTGTCTTGGCATTTGCCCTCGACTTAGCCCGGACCTCCTGCGCACTACATGCAAGTCCATGCAGGTCTCAGGGCTACGGGCTCACCACAACACAACACAATATTATTCCGCTATTACCATTCTCGACAAATCCCTCATCACAATTACCCCTCATCACACCCGAGACTCAGCGATTTCAAGCATAAAAATAGTGCTGAAAATGTCCGAAACTGCGGTGGAAGAGAAGCCCCTGGACGTTGCCATCGTCGGTGGCGGCATTACCGGCGTCACCCTAGCCCTAGGTCTGCTCCATCGGGGCATCAAGTTCAAAATCTATGAGAGGGCAGATAGTCTTCGGGAGATTGGGGCGGGCATCGCTTTCACCCCCAACGCAGAACGGGCCATGCAAAAACTGGACCCGCGCATTCATCAGGCATTCAGGAAAGTCGCGACGCCCAACATCGAAGACTACTTCGTGTGGGTCGATGGATATCATTACAACCGATCAGACCCGGATAATACCAATGAAGAATTGGTCTCTAAGCTCTATGTCGGAGAAAGAGGTTTCGAAGGGTGCCGCCGTCAAGATTTTATAGAGGAGCTCGTCAAACACATACCAAAAGAAGATGTGAAGTACGGAAAGAACCTTGCCTCTGTTACTGACAGAGGAGACGGTGAAAAGATCGTGCTGGGATTTCGTGACGGAACGACGGAGGAAGCAGACGTGGGTAAGCATAATGGCTACAGCCCCCCTACCAACAGATTCATTAACTTGGGTGCCCATATTGTAGTGATCGGCTGCGATGGTATCAGATCAAAATTGCGCCGCCTTATGTTCGGAGAGGACAATCCAGCCTCGCGTCCATCCTACACTCACAAGTTCGCCTTTCGCTCCCTGGTCCCTACGAACAAGGCCAGGGAATTGCTGGGGGACTACAAGGTAGCGACGCGATTGATACATGTAGGGCCCAATGCCCACGCAATAACTTTTCCCGTAGCAATGGGGGCCCTCATAAACTTGGTGGCCTTCGTTACGGACCCCAAGGATTGGGCAGCCGAGGACGGCAAGTTCACGGCACGAACCAATAAGAGCGAGGCCGTCGAGTACTTTGCTGCTTTTGGCCCTGCCGTGCGTGCTATCATGAGTCTTCTCCCGGATGAGCTCGACAAGTGGGCCTTGTTTGACCAGCGAGACCATCCGGTGCCGACGTACGTGCGGGGCCGTCTCTGCCTTGCCGGTGATGCCGCGCACGCCTCTTCGCCGCATCACGGTGCTGGAGCGGGCTCCGGCGTCGAAGACGCGTTGGTGCTGGCGGAGCTGATAGGCACCATCAGCGAGGCGGTAGCGCGCGGTACTTGCACTGGCAGCAGAAGAGCCGCGATGGTACGTGCTGCACTCGAGACGTACAATGCCGTGCGGTATGAGCGCACCCAGTGGATTGTTGATAGCAGCCGTGTGGCGGGTGAGATGTTTGAGTGGCAACATGCGTCCTGTGGTAGCGACCCTGAGAAGTTCGACCGCGAGATCGCGTGGCGGTCTCACAAGATCTGGGACTATGATGTGGACGAAATGGTGTGCAATGCACACAGTCAGTTCTCAAGCTCGTTAGAGGCTTAGTCAGTGTAGAAGCCGCATCATGGGGATGTGCAATTCTCGTGGAGTAGGAGCAGGCTCGTTCTGTCCACGAGAAGCAATGAACAGTACCTAGGTAGGTGTGACCTGGAAAAGGATGTTAGATAGCATGCAACAGCGGTAGAGTGATATAATCGTACCGTCATAATTCCTTTCACCTCCGGATGGAGAGATGCGTACGGCATCTCCAGTGGCAATGCCAGTCTCCCGTTCCAATGTAATGATCTTGCCAACAATATTCCAGAATCCGGGATTCCGGGTCTCCCGGGCCGTTCAGGTCTGCGTTCAGCTCATCATCCGACGGGGTTGAATAAGATCATAGATCCCAGAACCAGTGCTCGGTCAAATCATGTATATAGCTGAATTGTGTGCCAATTGACCGCAGAGGGATCTAAAGCAGGTTGTGTACCTCGGTTCGTAGATCAGCTGTCCCGTGCGAGTATTGTCTTGCCAAATAGAAAGAGCAAGAGAGTGGGGAACAAGAACAGTAAGTGATCAATTAAAGTAGACCGAATTGAACTTTGTTTGAGGAGGTAGCAGAAAGACAAACCACATCAAACGTTCAGCAATATCTCCAATATCGGGTATTCATTACCGAACGGGTAGGGTTTGGTTTGAGGGTAACCGGGCGGGATATTGGTAAGCGAATGCGATTCCTAATGCGAGGCCTAAGGCATTAATTCCTAATAGAAGTCTGAGACATCAACTCTTCTGCGTCTCATTTTCAACATCCACTCCCAAGGCACACACCTACATAGTGGCGTGTAAGCACACGTTGAAGGAAACGTTGGATGCACTTAATTGAGCGATTGATTGGATGAAGCTTGTTTCATCTTTTGCTTTACACATGGGTCTCTTGTACTGCATGCATGGGCGGCTCCCTTTCCTACACAGGAAGAAAGGTGCTACAGGGCACCCTTTTTGTTTCTCTCTGCCTTTTCATCCTCTTCGTTTTTCAAGTTTCCCATCAACGTTACCCGCAAACAGTATAGGCTCACAGAAGGGAGACAGTTCTCCTCGTTTGAACCCATTCTCTCCCGTCGAGCAATAGCCGGTCTTGGAGGCTCAGGTCTTTTAAATCGGTCTCTTACGATCCTCAATTCTTGCGTCCCTCCTTATCGACAGCCAGGTGTGTTTCACTTGCGGTGAGAGTCTGTGGCTGACGATCTTCAAAAGTCCTGCTTGGCACTACGATAGCCAGTATGTGAGAAATTATTCCACATAGTGTATGAATGAGTATAGAGCGGCAGAGGCTGTACGTTAAAATTTATCTTCCTCCTTCATTTATTTGCGCCTGTCAGGAAGGCTAGGCGGGGACTTGGGTCGGGCGGGACCCATGAACGGAGAGAACCCGGCTCTGTTCGGTATGTCTCTAGGGTCTCGGTGCCTCACCTGATGATTCGAAACTTCAACGTTAATCTGGTTCAAGGCAGGGCTCATCGTATTTTTATTGTCTCTTTCTATTCATATCACGTAACGTAGGCCAGAGTCACGACTCACGAGCCACAAGCAAGAACCCCAGGGGCAAAAACACACCAATCTATGCTGTAAAGCCAGTCCAATCAGTCACGATCTCTCACTTCACGAACCACCCGCGCCGAGCCAAATGATCACAGCGTGACGACGACCTTCCGAGCGGAGACTCCCCGCATGCTGAGATCGAACCCATTCTGAATACGTTCCAGGCCGTGCCCAGCGGTGAGAAACTCTGGGGCAGCAACGTAAGAGCCGTTAGCTAGAGCGGTCGGGAGATACTGTTCAAAGATGAGGCTGCCGACCTCGTTCGCCATCAAGTCACTACCGAACACGAACTTCGTCTTGACGCGCTTGAGCTTGCAGCGGATCCAGATGTAGGCGTTGGAGTAGAGAGTGGAGATTACGAAGGAGAGCTGGTCGATGGTGCTCATGGATTTAATGTCTGGCGTGTCGATGCTGACCTGCGAGATGAACTTGCGTCCTTTCGAGGCGCCGATGATGGAGATGCAGGATTCCATGGAGCCGTTGCCGATGGCGATGGCGCCGACACAGTCCTTATCCTTGAGGGTGCGGATGAGGCCCTTCACAGCGGTTGGGCTGCGGTAGTTGAAGACGGAGCGAGCGCCCAGGCGGCTGACATACGCGAAGTTCTTGGGCGACGAGGTGGTAACGACCTCGTACCCGGCAGCGACGGCCAGCTGGATGGCGTTGCTCCCGACAGCGGTGGAGCCGCCCCAAACGAGGAGCGTCTTACCTGTAGGCTGGTAAGCGGTGCTCGGATACTGCAGCGCAAGATGGTCTTTCTGGAAAAGTGCGCACGCCGCGGTCGAGAGGCACAAAGGCAGCACGCAAGCCTTCTCATAGATCATGGCGTCTGGGATCGGCGCTGTCAAATTCTGGCGCACGACGGTATATTCCTGGAATGCGCCCTCGGCGGCCTTATTGCTGCGCTGGTCCATGGCGACGGCGAGCGCGAGCACGCGATCCCCCGGGGAGAAGCGCGTCACGCCTTCCCCGACCTCGACGACTTCGCCGGCTAGATCACTGCCCATGATAAAGGGGTAGCGGATCCAGGAGAATATGAGGTTGCCTAGGGCTTGCTTGTTCCAGTCAATGTGGTTAATAGCGATGGCGCAGTTTCTGACGACGAGCTCGTCGTCATTTGGGGTGGTGTAGGGCGCGGCTTTGATTTCGAGGGGCAGGACGTATTTGGCGCTCAGCCAGGCGGCGTGGTTGGGAGGCATGGTGGGAGGGGCCGGGATTGAGGAGAGGAGTCCACAGAGAGAAGGGGGAATAGGGGGGAGAGATGAGAAGAAAGAAGATAGGTAAGTGAGAGAACTGGAACTGTATCAGTTCTCTGTTGGTCGTGTGGTGATGGGATGAAAGAAAGGAAGGGAAAGAGAAACATGTTGTGAGATGCCACCATCGGTTATGCAGAGGTCGTGGAGAAAGACTTCTACCTCGTTCCTTCTGCTTTCTGCTTCGTGCCTTTCTGCTTCGTGCCTCTCTCGTCAGGGACGCTCGACATTATATGCTGGCTGATGGCGCCCGGGGGGTGTTTCTAGAGAGACGGCTCGCTTGAGTTATTCTTGGCATTCGCTTATGCACGGCAAAGGGGTCTTCCCCCTGGTCAAGGTTTCCCTATAAATCCGTCCCTCTCGAGGAGGTCGTCTTGCTCCCTCCTTGCCGCAATGCCGCTACCACTCCTTGCTCCGCGCCTTACCATGGGCTCGGGCACTATCCTCGACGACTTGAACCGATCCTTCCCTGGATGGCAAGCGGAGCTCCGCCGCCACCTCCAAGAGGTCGGTGTCAGCTATCTCTATACTGCGCCGCCTAACAACGCCACAGCCTACAGGTGCGTCCGGTGTCTGTATCGCCCTGAGCCGCACCGAGGTCCGTCGTGCGATCGAGACTGAGGACCGGTTGGCCGCTACATTCCTAGGACCGGCGTCGCTTACCAGGTATTTCCTTTAAGGTAAGCAGCATCGTCACGTTTTTGACTTATCGCTTTATAGCCAATCACACTTGATCTGACGTCTCTCACATCATTCTTGTCAAGTTTTAACGACGATTCTCAAGGAGCCCCAACGAGTTCCTCAGAGACCCCGAAGTGGAGACCTTCTAGAAATATACCTAGTGCTCGGCTGGTATAAAGCTAGAGGACATAGTTCCTGGAGGGGAATAGTGCCTTGTGCGCTCTTCTCAGGCTGGTCAATCATTCTCCGCTTTCTTAAGCAGTTTCGCCTAAGGCGATATATCAAACATCCTACAAACCCCGAAGAGAACGATCAAATTGTAATTCTGGGCTCTCAAAACTCATGCTTTATGTTCGAAGGAAAGCGAATTAACATTAACAAATAGACTGGACTTAGTGCTGGACTCTCGGGCGAGTTTACTTTTGATACTATCCATATACATGATCTTTTGATTTGATTAATCCTACACGCATTCTACAGGGTTTACTTTGGTGTGAACCATCATGTTATTAGTCTTTAGAACCCTTCATCTCAACAGGTCTCTTCTCGTAGCCTCTTCCTCACCTCTACCAACGCCATACCGAGCCTATTCTCTCCCCACCTCTCCCTGTTTGCCATGGCCTCTTTGGCTGTGAAGCCGATACCCCAAACGCGATCGAGAGAAGCTGCCTCAACCAGCAGTCGATTTCCAGTACCCAAAAGCAGGTCCTTCAGTTCCTTGTTCTGGCCGAATTTGGCCATATTTCCAGCGACCACAACATCGCTTTTTATCTCGTCCCAGCTGGCTGCCTGGAATCCCTTGGTCAATCTCCCTAATCGTTTTTGTTCCTTAGGGTCTCGAGTCGCAAGAACCAAGTTCTGCGTTTCGGAGTCGTGAAACCGTCCTGCTTTGCAATACATCATGAATTGCTCGGCACAGTTGAAATATATTCGTTGCCAACCTTCAGGATCATCTTTATCGATAGGATGTCCGACTAGCACGGACATCTCGGCCTTGCTGACTGTAAAGGTTGCCGGATACCATTGACAGAACTCTCCGTGTGCCTCGTTGGGTTTGAAGAAGAAAAGAGGCTCGTTCGGGTTTCCGCTACCACCCATCTTTTGCGTTTGGGAACTGCTACCGAGACTGCCAGCTGTTCGCTTTTGTTTTGGTTTTGGTTTTGTGACGATAGGTTGAGCTGGCATTTTACGAGAACACTAGGTTTTTGTCAACGTCAGTAGAAATCGTAGATCTAAATCAGACATAACAGATGTGTTGCAAGGTACTTTGATTCACATATGTAGGTAGGTGTAAGACCAGATCTCGCTAGATATAACCTTTTGCCCTAACTCTGCCGCCACCTCTAGGAGATTAGTGTTAGCTATCTCTATACTGCGCTACCTAACGACCCTATAGGTACCTTACCGTGACGTCTAGTGTCTGTCTCGCCCTAAGCCTTACTAAGGTCTGTCATACGATCGAGGGGACTAGTCAGCCGCTACATTAAAGTAGAGAGAGCCGCCCGGCTAGTACTGTAGTATCTGTCTATAGTAGCCGACCTGCTTCTCGGCCTCTCTTGCGCGCCTAACCAAACGGCGCTGCCTCTCTGACCCTTAATGTTGTCCTGCCTACCGATGCCGACAGGGATGGGGAGGGATGCGGCTTAGTAGGTAAGGTAGGTAGCTTAGGAATTTTAACCCGAATTTTTATACCATACCTTAAGTAAGGTAATGAAGATAACGTAAGGCAAGGCAAAATAGTCTATAAAAAGATGTATGTACCTATGTGTAGGTAGTGACATGATCTGATTAGGCAAGGCAATTTAAGACTCTGAAGAGAGGAGAGGGGTAGGGGTTGTTGTATCTAGACAGACTAGACTCGGGTAATTACCTAGTAAAGAAAGTGTCGTAGAGAATATGAGATAGATGTGTGATTTTACATTTAAATAAGAATGAAGTAGGTTTGACCTTTAATCAAAGCCTGAAGCCGTGGGTGTCTGTATACCTAAATAATCAAATGTTCTTTGATTTAAACTGTACATAGAGTCCCTACCTAGTGTCCGGGGAATGATCCGAATGAACTACCTACCTATCTGTTTTCTATGCGTTCCCCTCTCCAGATGGTTTCTTAGGCTTCGTTGTGTAGGTAGGTAGGGTAATTATAAAACTTTATAGGTAATTAGAGGATGATTAGAGGTGAAGGCTGGGAATATACCTTGGGGATAATGCATGGATGCGTACATGATCTTGCATACATATACATATATATATATAAAGCTTGCGCTATCACACTATATTCTAATGGGTCTATGATCTAGGATAGAAAAAGAAAGAAAGAAAGGAAGGAAGGAATTTAGATCTTGCTTACTAGTATACTTTACTTACTTTACGATAAATATAGCTTAGACTTAGATACTATTAGAGGAAGACACTAAGAGGCGCGTGTATACAACAGATACTACAGGCGATGCCTACCTACCGAGTAATAAATAATCAAGTTTCAGGAGTATAAGAGTAGGTAGTTGTGGATATAATTTCCTATCTGCCTACATGAGAAATTCCAGATTTTTGAGATCGATCAAAGAGAATGTATAATAGAAAATATATATAGTTTTGGAAAGGAAAGGAAAAGAAAAAGAGAAATAAGAAATTTTACAAAACGACTCCAAGAACCCTCCACCCTTATTCTTTATCGAGATTAAAGCTTCATTTGCTAATCATGAAAAAGGCTAAGAAGAGGCGCAGACGCCATTACTACAGATTAGGGCATCGGAACAGTCGTTGTAAGTCGAACATGGTGCTCCTGTTTATTTACTCCAGTTAGTTTTCTTTTCTGTCATTCGGTTTGCGGAAGTATGCGAATAGGATTGGAAGGGGGCTCAGGAGGAAAGGGGAAAGGAGGGATGACGAACCTGCACAATGACCCGGCCAAGAACAGGACCCTCCGGATCCCGCACCCCCGGACCCCGACCCTCCCGAACTACAGACATTCGAGAGATCGGGATTAGGGTCCGTAGCATCGGTGTGGCACGATCCGTCATACAGCGCTTGCGCTAGAATGCTCTACATCAGCCGGATATACTCTAGAAAGCAAGGAAAGGGATAGCATGGCATGGGAGACATACAATTCACACTCAAGTGCTGAGAGGGCTGGCGCACCACAGTCTGCGTACCATCGGGTGTTAAGCTGTCTTCGCAGCGGACTTGCGCTGAGCCGCCGTCCGACGTCGATGATCCGGTCCAGATATCGATATGCCATGTTCCCGACTGCCAGTCGGAGTCTGCTCGATTTTATTTTTGCTCCCGTCAGATTGCTTGATTCTTCAAGTTTGATGGAGGGGGCAGGGAAGGGGAGAGGAGCAAATACCGCATTCTTGACATTCGTCCTCATAGCGTACGTATTTCTGGAGATACGGCACGTAGATGATTTCACATTTGTTGAATTCCCCGGTCGACGTCGCCATCGTTAGAGGGTCGTCATACGTCCCGGTTCCTGGGAGATATGTTAGAAAGATGCATGATGGATGGGTTTGAGGGGCATATGTTGGGAAAGGGGGCAGTACCGCCAGCAATGTAGTTCCTGTTGCCGCAGTTGTAGGCAGTCCCGGCGCCGGGTGGGGAGTTGTCGGGATAGCCGTAGAAAGTTACTTTCACATCGCTTTGGGTGCTGCAGGCTTGAGCTCGTAGGGATGAGATGGCAATACCTAGAGAGAAAGTGATGAGGGAGGAGTATCTCATGGTTGAATTTAGGATGATAGAAGAGACTTGAGAGAATAGGATTATATGGTACGGGTGTGAAAAGAAGTGAGAGGTAGGTATGTAGGTATTGACAATGAGACAGACTTCTACGGGAATATCCAACTGGGAATTCCAGAAGCCTTTATACTCTGTGAAAAAGAAAAAAAAGAATTGTATGTGAAGAAGTAATTGAGAACAAGAGAAATTGGGGGGAAAATTTCCAATACTATTTTAGTATTGTTTCAGTAGAACTAGATACAGCACCTGGGGCGAAGAAGTGCGGCGGTGCGGAAAATGATACTATTCGGAGCGTACTAGAGTTGCACCGCATCTGCAAAGCTCAGAACAGCGGCTGGTACAGTGGTAATGCACTGCCCAGGACCCCGGATTCTACTTACATGGGATACTGTAGATTGGCTGCGGGGAACGTTGTGCGGAAGGTATCTCTCAGTGGTGGATGGCTTGCGGCTTACTGTATCGTAGCCTCGTAGGATTCTAGTTACCGCGAATCCCGGCTAAATACTGCCCCTCTACCTACATCTCCAACTCGGAAAACTCTTAGTTAAATGAGTTTTGTTGAATTCTGTTCATATCGGATTTTCCAGTATATGTATTCCTTTGTACAGTACAATTAACAATTCGGTTGATGATTGCGCTGCCCAGTACACAAGGCGATGTGAAGGATTCGGAAAAGGTCGTTTCAAAAGTTTGTTAAAATAGACGTAACATCGCAGTGCCGCAACCACCCCTGAATACCCCGGATTCCTCCTTACTAAAAGACGGCAGACTGCAGATCGCGGGCACATGCGCATGAAACGTATATCGATTGGAGAGTGAAGAATAGACTTGGGCAGATTTAAGGCCTTTGGTTTGTTCTAAAATTAAAAATGCATGACTGCGATGTCCCGAAGAAGCAGGTAGGTAAAGGACGGCTGGAACTGAAGTATGATGGTTGTCGGAATTCGGATTCCAGAGGATAAATTTCGGTCTGATTCAGGGGAGTAAACTCCGTAACGTTGTCGTGGTTGAGGATAAGCGTGGATGTCTCAGCTGCTTTAGGCTTTGGAATGGCTCTAGACCCGCCCTGGAATCAAGCAGGGCTTCCGGTATCTCGAAGTAGGATAAAAACACTGAATATCAGAGGATCTTAGCCTATTGACACAGGAGAAGCTTTCTGGAAAAGCACCGGGTCTCAATCTTTATCAGAACGTTGTATATGCGTGCATATGTTCGCATAGCCAATTATCTGCAGATCATCATCCAAGACCTACAGGTCAGCCCCGCATACAAGTTCACTTCCCCCATCCCCCCGCCGCTGCTGATTTAAAGATCTCCTCGATTATCTGCGGTTCATTTTGAACCGAATGTCCTGCCCCAGATGGGCCTGGATCATTGAACTCAGCAACGATGCGCGTCTGGTTTTTCCCCACCTCGAGAATTATCCCGCCGGTGATCTTCCCTGCGCTACACTCGTCTTTCTCCACGAGATCAAGCATCGCATTTGCCACGTCTTCCGGTTCTACCCACTCGTCGCCTGCTGCCTCGTCGAACATTTTAAGCTTGTCAGGGGCCTGAAGGACCGACTTAGGTTAATCTGCTCAATCAAATTGTGTTAGAAAGGACTAGAATCCCTACCTCTGTCCAGATAGGGGTTTTGATCACCCCTGGCGCAACGGCAGTCACGCGGATTCCGAATCTTGATTCCAAGGGAGCCAGGCACCGGACGAATCCCGAGACTGCATGCTTGGAGGCCATGTATAGCGGAGTAGATGCCGAGGAGATCTGGCCGGCGATGCTCGAAACGTGCAAGATACTCCCCGGCTTTTTCTTGTCGAGGAAGTAGGATAGGGCAAGCTGGGTCGTCCGGATTGGATGTGTGACATTGATGTCGAACAATCTGTAGTGGTTACCATCCACCGGATCTTTTGACAGGGCGCTGCCTGGAGGATGCCAAAAATTCGACCACGTCTATATTGACTATCTCGTTACTTGCTATCCCGCTTCGAGAAGAGCAACAGGGGACTGACCGGCTCGTAAACACCAGCACCGGGTACCACGATATCAATATCTCCGAAGTGCGACAGGGCGGTTTGGAACATACGTTCCAATTGCTTCCATTCGGTGACATCGGTTTCCTGGAAGGCTGCTCGGCCTAGATCTGCATTTTTGGGAGCGGTATGTGCATCCACTAGGTCCTGGGCTTCCGGCCGGAGTTTTATGTCGGCGAAGAGAACGTTACATCCTCGTGAGAGGAGGGTGTTGGCAAAGGCCAGATTGATGCCTGTTGAAATACGTAAGTTTGTTCATTTGGAAGGCCCTGAAATGAGGGGTTGAAAATACCTGATCCTGCTCCTGTGACGATTGCCGTCTTGCCCCGCACCGAGAAGGCCATTTGCTGAAATCTTTTCTCTTCTATGTTTCACTGCTGGAAATTATTGCTATGAGTTTAGGAAAGCCTTGGTTAACACGATCCGACAGAACTTCCAGTTATATACCTTAGCTATGGAGTCGAGATCTGGGTGCCGAGTAGCAGATTGGTAAGCCTCAGCTGGTCGGTGTTATTACCCCGAGCGCGTAAAGAGCTCGGCAAAGTCCCCTTCCTTGAGAATCCTTCCAATGATCTCAAATTCTCGAGAGGAACCTTGTCTTTGGCCTTATCACGCCTTAAAGCAACTGACAAGGGAGGGGTTCATCGATGATCTGTGGCATTTTAACCATATACTGGCAGAATAGTCGCTTGAAGCTTTGAGGCCTTGCTGTAGCGAAGTATATACGCCATAAATGGTGTGTCAACGCTCAGTTTGGGGATAGAATGGGTTATATAGGTATAGGCTGATCCGCAAGCGGTCTTTATAGACGGCATTATTTCTCCTCCAGCGTCTGGTTCAATCAAACCCTCCTATCGAAAGATCGATGTCATGCGCGCCGGGATCATTGATTTCGCTTTGCTCCAGTGCAGGCTCTGCGAGAGCCTTCTGTAATATCGTCCTATCAACAATCCTCTCGTTCTGCATAAGACAAAACATCACTTGACTTGCCCACTCTCCAGTGTGCTAAGCGCCCGCCTCTTCTTCGGCCTAATCTAGCTCACTCGCATCTCAAGCAAAAAGAGGCTTAAATTTTCCCAGTACAACGGTACTATCGCAGATGGTCAAATATTTAACGCTGCGTTGCTACTCAGCAACGAGGTTGACTTCTGAATCAAATACAGAACTAAAAACTGCTGCGTCAGGACAGAATATTGGGGAATATCGGATGTTATTGGTGTATACAAAGGAGGGCATTGCGATTGACAACATCACCTCGGACCGTGCGCTGCTCCTCAAGCATCAATCCAATTAGACAATGAACGGTCCATATCCATTTGTTTGATATTGCAGAGGAAAATTGCGAAAACTTTGTCTGCGGCGTCTCGGAGTAAAGATGCGCTGGTAACCTCGAAATTGGACTGACTGCTGAAGAATGGGGGAAGTGGAGAAATGTGGAAGATCGCGTAATCAGGGCAGCACTCGCTGCATCTTCATGTTTGTTCTTTTGAAGACCCTGTGATGGACAACGCTCCTATAATTCGTTGATGACAAAGGTCAAATGGAAAATCGGAGATTTCTTTTGAAGCTTTTCCCCTATTTTAATTATGTTTTTTAGTGAGAGACGGCTTTTCAGGGACGGAGGACCCCTCCCCCGCCGCTTTACCGAAACGGGTGTTGCCCCGGCGGCGAAACTGCGGTACCTCGAGGTACGTCCGCCCAAGTAAACAACTTGCCCAACCGTCATCTCACTCTCTCAGCCACACCTCACCAACAAATCCACGACATCTTGATCATTGCTTGCTGCTTCCAGTTGAACGGGTGATTATTCCAGCACGAAATCACCAACTACTCGCATCGATCGGTATCCGCTACTTCGCTCAGGGGGGCAGTTGGCAGAGAGAGACGGCAACATAAAGGGGTGGGCTTTTAAGGACATAGCAGCCAGTCCGGGAGATCGGAAATAGTGAGGAACCGCATGAGAAGGCCTTTATCACGATGGCGTTCATAGAACAGCAGAGGTGGATTACGGTCCAGCAGAAGACATTCACGAAATGGTATGCTGTCAATTCAAGTGTGGAGTACGGGCGGTTTGACTGATCATTGGGCGTCTAGGATGAACACCAAGCTGGAACCAAGAGGCTTGGCAGTTGTAGACTTGGTGAAGGACCTTGGTGATGGGGTATGTTCGTTCTCGATTTCTGCTTCTTCTTGCTTGTAGGGTCCTGACAGAGTCTACCCAGGTCCTCCTTATCCATCTCCTCGAATGCCTCTCCTCCGAATCCCTCGGTCGTTATGCCGCCAAACCAAAACTGCGGGTACAACGATTCGAGAATGCGAATCTGTCTCTCGATTTCATCAAATCACGTGGAATACAAATGACCAACATTGGTGCGGAGGATGTAGTTGATGGCAATCGGAAGATTATCCTGGGTCTAATATGGACATTGATTCTACGATTCACGATCTCAGATATCAATCAAGAGGGCATGACTGCCAAGGAAGGTCTACTGCTTTGGTGTCAAAGAAAAACGGCGTGTTACGACGAGGTCGAGGTCAGAAACTTCACGGACAGTTGGAACGACGGACTTGCATTCTGTGCGCTACTCGATATTCACCGGCCTGACCTGATCGATTACGACACATTAGACAAGAATGATCATAAGGGAAACATGCAGCTGGCTTTCGAGATTGCCGACAAGGAGATCGGAATTCCTCCCCTTCTAGACGTGGAAGATGTCTGTGATGTTGCGAAGCCAGATGAGAGGAGTTTGATGACGTACATTGCATACTGGTTTCACGCCTTCTCGCAGATGGAGAAAGTGGAGAATGCCGGAAGGAGGGTAGAGAAATTTGTGAACAATATGCAGGGCGCTTGGGAGATGCAAAGTGCATATGAGAGGAGGATGAGGGCGTTGTTGAAAAATATTGAGGAGCAGAATTTGAAGTGGCAGGAGTCAAAATTCGAAGGCACGTATGTGGATGCGAAGAGACAGTCAGTCGAGTTCAGTGCATATAAGCGGGGGAAGAAAAGGGAGTGGGTTGCGGAGAAATCTGATCTTACTGCGCTGCTTGGAAACATCCGCACAAAGTTAAGCACTTACCGATTGAGAGCTTACGACCCACCGCCAGAGTTGAGACTTAGTGTCTTGGAGCAAGAGTGGGCGAATTTGATGAAGGCCGAAATGTCAAGAGGGCAACTCATCAACGAGACGATCAGAAAGTACGTATCCTGTACCTTGGATAAGACATTGCTAACCATTTGCAGCATCAAAATTGCCCTTCAAAAAACGTTCGCTGATAAAGCGAATGACTTCGCACTCGCACTTAATACAATGCAATTGGCCATATCGGGGCTGGAAGGCGATGTCGAGGATCAACTGACACATGTGCGGCGACTGAACGATAGCCTGGCCCCCATGAATCAATACCTGGAAAAGATCGCAGAGATGGACCGGAAATGTGAAGAAGCGAACATCGAAGAGAATGATTTCACTACCTACACCTACGACGAGCTATCCTACGAGCTTGGCCTGGTCAAGAATTCCGTTTCCAAGAAGCTAGCATTCCTCGATAACCAAGTCGTGGCCCGAAATATGACAAATCTAACCCCTATCCAACTTGAAGAATTCGAGTCTGTTTTCCGACATTTCGACCGCGACGCCACAAACAGCCTCCAAGAACTAGAATTCAGCGCCGCAATCGCCTCTCTCGGCCTGGTCTTCTCCGAAGATGAAATGCATGAATCCTTCCTAGAAACCTCGAACGGTAAAGACTACGTCACCTTTGAACAATTCATCCGCTTCATGGTCGACGTCACAGAGGACCAAAACACCGCTGAGCAAGTCTTCCAGAGTTTCCGCGAGGTTGCGGACGGGAAACCGTACGTAACGGAGATGGACCTAAGACATAGTCTAGTGCCGGATGATGTTATCGAGCGACTCCTGAAGGTTGTGCCGGAGCACAAAGGTCCGGACCTCCAGGAGGATCGAGGCATGAAGCAGTACGATTATATAAGTTTCATGGACAGCATGATCGGCGGTCCTGAAGAAGAAGCAGAGAGACAAGAGTCCCCCCTACAGGATCTCCCTAACGGCAGGATTCCCCAGAGGTCGAATGCTATTACAGCAAAAGTGAACGGCCACCGTTAAAGGACCGCACAGTAGGCAGCGGGACGGAAGGTTACGGTACAGCTCAATTTTCAACAGGTGAGGCAGCGTCAGGGTATGCGTTCATGTTGTTGGTGTTTGGTGCGGATTCAGCGATATACCATGGTGCGGTGACGGGTTTGGGGCTTTTTCTTTGTTTGATGAGCGATTGACTGTTGTATGTATATTGTGAATCGAGAGAGAGAAAAGGAGAGAGGGCATGAAAAGAGATGGATGGGTGATAAGCATTGGGAGGAGCACTTGCATTGATAGGCGTTAATAACAAAATAGAATATAAAATCAGAAAGCTGTCAGTACCTTATAGGTCCATGTGTGGATTTACAACGTAGATACAGATGGACTAATATCGGTGCCCGAGGCATACATGAATGCACTTCGGCCTGGTCACGCTTACGATGTGCAAAAAAAGATGACTTGTCCACCTTGATGTGGACAGATTATGATTTATTGTTAAACTGTTTGATTTTTAATAGGAGTTATCTCGAATTTCAAAAAGGTATACGCATGTACACGCTGGCATTATCTTCCTCACTCACTCACTCACTCACTCACCCATCCTCTCCTCATGACCATCACCATCCCCTCTCATCCACCCCCCAATCTATTCCCAGACTATCCATCCCCCCATTCTTCTTCTTCTCCTCCATCTCCTCACAGAACATATCCTCCTCTGCCCGCCCCCGCTCCACCAACAACCTCACTCCAATCCCTAACCGCACGACCTTCCTCCAGCTCTACGCACCACCATAAACACTCTCTGCTCTTGTCCAGCTGGCCCCCTAACTCGTAGGCGCGCGCCAGCGCAAACCACGCTTCGGGATAGTTCCAGCCGGTGCCGAGTTTGGAGAGGGTGGTGAGGAGGCCGTAGGCGCGGTCGCGGGCCGCGAGGCGGTCGAGAAGGGCCGTGGCGGAGCAGTCTTTGGCGGATGAAGAGGTGGTGGTGGTCATGATGGATGCTTGGGGTTTGATGGAGGGGGAGGTGGACATGCCGAGGGGTCCTTGCGAGAAGGCTAGGGGGGAGGTGCTGGGGGGGAAGGAGGGTTGGTTTGGCGATGGTGTGGAGGGGGTGGGGGTACTGATGGCTGATGCTGAGAGTGTGTTTGCAGGGCCAGGTAGGATAAGGGATGGACTGGATGGAGGCGGGAGGAGGTCTTCATTGTAGATATCCAGTAGGATATTTGATAGGCCGACGATGGCAGACGGATGGTCAGCGAAATGTGTCAATGCTGATTCATAGTCTCCTAAAGCAACGTAGGGCAAGGATTCAGCGGCTGCGAGGGCACCGCGCTGGAAGAATGTTAGCTACTGTCAGATATAGGATCGAAAGGGACACAAACCTCGGAGAACACATCACCCCATAGCTCGTTCACGCTCTTGCCGCCTCCCCACCCTGATTTGGATGTTGAGACAGTGCCCGTAGTATCACTGGAAATTTCCGCCTCTACGGTCTGAACCAGCTTCTGAGCTTCCGCGATCGCACCTCTTGCATCATCATACATTGATGCCCGACGGTAAAATCCAGATATTAACAGCCAGACTTTCACCAAGATGGATGTTCTGCGCAGTTTTTGTTGTCGTTTGGGGAATCTCGTCGCAGGACTTGTAGATGAAGTATAAGCTGTCACGTTTGGTAATCGGGTATCTTGAGCTTTTGCTGGATCGGAGCTAGCCGGTTTCAACGACTTCTCCTTGTGGGCCATTTGTTGTGATTTAGGAGGCAATGGTTGTTGCATTGCTTGTTGCGAGTTGTTGATAGTGGTATCATCAGAAATAGCGACTCCCACCTGACTAGCCCGTTGGTCGTTATCAATCCATTGACCTCGGTCTTGACTGTCGCTTGGAGGAGTATAGAACTCATCGCCATCGACAACGGCTGCAGGATTCGTGATAGTGCTGCGCCGTCCCGCACTTATGCTTCTAGTTCTGGTAGCCGCAGATGACTTTCTTCGGAGCCGTTTTTCAATCTTCGGCTGTTTTTCGAGTCGATTATGTTGCTTTGCCTCTCCGCCACTTTCATTCGTGACTTGGATAGTGGGCGCGGGTGGATTGGCTGTTGTTTGGATGGCCTGGGGTGTTGCATCACTTCCAGACTTTTCTTCTCTTATCGGCGCAGTGAGTGACTTCCGCACAGACCGATGCGAACGACCAAAGATGCTTCCTTTGATACTCTTAATAGTACCTGCAGAGCTTTTAGGGGGAGGACGCAAAGGAGCACTTGGAAGGGGTGCTGTGACAGCTTGTTGTGGATCTCCAAACAATCTAGTGTACAGGTTGAGAAGCTCATCGCTGGAATTGACAGCAACTTCTGGTCCTTCTAGAACCTCAACCAGAGTGAGTTGCGTAATCTTGACTTCAAGAATATTCTCCTTTTCAAAATCATCCATATCGTCAACGACACCCTGTTGTCTTGGAGGAGACTTCTCATTCAAATGGTCGCTTCGATAATCGAGATCCGACTCCCCCCAGAGATTCCTGGGATCCTGGAACTGTTCGAAGGCCCCTTCACATGACCTCGCTGCTGTCGAGAATTCTTGTCTGACACTAAGCAATAATGCCATGAGGTGCCACAGAGGTACTAAGGATCTCTCCTTTGCGAACCGGCCAGGGTGTGATCCCACGTCATTCATGCGGCCTCTAGACGATTGAGCAGATAAAAGACCGGACTTCACCACATCAATAGCAGCAGTTAATTCCCTTCGTTCGGCGAGAAGTGTTCCCAATGCAAACACCGTCTCAGCATCAGCTGTGCTTTCGTATTCTGGTAGCAGGGATTTCCGAAGACATTTCACCGCTCTCAGTTGAATATCCGATCTCAACGAAGCATCAGGAGTCAGCCGCGCCCATTGGGCGTGGCTAATCCCAATACACCTCCAAGCCAGAGCAAAGACCTCCGGAGCTATAGCCTCGCCAAGATCCGTAGTACCTCTAGTTTCAAGCGGTCGGCCATGCTCATCCTGCCTTGGGACAGAGTGGAATTTTTCCAGCCAATCTTCGACAAAGCGCGAGATATCTCTTGCTTTTTCCGCTCCCTGCCGTGAACCATATCGACATAATGCCTTGATACATTCCGAGGTTGTCCTGAGCACCGTCTCATCATTATCAAGGGCTGGCTCCCTCTCTCCGGTCCGTTCAATACGTGCCCTGCTTCTTTTGACGATTTCCATATAGGTATCGAATGCCTTGAACGCCAGGTCGAACTCTGCTATTGACAGATGGACCGTGAATAGGTGTCGCAGAATAGCGGTAGAATGGAATGTCTTCGTAGCTGCTCGATAAAGAATGTCCAAAACTCCTCTGCTAATAGATTCCGCTCCACCTTCTCCCAGATCTTGTTCTCTCCAGCTTCTTCCGCACAGTATGGCCCAGTTCCGCATCACAATATCAACGAAAGTCTCCACCTCTTCATTGACTTCATCAGCTTTTGGAAATCGTACCTCGCTAAGTAGCAAGCCCTCGTATTTTGCCTCGACCGACTTTAATTCGGCTCGTTGTTGGGGTCTAGTCAAAGTTGTAGCGTGTGAGATTGTGCGCTCTGGGGCCGGGAAAGGTAAGTCCTGCCTCAGGAGGTTGGAAAGCGTAATGTAATACTCCATCCACACTTGTCGTCGAGGAGCTTTAGAGTGTGGTGCATAACCACCAGTGACCGTAGAGCCCTGACTGTCCCAGAACTTCCCCCATGCCCGGAAAGCAGACAACGTCTCTATCTCCGATATAGAGGTAGTCTTCGACTTCGCTGCTTGACTAGAAATTATGCAGAATTCGGTCAAGAAAAGCTCTGCCCAGACTCGCAGCTCTTTCCCTGCATTCTGCGCTGAGGACACAGCCACCAAAATCGGAAGTCCAGATTCGAAGGTTTCCAACGCCTCAGCAACTGCTCCTATCTTTGCCATGGAGCTCCCCTTTATAAACAGAGCCTTTGCAGCACAGACCTTTGTCCATTCTGCCGATTCCTTGTTCGTCCCATCGAGTTGTGTAAATTCCTCCTCCAGTCTATTTGGCAGCTGGCCTGCTGCAACAGCCGGTTCGCCCAGGAGCCAGTGTATCCAGCCAAGACAGACTCGTGCCTGAAACTCATCCTCCACGTGAGTTTTCTCATCCTCAATAGCACTGCCTAATTGGGGGATATACTTCGAAAGGGTCGAGTATTGAGAAGAGGTCGCGGTCGAGGGTCGCGCGCTTGAAGGTCGAGAGAGCGCGGCCTGCGTGACGGCATGTTCGCATTCGGCGGTCAAGGTAAGGCCTATCTAAACATCAATAGCCATCCATTTTGCCACAGGTGTCGGTTATTCCACGGGAGCAGGCTGGTACGTACACGTCCGCCCAGGCGCATGCTTCCTGATCTTCCTGACAAGCTCTGGCACAGCAGCCCAGTTCCCTTCACAGCGCGCCCCATCCAACAACTGGATGTAATGGGCCGCCTTCGTCTGTTCGCGCTGCAGGAAGAACTGTTAGACTGTTCTCAAATCACAGCGATTCCACTTACGCTCATCTTTGGGACGGTTGGAATCTGGACTGGTTCCCTGGCCACAAAATTATCATGTTATCATAGGTTAGCAATTACATGCTTCCATGACGGGCGCTAGTATCCAGGGTTCGAAAGGGGAGATGCAGGGTGGTAATGCAATTGATATAGGAAGTGAAGGATTTCAGCCTTCCCGCGACCGCACTGCTGTCGATGGGGTTCGTGTCTTGGCGTGTTTAGTTATAGCTCTGTCCCTTGTAGCCAATCAGAACGTCAGTTTCACGCCCGAACCGACTTTCTGAAGGGTCTGCAAATCTATGTTTCGACGACGATTACTGGCAAAAGGTTTTCTCTCTTTAACCCAATTGCGAAATCCATCCTGTTCAGATCTATTTCGTAGACTGAACTATCAATCCCAGTCCTCTGCATTGATCACCCGACCCCATAATTGCTATTTCGACGGCTGTGGCTTCACCAATACCAAAAAAGAAGAACATAAAAAGCTCTCTAGAGCCACAGGAAAATTCCTAATGTCTCTTCCACCTGAACTCCGGGTGTTGTGCTTCCAGCTCTCCAATACCCCCACAGAGGATCTCCCACGCCTTACTCCTGTTCTCCTACAATATGTATCACGCTGTCAGGTCCCGTTGTCCACCCCTGCAGGAAGTGCTGCCGGTCCTGACGCATCTTCTTCCTCAGTGCTAGTGCACAAGCTCAAGACCCAATTATCCACATTACTCAAAGGCAAAACCCTTGAGGCGAGGTTCACTGCGGTGCTTTTAATCAAAGCTGTGGTCGAGACAGGAGGGTGGGAGATTTTGCAAGCTTCGGAGCTCAGGAGCCAGTGGATTCCAGGGCTATTGTCCATTCTTGTGGTTTGTTAAACGTTGGCCTTCAAGCTCAAAAGCTAATCTGTCCACAGAAACAAGATAGTGCTATCACAAAAGAATTGTGTATTCTGGCACTCACCAAGATCTATTGCATGACCCATCCATACCAGACCCTTGTGCGGGAGGTCACGACACCTACGCTGCCTACCTTTGTGACCTCTTGTCTGAACCTGATCTTGTCCAAGTCCTCGGGCAAAAATTTTGATGTGCCCTCATCTCTGATTGAGGCTATCTTCTGTTCTTTCTCAACCCTGTTGCCTCGACATACTACCATTTATCGGCCAGAGGTCTCTCGGATACGTCTCGCCACAAAGCCTTACCTGGCGCCCACGTTGTCGGACGGTTTCGTCCCATCGTCACTTAGAGAGAGCGCTCGTCGCCTTGTTGTACTGCTTCACCTCACCGCCCCCAAGAATGCTGGAGGTGAGGAATGGGGGAAGGCTGTGCGTAGTCTCGTAAAGGAGGTTCACGTGACAGCCGATCAAGTCTTTCGAGCTGTCGTCGAAGACTGGGAGTCTACTGCAGGGTATATCGGCGAGCCTGTCGATTTCAACCAAGAGTTAGCTGGAGGCTCTGATGCTGCAGATGGCTTACCTAGCTGGACGGGTATCCATGCTGGTGTCGAGCGACTTGTGGGACTGCTTGCTATCTTGGAGGGGTACATCAAGAGTGAGACATCGACTCCTGTCTCGATACCGCTGGGTGCTGTTATGGATATGGTCACCAGAATGCTGTCGATTGCTATCCCATCATCATCGGGATCCTCTGGGAGTGTCCGCTTACATCCTGCCGTTGACCGAGATGAGCGTGATGGTCTATGGAGTGGCATGCCGCAGATATATGTCGCTGCACTGCAACTCATCAACACTCTTGCTAACCGGCTACAAGAGGGCTTTCTCCCCTTAGCGCAAGGAGCTCTTAATCAGCTTACATGGGTTTTCCCCTCAGGCAGGCATGACCCATCATTCCGTCAACAAACCTACCGACTCAGCGCCAAAACCTTAATGTTCATCGGCAAAGGCCTGGACAGGAATCAGGCTGCCAAGCTAATTCCAATTGTTCGGTTCTGTTGCAGGGATTTGCAGGCCGATCCAGGGTCCGTCAGCTCTGGGTCACCATCCGGAACCATCCCCAGCGAGTTGAAGGTCACAAGTCACAATGGAGCTACTCCTTTGCAGAGCACGGTTGGTGTGGCTGTAGATCCCCGAATGGAGAATACGGAGCTCTTTGGTACTGCCAGTGAACTCTTGCCTTTGCTTATTTCCCATTTGCCTCAACAATATCTAGATATCTCACTGCGTGCTCTCATCGAGCGTACGGCTATTTTGACTCACAATAAAGATGCTATGCTGGCTGGCATCTTGAATCCATTCATAGGAAAGGATGGAACGGTGATGACGAGCATTCTGCCTCACATGACAAGAGAGTTTGGGGATGATGATGTGGTTGAGGTCCTGCTACGTCCACGCATGCCGCTTGTTCCTTCCCCCGTTGCAAAGATCTCAATGGAGGAAGGCGTTGTGGGGCTATCCGAGGATGAGGACATGGTCATGCAGCATCAGGATACTATTTCCGAACAAGAGGGGCCCCGTGGGGGTGCTGTTGGACCGGGGGAAATCAACCTTGATGGACGAGGCGATGATGCGTCAACAGAAAGCCATGGACTAGGAAACACGTTCTCGGCACGATCTCTGGCTCGGGATGCCAATGCCGACTCGTCTGTCAGCAGGACGAACTCACCAGCCCTTGGTACTGCGCTCGCTTCACCTCCCTCACTCTCACAGCCTCCTGCTGGACCAATTGGTTCAACTAGTCAAACCCATACCCAATCTCTTCAACGAGCGGAACATGTTGATACCAACATGGACGAGGACTCATCAGACTCGGATGACGGTAGTGTCCATCTCACAATGGAACTGGATACTGATACGGATGATGATGGCGCTGTTGAGGCGTAGGGCTGAAATAAGGTTTGGCCTTGCCAGTGGGTTCCATTTATCAGTGTACGGTAGCTTCTCGATAGCCTCAAAACCCCAGTCATATTCTAAATCCCGGTTTTTACAACCCTGGAGACGATGTCCTGAACCATCCTACTTCTTACGCTGGGCAGAGTGACTCTGTGATCTTGCGGCACCTTTTGGGTTCAGTCTCGGCCGGCTACTGTCCAGTGTTCATATTTAAACATACCATTCTCCCCCCGTTATTCCATTTTCTCCTTCCCCTCTTTTTTTCTTCATCAACCAACAGCCAACAGCTCATTCTCGATAAACCAAGACCACTCTGAACTCAATTCTAACTACTTTGACTTCAAACTTTATCCCCTCCTCGGTCTACTTATCAGAACTTCAATCCCACCCACCCCATTGCTCTTAGCATCCCGGTGTCGACGGATTACGAGCACATCCAACTACCAACAACCACGCTGCTTCACCAGCAGCACTTTACACCGTTTACAGTGCCAAGCATTGTAACGATATGTAAGTTAATACTCCACCCCAGCAACCATCACTACAATGCCCCTGTCCTTTGCTTTAAGAATTCAATTCCTTTTAATATATTTAATAACATCACTGTCAACAACACTGTCGTTGTGGATGCTATTCTTGTTGTCACTTCTTTGAATTATCTCTAGTGGAGCAAGGAAGTGCGCAACGGCGACGGATTCAACTGAGTCTCGCCGCTTAATATCCCTACTGTCCTTCTCATTCACTCTGCCTTGCATCTTATTCCTATAAATCATCACTGTCCTCTATAAATGCGGAGTCGTACACAAATTCTTAGCACAAAACTCAATATTTTAGTGAATATAAATTGACTCCGCAAGGTGCGCCGAGCATCACCCGAAATAAGCTTTTTCATGACCTTATGGCAGCCCGAGGAAGCAAGAATAGAGTTTTGGCTTCCAAAACGGTTGAAGTGTCGTTAGAAACACGTGATTGGAATTAGGGGTCCAAATCACGTTTTTCCTGTCTGTATCATGTGACCTTTGCTTTAGTGTTCACGGCCCCTGAAATTCGCGGGATCCTTAACTGCTCTCATCGTAGTGAGAGCGGCGATGTTGGCCCAGGGTCGCTGGCGTCGTGCTTTATATCACTGGCGCCAGGGACGAGAATGACCTGGTCAAGGTGACCTCGACGTCGCTGTCTATTCAACCTCGCCGTCGCTGTCTATTCAACCTCGCCGTCGCTGTCCAGTCAACCTCGTCGTCGCTGTCATTCAACCTCGTCGTCGCTGTATATTCAACCTCGTCGTCGATGTCCATTCAACCTCGCCGTCGTTGTCTATTCCACCTCGTCGGCGCTGTCTATTCGACCTCTTTTATCTCAAGCTTTCAATACCATTAACAAACTTACTGCACTTGCCTAGAACCACTTGCCTGGAACTTGACGATGCATTTCATTCTTCTTTGCCATCTTCCCTACCCATCCCAACCTCGAGATTGTCGAGCTTGTCATTTCCTGTCTCCATTGACCTCCCCCTCAGGCGGTTTAACCTGCTCATACCATTTTATTGGAATGCATAGTGTGCAATCCGATAATGTCACTCCGCTTGCGAAAGTAGCCTCGCATCACGAACGATCCCTATTTCATTCTTCCCTGACGGGTCACCACATCCTCTTAACCCAATTGAATTAAATTACTATTTCCTGTCCCTTTTTCGCTTCTGGAAATCCGCAATTACCCTTTTTTTGATCGTCGTCGCCTTTCTTCACGGTGGTTTGGATAAATTTACACTTGCTAACATGTTGAATAGTGACTATGGAAAGCATGGAATTAGCCAGTGTGCAGTACTGGACGGACTTGCCCGGCATGCTGCCGGAAGTAAGAATTCTTACTGTCCCTCAGATCGCGGCCATTGTCCAGGAAAGGACGGAAAGGATGAACAGGCGTAACCAACGGGATACGAGGGGCCTGTGCACGATAACTCCGGAGGCGGTCATTGCTCTTATTGCAGAGCAAGGATGGAGTTTCCAGAATCCGAATCCGTGGGGTTTCCAGGGAGTCACTGCCCCGGAAGTCTTCCTCGATATTCTTGCGAGGATTTATATAAAGGGCGCCGCGAAGATAAAGGACAAGTTCATGCCTACCCAGGCAAAAATCAGCAAATATACGGAACAGATCGAAAATCCCACCACGACGAGTAGGTCCGCGAACTGGAGACACTATATCAAGAGGAACCTCGAATACTTTCTGGCACCTACACAACATCCTATCTCGGCGAGAATGGTGTATGGATTGTACAAGTTTCTGAGTGAGGGCGAGAAGGCTCAATGTAAGAAAGCAGCTGCCGAGGGATTGCAGGTGCAGGGTATCTTGACCTGGGAGGACCAAGATCGGATGACGCCCTATGAGAAGATCATCTGGGGCCATTCTCCGATGTCCTCATTTGAGGAAGCATACAACATCGTCCTTTGGTGCCACCTCAAACTTGAAAATGGACAGGAGCCTGTCCACTTAGGTCGGGATACGACCTATTTCAGAGTCACGGGTCAATCATCGACGATTACCAAAGACCTCGTCGCGCAATTCATCCAGAACTGCCCTGGATGCGAACGACGAGTCGACAGATCCGGAGCAGCCCGTGCCCTCGGGTTGCAGACGGAGGCGCTGAGGGCATCAAATAAAGATGCCGATGGTGAGAGTCCGAAGCGCGGGAGGAAGCGCAAACAGAATGAGGATTTGCCAAGCTCCAGGACAAAAAGGGCTCGCAAGTCTCCGACTGTCCCTGTTGTCCAACATAATGAGTTGGACAACATGAACCTGTACCGGGCGGATGGGTCTCCGCTCCCACAAATGCAGGTTCCTACACCCCCCCAGAGTTTTGCTGACTCTTGGGACATCAACAATGGCCAGCAAATTGGCAATGGCCACCAATTTGGCAATGGCCACCAATTTGGCAATGGCCACCAATTTGGCAACGACCCACTATTTGACAACGGCCAGCAATCCAGCAATGGTCCGGGATCAGATGATGACCTTGAATACGATGCTGGCCTAAGCTGCACTGACGACCCTGAGGTTCTTGACGTGGATGACGGCGAACGATTCGCTGCCGACCCGGAGATTAACAGCGGGACAGAATTCAATAACGACCTGGAATTCGACGTGGGCCAACAATTCGATGTTGGCCAGGAATCCAACTTTGACCTGGGAAGCGACTTTAGCCAGGAACCCGGCATCGTCTATGAAGGCGATGTCAACCAACAACCAGATGTCCCGGATGAATTATATGCTATCCGGCAATACCTCGACAGTCAGCAAGATAGCAATGGCCAGCATCTTAGCAATGACTATACCTTCGAACCCGTCGCCAATCAAGGCGGCTTCGGAGAATCCCTTCCTGGTCTCTACGGAGCACCACAGGACGCCGCATTCAATCTTCATATGGATGACGGTTATTTAGAAGGTGCTGCAACCTTGGACACGCCACCTTCCCTCACGGCAGACAGTCAAAGTCCTGCCAGCTATGATTATTCTTTCAGTCCACGGGAGCCTCAAGAGGTTATCCCGGCTGATGAAGAGATCGACCCAAAATTGTTTGAGCATCACAACTGGGATGACTTCGGCTTGAATGGTCCAGACTCAGAAGGCTGGAACAATGGGCTGATGTAGAGAATAACATCGCCCCGTCCAGCAACGGACCACCTGGTGTTACGGCTCAGGAAGCTTGGAAAACTGGTATATGCGGAGGAAACAAGAATCGTCAATTGAATGGACGAGGTGAACATGAACACCAACCACTACATCAGAGAAGAGGTATATGCGGAGGAAACAAAAAGAGCGCCAACGCAACGCATGGCGACTCTCGAGGTGAACATGGACACCAACCACATCAACAAAACGGTATATGCGGAGGACACAAAAAAGCGCTGATGCAACAACGCATGGCGAGGTGAACAATGGATACCACTACATCAGAGAAATGGTATATGCGGAGGACACAAAAAAAGGCACTGATGCAACGCTGGCGAGGTGAGCATGTACACCAACCACCACATCAGGAAAGAGGTATATGCGGAGGACACAAAAAAGCGCTGATGCAATACAACGTATGGCGAGGTGAACAGGGACACCACTACATCAGAGAAACGGTATATGCGGAGGACACAAGAGCGCCACATGGCGAGGTGAACACGGACACCAACCACCACATCAGAAGAGGTATATGCGGAGGAAACAAAAAAGCGCCGATGCAACAACGCATGGCGAGGTGAACAATGGACACCACTACATCAGAAAATTGGTATATGCGGAGGACACAAGAGCGCCACATGGCGAGGTGAACACGGACACCAACCACCACATCAGAAGAGGTATATGCGGAGGAACCAAGAAACATCAGTGGAATCCGAATGGACGAGGAAACAAAAAGCGTCAGTAGAATCCGAACAGACGAGGTGAACACGGACACTAACCACCACATCAGAGAAACGGTATATGCGAAGGAAACAAAAAGCGTCAACTGAATAGACGAGATTAACAGTAGACACCTACTACCACATCAAATGATCAGAGAAGAGGCATACACAGAGGAAACAAAAATCGTCAGTAGAATCCGAACAGACGAGGTAGACACGTACACTAACCACCACATCACAGAAACGGTATATGCGGAGGACACACAAAATCGCTTCATGGCGAGGTGAACATGCACACCAATTCATCAATCACTACAAAACAAAACACCCCCAACCCGTCACCAAAAACGGAGTTATCAAACAGACTATACCTACCAATCGTCATCGATGAAACAAAACAACATAAAAAAAAATCAATCATGAATTGTTCTCTACAATTCACCAAGAAAAAAAGACACCAGGCAATGAATGAGCCTAGGAAACAGAACCACAAATAATATCAGGATTCGAGAAATTGTGAAGTTGGAAGAAGAGGATGGATGGAAGGATGGATGGAGTTTTTGGAGTTTAGATGGAGGATGGAAGATACCCACCCAACCTGCCCGCTCACTTGAGCCTGGGCTTTGGAGTTTGGAGTTTTGGAATTTGGAGTTTGGATTAACAAAAAGATACCCCCCAACTCTCGAAGAAGAAGTAGAGCTGGTCCTGAATTGATAGGAAATTGAATTGAGATTCAGTATAACAAAAAACAAACAAACAAACGTAGGCTTTTGGAAATGAAGTGAAGTGAAGTGTAGTGATGAGTGATCTGATGTGTAAGATGCTTGTAGTGAGGAGAGGCGCCACCCGGGAAAAAAAAAGGGGGGGGGGTATTGCTGAACACGCCCATCCCCCTCATCAAAAACCAACGCAACAACAGCTCCCCCTTTTTCACATACCTCCAACACTTAATAGTCCATCAATTACTTATTCATAAATCCCATTATCCTATCAATAAGGTACCTGAAATCATGATATATATGTATATGCACGACCGATTAGTTAAGTTAGCGCGAACATATTTTCAATCTTTTGATTTCCCCCGGCAACACACAACACAACACAGCAGAGCAGAGCATCCTATCCTAAAGCCTCAATCCCATATTCACATGGACCGCCTTAGTCTGCGTGTAACCCGCCAATCCCGCCTCGCCCAGCTCCCGACCGATACCGCTCTGCTTCACGCCACCGAAGGGAATGCGGTAGTCGGAGTCGTTGCTGCTGTTGATCCAGACCATGCCGGCCTCGATGCGCTTGGCGACGCGGTGGGCGCGCGTGATATCCTGGGTGAAGACGGCGCTGCCGAGACCGTACGTCGTGTCGTTGGCCATGTTGAGGGCGTCCTCTTCCGTCTTGAAGCTCGCGATCACGACGAAGGGCCCGAAGATCTCTTCGCGGTAGATGCGCATGCTGGGCTTGACGTTCGTGAAGACGGTCGGCTTGACGAAGAATCCTTTGTTGGTGGTGGGGCCTTGGGTGAAGGCTTCGCCGCCGGAGACGAGTGTCGCGCCTTCTTCCTTGCCGGATTTGACGTATGCCAGGATACGCTCGTGTTGGGCTTTGGTTACTTGAGGCCCTTGGAAGGTGGTTTCGGCGAAGGGGTCACCGACGACGGAGACATCCTGGATTTGCTTCTTGAAGGCTTCTAGGAAGCGGTCGTAGATCGTTTCTTGGACGAGGATACGAGAGGTGGCGGTACAGATTTGACCTTGGTTGGACATGATGCCTGGGACGGATCAGTAAATGAAGAGAAGTTGCGAATCACTACATATAGGAAAGGTCATGACTTACCAACATGGGCCCATTTCACAGCCTGTTCCAAATCTGCATCATCAAATACCAACAGAGGACTCTTTCCACCAGTCTCTAACGTAATGTTTTTCATGTTAATAGCCGCCATCTTCATGATCTCTTTTCCGGTAGTGGTGCTACCCGTGAACGCAACTTTATCAATATCCATATGCGTCGCGATAGCAGCGCCAGCTACTCTTCCATACCCGTTCAGGATGTTAACCACACCAGGTGGGAAGCCAGCCTCCTTAATCAGGTTTGCCAGGTATAAGATACTCAGCGGCGTCTGCTCCGCAGCCTTGATGACAACGGTATTCCCGCATGACAGCGCAGGGCCTAACTTCCACGCCGCCATCGCCAGGGGATAATTCCACGGGATGATCTGGCCACACACGCCAATGGGCTCTTTGATCGTGTATGCAAACTTGTTCGCTCCGGTATCGATGACCTGGCCGTGGATCTTGTCCGCATACCCACCATAGTACTTGAAAACCGCCTGCACCTCCTGGACATCACCGATCGAGTCGCCGTAGGGCTTCCCATTGTCCCACGTCTCGATCGTGGCCAGTGTGTCTGTGTGCTGGCCGATCAGGTCGCTGAGCTTGATCATCAGGTTTCCGCGGTCGGTGGGGGACATGTCCCGCCATGAGGGGTGCTTGAAGGCTTTGCGCGCGGCGACTACGGCGGTATCGACATCGTCCGCGCTGGCGGCGTAGACGGATATGATTTCGGTTTCATCGCTGGCGAAATGTTAGATCTAGATGAATTGGCGGGGGGATCATGGGCCATACGTGGGGTTAATGGAGGTGACCTTTTTGCCGTCGCTGCTCTTCACCCATTCGTTGTTGATGAAAAGACCCGTTGGTTGAGTGTATTTCCTGCCATTGGGAGCCGTCAGGTCGACATGAAGGTCTGCCATCTTGATTGACGAGCTGAAAGACCTGCTAGATATTGCACTGTTGGTTGTCAAGGGGACGCTCTGGGTTGGTAACTGCGGGGATGTCTTGATCAATCGAGGGAGAGCTTGGTGATGAAGTGATCTGCGGAGCAGCGATGACAATGGCAGAAGACGTTTGAACATTGAAACAAAAAAGAAGAGAAAGAGAAGAGAAAAAGGAGGGGGAGAAGAGAGCTTTTATCGAGTAATCCCAGTGGGTTCCAGAAGGCGGAGGAAGACAAAGCAAAGCGGGGGGCTGACATGCATGGGAAGAATAATCTCTGTGCAGCTCTGCAATTGTATTGATAATTCCTGATAACGAAGTTCAGGGTAGACTTACCTATCGCGGTTTAGGGGGAAGCCGGAGCTGGGGGATTTGAGTTGAGACTTGATGGGGAATGGGCGTCTGGATGATGGTTCTCTGCGGGGGATCCGGGAGTGAGTTGATTATTATTAAATTTGTCGTTAAAACCGATTCTGATCTGTTGATTAATTATCGTTAAAACCGATATCGACCTGATGATGAATTGACTATCGCCGATTTTGTTGCATATGACCCCGCGGAGCTTACAGTCGTCATGAAATGGGGGATAAGGCAGCAAGGCAGCAAGGCACTACATTAGGTAAGCCAACTGTCAAGTTCAACCCCTCGTTTCACGTGACCCACCCCTCCTGCGGCCATCTGGAAGACCGCCCTTAAATCAACGATGTAGAACATCCCGCTGTCATTCTCTCAAGTCTCCTCTCGCAAACGCACAACAGAATCGTTCCAACTTCACACTGTACGGGAAAAGACTTGCTGTAATTCTCACTTTTTCCAGACGTCTAACCGATATCGAATTCCCCGCCCAATTGCCCGCCGAGTATCACCAAAACACCCATTCCACCAGCTAAAATATACAAATCTTATACAATCTGTCCCCTTTTTATGTACCCGTTTCTCCATTTTCTCCACTGCCCCCTCGAGCCTTGATGCCCAAGGGGGTCCTTCTGATCCCTGGCGCCCAAGGAAAACAGCAATTTGTCTTCGTACAACCTTCATATAGCAATCCCTCCACTCCCACCATTACCAACCAAAGCAGATGGCCACCTCGCCAGAACACCATTGCTGCCTTCCTTCCGCGGCACAGAAGGGCGCGGGAAACCGCTGACCAGATCCAACAGTGCAACAACTCCGGGCTAAACGCTAGCAAAATCAAAAAGACGCAGAAAGGGGTGGCGTATTAGGTATGATAACTCGCCACCAAGGGTATTAATGACGGTATTAATGACTCGCTCATACGCGGTCGGTATCGAAATTCCCGCTCCAGATCCAGATCCGCGATGAAATGGCAGAGGAACAAATAGAGAGGACGGTTGCCCAAATGTAGCTCTTGTTCGCTCAGTGATCGATGAGATTATATGAGGATTCGAAAACGTAGATAAAAACACAAAAATAAACGTTGGGATGCTCGCTCGTTGTACAAGGCAATTTGCTGGTGTTAGGTACAAGTAGGAAAGTTTTGGTTATATTGATATTAGTGCGCTGTCTCCATCGTCGGTACGAACTGTCGGAGTGTCATTATTTGGAAATTGTTCCTGGGACTGGAGCGTAGTAGAAGATCATCGGCGACTACCTTCACCCGGCCATCCTTTCGCGTACGGCCCCCGCGAAAAAGGGTCAAACGGTGGTGGTGGAGGGCCAGCGCTCGACGTAGGGGTATTCGCACCAGTTGTTGGCGGAGGTGCTGCGGTATTTTCGATCCGCAGCGGGGGGAGGCTCGTGGGACCCTGCCCCGGAAAGCCCGGTTGAACAGGAGGCAGGGTCGAAGCTGGAGGAAGTGTGTATGTAATATTGGTGAATTCGCCACTCGCGCCCGTTCTTCTTCTCCTCGGAGCTCTCTCTGGTGGAGCCGATTCCTGCGGTTGGAAGCTTAATGGTTGTGGAGGACCGTGAGCCTGCGAGGGAAGTGGTTGACCATGAAATGAACCTGCTCTCATGGATTGAGGGCTTGGTGGCCCTTGCATAGCCATATGTCTCGTTTCCGGGGTGCGGTAGAGTACATCTCTCATACGATCTCGCTCACCGCGGTAGAAATCCCTCTCCTGCTCAACCTCTCGAACTCGCCGTTCCAGTTCTCGGTTCTGCTGCTGCATCTTCTCGATCGTCGTGTTGGCCTCCTTCTCCTTTTCCTTTCGTCGTTGACGGAATCTCGCCGATGCCCCTGCATTGCGCGCGCGCTTCTCGTCAGCTAACCGCGACGCTTGGTGCACGTCCACAGGCACATGATAACTGCCTTCGGACGTGGTTATGGTTAGAACTTGGATGGGATCGGAGCCAGGCGTCTGCCGACTACTGCTGGCACTGGCACTGCCACCTGTGCTACCCGTCGACACACTGGGAGGAGCACGGGAGTACGGACCTTCTGTGGCCGAAGCTGATGGCGCTTGGTATTGTAACCCGCCTCCTGCCTGCTGCGCTGTCTGAGCACCAAACGAAGATCCCGGGTAATACGACGTGCTGGTTGGAGGTGGTGGTCCGCCTTGGTAGTGAAAGGAGCTCATTGAGGGTTGACTGGAAGGCGTGTTGGCGGAGGTCGAAATGATGGGACTGGCGCTTTGGGAGAGCGGAGCTCGTTCTGCTGCTTGCATCGTAGGCATGCTTCTGGTTCTTCGATCAAGGGTCTGCGTTGGCTCTGGGAGCCCGAACTGTGGTTGGGATCGCTCTGGTGGCGTTGGCATCGGCGCTCTTCCCGATGATGCAGCTTGGCCTGATTCGCCGGTGTAAGTTCGACCTCTGTGAGTAAGGAAAGGCGACCGCTGAGTATCGATAGTTCCTGGAGGCTGAGCCGCTCTCCCCATCCTGGTAGCGAGTGATCTTGGAGTCAAGATACGGCGGGGAGCCGGGGTCCCACGATTCTGGGGAGATGTCGCATGATGACCTTCTTGAGTCGGCGGTGTACCAGATAGGGTTTCATGACCCTGAAACGTATGTGGCGTACCTGCTATTGGGCTCGCACCGAAGTGCGATGCTGGCCCAACTGCTGAGAGGGGGGATTCTGCATTGACAACACTGACACGCCGACTTGATGAGGGAGTGCTTTCTGGCTCCGTCGGGTTAAGTATCGAATAAACTCCAAAATCCCTAGATGGTCCTGATCTCCACTCCTCGCCTAGTGATGTCCGAGTAGATCGTGGAGATGGGAATATTTGCGAATACCCTCGGTCCTCAGACTGGTCCGCCTGCTGTCTTCCTACCTGTCGCCCACCTTGCTGTGGTTCATCTCGAAGCTGAACGGGTGGAAGAGCTATCTTTTGACCATCTGGAGGTGAGCGAGATGCAGGACGAGACGCAGGAGGCCGCTGCGACATCGAGTCCTGATCCCCTAACCCTTGATGGTCCCGAGGACCGGGACATTGACGTTTTCCAGCCCCTTCCCAACTCTGCTGCTGATAGCTCTGAAGCTTGGTTACAAACTCAGCAAGGCGTCTTTCAAGGGATTCTGGCGACTGGATTCCGGAAAGGCGTGATGTTAACGCCTCTCCTTGGGCGAAAGAATCGAGACTCGGAGTCTCGCGCAACGGGCGACTAAGGATGCCTTGTACAGCCAGATCGAATGAGTGTTGCGGGCTTGCCAATGAGGCTTCCCAGCTCCCAACAAGGTATCGGCGGTTATGAAAACTATTACGAGCGTCTTTTGGCTCGAATGGTCACTCTTAGATGCAAAGCATTGCTTCTTGCGCCGCAGCGGACAATATTGCGAAGTATTTGTAGTCTTCTTCTGTACGATGAGTTGTTTGCTTGACAGGGATACCTCGGTGATATTGGGCGAATGCGAACTCGAGGAAACTGGCGGCAGATATCCAGTCGGTAGGCTTTCGAGCAGGTGATCACTATAGGACAAAGTCAGTGGATGTTAGTTGGACGCACATGCGGGAGTAGAACCAGTAGTGGAAGTAGTTCAAGAGAGGTCGCCCAACGTACCCGTGAGGTGGGGGATAGCTCGATATAGACGGGCCAGTCAAGAGCTTAAAGGGAAGCTGGGCCTCGCAAGTGGCCGAGAATCCTGATGGACCTGAGGACTGGTAAAGATGCAGGCGTCACTACCAGCCAAAGATGGCAAAAGGACCGCACATAAAGGTCTGGCTTTTGATGGCTGTCGTCGTATGTTGTATGAACGAATACTGAGCTTCACGCAGCTTTTTGTGTTTACTTTTTTTGTTAAATCAGCCAGCAAGCATTGTTTTTAGGTCGGGGGGACGCCCCAAGCTTTTGGGGGATGAATCGACCCAGCCGGCCCAGTCCCCACGCGCCGTTGCCCACAGACCAGACGCTCTCTGCTCTTCACCGTTCCAGCGCCCTGCTCCGTAAAGATCAGACCGTGGCGCGTTCAGGGTCGGAAGAAGCTGGGGTGCTTGGAGGCTGCAGTAGCGGAAGGAGCCAACTTTCCAAGGTACCGGGGCCAACGATGAGTTAGACGGCGAGTAGACGGTTAGCAGTACGAGGGAATTGACTCTGTACGGGCAAGATCAGAAGATGATGCTTGACATCGCGAGGCTAGAGAAGAGCTTGGCTGGCTTGAGCTTTTCCCAAGAAACTCCGTGCTGGATGGATGGAGGCATACCCGATGGAGACAGGTCGCGCGGCGCGGGGCTAGGATATGAGGGTCGCGCGGAAGGCGGGAGACCATGCGCAGACTGAACCCCTGCCTATCACGTTATACTGAGTCCAGTGTTAAGTTTGGGGACCAGGGGGGCACCAGTCCTGAGGGCCATGATGGGCCATGATTCAGGTAGAGTGAGACCTGATGGGACCCTGATGGAACGGTAGGGGAGACTAGGAAGGGCGTCTGGTCGACCCCGGAAACCTGGTAGGTTGGTGATCTCCGTATAATAGGATCGGCGCGCTCACGACCGTTGTTGGCTCAAGTCCACGGGTCGGGAGCCTACTGCTGAGGGCCGACCCAACCTGTTTGCAGGATAGTTCTGGTGAATCATGAACTACACGGTGCGGTAAGCCTTGAATCCCTTGACAGCGTTGTACGGAAGCACTGGACAGTGGAGACTCAGCGGTCGAGGCAGGCCCGGTCACCAATGAACCGTAACCTACGGAGAAGGCTCTTCACTTCTCTCAGGCTCTGGTGCCTCCATTCATCGTGACGCACAATGGGATCAGACGTGGGAGCTGCAGCCAGATAGAGAGAATATGATTGATTAGAACCCATATCGCGGTGCAGTAGTATATCCGCGCCTACTGCAGTCTGCAGCGAAGAGGCCGGATGGATGGAGGGTTGAATCACGTTGTGGCTCAGCTATTTTTTCTCCGTCGGTAGCCTTTCCGTTCTGCTGACCACACTACTGACCAGACTCCAGAGACGACGCAGCAACGCAACGCAACGCTACGCAACGGCTGCCAGCAACGGCTGCCCTGGCGGCGGGCGATGTACGGGGTACTTAGTACCTTTTACTATTCCTCCTTGGCGTAGTAGTGTGCAGTAGAGGCCGACAAGTCATGCTGCATAGGGCACTTATGCAGCACCTATTCGAGCAAAAATATATGAAAATCCCTATGTTTCTTGGGTGACGCTTTGTTTTCTTCCCCTGTTTCTGTTTCTTTTCGTGAGATGCCGTTTTCCTTACTCTTCTCTCCTATCTTTTTTCTTTCTTTTTTCCCCTTCTCATTCCTTCTTTTCAATCTGTATGTCACCCTCCCCCATCTCACATGGGATCTGGAATCTGGAATCTTGGTTCCAGCAATGTAATCCCTGCTACTCATGGCGGTTCGTTCTGGCCAACCGCCCTTGTGAAACCACGACCATGATTCCCCTGGCCCGCAAGATTGATACGGACGATCGGGCACATTTCATTATTTAGACGTCCTCGGTCCTCCGTCAATAATATGAACCTTCGCAGCGGCAGGGGTTGCACTCATCGGAAATCCCTTGATCCTTGGAGCCCACGAGCATGATCCCAGATTCCCAGGTCGACCTCGTACCCACCCACCCCCGGAGAGGGTCCATGATTCCGACATCATTTTGCATTCCTGTGTAACGATGGAGGTGAAGCTCCCTTGTTAGTAATTCAACCACCGAATATCCAGCCTTGGCCATCGGCATTATGGCGTTTCCCAGACCCGCTGTTGGGAGTAACTGGAAAGGGCTTGCCAATGGTTGCTGTTGCAAATGTAACCCAATTTCATCATCAAAAGAGGCATACATGCCTGTATAATCATCCGGGCTCCAGCTAGTCCTCCTTTCCTTGACTATTATTTGACGATCTTGCTTGAGAGACAACCTCAACCGACCCATGTCGACATCTGCATCTGGCCGTGTTGGTTTACGAACTGCGTAAGCCATTCCAGCGGACCGGTGAGGCGGCAGCAAGATGAGATGCAGTAGCTCGGCCTGTGCACTGATACATATATATCAACCCAGGATCCTGGCCAGGCTCTGCGGCCGCCCCGAGTAGTCGTTAGTTGGCAACTTGCACACTTGGTAGTTCCAGAAAGTCGGCGCGGTGTACTAGCTAGATGCAAGGAAGCGCTTCTGGCAACTTTTACGAGATGCTCAAGTTCGATCCACGGTGTGCACAGTGACTTGGTCGCATGATCATTCTTACCTTCACGATGCTCATAGGAATGGAATCATCATATAAAATTTCGCTATTCTTCCTTTTGCAGAGAATGTGGAGGACCTTGCGCCTTGTTCATATGGTTGGTTGGATGAAACGCTCGTGCGCCGCATGCCGTGCCGCTGAACACTATCATTGGGAGGGGTTTTCGACCACCATCATTCGCTCTCCTGTGCGCGTCGCTGCGCATGTGTGATGCACATAGGGGAGTTGTGTGATGTGCATAGCGGCCTAACAGTATCTGTACATGATGTTGGAAGATCATATCATTGCTCGCTCTTACCTCGTAGGTAGATCTGGCCTGGAAAGGGTGCGACTGCCGGGTTGAACTCCCCTCACATGGAGTAAAGTAAGACACTCTCTCAACGGCGCCCCAACGCCGGGGATCCTAGGGATTGCAGGCGAGGCAGGTGATAACCAGGGCGGCTGCAGATCTATTTACGCAACGCTGGAGACAATGGTTCGGGTGAATCTATTCCGTATGATGGGCGTGACAGATGACTGGTCGTTCTGTCAAGCGTCAGTGTCGCTACTCTGGCTGCCCGGGAAGAGCAACCTTGAAGCCGGACCTGAAATCCGGTCGACCTTAGAGCAAAGAGTAGAGTGAGTAGTGAGTGAGGCTGTCTCATGTCGGGGATTGGTCAAGTAGTTAGGCCTGCCAACGTGTCTTCACAACCCGTCCCTGATCTGATAAACCACAATTTAACCGTAGGATTCAGGGCCACGCGAAGGCCGGTAGTCGGAGACAACGATGATCATAGCAATTTTCAACTGCAGCTCCGAGACATATCGCCCAACTTGCACTGACGTTGTTGAGTACCGGCCGCTAATTTCAGGGACTTTTCGTCTCTAAGCCTAGAGCAGCACCTCAATTTCATGCTTGATACCCGGGCTCTAGGAACTTGGGAATGATCTCCTTCGTATACGCTCAAGGGTCAATTTCTGAAGCCCTCCTTTACCGAGTCGGCCGAGCAATGAACGCCGGCTAGGGAGGCATGTGGGGCAAACCGGCCCGCTGGGAGTGACCAGATTAGCGTTGCTGAGAAGTCTTTCCTGGGTTCAGTCTTCCGGGAGGTCTAGGTGCCTGGACGGCTCCTCTCTTCAACGTGACTTAAGACTGCCAGCCCAACGCTGCTCCGTAAAGAGCCATAGTGGTAAACTCACGAGTTGAATGGTTGGTCCCATCGCCCGCGGCCCGCACCCCCGTCTTAGAGGTTAGCACACCGTGCTCGCCGTTCCGAAGATCATATCATGGGTATCACCCAACTATACATACATGCGCCAAGAACCAGGATTGAACTTTGAAATGAAGAGGCGTCAACAGGGGCGGGTGTGGGATCGAAAGGGGGAAAACAATAAAAAATAATAATGTTGGCCTTAGATCGCTACCATTTCCCGGTCAACGGCCGGCGTCCCTCCGGCGTCCCGCCAGCGTCTTGTTGGCATGTTTGGTATCACCAGGCTAGAAGGTTGAGTTCTAGCAGGGCAGCGATGAGGTCCCGGCGCCCTAGCGGCGCCGCGACGGAGTATTTACAAGAGGTAGCACGTGGGTTTTTACCCGGCTTTGGCACGGTTTTACCACGTGATTCATGTAGCATAGAGGTTCCGCATGCATTAGGCATAGGTAGTAAGAACAATAATAATAATACCATTTACCGAGAGCACGCACTATCTTGCGGTTGGGCTTTGATAGCCAGACGTCGAGCAGTTTGATCAGACAGCTAGAGAGCGACTCGGGTTTTGAAGATGCAAGCCTCATCACATCATCAAGCTCCTCTCCTTTCCTCTCGCCGGAGAGCCCTTCCTGCTACAGTAAGACCTCCTACCGTCGAACCCGTAAGCTGGTCGAAACATCGCAGGAGACAAGGCAGCCAACTGAGTATCGCGGGGCGGGACGAGACGGGCGAGGCCGAGTGGCGATGATTGGGCTTCGACGGCCGCCCTCGACCGCCTTGTTGATCCTCACCCGCGCCAAAAAAATCTGCTTGACGGAAACACACCGTACATACAGGTACAGGAAGTCGCAATGCATAAGTAGTACGGCAAGACAAACGGTAGCCCGTCCCCGCAGCGTGCAGACGACGTACATTTCTCGTCACACTACCTACCAACCGTTCGCGCATACAAATCTTGTCAGGTGAGCCGCGAGGGTCCCAAGATTTGAAAATAAGGTGTTGCGCGCAAGCTTTGCATGCATGCAGTCAAATGTTTTAGATGTTTGGCATAGAGCCTCGAGCGTGTTCATGGAGCCCCGAGCTTTCGTTGAGGATACACGAAAATAGAGGAGACCGAGTAAGGACGAAGCGTGTATTGAATAAACGATGACAGACTGACTTCCATCGTCCAGGCACAATTGTAAGTGCTGGAAACACACCTCTTTCTTCATAAACGGGGTATAGCATGCATTGATGCCCTTACCTTCACACTTTCGTTGTTGGACACTCCGCCGTTCGGCGACAGAAAGTCGGTGTCTGGGCATAAGAGTAAAGCCCGGGAGCAGTGTTCGGTTCTTTTGCATTCCAAGTCCAGCCCTCCTTGCAGGCTTCACGATCGGGACCCTGGTTGTAGACGATGTTTGAAGAATGAAGAAGAAAGTCACGCTCCAGTTTCCCATATTCGTCCTTGAATTGCGGGTTTGAAATTCCATCTAGCCCCAGAGCTTCTTGCTACACAGATCTCAAGATGTTATGATCAACTCCTTCCGAAACCTGTTCTTGAAGGAGACTCCAAGTTTCTTTATATAGTGCCTGTTTCTTGCAGGTTATAACGCACTCTTAATAGTTAGATTATGATTGATTCAAAAGATTGTGTCGCACTCATCAGCGAGCATAGGCCTCATTTCATGGTGTGGCATGATAGGTGTGATTTGGCATCCATCACAGAATCCTTTCGACATGGCAAGCAAGCATCGAAATTCTATTCGATTCGAGACCATCGTGACTCGCGTCACAGCAAGTTCCCCACAAAAGCTTGCGGTGTACCGTAGACAAGGTATTTGGGATCAACACCCTATCGCTTCTCCTCACAAGGCCTGTATGCCAAAGAGCGGTCTGCCGGAAGGATAAGGATTTGGCCCCGGTGTGCAGCAATGGGTGTTGACGTATGTATGCACTATGTAGGTGTTTTTGCGAATTCGTTGTTGCGTCTGGCTGGGTATGTTCGAGGGATGTATGGAGTAGATGTACACTATACAAAGACTGTGATGGGGTGGAGATGGCGCTTAAGCGGGTGATTCGTATGCACGTGCCATGAACTGCACGGTTCATAAGTATCCCTGAATTCCGAATAATGCCTGTTTGTTGTAGCGTACCACACGCAAACTTCCCTATTGATCCGTGGCTCCCCCTTTTTCTCTTTTTTCTTTTTTTCCTTTTTTCTTTTCTTTTTTTCCCTCCTTCGCCTTTCTCCTGCAAAATATTGCGGCGCGAACGTCTGCCTAGGTAGGGTCCGTACTCCGTAGTTCACGCATGGCTGTGAATAACCTTATCCGAAGAATAAAATCCCTAACAAAACATCCCGCATCCTAACTGGCCTATCAAGGCCTCGCAAAGCTGCGGAAGGGGCCGGCTTCTGACATGAACGGCAGATGGGTCTCGGGGCCTTCGAAGCTCGGAATTCGAGGCAGACCAATAAGTAGAATTCAAGAACGCCTGTTGCGGAGAGTTTTGCGGAGACTTAGCTCTAGGGCTGCAGACTGCAGTTCCGGCGTACAACGTCAAGCTTAGTTGTAGTACGGAGTTGCAGTACGGAATACCTCTGTACGTTGATAATGGAGTGAGGTCGTGATTTGTTCGTGATTATCCCCTATCTAGCGGTGCTCGGCAAGTTGTCGGGGCGGATCCCTGATCTCAAGGCCCGAGACAACAATCTACCGCGGCGTGAGGGCCAGCCTCCATGTTGCCTAACGCCGTGCGCTCGGTCTGGAACCAACGGCGACCCAGAGTGTGCACCGTACGCAGTACAGAGGTACGTAGTCCGTAAATTAGTAATGACCAGGAGGGGGACCAGGAGGAATTCAATCCATGAGTTTCAAATCCTCCCGGATCATGACGTTGTTCTTGGTATCGTTGGGCGGACAAGTCAACAACCGAATCCTCCGTGTGGAAAGAAACCCAAGGATGATCCGATACACAGTACAAAGTATCTCCCTGATATCTCCGCCGCGGGCGTATATGACGGGGAGGGGGGTAAAGGAACGGTCTTCAAAGCTGGGATGCGTGGAACTGAAACCTTGCATGTACACGCGCCGTACAGATACGCAAATCAACATGCAACTTGTCATTATACACGTCACACGCGCCGAGAGACGCATTCGGGGCACCTCTGCCAGGGAGTGACAAAGCAGGAAATCAAAAAAAAAAACAAAGCCCAAGAATGATCTGAGCAAAACTTTAAACCAAAAGTGAAAGAGATGCCAAAAAATACAATAAAAACGCTAAAGAGAGCTGAGAAAGCGAAATAAAATAGAAGTAAAAGTAAAGGCAAGACGACCGGGTACGACTTCCTGGAATCCACCTACAGGGCGTCGCTTTTGACTTCTCATCTATTTCTGCACGACATCCAGATAGAAATGCTTGCCCAGATACCCGGCCGTGCATCCACAGATAATTTGCCTGGGGGCATAACTTTGATTTTGAGATCTCAATGGAGCATCTCGTGGGGGTAGCAGAATCGAATATTCAAAGCCCATACATGTGCAAGTGCTTCAGCCTCATATTGGTGCATCCCAGGTGTCGTCTTGAAATCGTTATCACGAATCTGTTGTCTTCCCACGTCGTTTCCGCATCGCTATGATCGTGTCATCTTGTTTGATTGTCTATTTTTTGGCTTTGTGTCAGGAAGAACGGTGCGATCTGAAGTGACGCAGAATAAAATGTGGGCGAATGATCCTCGCTTCCATGACTGATGGGGACTCCATCAAGCGACCCCACGCCCACCACTCTTCAAGACCTCATTCTCCACATCATTCCCCTCATTTCGGCGGCCATATCTCCTCTCTCCTTTTCCCGCTCTCCAGCGAGTCCCGAATTTGCCCATATCTGCCATAAACCAAGATGGATCCCGAAATCAAGACATGGACGGTTACAGAGCCTTACCTCAACATCCACTGCGGGTTGGGCGAAGCGCCCTACTACGAAGCGGAAACCAACACTCTGCGCTTCGTTGATATCAAGAAGAAACAGTTGCATACAGTGGATTTGGCAGCTGGGCCAGCCAGTTTGAAGACTCTGCAGTTGGATATGCCCGTTGGTGTCACTGCGGATATTGAGGGAGTCGACCCTCGCGAGAAGATCTTGGTGGGTGGCAAGAGCGGGATCTACATCTTGGAGAGGAAAACGGGGAAGTACGAGTTGTTGAAGAGGTTCCATGACACGACCGAGCAGGATGAAAGGTTGAGGAGCAATGATGGTGCGGTGGATCCCCAAGGTCGCTTTTGGATCGGGGTGATGAATGATTTCTGGGTGGGCAGCCCGAAGGCTGAGGGTGAGTTTTTATATTCCATATTTCTTCCTTTTCGTGGGTGACGTTCAGTGAGGAAGATAAGTATCTATGACCTCTTGTGAAAGGCAGTTGGCCCGCAAGTCAAGTCACGAAGAGCCCTTTGAATGACATCACGTGATTTGGATCCATCTCATTCATCCATCTTTCGTAAGACCTGACCTCGACCAGGCGCTCTCTTCCGATTTGACTCTGACCTCACGCGGAATACTATACAAACGTCTCTCACGATTCCCAATGGAGTCGGGTGGTCGCGCGACCAAAAAACCCTCTACTTCGTCCATTCAAGTGAAAGACGCATTATCGCCTACGACTATTCTCCCTCGGATGGTGCCCTGACCAATCCTCGAACCTTTTGGCAGAACACCGGTTCTGGCGAACCAGACGGATTCAAAATGGACACGGGAGGCTACATCTGGCAGGCGATTTACGGGGAGAGTCGAGTGCTCCGGATTAGCCCTGAGGGCAAAGTGGTCGGCCAGATCACTTATCCGACGAAAGCTATTACCTGCCCGGTATTTGTGGGCACGGAGCTGTGGGTCACAAGTGCCAGTGATGAGGAAGGGGGTGAGTTTGGGGGCGCAGTCTTTAAGGTTGATGTTGGGATTGGAGGTCTGAATGATTTTAAATTCAAATTGGAGAAAGGAGTCAAGGATCTCTAGATGAGTTTGTTCGGACCTCATGGCCCAGATTGAGTGTGGGGTTTGCATTTCGTCGTAGACAGGCAAGTTCATAACCTCCAACCACACCTAGGTAGCTAAATCTCAAGCGCATTTCCCTAGGTTCAGGATTGGAACCGAATTCCGCACGCAGTGAGAATCGTCTACGAGGGTTAGTGTTGTACAAATAGAGAAGGAAAACTCGTATGTTATGAATTCTCCTTTCCAAGAATCAGATCTAATGCACGAACGGAAGTCGAGACACTGGAGAAAAATATCAGCTTCTGAGATGCTTCCTAGGACCTAAGACTTCAATGAAGATGGGACGGCCCTACTCTTACTATAAACAACTAGATTCACAAATTTTCGCCCCTTCCTAAAGTTTTGCCTTGGCCGACTCCATCCCCTTTTCTCCTAGAAGCTCCCATCCTTTGCCCCGATAGTTCTTGGGCCAGATCCCATTCCTACCCGGCGCCAAAATACCGTTTGGATCTAAGGCATCCTTCAGAGTCTCGTTAAATCTCATCAGCGCTTGGTTATTCCACCCATATGTCTGGGCCACCTGATCCGCAAATAGGAGATGCGTCCTATATTCTCCGAACCCCTCTTTTGCAGTCTCGGCAATCATCTCACGCATCAAGCATCTCGCTCTCCTCTTCTCCTCCTCATTCCCGCGATCATACACGACAACTGATATATAATGGATCTCGCGACCTGCAAAGCAGAGCGTGGGCCAGATATCGAACCCCCATTTCTCATACAGCCTCTCGATGATAGAATGTACTGTGTACGCGGCCTTCGGGTCGGTGGGGGTTATGGGTGCAAAGAAGAGGTGTGCAGCGTTGGGCTTCCAGTTCAGCCACTCGAGATCTTTGAGGCTGGGGACACCACTGCATACTTCCGCACGTTGATGGAGATAATGGTCTTTTGGGACGTCTGATGGGAGGTAGAATTTGCTTCCTGGTATTTTAGCGAATTCGGATTTGATCAGGGCCAGCTGGGAAGAAATCGAGTCTGGATCGCCGTATTGTGTGCCGTAGAAGACCCAGGCGCATTCGCCGAAAAATAACTTGCTCACGCCATCTTTGATCACTTCTCGCGGCATTGGTCCGGAGCCCGTGTACCAGGTTGACCTTGGTTTTCCTGTGATAGCTAGCTCCTGGATCGAATGGCGAAGCTGGGGGACGTTCCCTATAATTCGCTTCAAAGCAAGTGGTCGGATGGTTTCGACAATCTTCTGGAAGTCATCTTCTCGTTTGAAGGTGACCAGATATGATTGATGGCCTGTATCTGGCATGAGCCAGAATCCCATCTTCACGACGATACCGAAATTGCTTTGGCTGAAGATCCCGTCGACCGATGGTCCGAATGCGTTTTGGAATGATCCCCAGGTGGGATTGTCGGCGCCATCTTTTCCGGGAAGGGCGCCCATACCAGTCCTGAGAAGCTCTCCATTCGGGAGGACAACCTCCATCCCGCAGTGATTCGCAAAATGGTCGCCGTAAGGAGTATACCTGTTTCAGCTAGTATCTTGGGTCCTATTCTAGGAGAATGAGTAACCTACCCCACCCCGCGATCAATGGCATTCCCTAAGACACTTCCACCTCCAAGGTCTGGAGTATCAACCCACAGAGGCAAACCTGGCATCGTTAGATGATTTATACCACGGACTGTTGCTGGACTTTACCTTGTTTCTTGATCTCTTCGTACAGCTTGAAATAGGAAACTCCTGGCTCAACGATACAAGAAGCGTTGTTAGCATCAAGCTTCAACACCTTATTCATATTTCTCCCCAAATCAACAACCACAGACCCTGGAACTCTTGGTGCAGCACCTCCATATCCGATATTTCTCCCCATAGAAATAGGATAGATGGGGATCTTGAACTCATTCGCCCATCTCACAATCTCTTGGACCTCTGGTACCGTGGATGGGTATGCGATAGCACTACAAACCATCTCTTCCTGGTCTACGATGTGGTATGCATCATGGGTATTGCTATATGGTAATTAGCTCCCTGTCAGAGGTCCACTTCAAGGGTTTCTTTCAATGTGCGATTCAAGCTTACGGATGTTCCATATACCATCCATCAACGAGCGGCTTGTCATTCAACTCCACCCCTTTTTCTCCAAGTACCTTCTTCAATGCCACAATTGCAGCATCGAATTTCTCTCGGCTGGTATCTGGAGGCAATCTCAGCGGAGCTTGACGAGGCTTGCTAAGAGGAATTGTTCGCAAGGCAAAGCTCGATTTTTTGGCATATATGGCATCGTCACGTAGACGGGCTGGTACACCGCTATGCACTTGGTCCAGCGATGGGATGTCGTTTGGCTGAGACATGTTGTGGTTCAACGAGTACCGTTTCTTGTTCAATCTTAGAAATGGAATTGATGAGAATGATCATGAAAGCAAATTGAGGACGACATGAAAATGAGATTCTCAATACGTCCTTTAACCCTGGAGTTGAGGGAGGTTTTCCGGGGCGGTCCGGGCGGGTCGGCCGGTCAAAACTCCCCCACGGGGAGTGAGGTGAGGGGTATTGCGGGGCAGGTCCTCAGCGGACTTTCATAGGGCCGGCAGTTATGGATTCCGCTACACTTGACTCCCCCCCGATGGCTTGAAGATGCATTCTCCCTTTATACGGGAAACCCATCACGAAGGGGGATTTCCACCTGATCGGACTTCTATTACGGACTGTTTACGCCCGTAATCGACCAGATCATGGGCTAAACGGAGTAATTGTTCCCGTCTTTTACACTGCCGCTCTTCATAACCGTTGGGGGTTCCTCTCGTGTTTCTAAATTCATTGTTTCTACGTACCTTATGTCATAAGCAAAGGAATTATGTCTGAACCCTTGAAAGGTCTCGGAAGTCCGAATTTGTCTCATCCATCCACTCACTAACCACTTGCAGTGATCATCGTAGGTGCAGGACTTGGCGGCTGCGCAGCTGCCATGGCCATGAATGCACAAGGCTTCTCCGTCTCCGTCTTCGAAAAGGTGAACAAGTTCGGTCGTCTGGGCGATTCCTTGGGACTGGGGGAGAATGCGCTCCGTCTTCTTCAGCGATGGGGTCTGCATGATCGTTTGATTGAAATTGGAAATAAGAGTGAGTTTATGCAAATACGCAGATGGCAGGATGGCAAGATTCTGGCGCAGCAGCCGTTGATGGATATGGCGGGATATATTGGCCATAGAGGGGATTATCATGAAGAGTTTTTAAGAAGAGTGAAGGAGTTGGGAGTTCCCATTCATATGGGTTCTAATGTGAGCGGGAAGTCTCCACGAGTAGGAGAAACGACTGATGCTATCAGGTGGTTGCCTATGATGAGAATGAGCCGTCCTTGACGCTGAGTAATGGGGAAGTGCATAAGGCGGATATCATCATCGCGGCTGACGGCAAGCTACCATAGTCTGGTTTGAGCTTGCACACGTACTGATCAAATGGCCAGGAATCAAATCTCTAGCCCGAGAGATAGTCTTGGGCTATGAAGATAAGCCAAAATCCTCAGGCTACGCTTGCTTCCGAGCATATTTCAAAGGGGCGTATCTAAAAGAAGATCCCCTATGCCGAGAATTTGTGGAGAAGGAGTGTGTAAACATCTGGATTGGGAACGATGTCCATCTCGTGCAAAATACGTTACGAGATGGCGACGAGTTTAACTGGATCTTGACGCACAAGGACACCGGGGATATCAAAGAGTCATGGTTCCAGCCCGGGGACATGAACGAGGTGAGGAAGATCATCAAGGACTGCGATCCCCGAATCGCAGCAGCGGTCGAAAAGACGAAGGAATGCTTGGATTGGAAGATCTGCTATCGAGATCCAATCCCTTCGTGGGTTAGTCGCAGTCATAAGATTGCGCTGCTAGGAGACTCGTGCCATCCTCATCTTCCAACAAGTGCGCAAGGGGCATCCCAGGCTACGGAGAGTGCGGCTGTTCTAGCTCTGTGTTTGAAGCTAGCCGGAAAAGAGAACGTTGCTCTGGCTGTGAGATTTACTCGCCCTGTCCTGGAGGAAGGCTAATGGAATTTCAGACGAGAGTCTACGAAAAGCTCCGCTTTGCCAGGGTCCGTCAATCCCAACTAAACGGAGAAGATGTTCGAGACCGGTGGCACAATGCCCTCAAGAACCTAGATGACAACATTGAAATCAACCCGGAAGATGTTAAAATGAGAGTGAGTACCCTCTTACTCCGTTTAATGTATTCCTATTGACCCAAACCTTTAGAATAGCTGGCTTTATCCATTCGATGCGGAAGCCGATACTCTGCAACGCTGGCAGGAGGTTTCAGCTCAGGTTTCGAAAGAGTTGCAAGATGGGAATATTCAGCCTTTGTTTTCGGGGGTACCGCAGGGCTTATAGGTTCATTGATAAGTAAATGTCTCTTCTCTATATAATATGACTGTTGTCTTATACCGCGAATCGCGATGATACTTGAGAACCAAAATACTGCGTCCACCTCAAATTCGTTCCCCAGCCGGAACTTAGAAGTAGTGTTAGGCTCCGTTCCCCCCTTTTGCTCTTCCAACTATAAATATCTTTATAGTAGAGAATGTTCAGTTATTCACGTGTCCACACACCATTGTATTCATTCCTGTAAGCATTTGCTGGCTTGATAATAACCCAAAGGTTATAAGTGTCAACGCATCTACAAGATCAAAAGAATGCGAACACTGAAAGTTGTAAGCTGTCCAGCAGTTAGATATTTGAGTATATGCAGATATTCAAGATATATAAGTAACGTCTCTCTCACCGAACATTCTATTATTTCCTTATGATCCATACCAAATTACACCTCCTGGAGCCCTAGGCAACTACCAACTCCAACCATCGAGCTTCTTTCACAAAGCCTTTCCTTTACGTCTTTCCATATTGTACCCATTGTTTCCTGTATAAAACAGTCCTTTACCTCCCTTGACAGAGACTGCAAAGCTGCATTCGAGTGAAGCAATGCCTAACTCTGTTTCGCCGGCAGTGTAAGGTCCGTCAAGTATGTGGGTGTATCCGTCACCCTCGAGAAGAAATTAACAAGTAGTTTGATTCTGAAAGAATGCAAGAAATGTACTGCTTTATTAGAAGCCCTCTCTTGCTCGGCATTTTCCATAACCGTTGCAGCGTTTTTTCAAGTACTAAGAAGATACTCGCTCCTAGATACCCCCTTGGGTAATTTAAGTAATCTAGAAATCAAAATAGTAGATCTACCTAAGCATAAGAAGCGGTTCCCTCTTGATAAGTGGTCATTAGATCAGGCGGACCGCGGTATCGTTTGATTGATTTTGTTGATTCTGATCGCGGTGATGAAGACGACAATGATGATGATAGCGTGCACGCGTGCGATTCAGCCCAAAGTTACGCTGCTATACCTAATCACACCATCTCAAGCGAAACAGTTTTGTGGCGGCAGAAGCCCTTTCTTATTCTCTGTTGTCAAATGAGATGTTTGAATTCGGTTTATAAGGTAAGATATATATCTATACCTCAAGTCTATATATCTATAAGTCACCGAAATTGAACATTAGTCTGTCCATAACTCCTATCTAGTACGACCTACATTGTAGACTCCAATAAATTGCCCGACAGATTTGAGAGATTGGAATTTTTGATAAGGTGCAATGTGCAACCCCTGTAGCTGTGTATCTCAAGTTTGATATACTGGCCTAGTTTAAAGCTCGATATATATGTACCTTTCATCCATAACAGGAACACCATAAGGCAATCTCCTCTCTTAGTCTGTAGAACGCTGAACGCATATTATTCCCAAACCATGATACATGGCAAAACCCTTATTTAATAGGAAACCCACTAGGAAACTGGACACTAATCAAAATACTGGACGAAAGTGAGGCTTTCTGTACTACGAGTCTACGATGTACAAAAAGATGTAATTGCAGACCCTAATAAGATATTCACTTATTAGAAGTTAGATATATGCAAGACTAAAAGTGACATTGCCTCTAAAACATGTTATGCAACAAGGCACCTGTGATGCTCCAACTACACAGTGCACACGCCAAACCTAACTCTAGGTATTTATCCACCAGATAACTGAGAAATAAGATGAAAAGGTTCTAGATTGCAATAAAAATCTGGTTATAATCTCAATAAGAAACTTTCTTGACTTGAGTCAAAAGCCAAGAGTCAAGAGCCAAGAGCCAAGGCTATGACGTCTGAGTTGCGATATGCAACAAAACTCCAAATTCTAGTTAAGGTAGCAAGAAGCAAGGTGAGGTCATTGCTTGGCAACTGCGATGTGCAACAAAACTTTGGGTAGAAAAAGGCACAACTCAAAGTGAGCCAATGGCGGAGCCAACTCACAGGAGCCAAAGTTAAGCCTTCTGAGTTACGATACTAAAGGTGAGACTGCTGAATGCCAAGTAAGGTACGATGTGCAACAAAGCTCTAGCCAACAAGAACTTCAAGAAGAGTGCCCTGGAGGAAATCTTTGTTGCACATCGCACCTGTGACAAGCGCGAGAGAGTTGAATGCTCTTTTGACAATGTCGAGATTGATCATCACGTGCGAATGTACTCGGATTTTGTTGCACATCGCATTCCTGACAAGCGCCAAAGTTGGTTGTGCTTCTTCAAAAGGCGTTCGACAAGGTAAGGCTAATGGTTGAGAAATGCGATGTGCAACAAAATACTGATAGTAAGAGGCACAACTAAAAGACTTGCGTGACTTGAGCCAATAGCAAAGAGCTACGGCTACTGGTTGACAATTACGATGTACAACGAGTTTTGGTTGACAGAAAGCACAACCAAGCCAGGGCTATTGGTTGAGAAATGCGATGTGCAACAAAACTTTGGTTAGTAAGCGGTACACCGCACAGCTAAAGGTAAGGCTATTGTGAGGGAGTAAAAGAGACATTGATTCTACGTGCTCGTTCTAGAAAACCAAACCAACACCCAAACAGAAAAAAGGAAGTTGAAACCGCACTATCAGTATAGAATGGAAGGCTAAGCATGCCGCTGCTTCTTTTGTTTATTTCTCTATCCTATTCCCTAGATACCCTTCTATACTGGCCCAAATGTGAATCCACCAAGCCCCTAGACTAGCCAACATAAAAAAGATCGTTCAGAGTGTCCATCACAATACAACAAACTCTGGTTACAGACCCCTATAAAGACTGAGTTAACTCAAGTCAAGAGACAAGGATGGCCTCAGAGTCCCTAGTTTAATCATACAACTGTTATTCACTATCGATCTCTCGTGTCACAGCCTACTTGATAAAACAGCCTACAACAGTTCCATTTACAACAACCATTACGACCTCATACTAGCTGCAAGATCTAACAGCAAAGTGTTGATACCTTAGCATTGTTCCATAAAATTAAACCGCCGACTTACGTTATATTGGACTCTAGAATATAGGCTGGGTCACCTCCTCTTAGTTGTACCTATCTGACAACTATAGTTTATTGTACATCGTAATTCAAGAGTGACATTACTTTAGTACCCTTCCTATTTTCTTGAAGGTTCTAAGAGTAGATACTTATAGTTATTTGATTCCATGTCGTAATTTGAAAGTAATCCTCTGTTCCGTGTTGACTCAAGTCAAGTAAATATTTAGTGTACATTGTAGTCTCCTGTGCTCTTTTAGCTGTGCCTTGGCCCTTTATCTTTAGGTTTTGTTGCACATCGCAGTTTTGAACCTTTAGCCTCAGCTGCCTTGATTTAGTTGTGATTTTCTCAACCAGAGTTTTGTTGCACGTCGTAACTCACAAAGAATAGCCAGCGCTCTTTGCTATTGGCCACTTTGAGTTGTGCCTCGTTTTGTTGCATATCGTAATTGTCAACCAATAGCCTTAGCTTTGGTTGTGCTTTCTAATAACTGTAGTTCGTAGTACATCTCCTGCCGTCCAAGTTTCTGTATCTCCTCATTTGTATACAAGCTGTCACCTAAGGTAGTCACTCACAGGCTCTAGAGGTTAGATCAACTGTTATAACAGGTCAAGCCAGCCAAATTACGATGTGTAACAATTTAACAAAACTCTAGAGCAATAGGCACGACTGAAAGAGGTCCGGCTAATAGCAAAGAGCCAAATCCTAGTTGACAAAAGACTACAACTCCATTTGTGAGGGCACAACCAAAGAATTCGCTATTGGTTGACAACTGCGATATGCAACAAAAAAGAGGCACAACTCACAGTGGGCCAATAGCAAAGAACCGTGGATATTCTACCTTGGTTGACAAAAACCACAACTAGGCAAAACGGGAGTACAACCAAAGATTGGCTATTGGTTGACATTTGCGACATGCAACAAAAACGATGCACAATTCCCAGTAGGCCAATAGCAAAGAGCCGTGGCGATTCTCCTTTGGTTGATAAAAAGCACAACTACAAAAAATGAGAGCACAACCAAAAGCTGGCTATTGGTTGACAACTGCGACGTGCAACAAAAAAGACGTACAATTCACAGTGGGCCAATAGCAAAGAACCGTGGCGATTCTCCTTTGGTTGACAAAAAACCACAACCAGGCAAAGAGGGAGCACAACCAAAAGTTGGCTATTGCTTGAAAATTGCGATGTGTAACAAAACTTCTCTAGGTATTATTCGCTCGTAAAACAACTCGAGGAAGGGAGAGCGGGGCCAAAGTGAGGTCATTCCCAACCTACGATGTGCAACAAAATTCTAGCCGTATAGTGTTTTTTTACTTAGATTAGGAATTTAGGATACAGATAATAGGAGGTAGGATTGAAAGTGATGTGAGGCAAGTTACGATGTGCAACAAAACGAAGTTCTAACTCTAAGGTACCTACCTAGTAAAGGATCAAAGTGACATCATTACTAACATAGACTACGACGTGCAACAGAACTCTAAGAACCAAGGCATGACTACCTAAATCAAAGCTATGAGTAGTAATTTGAGGCAAGAGGCAAGGGCCAATAGCAAAGAGCCAAAAAACTAGTTGACGAAAAGCACAACTTAGCTTGTGAAAGCACAACCAAATTGCGGCCACCGCTTGAAAATTGCGATGTGCAACAAAACTATCTCTGGTATCTACCTACATACTTACATAATCGCTCAAGAAGAACTCGAGGAAGGATGACGTTATGCAGCTCAAAAGTGCGATGTGCAACAAAACTCTACTTATATTTTTACTAAGAAATTCATTTATCTACCCCAAGTTAGATTGAAATTCTTAGGGTAAGATACAGGATTAGAAGTAACATGTCAGATGCTTTATCAGATAGGATTATAACTGCTCTCAATGGGTAGGTGCAGGGTAACTACGTGGCACTATCTAAGAACACAGAGCGCCATACGAGCATTATGACAGAAGGGTATAAAAACCCCGAGAGAGCTTAAGTTATCAGAAAACTTAGAGATAAGTCTATACAATAAACTGTGATCTACCTTCCATTTCACTGTAAACCTACATCCACCGTCGACTCTTCCACTCTGTACATATACACCTGACATAGGATCATTAGCAAAATGCCACGAGCAACAAAACCAAGTTCTAACTCAAGTACATGGTTAAGGTTATAATTTAAGAAGTCATAAGTTACAATATACAACAAAACTATAGCCGTATAATACTTTCTCACCCAGAGAACGTTACAACTAGAAAATAGTAGAAGAGAGAGGTTAGACTAACAGTTTGACTCACCAAACTATTCACATAACAAGACTACAACGTACAAGAAACCAAACCTCCGGTATCCTCTTACACAGCAATCTAATAAGGAAGGCAGAGCCGAAGAAGAGATCGTTTTTAGACCGTGATGTACAACAAGAAGCACAACTAAAGTAAGAACTCGACATGAGTAAATGTAAGATTATGAGTTGACAACTACAATGTTTAACAAACCAATCTCTTCATATAACAATCTCAAGCTAAGAACCTCAGAGAGGGCAGAGAAAAGTAAGAATCAGAGAATCCCAAATCACAATACATGCAAAAATCCCAGGTAGTCAACAAGAGCACAACATAACTCGCGCACTTTGACTATTGCTTGACAACTACAGAACTAGTTGACAGAAAAGACACAACCAAAATATGGCTATTGCCCCGAATTTGCGACGTGCAACAGAACTCTAAGTAGCCAATAGCAAAGAGCCAAACCTCAAAAATCTAGTTGACAAAAAGATCCTACAACTTCACAACCTTATCCTACAACCTCACAACCAAAATTTGGCTATTCCCTCTAACTTGCGATATGCAACAGAACCCTAGAGCAACCAATAGCAAAGAGCCAAACAATCAAAACTCTAGTTGACAAAGTCTCCTACAACCTCACAACCAAAATCTGGCTATTGCTTCGAATTTGCGATGTGCAACAGAATTCCAGATCAAGACACTCAAGTCCAAGCCAGCCAATAGCAAAGAGCCAAACCTCAAAAATCTAGTTGACAAAAAAGCTCAGAACCTCACAACCTTATCCTACAACTTTACAACCAAAATCTGGCTATTGCTTCGAATTTGCGATGTGCAACAGAGTTCTAGAATAGCCAATAGTAAAGAGCCACACAAGCAAAATCTAGTTGACATAAAAGTCCCACAACCTCACAACCAAAATCTGGCTATCGCTTTAAATTTGCGATGTGCAACAGAACTCTAAGTTAGCCAATAGGAAAGAGCCAAAATCTGAGGGTTTGGTTGAAGAAAAGGTTCATAGGGAAAGTTGGGAGAGTGCAACTAGAATTTGGCTATTGAGGTGAATTTGCGATGTGCAACAAAAATATATCTTGAGTGACTGAGTTCTTAGGTAAGGTAGGAAGGGGGGAGGGGGAGAGGTTGTAAAATGCGATATGCAACAAAATGAAGGATAGGTAGTTGTAAGATAGGTAGGTATGTATGTAAATGTAAATGTAGATATATTACGCAACCCTATCCTATGATTCCTATCCTATGCTATCTACCCATTCGATCCCATCCATACCATCCCATCCCAGCTGATACCCCCATCCTATCCCATCCTATCAAGCCATCCCAAAAACCCATCTACGCCCTCATTTCCCCCTGATGAACACCTCTTTCCCCATCCCGTCCCATCCCACCCAACCGCATTACGCATTACGCATTATGCATTACGCCGTCCTGCGCCCATGAATACAAAACAAATCTGAGAATATAAAGAGTTGACCGCCCCATCCATCCATATCATGTAGTCGAATCAATCAATCAATCAATCAATCGTATACCGCCTAGTAATCCCATCTTGACCATCCATAACGTTGATCTCAAATCTCGAGAGCGGGGTTCGCTGGATCTATTCCTTGCTCTTTCTATGCAATGCCTCTTTTGGATTGATTCCATTCTCGGTTCGAGTTTTCGTAGATCCCGATTCCTCGCAAGAAATAGTGCTGCGAAGGACATCCGGCTGTCTATATCCATCATATCATAATCATTTCATATCGCGTCTCTCATCGTCCCATCAAAACATAATCCACTCGCCCTCACCACTATCCATGTATGGGGTCCAGCGAAGGGGACACGTGGGGCCGTTCTCTTGATCGTGCTCCTGCGCCTCCTTATCGCGCCACAGCTTCTCCAGCACTTCCAGCCCCGCGAGATTATTCAGGTAGCCGCTCTGGCGCATGATCTCGCGACACTTGGACCGCACGATGCTCTGCTGCAGCTCGTTGACGCACTCGCTGCCGCTGATGAACAGCGGCCACAGCAGGAACTTCTCGCACCCGCTGCCCGGCTCCAGGCTCGTCACGTAGAAGAGAACCTGCGAGACGAGGTTCTGGAAGTTGAGGTGCGATGATGGGAGGTTGGGGCAGGCGAGCCGCTCAGTATAGAGGAGGGCAGAGTAGCGGAAGGCTTCTGAGATGTAGCCGAAATCGCGCAGTTGCGTCGGGGAGGGGGTCGAGGGTAGGCTGGATACGAGACGGGTAGGGTCGAATTCCCACTCCTGGAGCGCGAGGCGGGCGGATTTCCATTCTGTCCAGAAGGTCGAGCGGAGGTCGTCAGGTGATCCGGATGTGAGGAGAGGGAAGAAGGCGTCGTCGTCGAGGGTCGAAGCGAACCCGTTCCCGTCGAAGTTATGCGCGTGTAGGTTGTAGAAGTCGGCTAGGGCCTGGCCGGCGAGACCTGGTTGAGGTTCCGGCGGGGCGGGGCGGCGGTTCTGGAGGGGAGAGGATGGATTCGGGGCGAGGACAGGTCGGTTCTGGGAGAGGAGGTTTAAGCGACCTAATTTGGCTATTGTCTTGAACAAGATGGCGTCGCATCCGGCCAAGTTCTCCAACGCGTGATTTGGATTCGGAGGGTTGGCGATCATCTCCAGGAAGCTTCCCCGCAGCTGCAGCTCCCGGTCGTTGATGCTAGCGGCGATGCCGTCAAAGTAGGTGAAGAGCGATTCCATCCATCCCCAGTTCCCCGTCTCTATCCCGGACTCACGCATCCCGAGGATCTTCTTCACGCCGGCAAACTGCGTACGGAATTGTGCTATGCCCGACTCGCACATCCGGTAGTGGCAAAGGATGAACAAGGTCGCCAGAACACAGTCGTGACGAGCCTTGGATGGATCACTCAGCTGCTGATTGAGGAGGGACACGGCCAGGGATCGATGCTGGTACTCCTCTTGCAGGGAGGAGTCGTTGGAGTCGGAGGCTTGCGGGGTCACGGGATGGGATGTTCTGCGCACACATGTGGGCCGAGAAGGCCCGCCGTTGATATGGAGGGGGAATTCTGGCTCCAAGGGTTGTTGCCGCCAGTGGTCCTGCCCCAGCGACTGTTTCCGCTTCATGCGGAGGTTGCAAGCGGCCAGGGCACAGATGGCGTGCTGGAGACTCTGGCTGGTAGATGCGAGGCTGAGGATATGTTCTCGGTAAGGATTGCTCGGGCTGTCGATGACGACCACAGATGGACAGATGATCTTCTCATAGTAATCAAGGAAGAAGGAGACGCGGGGGAGGATCTCGGGGGGCGGGGGCGGCATGGTGTGCTGGTGGTAATGATCCGCGTCTGAAGCGGCTTGGGAGGCGACCTCCTCACTGTCATTGATAGCATTCCACCCAAAGTGACTGGATCGTGCACTGGTGGCGTAAGCCTCCATCTCATGGCTGGTCGGTGGAGGGGGTCCTGGAGGGGTTAGTCTCCTGGTCGGTTCCCACAGGGCGGGTAGCAATTTACCAAGCATCTCATCATCGTAGAAGATCTCATTCCCCGCCGGCGACGGTTGGTGGTGACGCGACTCGGTAATATCATAGAGGTTCTGGTGCGAGCTGATGCTGGAGCTCATCTCTGACTGCGCGTAGAAGGGGTCGGGACACGACGTCGGGCCCCGCGCATCCCCCATCATCCCTGCCACCGGGCTGCCGGTGTTCGAATTCCGCGAGGGGTAGCTGTACATGGGCACGGGGCTGTGGAGGAAGGGGATTTCGTTGTCCTGGAAAGATTGGCTAAGGGGTGAAGCGTAGTCGCTCTCGGCATAGGCGCTCATTGAGTCGAGCGAGCTGGAGAGGCCGGCCAGCGTCTCGGCGCGGCCCAGGCTCAAGGTATGGAGGCGATGGAGCTGGGGGACCTGTCTCCGGTGGTTCATAGGGTTCTGATGGTAGTCCTGGTGGAGGGGGTAGTCGTGGGGCACGGCCATATTCCACTCGGGCACCTGGTGCATGGAGGAGTTCTGGGCAAGGCCTTGGGGGGCCATGTTGACGAAGTCGTAGGTGGTGGTGAAGGGGTTGCTTCCGGGCAACGAGGCGGGAGATTCCATCTTGATCTTGGCATCGGCGGCGTTGGCAGCCTCACGGGTGCGGGCGGCGGTGGTGGTGGTGGTGATGGCGCGGGGGCGGGTGGCCGTGGGGCTCTTGGGGGCGGGGGCGGACCTGGCGACGGGGAGGGAGAGGCCTCTGAGCTTCCCACGACTGGCGACGCCGACACCCCAGGTCAGCTGAGTCTTGTAGCCCGAGCATTCCTTGCCAATCTCCAGACACGGCGAGCAATATGGACGGCGGCGATCGCACTTGGTGTTCCTCTTGGTGCAGGTGAAGCAGTCGTCCGAGGCACCGCTGGCGGGAGCTCGACGGCGGCGCTTTCGCTGTGGAGGGACAGTGGGAGGGTCCGCGCTGCCACCACAGGAGGCGGGGGGCGGACAGGCGACGGGGAGGGTCATGGTGGGCGCGGACGAGGGCGAGCGACGGCAAGGTCAGGACGGGGGACTAAGAGCGAGTGACTGTGGACATCGAGGCCGGCGGGGGGAGAAGAGGGAGAAGAACGAGTGGAAGGGAGAGGTGAAGGAGGAGGAGAGGAGCGGAGAGCGGAGAGAAGAGCGAAAGCGCGAGAGAGAAGAGACCTCTTGAGGAGAGAGAAGAGAGCAGAGGAGAGTCGACAAAGAGAGAGCAGAGTCGAGAGAGCAAGACACAAGACGCAAGAGAGGATTGCGGCTTGTCAGTCGGCGGGAGAGTTGGTAGAGAGCGACGGATCTGAATCAGGTTGAAGGGTGGTAAATGGGGTTGGTGGAAGCGAAGACCAAGATAGATCAAGATCGAGACGAGAGATAGATAGAGATCAAGACCAAGATAGATAAGTAGAGACAGAAACGGAGATCGTGGGCAGCAGCATCAATTATGAGAAGAGAAGGCGACCAGAGCAGAGTGGACGGGGCGGGCGGGCGTAGCAGGGGGTGGTGAAGGGGGGAGAGGGGGGAGAGGGGAGAAGACAAGGACAGGGGAGAGAGGGGAGAGGGAGCGCGACAAGGAAAAGGGCCCCTCTCGAAGCTCAGTCCAGTTCAGTTGACCCTTCTGGCGGTGCATCGCGGAAAACATCTGGAGCAGGGCCATATCTCTGGTGGCATCTATCTGGTGGTGGTGCACCAAGGTTGCATCTGCGCGGCTTCGTCGACCGGCGCGGGTCCAGGGTTGTAGTCGAGTCCTGCGTCGAGCCCTGTGGCCATGTCCGAGAGCTGCATTCTGCACCGAGGACCGCCCGACGCCAGGCACAAGATACGGTGCAGAGAGGTCTCTTAACTGGCATCCATTCGTTCATTGCTGCCAGTGCGACAATCGAGTAACCTGCACTCCAATAGTAGTAGTAATGACAATGATAATAATGAACAATGATAATGATAATAATGATTAATTATAACCAATCACGAAGACTCCTCCCTCCCCTCGCCAGCCCACCAATCACAACCCCTGCTCCCTCGCTGCAGGAGAAGCCCGCTGCAGGCTTCCATGATTCTTCCGCTCGACTCTTCCCGACCGGGGGCCCCTGTCTGCCCGTCAGCAGCTACGGTGTTTCCGGTGTAGTCGCTGCATGGCGGGGGGCTAGCTGCGAGCGGCATAGCGTGGCTGGTGGGGTATGTCACGCAGGTGAGCCCCCTGCCTTTCACACTGTGTGTCTGAAGATAGGGACGGATGGCCTCTTGCTCTGATAGCGATGATAATGATGATGATGGTGGTGATAGACTTCTCTTATATGTATCTGTTTGTTTGTTCATATTCTTCATTGTTTATTTCTCAATGGTCAATTAATTGATAGGTATATCATTTGATTCATTTCCATCCATCTCATATAAACCCCCCCTCCCCCACCGCCCGCCCATTACTTCCAGACGTATTCCTCACCATCCACACTCATGGCGCAAGACCTCATCCTCATCCTCCCGAACCTCCCGCGCCTCTCCTCTCCCCTCTCCATCCAGCCTCTCCGTCACCAACATAGCTTCTCAAACTCCGAAACTCAAAACTCAAAACTTCAAACCTGCATCCCTCGATCCCAGGCATAAGAATAGCAACACCTCACTCACCTCTCCCCCCTTCCCTCGGCCCTCCCGTGATACTCCCATCCCTCAGCTTCGTTTCATTCCATTTCATCTCCTCCTCTGCTTCACCAACACACACCCTAAATCCGCACACACACACACCAGCAGCAGACGGTAGCCCCATCAACAAGCCGTGCAAGGGGGCGGCCTGCCCAAGCCACGGGTGGCGCAGGTGCTATGCCGGGAGAAGCAGCTGCGGAGGGAATGCCGGCGGAGTACGACGGAGGACGGAGGGACAGTGGCGTTATTGGTTCGTTCAAGTATTGGATTATGGGATTCTTATTCAGCAGAGATGTGTGGAGCGCGAGGAGATAATGGGTAAGAAGAGGATATTATTACCTATTCATTCATTCGTTACCTTTGGGAGAGGATCCGCCGTAGAGTTGAGAATCTAGGATATAGACCATTCGATGTTTATACGTACGTAGAGTACTGTAGGCGCTGTAGAATGATAATGATAATTCATAATATCGTCAGTATCATCAGTATCATCACGTCGATTTCCTACAGTCAGCATTCTCATCAATAGCATCACTGCATCAACGGCCCGGCACTCGTACTTGCGGAGCAGAGCCAGTAGTCCTAGGCTGTTTGCGGCCCCAGCACTTAAGCATAAACCACTCCTCTATCACCGCGCTTCAGCACCTACCGTACGTACCGCTCTGCGGTACAGAGGTAAGGGAATCCGCGCAGCCTGACTACCGCACACTACTCCTCTGCATCCTCCTCTATCGATGCGCTTGCTCAGCATCGTAGCCGCAGTCTCTCGCCGCCGCACGACTAGCACGCCCGCCCGCCCGCAATTGCTGCTCCGGCGCTTCCTCCTCTCTTGATACGCGGCATCTCCGTCTCCATCTATTTCTGCCTCGGCACGCATGTCGTGGCACCAGCGATCACTGCTCAGACTCAGGAGGCACGACTCAGGAGTTCGGAGGCTCGTTCGGGAGGATTCGACGTGCTGACTTCCACGAAACCTTAGGTGTGTCGTTCTCCGCCGCGCAGGGCCGTTCGGGCTGCGCATCCGAGGGGCCCTCGAGGGATTTATCGATCTTCGCTCGACTCCGTAGGACAAGCCTGATCACCGCTCCAAGTGCCTATCTGCCCGCGGCCAACAGGGACCCTCCCGCGCAGAGCACTCCGATAAGACCTGTCAGTCCAAGGCTTCGAGCTATCGGATGATTCTGGCTACTCGACAGCTCGGCTTCTTGCGCTTGAAAACGCTTCGCTTCGCAGGGGTCATGGGGCTGGCACTCGAAAATAGCGTGCAGGCCGGCGTTTGCTTAACTGAGCCACCATCTCGCATCGTGGGCTAGGGCCCCTGGCACGGTGAAGGGCGCGCAGCCAGTGAGGGTGCGAGTATGAGGCCCCGCTCCTGAAACATGGCCGAATCAGCGCTCTGACCGGCCCTAGCTTGCAGTCTGTCAGCGGCGCGGTGCCACCGGTGCCACCAGGGTACTGTGTGGATGCGCCCTAGAAGCAGCCGAACGGACCTAGAAAGCCGCATGGAAGGTTTTTGACCAGCCACGGCGCCTGACGCCACCGCGGACAGGATTGCTGGCGGAGGGCTGCTGCATAATTGCTGGAAGTGCAGTCTGCAATGCATGGAATAATCAATGACCGCTGGTGGAAGCCGCCGAAGAACGACGACTGAGGTCACATCATCGTCACCCATGAGACAACCCTGTTTCCGGGCGACCCGTGTGCTGAAAGGCCCCTCGCTCCAACCCGACCCAATCCAATCATCCAGGACCAACTCGTCCCCCCTGAGTTCGAGCCTCGAGGACATTCGTTTTGCATGTGATAACGCTCGAGCGTTTCTCGACTGAAGCTTCTTTCATAGATAGCGTCACGTAAGATCTCCTTCGTGAGGACAGTGATTGGCTAGCCTAGTTTACCTGTCGTGCTTCCTTCTGCGTCTTGGATGATGCTTAATCTGCCTGTTCGTCCTATTGTATATCTTCTGTGAGTTGACGTGCCTGGTACCTCAAACCTACTACGCCTTGTATGATTGTCCATCGAGGCCTGTTCACCAATAGTAGGTTCCTACCACGAAAGGAGGAGATCAGGAAGCGCTCCCAAATGAAAGGGTAACATGCCGTAGCCTTCCCCATCAATGAGCACCCAGGACCCAGCTCCAGCTCCAGCTCCCAGCTCCAGCCGCGAAGCTTAAATCCGCCCAGGGGCAAGATCGGCACCGCGGCGACCTCCTCGCGCTCTTGTCTCGCCGGCGGCCCTTGGATCAGATAACATGCTGCGGATATGGCTCCGGCTCTTCACATACGAGGGCCTCGCCTCGCCAACTACGTCCGTACTTCCCCAAGACCCATAGACGTGTCCTAAATTCCCCGGTCATTCTACTGCCCCTCTCCTGTCCGCCATTGCGGATCCACCATTGTTGCCCCTCTGCCTCTTTGCCCCTCTTCCCCTCAAGTACGATTCTCTCGCCCATGCCCGTGATATCTCTACCGTTGCTCGAACAAGAGAATGTCGCCCTTATCGAAATACTTGAGTGAAAGTCACGCTGCCTTCTGCAGGCAGGCCATAACCACGATTGGGCCGAGATATCAGAACTCAACTCGACTGCACCGGAATAATGAAAAAGGACCGTCAATCCCCACCGCCGCTGCCGAGCCAGACCCGCGGCCTCACCGCTGATTCGGCAATTCTGCCATGGCGTCAGAACGGTGGCTTGGCCTGCGGACCGTCGAGAGCCAGAGAAGTTCGGATTCTGATTTCGTGGCGCTGAGATTAGGTTGGTGACCTGGGGGGTCAAGTCTGGCAGATCGCTTTTACTGGATGAGGTAGGACAGTAGAAGAATGGAACGTTACCTCCCGGCCCACTTGGCACTCCTGGCTCCGCACTGGTCCGCGAACGACACCGTCGATCCTGAGTCGATCCCGACAGTCGAAGGAGAACGAGACCCGCGAGCCTCACATCTGAGGTCGCGGATATGTTCGAGGAAGATCGCCATCATGAAGGATGCAGGTTCCAGAACAGCGCTCTAGCAAAGGATCGTTTCAATCTAGTCCTGCAGCATTCCCCATGGTCCAAGTGCAGAGGCGATCAAAGAGGCATTGAGGATGGCGGCGGATGTGACGTCGCAGAGATGACAGCTTCGAGGAGGTCGAGAGTTGAGCGTGGGGGCCTTGCATCGTTGCGCGTCGTTGCGCATCTTTGCGCATCTGTCCTGTACGGAAACTCGATGGAAGGAAATACGATCCTGCGGGTGATCTTCCTGTCGTGGCACGTGATACCATCTCCACGTGACACACGCTTATCTGGTATCACATGACCCTTATCGGCCTGAAATTTTAATTTTCTGTCGGACATCAAGCGCGGTGAAGAAACGACAGGACCAGCACATACTCCAACTGTCACAGCACCCCCAGCCACAACAAGATGGGTCGCGAACTACAAAAGAAGAAGAACAGATCTTCCATCCCGAAGATCAAGCTCAAGCCAAAATCCAAGCGCGTCAATCCCCTCGGGAACGCCATCATTGCCGCGAACTGGTGCGTCCCCTCCCCCTCCTCCTCAACAGCCTAGCTAATCCACCTTCCTTCCAGGAACCAGAAGGAAACCCTCACCCAGAATTACCGCCGGCTTGGTCTCACCTCCCGCCTGAACTCCGCCACCGGGGGCACTGAAAAGCTGCACAAAGGTACCGAGTCGAAAACCAGCACCGTCTCCAAGCTCGCCATCACGAATGCAGTGCCCAAGACCATAGCTCCTACCGAGGTAAAAGTCGAGCGCGATCCCGAGACGGGGAAAATTCTGCGTGTGATCCACCCAAAGACTCGCTCGAATCCGCTCAATGATCCGCTGAATTCGGATTCGGAGGATGAGGACATGGACGCGGGAGAGGGAGAGGCCGAGGAGAAGAATCCGATTGTAGCGCAGCTGGAAGAACAGGCGCGCAGCGGGAAGGAGAAGAAGGAGAGGACTCAGAGTGAAAGGGAGAGGGAGTGGATTGCCAATTTGGTGCGTGTGCACGGAGACAATTACAAGAAGATGGCATGGGATCGGAAATTGAATCCGATGCAGCAGACGGAAGCGGATCTCAAAAGGAGGATTGCGAAGTGGAGGGCGCAGGGGGGAGAGGTTGCGGCGAGCGCATGATTCGAGGGAGGAGAGGAAAAGGGGAAAAGTTTGGGTTGAGACGTTAAGTTGGCGTTTGGCGTTGGGGATGCGCTGGGTGCGGTGATAGCGTCAATGAAGTATATATACGCTCCCGGGTTTCAATGGCAAGCAGCCTTGCCGCTTCTATCCCGCTGACAAGAGCTACAAGTCCACGTCATTATAGCACAAGCACAAGTGATGTCCCACTCTGCCCTTCCCATCTCTACATCACCCAGTCATTTTCGGCCAACCGAAATCCTCCCTCCTTATTCCTTCATTTGCATCTCCCACAGCCCAACCAATGCTACCTACACCAACCTCCCACGAAGCCATGCATCCCTCGCCTCGTTTCTCTACTTCTGTCCCAAACCTCGCTCTATTACTCAACCACCTCACTGCGCCTTTTCCTTACCTTTGACCATGCTCAGGACTTAAGAGAGGCCGGGGCCTCTTTTATAAAAGATTCACAGGGTCCTAAAAGTGCGAAAGGTATCAAAGAAAAGGAGGCAGAAAGAACCTGATGGATGTATGAGGAAGTCTTCTTAGTAACATAGATACGTCATAAGAATCTAGACATATCCCCCTATCCGGTCTATCTTTCACTTCTGGTTCTTGCTTGTGCAAATCCAGCATGCTAGTATACTTCCTTCCCGTCTACTGGTTCACATACCTACTTTAAACCAACATTCTCGACTCTCACAACTAGCGACATCAAGCGAGACTCCAGTTCGTACCTAGTGTCACTATATAAACTTCCTTTGTAGACCTCTTTCGTACTCTTCTTCTTTCTGTTTCGTTACAGAAACGCCCGGTGGTCGTTGGGCTGTTGAGGAAAGAACACTACTGACAGGCTGATACCAATATCCCACGCTCCCAACTTCCCAGAGCCCAACACAGTATTCTATCCCCAGGGACCTATAGGCTATAGATAAACATTTCCGTAATTGAATATAGTTCGCAATGAGAAATGAATCTCGCAACGATAATTAGTCATTGGCTTTCTTTGACAACGACAAGTTGTTGTGAATATTGAATATTGGGGGTTGGTGCCCTGGCTCTGACGGGTACCTAGAGCCTAAAGCTCCTGAACTGTCCCCTGAACTGTACGAAGGATACATGTCTACTCTGTGAAGGTATTAGCAAAAAGTAAAGACTCTTATAGATGTTGACTTTTATACCGGGGAAGCTGCCGTTAAAGAAGATACCAACACTACTAGGACTATACCACTATACCTTTGTTAGTCCGACTCTACAATGATACTAAGGATAAAGCCAGCGGCCCTAGGACGACCTTGTAGTCTTTCTGTTAGGATCCTAAGTCAAAGGTATTGTTCTTTCTTGACGGCGACCGCGAACGTCTTTGTATTCCCCTAAAGTCACAGATGTAGTAATGTTTGAATAGAGACCTCAGCAGACATAAGATGCCTACCTGGTCAGGATTGCCGGTTAGCAAATCGGGTCAGCCCTTTTTTGGCGATAAGAACTTGTGTTGTGAATATTGATATTTGTTGTCTAATAGACCAAGGGATACCTTAGTGAGTGAATATAATGGGATGGAAATTACCTTGCGCAGAGTGCCAGGTAAATGTACCTTGTGACATAGTTAGACAGGCGATACTGTTGAAGACAACACGCTTAACCAGGGCCATTACGTAGACTGTTATAGGGAGAGGGCTGTATATAGAACAGGAAGTTACTAGGACACCCATTAGGAGGAGGAGTTTTATTAACGGGAGGTACGATAGAGTTAGAGCAAAGTTGTTGTAAGGGCTGGAAGCGTACAAGAAGACGTGCTAAAGAATGCACGTTAGTAGGGATCAACGTAAAGGGCTTTCTAACGATTAAAAAGTTGTTTTTTAGGGAACTAAAGCCTTTGTTCTATGGATCCTTTGACTAAAATGAGGATTAAAGTTTCGTAGAAAGAGGGGAGGGGCAATTAAGGAAAAAGAGTAAGAGAGAGTGGGAAAAGGAGAGAATTGGATTTCAATCCTAACTATTGCTAGTTGTTTGTGGCTTGCTACCGTTGTCCCCTTTCTGGAAAAGTGTAGGGGGTAGAGTAGGATCTATATAGGCACTTAGGAGAGGGAGAGAGTGTAGAGGAGCTGTAAGCGTACAAAGTGAGAATTCTTAATAAGTCACAGGTAGATTGGTTAGTTCTTATCATCGCTTTTAGGAACCAACTAAATATTTGCCTTGCTTTTGTTTTATGAATCAACTGCTAGTAAGAAATAATGATGAATTCAAATTAAGGACTTGAGATTCTTTTAATTACGAGGTCTTATAAATTTATTAACTTCAACTTTTACCGTGGTCTATGGAAGGGCAGGTAGTAATCTTAGAGAAAAGAGATGCTTCCTGTTACTTCTCAACTTTCTTTGTCTTAGGAATAGGGTTCAGGAACCAAAAGGCTTAGGCAGATGTGCTTGTATTTCCGGATTTGGATATATAGATCCGCGAATACTTTGTTTTGTCAAAAGCTATGGCAGCTTGAAAAGCCATGCTATACTATCTTTCTTCGATAGGATATGCTCGAACAGAAGTCCTGCTGCTGAGGCAATGCACGGTTGTTCGTATATTTTTCACAGCCTCGTCTTCTCTCCAGGGCGAGCCTCTTCATCATCCGGACAATCTGTCTCCCTCCTCATCTGATATTCGGATCTCGATAAACCAAACTCCAACTCCAACTCCAACTCCAACTCCAACCGGAATATAAAGTCATATACTCATTCTCAAAATATACGTTCCTATAAGATGTCAGCATCTTCTCTGCCACAATATGCAGAGCGTAACATACACACATAACAAATTTCCTGACAAAGCGCTGGACAGGACGGCGTCACAACACCGCATACACACCCCTATATATTCATCAGCAACGTTTTATTCATCGCCCCAATAAAGCTGTAACTTACCATACACGACCGCGCAATAATATCAAACTCCTCCTCCCGGGACGTTATAAATTCGCGGCCTGGGACGGGAGTTGCCGCTGTATGGAGCACGAAGATGAGGGAGAGGACGAGGGAAGGGAAGTACATTGTCCGTTCTCCAGGAATCGGGACGGAGTTTTAAAAGGAAAGAAGAAAAGAAAAAAGAAAATTTATTAAAGGAGAGAGATGAAAATTCTGATGGGGAAAGAAAAGACAAAAAAGTCAACTTAGATGCATAGTAAAAGGAGGTGGGGGGAAGAGAAATCCTCCGTATATATCTCTGTTAGTCGGAACCTCGGAGGAAAAACAGAGAAATGCACAACCAAACACAAGGCACTACATTGTGCCAACGTATGGAAAATAACTCTCCATAACACATACTGTTTCAGAGTCTGGAAAAGGATCTCAAGCGAGAGGGTGAAACCGGGGGGTGTGGCGCAGTGAGTGGAATCAGTGGACAAGCCTCAGGAGCGGCCTGCATTTGTTTGTGCAGGATTCTGAGGTGGGAAACTTTTTTCTGTTTGTTGACAGAGTGGGAAAATTGTAAGAAGTTCCTTTTTAATAATGTTGCCATGTTGTTGTTTGGGTATATGTGGTTGGTGGTGATACTTGGGATGATGGAAAGAAGAGCGAGGGAACTTGTCCTTTGTGTTTCAAATGCGGACAAGGGGTCATTGACATCCGAGCTCTATTAGTAACACACTTAGGAAGCATACCAAAAGGAAGGAGAAATAAGAGTAGAAAAGCATCAGCCTTGCCTCCCTTAATTAAAATTATGTTTTCCCTATGATACCTAGTTGCTGCCTTTTATGCCGTGCTGTGGAAAAGACGACTTGTAAAACCTTCTGCGGTAGTCGTGCATACCTGTCTATGCACTTTACTATATAACATATGTGAAGTAACGCTCTTCAAGCTTGGGTATCAGACAACCATACATGCAAAGAGTACTCTAGAATTCTTCATAAAATTCCTGACAGAGATTAGCTTACACTTTAAGTCGAACAATGACCGAGCCTTGAATTAGTAAGTTTTTGTGTGTCAGGTCTTACAGTAAGTAGTTATATACACTGTTATTATGCGGACAATATTTGACTTGCCTATAGGATTGTAATCAAGACATATAAGTGTGGTTAAGGCAAGTAGTAATCTTGACAGCTCCCCGAGTCGTTATTCGGAGGCGGGGCCCCGCATTTCTTTTAGTGGAAAAAAAAAGAAAAACGGTCATCTTAAACAGAAATATCAGGCACGTTATATCCTCAAAGGAGGAAACATATCGAGACATCCGCAAATTATCGAACCAAAACTGTACATTTTTATGGATGAAACAAGTAAGTGGATATAAAGTTGTTCGTTCTTCTTTAAAGTAAAGTAGTGGTTTGCAACGGCGAGTGAGTCATTTAGCTAACACCTACCTAGTTAGGCGATTTAACTCGCTATAGACAGAGTAGCCAAGAGATATAAAACCCCGCTTCTCTTTTCTGAAACATATGCTCTTCTCTTCGTCTTCTCTTTATCAAGATATCTCCTTACTTAACCGAGATACTTTAAACACTAAGCACAATCATCATGTCTCTTAGTCTCCGTCTAGCAACAGTTTCAGACGCACATGCTCTCGTCGATGTGTATCTCTCTGCTTTTGCCAAAGATTCTATCGCCCAACTCTGCTTTCTACGGAACAAAGCCGTATATGATTTCTGGTACAACATGATCGTTTCCGAGCTGGCCGATCCTAATTCGCACTACCTATGCATTACCTCCCCCAGCCCCGACTCCCCGTCCAAAGAAACCATAATCGCATTTTCGAAATGGAACACACCCTCCGCACCCATCTCTGTTGATCTTCCAGCGTGGCCTGAGGGAGGTGACGTCGAGCTCGCGAACCAATTCTTTGGCGGTATGTTTGCGACGCATAGACGGTTGATGGAGGGGAGGAAGCATTGGTATTTGGAACTGATAGCTACGAGGCCGGAGTTTCAAGGGAAGGGAGCTGCGGGGATGTTGATGCGGTGGGGTTTGGAGAAAGCGGATGAAGAGGGGGTGGAGACGTATTTGGAGGCTAGTCCGGCAGGGAAACCAATTTATGAACATTTTGGCTTTCAGGAGGTGGACAGATTGGTTCATAATTTAGAGGGAAAGGGAGTTGAGGAGAAGGAGTATTTGGAGGTTATTATGGTGCGGCCGAAGAACTGAAGGATTACGACTTTACGAGGGAGGAAATAGAGAAGACAGAAGCCTTGGTTAGGCTTCTAAAGGTATGTAACGATAATTCGTGTTTATATGAGAAGTGCTTGAATTGATGGAGACAGCAAGCAGAAATAGGCAAATATGTAGAAAATGTTGGATCTATCGAGTTAGCCTGGATTCTGGATTTCGTACTAAAGATGTATCTCCTCGCGTAGCCGAATAGGGGGGAGGGGACACTAGTACACTACTTCGTAACATCCAGCCACGCGGAAGTGTAGAGACCTTTCACATAACAGCAGGGTTTGATTTTGGCTTCCTCCTTTCAATCTCTTGGGTCACTATGCCAAGACACTTGGGTCAGCACTAGAGACCAATTTGGGGCTAGCCACCTCTATCCTTGCGTCTAAACTCGCCGCTTTGGGACATACACTGCCATGTAAGGCTACTGATTTGCACAGGGCCTCTGCGTTGTGCATCTGTCCAATGAGAGTGTACCGTTCAAAGGCAATCAGCTCGACATTCGAAGCTATTAAAACCCTCTTCAGCTCCTCCTCTCCCCCTCACCAGTATTTGTCGCACACGGCGACGACTGTCCTTGGTTGTTCTCTTGAATGATAGCCTGACTTGGTGTGACAAAGCAGCTCCAATGATTATATACTTTATCCTCAACACCTTATAAGCTTGTTTAAGTAGTACCTGTAAGGGCGCACATCGGATAATTTGTTGTCGGCGCTAATCAATTACTATTGTCTAGAATATCCGGTTTTCGACTCCCCTTCTCATGAAACCGCATAATGTCGGGCGCCGAAGCCATTATTGCAGTGATTTCCTCGATAATTTCGATTGTCGATGGGACCAAACGAATCTATGACGCCGCTACGAGTGTCGAAGACCTTCCCGAAGCATTTCACGAGGTTGCCGGTCGACTATCAATCGTCACAAATATTTTGGACGCATCCAAGCAGTATCTCAAGGAGGGAGATATCAATGAAGATTCGTGCAAAGGAGTAAAGCACGTTGTTGAGGCCTGCCAAGAAAAGGCTAAGAAGCTAGATGACCTATTCCAGAAGGTTATCCCTAGTGATAGTGCCTCGAGAAGGCAGCGATACTTTTCAGCTGTCAGAACTCTGGGCAAAGGAAATGAGGTAGAGAAGTTAATGAAAGGAATGTTAGAGGACGTGCAACTCTTGGCCTGCGAGCGCGATATGAACATAGCGACCAGAGTCCAACAAGAGCAGATCGCCAAGGCTATTACAGAACTGTTGGCTATCCCACCCTCTGTGCCCGAGCACGTGTTTCAAGAGACCGGTTTCACGGCAAACAGTTCTGGATCTGGTACTCAGACGAACTTCAACGCTCAGGGAGAATACATCGCTCAGAGCGAGCCCGGCGAGGCGCGACAGTACAACTCTGGTGGCGGCGCGATCTTCAAGGCGCCTATCTGCAATCATTCAACTACCTCAGGTAGTCGCCGCCTTGAATATATCATTACCGTTTTGTGTACTCTCTTGCCTATAATAATTTGCATCCTTATGGTCCAATTGCGAAACCTCACTAGACCTCTTTTTCAAGGGATCAACGATGACCATGGTTGGGTTGAAGGCTGGATTAATAATTGCCGCTCTCGAGCTGTCCTGGACAATCCTGATCCTGGGAACCCAGCCACTGTAAACCAAGCTTTCAACTTCACCGGCACCGGAATCGACGAGAAAGCTATGTGCAGTACTTTTCTTCGATGTATTCTTTATCAGGCTACAGGAGACTATCCGACTTATTGGTCCTCAGCTGCGAGCATCTTGGCATTCATACCTACTATTGTTGGGTTGCTTAGCAACAGTATCGAAGAGATAGTTGCCCTTGCAGATGAAGCCCCCATGCTGGCGCTGCTTCTTGCCTTGTCCAGTACATCTTCTTTCAGTAGCCGATTCACCGATTCCGAGGCACCTCAGATGTTCGAACAGCATGCTGGCTACATTCTCGCAGCGGAAAGGAGCATCGTGCATCTTGTATCGAAGAGCCTCCATCACAACGAAAGAGGTCGTGGAGGAAGATGGTTCAAGAATGAAAAATTTCATATGGGTGTAGCAATGACAGCCTTGATTGTGTGCACAGGGGCAGTCTGGTTTTCGGTTTGGATGCTTACTTGCTACGGCTGTGTGGTATGGTCTTGTCCGGTCAAGTTACACACCTCGTTATGGGTAGCCCTGAGTCAGGTTCTGGCTGTTCTAAATATTGCCCTGCGGTCGTCGGTTTTCCGCACCGAGCAAATCACGCTGCGTATCCCAAAGAATGCAAGAGCGGACATAGCAAGGACGTCTAGACTTGTCCTATCTCGTCCAGGACAAGGACGAATGCCGACGCTTGAGAGATGGGAGACGCTAACACATGAGGCGGTTAGAGATATTACTGTTGCTTTGCGATGCCGTCGCCATGGTTGGAAACGCTGGTTCATTCAGACGACCTCCTCTGTGATCTCATTTGCTCTGTATACGTTTTCCACTGTTGTTTTGGCTAGTATGATGCTCATTATGCCAGTGACTGCTTGTTATATAATGGTGATTTTCAGCGTGGCAGGTGGCGTGGGACGATTAGTTGGATATTGGGCTAGGTCTTCATCAAGGTTGGGAAAAGCCGTAATTGCTTTTGATGTGCCAGAGATACATATGAAGGATTTGAAGGAGCGGTTGGAGAATGTTAATTGGCAGAATTTAGATATAGAGTTGACGGAGAGACAAGTTGCTAAATGACAAAACATATCGGAGGGCAAGCGATCGTTAAACAAGTCAGATAGCAGTGGGAAATACAGTATACATTATACAGAATATTACATTTCAACCGAACCGTATTTGCTAGCAATACAACCCCAAGTTCGTTGTCAGTGGATGTTGACCTGTACTACCTGAGTCTTTACATAATCATCTAATTCTAGGTTAAATAGCAGTAACTAGGTACCTTACCTATAGCCGAGTCGAAATAAGCCCCCCTTTTCTCTCGCTTAAGCTTACTATGCTCACCTATGCCTACCCGTACTCACCTTAGCTCATCTAGTAATGCCGATAAAGCAGCCTTACTCACCTTTTCAGACCGAAACGGATTCTTTCAACGTTAGGATTAATGCGGGCTAACCAGCTGTTGCTAATCAGGACGTTGCTCGAGGCTAGCCCGATATAAGGCCGCGTCCCTAAGGTACGGTTCATTGTCATATCTAGCTCTCCTCTGACCTCTTGCCCTCTTCCCTACTACCACCCTGATGCCCTGGAAGCGGTGCCGGGATACTGGCTTTCCTCTCCTCCCCTTCTACCGAAAAGAGACCAAGACTTCGTGAGCCAGCGCGTCCCAATACGAATAGGATAATAAACAACGATAAAAATATACAAATGACAACAGTAGCTACTCAATGACAACAACTGTATATTCACAACAATAAACTAGCATTATGATCCCTAATTCGGTCCCACCAGTTCTCAAGCTAAGAGCTCGAAGCCTCGGGGGCGTCAAAAAATTGGAAATTCCAAATTATTGAAGACTAAGAAAACACGTTGACAGTTGGGCTGGAAACAGAGGCTGAAGTTCCAAACAAGAGCGAATGCCCCAGTTCTGGCAATTTCCCTTTCCTAATTAAAGGTGTGAACTGGGGAAGGAATAAACGTATTTATACTTGATCTTGAGAAGTTCGCGAAATGTACGTACCTATTGCTCGTGAAGTCACGAGGCTTAGTAGACAGTGTACGACAAGGTGTGATTTATGGATAAAAACAAATTGAATAGAGAGAATGGATTGAATATTCCTGGACCTGGTAGCGAATAGGGCGCTTGAGTAAAGAAGAACAAGGTGGGACAGCTTATATTCTGGGAGAGGTGGTATCATAAACTAGGATTAAAATGAATATCATGACAGATAAGCTGCCAGGATCCACTAACTCTAGGGATGATTACTACTAGATCAATAGCAAACTGTGTCATGTACTTCAGACACCTACTATAGGTTTCTCTAGACTCTAACAAACCCTCTTATTCTTTATGATTGCTAGCATTAGCTCTGCTCTGAGAACAGATATTAAGAAAATATTACAACGAACACATGACAACCCCTAGAAATCGTATTTTCAGTATTAGACTTGATTCTAGACAACACTCTGGAATCATTATTCAGCGTTAGATACAACAGTCCTCCAGGATATGACGCAAGATATAGAGACTTCCTGATATATCATCTAAGACATGCCCTGCAAGATTGCTCAATTCTTTACTTACAAGTGACTTTCAAACAAGTAGTTGTTAAGATACCAGGGGGGGAAAAAGAAAGCAAATTAAAATAAAAAAAAGAAAAAGAAGGAAAAAGGAAATTATAATGCGAAAGCATAAGGAAAAAATGAAAGGAAAAAAAAAAACGACGTTGACAAGATTCGAACTTGTGCTCCCGAAGGAAACAGCTTTCTAGGCTGTCGCGATAACCACTCCGCCACAACGCCCGTCGTCTGCTGCTTATATTTTTTCCTCTTCTAATGATTGAACACCCTCATAGAATTATACTCTGTACTAATGAAACACATCTACCTAGTCTCTAAAGCGCCCTGTGTAGGTATTGACCCTCTTGTTTCTCTTATCTCTGTATTGATTCACTTGATGTCTTTGGAGATTTATGAAGAGATTGACTACAGCAGTTGCGTTTCGCGATAACCGAGAATGTGAGATGATTTATCTCACGGATCTTTTCTTTTGAGGGGACTTAGGGAGTATATAATAAAGTGTGCGAGGACCTTGAACAAGAAGATAGATAACTATTACGCGATAGGAGACGTTCCACTTATGTGACCTTGAGGAGCTAGAAGGATTATCAGATGATTCCAAGTGCTTTACGGTAATGTATGGGTAAAAGCAAATCCTCATACAAAACGTGCGACTACGTTTAAATCTCTCTACGACCTACCTCGCCGTACCAGCTACTGTATTGAAGGGAGGCGAAAGCAGAACTCGGAGTACCCTATGACGGAGATGACGAATGGTTCCGGCGGGGTATAGACCTGCGCAACGAGGCTGCGGATGCCGTAAAGCTCGCACAAGCCCGAATGAAGATTTAGTACGACGAGCGCCACTCTATGCCACATTTTGATGAGTACGCGTACCTGCGCCTTAGCAAGAAGAATGAGAAAGGGTACCATCTTGAAAACCAGACGAAACTTTCCTTTAACAAAAAGGTAGTGAACGACGATTTCGAAAGCTCTTACCACTATCGATCTGTGTGGCTTTTACTGATGGTGAATCCAAATTTTGACAACAAGGAGTGTTAAAATGACGGCGATGAGGGATTTGACAACGGTAAGAAAACCTTACGTTCTTCTAATTTGAGAAGTGGAGGTCTGGTGGGTTCGAGAATCAATTAACGTACATTTGATCTTCTCCTTTGACTATTGCTCCAGAGCTGTCGTGGACGTTACCCGGGAGTAGATCGCCTGTGGGACGGACGGGGCATTGCCACGTCCTTCTTGAGTAGAGGTATCATGGTAAACTAGTACCTTGAAATATAAAGCTCTTAGTCTCTTAAAAGGCGACTATAGTAAAGAATCCATTTTGATAGTAGACTGTAGAGCTAGAGGAGGTGGGAGGATTGCTTTTGTGTAAGTAGGAGAAAGGGACGATCCAAGAGATAGGGTGTTTATAGTCGAGGGCCCGTAGATGTCTTGTGTTTGATAGGCATGGCTAGAGAATGCTGTTTTCTTTGGGGGGATGGAGACTTAGATTTGAGCGCCTCTTTACCTTCGAGGTGTCCCAGATAACCACTTATAAGCAATTCGACAATGATACGATGTGTTGGGTTGTTTGTTATTCATAGCGAGGGAGTTAGTGAGCTTTGAAAGGGTGAATATATGGGACATGGTTGAATGGCAATGAATGCTCGTTAAAATGAATTCGTAGTGGGGTCCTTGTCCCAACAATAACGTGGCGCATCCCATGATGTCTGCTTTGCAGTCTATCTCCCTTAGACAATGCTGACCAGCTTCATGGAATGCGAAAAAGGAGTGACTTGTAATCGAGAAACCTCACGAGCATCCATATTACCATTCTATAAACTCTTCTCGACCTTCATGACCTCCTCAATGCCGTCTCTAATTCCCTGAGTCTTCACCTGATCTAATCTCTTCAACGGCCTACGAGGGTATCCGCCATACCCAAAGTATGACTGGATAGCACTCTTCGTTCCCGCAATAGCAGCTTTCGTGAGCACCCAATCACCTTTGCTCAACACCTTCTGCAACTCGAATGCCTCTTCTTTCTTCCCCTCCGTATACAGATCCCAGACCTTAACACACGTTTTGGGCATCACATTGGCACCTCCCGCGATAATGCCTGACCCCCCAGAAACGAGCGTTTGCGCGGTGAAATCACACATCCCGCCGAATGCCATATATCCGCTCCCTCTCGAGAAGGGTGTTACGGCATTTGTGGCGAGTGCAACGCGTGTCAGCTTGCCCGTGTTCCCGCATGTGAATTTTGTCCCCGTGATATTAGGATGCTGTGCAATTCGGATGAGGAGATCTGAATCCATGTCAATCCCAGCAACAGCACCGGGGTAGTTGTACAGAATGATCGGCAGTGGGGAAGCGTCCGCTACCTCCATAAAGTAGCTATAGATGGCCTCCTCGTCCATCAGGCCGCGGAAATATGATGGTGGGAGCACAAGCACATAGTCTCCGCCTGCCTTCTCGGCTTCTTTGATGAGTGCGACAGTTCCTCGGACTGAACCCTCGGATGCACCCACTATAATGGGGATTTGACCAAAACCGGCAGAATCAAGTGCTTCGCGGGTTGCGCGCGTGACGGCTGATTTCTCGGCAGTGGAGAGATGGACTGCCTCGCCGTTCGAGCCCATAGTCACTAGTCCTACGAGCCCAGCTTCCACAAGTCGGATTGCATGTTTCTTGATGATAGGGATGTCCAGCTCCTCGGTTTCGGGATCGAAGAATGTCATTGTTGGAGCGTAAATTCCGGGGAGGAGAGGTCGACGAGAAGCCGCCTGGCCATTGCTACCTTCCGTGGCTCCATTGTGTCCACTGGTACCCGCCATTGTATCAGTATTGCAATCAGGAAATGAAAGGCAGTGTAAGAAACAGATAGAAAGTAAGTTGGGATGTGAAACCGAAAGGGAAGTGAGGGTGAGAGAGAGAAAGAAAAGAGGGACCAGATGTATTTAAGGACATTCGGACGAATACAATTAAACAAAAGCATGTCCCGGAACGGAAGATATTCCGTTCTTTTGTGAGAGATCAGATAGAAGTTGGACCTTGCCAACCGATCCTCCTTCTAAGATTTCCCGGTAACAATAGCCCAGAAGTAAAAATCGAAATGAAAGGGCGTCAGTGGAATAATAAGAAGCCGGCGGGGGGCAGTCTAAGGCTGATGTCCTCCCGAGACGAGTAGCTTGCTTCTTTTCCAGATCAGTAGGCATACGCCACAGGCGTACTGCTTACTTTGTGGGTCAGATGCGAGCATCGTTGACAGCATGAAGTGTACAAAGGTCTTTGCCATGTACCTCCAGCTCCTGGTACCGTCCCATCCGAGGAGCTATGAGAGGCCAAGCCGTCCTTTCTGGGAGGGAACGGTTGTTTTGACTAAGGTCATTCTGGATAAGTCTTTGTGCATGTCTCCTGGCAACGAATAATGGGTCGATGGCGGTGTTCAATGGTGGTGATCAATGACGTTTCTCCTTGAAGACGATGCTGGTGGTTGTGGTCGTGGTCATGGTCGTCCCTCGTTCCCGTTGACACGGAGGAGTTTTCCCACCAATGAACCAGCTTAAGGTGACCAGCGGATCAAGGAGAGCTGCGTGGGGTGTCCACATCCCCCGGGATCATTTTGGTGCCGTGGGTAGGTAGCTAACAATAGGGAATTAGCCTGATATCAGTTGATATGCGGGGCAGAACTGCGGGTAAAATGTTCCTGTACATTTGTTGAGCGTGTTTGCAGATGGAATGGAAATGGACAATGGACTGAAGATTTAGATGTGGTTGTTTGGTGTAAGTCAGGACCACCTTGGCCATCGCAACGCCAGATTTACGGAGGCATGAGATTACCGTAAAACCTGCTAATCCGAGTTATAAATTCCACCTTCTCCAAGTTGGTGGAGACCGGATTATCTCCGCGCGAGCCCCTCATTCCTCCTTTGGGTAATTGTCCGGCAAAGCCCGACATCTACCTCCACAGTGTGTCAACAACACACATGTCAAGGATCACAATGATATTCTACAATATGTTCACTACTCCTCTTCTTCCTCTCTTGTCCTACGACAAGGGCTAATTCTGGTTACCCTTTGATGCTAATCAACCAAACCGCAATACCAAGATGTCCACAATACCAACCCGGCCAGCTACGGCTGCCTCTTCGGCGGGGGACCGGCCATTGAACGTCCTCATGGTCGGAACAGGGGAATATACGACTGGCTTCGTAGGAACAGGCGCTTCAGGATCAGATAAGAAAATCGGGGTCGTAGGACTGACGCTCTTTGACCTGCGACGACGCGGAAAAGTAGGGAAACTATCAATGGTTGGCACCACTGGGTCAAAATACCCCGCGATCCGTAATTCCACCACCCTCTCTCCCTCTAGCCAGGACATGAAGCTAATCATTCGTTGATTCAACCAGGCGAGCATTTACACAAAAACATCTCCCAGGTCTACAACGGTTTAGACACGAGTTTTGACTCTTATCCACCGGACGATGCCAGAGACCCCGAGGCATACAAAACCGCCATCGATGCGCTGAGTCCAGGGGATGCGATCACGATCTTCACCCCGGATACAACGCACTACCCCATTGCATTGTACGCTATCGAACGCAAGATCCACGTCCTAATCACCAAACCGGCCGTCAAGACCCTTGCACACCACCAAGCCCTCCTCGAAGCTGCTAAGAAGCATGGGGTCTTCGTCTACATCGAGCATCACAAACGCTTCGACCCCGCATACGCAGATGCGCGCTACAAAGCACAAGGACTAGGCGACTTCAATTACTTCTATTCCTACATGAGTCAACCGAAAAGCCAGCTCGAAACATTCAAAGCTTGGGCAGGCGTCGATTCCGATATCTCATATTATCTGAACAGCCACCATGTTGATATTTGTGAATCGATGGTTTCGACCCAAGGCTACACACCAGTCAGAGTCAGTGCGAGCGCGAGCAAAGGCACAGCTGTCGACCTCGGCTGTGTGCCCGAGACAGAAGACACGATTTCCTTGCTCGTGCACTGGGTCAAGAAATCAGCTCCGGAAAAGAGAGCCACGGGTGTGTACACGGCATCTTGGACCGCGCCCCAGAGAGCAGGCGTGCATTCGAACCAATACTTCCACTACATGGCCCAGAATGGCGAGATCAGGATCGATCAGGCGAAGAGGGGTTATGATGTCGCGGACGACAATCTCGCTGATAAGGGGCTAATGTGGTACAATCCCTTCTACATGCGCTATGCGCCGGACGACGAGGGCAATTTTGGAGGCCAGGGCGGATACGGCTATGTCAGCTTTGAGAAGTTTGTTGATGGGTGTAGACTCGTGAATGAGAAGGGCGCCGAGGCGTTGGCGGAACTGGATAAAAGGGGATTGCCGACTTTGAGGAATACGCTTGGCACGACGGCGATTTTAGAGGCGGGGAGGAGGGCGCTGGATGAGGGGAGAGAGGTGGGCATTAAGGAGACGGACGGGGTGTGGGAGCTGGTGTAAATCTCAATCAAATATCTGGGATAAGATGGATGGAATGTTGGGATAGTACATCTCGAATCATCAGAGTCCTCGATGGCAATGAAAAGTAGCTAGAACCTTGTTTCATCACTGATCTGCAGCGAATCTCATCAACGAGAGGAGAATGATAATATCAACGAAGCCTCCCAGGTATCATAGGACCATTCCACCTCCACGCAAGCAAATTCCCTTGATCAATTTATCGCCGCACACCTCAATACGCCACCCGCAATCCCGCTCCCATCTCACAACTCGCTCTTCCCCTTGGCCAACTCCTCCAAAATCGGTGCCTCCAAGCTCTCAGGCTTCGTAGTGCTCGCCCATCTGCCCTTGACCTTCCCATCCTTGCCAATCAGGAACTTCTCGAAGTTCCACTTGACCCTCTTCAAGCCCAGCAGGCCCGGCTGCTCATTCTTCAACCATTCGAAGAGCGGGTTGGCCTTGTCACCATTAACGTCCGTCTTGCCCAGGATGGGGAACGTGACGCCGTAGTTCAGCTGGCAGAAGGACTGGATGTCGTCGTCGGAGCCGGGCTCCTGGCCGCCGAACTGGTTGCATGGGAAACCGAGGATTTGGAAATCAGAGCCTTGAGGAAGGGCGCGTCAGTTGCTTGCACGGTTGGGAGAGGGTGGGAAGGGAAGGGAAGGGAAGGAGAGGAGAGGAATCTGATTACGAACCGTGCTTCTCTCTAATGGTCTTGTAGAGCTTCTCGAGCCCTTCGTACTGTGGCGTGAAACCGCATTTCGAGGCCGTGTTGACGACAAGCACGACTTTCCCTTTGTAGTCTTCGAGGGGAACGGGCTCGCCTTTCTCTGATGGGAAGAAGGGGGTGGTCTTAGTTCGAGATTCTCTCAAGAGGGAGGGAGGGGGAGCGCGGGGGGCACGTACTGTCCAAAGGCTTGAAATCGTAGAAGCTGGTTGCGGACGACATGGTTCTTCTCTGGGCCTGCGCGACGTATGTTCGTTGGATCGGGGGTGTTGATGTGCACTGTTCGTATCGCTATTAGCTATCTATCTATGATGTGCCAAACCATCGAACGGTAGAGCTTATTATGCGGGGGCGGGCTGCGATGCGATGCGATGCGATGCGGTCATCAACGTACAAGGTTCAAAAGCGGGGGGTGGTTCTTCCGAACTCCGTGAGCGATGCGCCGGGTGGTATCTCTGAAGACGCTGTGGAAGAGGCGGGTTGGTGCTTGCATCTAGGAAAGAAAGGATTCTGGAATCAAGATGCACGCGCGACGCTGGGATTAAATAAGAGGGCGAGAGGATGGCTGCTGTTGGTGTTTGTAAAGCGTTTCGCCTCTGAATCTGACCAAGCGGCCGGTTCTGGCCTCTGCCAGCCTGCCAGGGTTGCGCTCTTGGCACTTGATGACAAAACGAGGTCGCCATGGTCTTCATCCCGTACAAGACAAGGGGCACGTTTGCACAGCTAGAATAAGTCTAGAACGGGAAAGCAATTACCAATGATACACTACGCTTTTACATCAGAGAATTGCTGTTGGGGTTGAAAGCTTTCAAAGCTGGAGCTGTTGGCAGAATAGGGCGGTGACCGGGCAGAAAAGGGCGGTGGCTGAGCTTTGATTTGGCTTTTGCCTCGGGCTTGGCTTTTGATTTTTGATATTAGGACTCGAGGAGTAACTTCTACCCCGATACACATGACAAGGGATCAGGAAGCATACGTGAAGAGAGAGAATCCCATATCAAGCCTGTACAGGAGAAGATGTGAAGTCTCTCACTTCCACAACGCAAAGCGTAGCTCATAGTAACCAACAATGTTGCTGAAGCCAGAGCTTCCTGATTAATAAGATGCTGCTGGTCTCTGCATGACATCAATGTCGACAACCCTCGTGGCACGGAGATTTCTCAACACCATGGCTTCAGAAACACCACAGCGGAACATCGTAATCATAGGTACTCCTTCCCCATCGCTGATTCTCATCCCAACTGCTAACCATGTGCTGGAAACGCAGGAGGTGGAATCATAGGCTGCACCACCGCCTACTTCCTCACACGGCACCCCTCCTACTCCCCTCAACGCCACAACATCACAATCCTCGAATCGCAATCCATTGCCTCGGGCGCATCGGGCAAAGCAGGCGGTCTCCTCGCGCTCTGGGCCTATCCCTCGAACATCGTTCCCCTCTCCTACAAACTCCACGCCGAGTTAGCCAAGGAACATGACGGTGCGAACCGATGGGGCTACCGCGCCGTCCACTGCGGATCTCTGAGCGCCAGAGGCCGTCTTCATGAGCCCACAGACACCAAGGGCGGGGAAGCAGCAGAAGGAAAGGGAGAGGAATGGCAGAAGCTCCCCAAGACGGACCCGAATGCCAAAGCAAAGATGGCAGCGAAAGGCATCCCCAAAGACCTGGATTGGTTCGATGCCGATGCCGTCACCGGGTACTCAGAGATGGGCGACCCGCGCACAACCGCACAGGTGCATCCCTATCTCTTCACCACCTCCATGGCGGACCTGGCCGTCGAAGCGGGCGCGAAAGTCATCCTGGGATCCGCCACCGCCATCGATTATACGGGCCCGCACGGCGTCAAGGCCGTGACGTACGAGGATAAGGAAACGAAGAAGATACATACCCTCCCGGCCTCAGATGTCATCCTAGCAGCCGGTCCATGGACAAGTCATATCTTCCCTGAAGCGCCGATCGATGCGATGCGCGCTCACAGCGTCGTCGTGCAAGCCGACGTCTCGCCGTACGCCATCTTCTCCGAGATCGACCTGCCCCGAGACTTCGGCAGGAAAGGAGGCGGCGATGTTCGGGTCCGGAGACATGGTAAGACGGTCAGCCCGGAGATGTATGCCCGACCTGACGGGACGGTTTACGCATGTGGTTCGTCCCCCCCTCCCCCACCCTATTTCATCTCACTCCCCCTCACCACTCTTCTATCCCCATCAAATTGAAAGTCAATCATCATTCACATAAACTGACACCCCACCCACCGCGCCAGGCGAGGGCGATCACCTAGTCCCCCTCCCCAAATCCTCCGACCTCGTCCAATGCGACCCGGACCGGTGCCAAGACATCATCGACTACGTATCCTCGATCTCCACCCCTCTGCGCCAGGGCGCCATCCTCGCGAGACAAGCCTGCTACCTCCCATCTGTGTCGACCGGCGGCGGGCCGCTGATCGGCGAGACCGGTATCCGGGGCCTGCTGCTCGCGACGGGGCATACGTGCTGGGGTATCCAGAACAGCTGCGCGACGGGGAAGCTGATGAGTGAGTTTGTGTTTGAGGGTAAGGCTAAGAGCGCTAATGTGGCGAGTCTGGATCCGAGGAGGTTTTTGTAGATAGGAGAGGTAGGGAGGTGGGGAAGAATCAGTAATTATGGGAAGTAGAGGGAGGTCATCACAGCAATCATATATTGAAATCTAAATGCTATCTATTTATATACACATATATATCTCCATACCTACCTTACTTATAAACCTCTACCTATCGACCACTATCCACCCTCCTACATACAAGTTCTTAACACCTAAATAAACCATACTATACCTCCATTTAACTTACATCTCAGAATTATAATAGCTACCTATCAGCCTATCCCCTCTCGCACCTTTACCTTTACCTTATCTGGCTCGTAGATGGAAACAGGGGGGGTTATCACGTGCATCATAGTAAGCGAACGAAGCGATCCCCCTCCCCCCTTTCCCTAACTAGGTACCTAGGTACTCAAAAGTCTAATATAAGGTACCTAGGGAGCTAGGGTAGAGCACGGTTTGACATATAGGTAAGCAACTCTAATATTGTAAGAATAGCATATTCGAAAATCTTAGGTTGTTCTATAGGTATGTAAGGTATGTATGTATCTATTCGTAAAGTAAGGTCTATAGATCTCTTCTATAACACGCATTTGTTCTCTCTCTCTATATAGGTATATACATATATAACATCTAAATACCCACCTACCCACCGGAGAATTACCTAGGGACCAAGCCAATCTAATGGCTATCCCTACGATTAATACTGCTATGCAGCGTATGCTGCCTCATAAAAGCGCCAGCCACGAGACCCAGAAGAGCCAAGCCCAGAGCCGTCAAAAACACACCGCGCAGCGCGATGCTATACGCTTCAAAAACGCCATCATGCCAGCCGCGCGGCAGCTTCTTCAGCTCTTCGAGCGAGTCCCGGATGCGGCGGATCTGATCTGCTGCGCCGTCGCGCCCGTCGAAGCGCTGGTGCAGGCCCGAGAGGAGCAGGTTCTGGTACACGGCCGACGCGATGGTGATGCCGATGGTGGAGCCTGTGGAGCGGAAGGCGTAGGTCGCCGAGGTGATGACGGCTTGGTGGTCGTGCGACACGGCGGAGATGGTCGCGAGGAGCGTGACGGTGAGCATGCCGCCGTAGCCCGTGCCGATGAGGAAGGCATATATGAAGGCGATCCTTTCCGGGGTGCGGAATGTCAGCGTGCTTAGGAGACCGGTGCCGACGACGAATGTAGTGAGGACGAGCAACCCGAGCGCTTTGTATTTTCCCGTGCGGTTCATGATGATACCGGAACCGAGAGAGCCGACGGATGCGCCGATGCTCTGGGGGATAAGGTAGAGGCCAGCTGCAGTGGTGGATAATCCTTTGACTTGGAAGAAGATGGGGATGTAGAAGGTCGTCATGAATGTGGCCATGGTCGTAAACCAATTCGTGAGGCATGAAGCTAGAACTGTCCTGTTGAGCAAGAGCTTAATAGGGATGACAGGTTCCTTCGCCCAGTTTGCTTCAACCCATACAAAGGCCGCCAATGCCACCACTGAGAGGCTTAGGGATATCAAGACAAGTGGGTGTGTCCAAGGCACGATATTGCCTCCGGAATTGAGACCCAGGAGCAGAAGCACCAACGTGACAACGAGGGTGAAAGCGCCGGAAAAGTCTACCCTCGACAATTTCGACTTGGCGCTCGTCTTCGCCGGAATCTTGACGGTGAAGAACACCAGAGTCCCAGAAACCACCACCAACGGTACCTGGCTCAAAAACGCAACCCTCCACCCCCAAGTATCGTTCACCCAGCCCCCAAACAACCCGCCTAGACCCGCGCCCGCGCCATAACAGATATTGCCTATGCCCTGGATCACGCCCCTCTTCCTCAATGGCACTAGATCACTGGCCACAAATGTGCTGATGGCCATCATTCCCCCACCGCCCATCCCGGCCACCACTCTGCCCGCTATCATAGTCCATTCGGTCGTCGCCAAACCGCAAATCAGGTTCCCGGCCGCAAACAGGGCGTTGGAAACGACGAGCCCGGTGCCACGGGAGAAGATATCGGTGAGGCGGCCGGAGAGGGGCTGGCATGCTGCATTGGCGATTAAATAGGCGGATGCAAGCCAGGAGAGAAGGGAGAGTGAGTTGAAAGATGTGGAGATGGGCGCGGAAAGGGTTGCGATTATAGTGCTGTCGAGAGCGCCAAGGAAGACGCCAAAGTAGATGCTGCCGAGGGTTACTACAAGGAGTCTATTTGAGATCTCGTCGACGACGACGGTTTCTTCAGTGGTGGTTTGGTTGGAGGGGGGCTTCAGCTGGTCGTTGTCGTAGAGGAGAGGGGTTTCTTCATCAGTTCGTGAGCTCGAGGATTCCGAGACCCCGTTTTGGGGGGATTTGGATCCGGGCATGACGAGCTATTGGAACTGGAATTGCTCATCTACAAGTGAAAGGAAAGCAAAAGACTATAGGAAAAGAGATAAGAGAGCAATCATATCTTATCGGACAGAGGTGGACTCTGGAGAGACGGATATAGAGTTTCGGCAACAGATATTTAGACGTAACAGTATTGCCGAAGCGGCGGATGAGCTCACCCGCACTACTTGTGCCGGCACAAATTCCTGTGGGGTTTCATTATTATTATGTTTACAGGCCCCAACCCGCCCCGTCTTTAAGCAGGTCGATTTATGCAGAATTTATTGAAGATATGTCGAATTACCATGCCAATGTTACCTTATCGTTACCGGTCAGCCTCCTGCCAATCTATTTTAAGCGCATGTGGCTGAGGCGGAGGCTGAGACCAAGGTGTTGAACCAGCTGAGCAACGCGGATAGCAACGAGCCTCTCTGTTCCGGCTGAGACTATTCCTGTGATTCCGTAGGCAAACATCCAATTTCCCTTCTTTTGCCCCAGTCAAGTTCTTCTTCCGCCTGGCAAGTAGTTACATTCCTCAATATCTCCATACTTGCGCCGACTCATCTCCTTCACCTCGCGGCCGCGCATCCTGCAAACAACAAAAGTTTCAAGATCAAGCGGAAGAGCGCCAAGATGATTGAATTCGATCCCCACCACTTCCTGAACGTAAAACTAGGAGTACATGTCACGCAGGCTGTCTTCATCTTCGTTGCTTGGGCCATTGAGATCGCGGTGTTTAAGTCGAGTGCTACGGTTGATGGGAGAGCTGGGTGGTATTTCGGGCTTGTAGGTTTTCCTTCTCCTCTCTGCCAAAGCCTACCGCCATGGGCTCACTTCCTCTATTCCCTTCTGTGGTAAAATCATACAAGATAGCTGACGTGCAATGCGCAGTGCTTCCTCACTATCCCAGCCATACTCTACGAAACTATGTGCCCCCGCTTCCCACGCACTCGAAGATTCGCAAACCCCTATGCGCTAGCGATCGTGGATGGCATCTTTATGATTATGTGGCTGAGCGCCTTTGCTGCAGTGGCGAGTTGGAATGGGACGGGCAAATGCGGGAGTGGGTGTAATTTGAGCAAGGCTGTTGTTGCTTTTGGAGTGCTTACTTGGTACTCCCCCCATGCCCCTCTCACGAAGAGGCCTTTTACTGATCGCCGATGGTTTATATGAAGGCTGCTGTTTATCCTTACAACTTTTCTATCGCTCTACGCCCTCTTCTACTACAGACGAGAAGGCTACCTCCCGGGCACCAGCCGCGCGCCTATGAATGCGCAAATGATCGATCCGGATAAAGAGGCCTTCAGCACCACTCCACACGACGAATACGCTCCGGTGCATAACCAAGACGATCATGAGATTCCCGACTATTCCGGAAGTGAGAGGTACGAACAGTCTGCGTCCAGCTATATGCCACCCAGTGTCCAGGAAGAAGATACGTCGTATACGGGGTATAGTGGCGCACTCCAGCTACAGCAGACGCATAGCGATAGAATCCACTTTCCCCCAGCGCGGTATGAGAATATATGAGGAGGATGGGGGAGAGGAGATGAATGTTTGGATAGGTTGGCTTTCATCGAGGCGTTTTGGAAGGGCATATGGGACCACGATAGCCACGTACGGATGATACGAACCGGTATATTATATGAATGTATTATTTTTACTCTCTGGTATGTTTAGTATGGAGAGACGTGCTATCTCGCTGTGAACTTTCTATACATAACTGTCCTGCCATGACCCAAAGCTCCTTGATCACTTCTTCCCGGAACCAGGAATATTTCGGAACGGCTTTTCAGGAGCGCCGGTTGGAGAGGCAACGGTTGGGGAGGCAACGGCAATGTCACGGGCTAAAAGGTGAAACCCCCGCCACACTGTGAATCGCAGCACAAGCCTCAAGGCGGGGTTGCCAACTCCACTCCTCGAACCCTCCCGAACATTGGTTATGAGAGACGAGCATCCGTAGTTGTCGCGGTAGAGACGACCATCCATTCATCCATTCCAAATCCCCAAGATTACGAGAAACGAGAAACGAGAAACAAGACTCAATCCGCCATTATGACTAAAGTACGTCACTTCCCATTTACCCCGCCGATCCCCCCTGATCGTCGCTCGCTCGAGGAGTGATGAACAGCCTCCTTTCAGAATCCAATACACTGAACCATGCTAATCGAACCAGATCACAACCCTCCTCTTTGACTGCGACAACACGCTTGTGCTCTCTGAAGAGCTCGCATTCGAAGCATGCGCCGACCTCGCCAACGAGATCCTCGAATCTCGCAATATCCCTGATCGCTGTACGCTCTTCTCTTCCCCAATTCCGCAAAGAGAATAAGATGTATGCTAATGAGGTCTGAGCGAGCAGATACCGGGCCACAACTCCTCAATGAATTCGTCGGCCAGAACTTCCGCGGCATGATGGTCGCCTTGAAAGCGAAATTCAAATACGAGATGAGCGACGAGGAGCTGGAGTCGTACGTCAGCAAGGAGGAGGACAAGGTGATTGGGAAACTGAAGCAGAGTTTGAGGCCTTGTGATGGTGTTGATGCCGAGTTCGTCACCTCCCCCCGTCCACTTACAAACACCTTCTAATTCCCGCTGTGATGCAGATTAGAGAAGCTCGCCAAGAGCAATAAATATCAGCTCTCCGTCGTTTCCTCTTCCGCCCTGCGCCGTGTTAAAGCATCGGTCGAGAAGGTCGGACAAGACAAGTACTTTGACCCGAACCATATCTTCTCCGCCGCTACGTCCCTTCCTGAACCGACATCAAAGCCGAATCCCGCCATCTACCTCCACGCTATGAACGTCCTCGGCAAAACCGCAGAAGAGTGCGTCGCGGTTGAAGACTCTAAGAGCGGCGCGACGGCGGCGTTCAGAGCGCATATTAAGACGATCGGGTACACGGGCTCTTACGAACCGGAGAAGCAGGAGCAGATGAGAGAGGTACTCAAGAATGCGGGGTGTGTGGTTATCATGAATCATTGGTCGGAGTTCGAGAGCGCGTTGAAGAAGATAGAGAACGATGAGGTTTAGATCGAAGATTTAGATCAGAGATGTAGATCTGATGTTTCGAATTATTGTTATTCTCTGGGATGGAGTGGATGATTGAGCGGTGGAAAAAGGTTTCTCAAATCATCCTTCATTCTTGAGCAGAGAGCATTGAGAAGTGAGAATGCGGGGGAGCGGGGTGCTAGATTGATTACTTGGTGTCGCTACACCTATATCATAGACCTAAGATAAGCCCTCATCTCCTGCCTGTGTCTAGCGTTCTGTATCTTTCATTTCTTCTAAGGCTGCTTGCTTCCGGGTTGCGCTTCTACATGGCTTACGAATTACGAACATTTCAAATAAATCAAGAACTTCAAAAGTCGAGAATTCAAAAAATCAAAACCAAACATATGAAAAATTACCCAAAGCCTCCCGACGATCAAAAAGGGTATAAAATCCATGACTTGTTGTTGACTTGACCATTTCTCAAAAAGCTTCATACCTATATCCAAATACCCACCTCGCACCCCAACAAACACGGACAGATGGCCGAGCTGGTTATGGCGCCAGGTTAAGGTCTCCTTAGCATACAGTTTCCTGGTCACGAAAGTGGCGTGGGTTCGAGTCCCACTCTGTTCAACTCATTTTTCGCCTTTTTTTTTTCTTTTTTTTTTGCCCGCACACACACCCAAACTTTCACAAAAGACAGCAATCGCTCGACCGACGATTCACAAATGCAGAAGAAATAATTTTTTGGATTAAGATCTTTCTCTAGGTACTACTGTATACTTCAAGCTTCAATTGATATATGTTTATAATTTAGCAATGGATAGGAAGGAAGGATGGGTACTCCCATGTTTTTTTTTAAAAAAGAAAAAGCCATTATCGGGGTATTAGGAGTTTTGTTTCTTTATTTGGTTGACACTCCTTCCCGAAAAGCTTCATAAAAGATGGTCAGTCAAGGATATTAGAAATCCGTTATGAATCAAGCTCTTGGATTCGAAGAAAGAAAAGGTCAGGGTAGGTAGGTGATTTGAAGGACAGGTCCGAGTCAAACTTCATGCTATATGATATACCCGTCCCGTCGCAAAACGCTCCTGAAAATAATCTCTCTTCTCCATAATGTGAATCAAGCCTTCTGCATCATATACTGGGGTAGAAGTTGGATAGTCCAGTGATGGATAGGTCTGTGTATCGTTCTTTGATTTGCAAAACGTGGGTACTCGGCATATTTTTTCTCTGCATCGTCGTGTCTTTCCTGGTTGTTGATTGAATTACGAAATACCGACGAGTCACACTGAGCTTGTTAGAAGAGGTTTAGATGCTTTGAGAATAAATGGCGGAGTTGCCTTTGCTTGATTATAGATGGGAGACATTTGGCTCGGGAGAGGGAAGAAAAGGGGAAGAAAAAAAAAGGGGGGGGGGGTTGTTCCCGGGTTCCCACGAAGAGGAACGGCGAGAAAGATATATTTCTAGGTATGTGAACTCCTCATAGAACAGCCCCCAAAAACAGCGAGAAGAACAAAATCTAGTGCAAGATATTCAGAGAAATTCATGATGACAGACACACCCGGACATTTCACGGCTGCCGCTTGACCCAAGTGGCTGGCCGAATCCCTATATAGAAAACATGAAGGCATCAACTAACACCACCATTACGACACATACGGCCCTAATATATCATAACATTGTCTGATGGATAAAATGAGTGAAATATACAGGTTCGTAAGCACAATCAGCACACGTTGCCCAGGACTTCTCTCGAACTGGTAAAAGAATGGGTGAGCATCGAGACTAGGGCATGTGCGTAATGTAGAGAGATAGGAAAGTAACTTTGGATACCCAACCTTCAGCTTTTCGCACTGAATGGCTAATCTGTACACGATATAAAACCACCTAAGGTTAGGGAGCTATAAAGGAGGCAGACGTCGATATAAATGTCGAAGTAAACGTCGGAGGAAGTACGGTGTTCCGTATAGACTATGTGTGCAAACCGAATTTCTTTCAGCCTTGCGACTTCTGCACTCCAGATATATATATATGTGATAACTTCTCTCAAATGCCAGGTCCTACTGCATCGGATCTGATCTTCTCCGAGCAAGCAAATCACAATTTCTCCAAGACGCTCGGTGAGCTCAAACGCTCGACCCTCTCCATTCACAACCGTCTGCAATCCATCCAAGAAGATGCGGCCTTTGCGCAGAGAGTGGCATCTGCATACAGCAGGCCCCTGATAGCAAACGAACGATGCGGAAGCTGGTATATTGACCCGGCACATAAAGGCGGGAGTGCATACTTCAAGAGCACAGATGGACACACAGGGGTTTGGAAATTCAGCTTAAGACGCTTGAACTTGCATCTCATGGACATTATCGGGGCAAATGATGGGTGCGTTTGGACCATTTGGACGTATAGTTTGAAGAATTGATGCTAAATATATCTAAGGTGTATCATTGTAGATTCTACTAGACGTGGGAAGAGTAAGTGCGCGCTCCAACAAGCACCTGTTGCAATGCTGATAGTTCGAAGGGATGCCGGATGCCTTGAGTAAGACTATACCAATATGGTGCAGTGTAATGAACCGCTTCCTCTTCCCCGACCAGCCTCAATCTCATGATTTATACACGCCGCCGCAAGTCATTTCCCAATCCGAACATGCCCAAATCACTGCCCTCCTACCCACCTTCGTCACTTCCCTCCGAGCCCTGAACATGTCTGCGGACGTCTTCAAAACCCATATCTCGAAACCACTGCGTCCAATCTGGATAACTCCGGAATCCCACCTCTCCCCGACCGACGAGATCTTCGAGGATTTCCACCCCATCATATGCTGCACTGTTTCACGCAGAGTCTCAGGCGGGGAGGTAAGTGAAGGAGGCTACATCCAAGGCGCTGGAGATGATACGGAAAACTGGGCTCATGGTCTCACGCCGTCCATATTCTGGGCCCATCGCGAATCCCTGCTTTCAACTTCTGAAAACGACCTACCAGATCTCATCGGAACGCTTGTTCAGGCCAGCGCGGAAACGAGGACTGGGAGTGGGGATCTGATGAGATGCGTAAAGCCGACTTCCTGTCTCTTTGTCACATCCATTTCCGCAATAGAGGCGAAGGATATGGGCACCGATACTTACACAATTACCCTGTTGCCGAAGGTTACAGAGCAGAGCGCGTGGAGGATTTCGAAAACGAGGCTGGACGTGGGTCTTGGTCCTCATAAGTTAGGAAGTCGAAATCTTCGCATGGCACTGCCTACCATTGTTGATTTCGCCGGAAACCTCTTGTCTGGATCAGATTCCGAGAAGCATTCACAGAAGGACAAACACATCGTCATTGCCTGTGAAAGCGGCAAGGATCTTTCAATTGGGGTGGCACTGGCTCTGCTATGCCTCTTTTTTGATGAACAAGGCGTTTTGCGGGACGAGAGGACCAACATGGCTAAGATTGACAAGGTATTTATCAGGCGTCGTCTAGGATGGATTTCAACGTCGATGCCTGATGCAAATCCAAGTCGGGCGACCTTACAGAGCGTGAACAGCTTCCTTATGAGCCCTCATTGAGGCTCCGATCCGGTTTTGGTATAATATGTTGGATACACAGTGTACTATCGACGCTACCAACGCATGACGCAAGTCTTCGATCGATACCAACCTCCGTTGTAGGCAGAGGGAATTCAAAGGCCAATTTGGGGGTCAATTTGGAATAACGAGCTCCGTTTTTCAGCTTTGATCTACGAGCGTCTTCACATTCCACATTAGATCAGGGAAAGATGAAGTATACTGTTCCGCCATGCCAGGTAGAAGATGTATGGAATGAAGGTCCATATCCGATATGATCACATACAATAAGCTACATGCCGGTGTTTGTCAGACCGCTCTGTCTTGGTTTCCCCATATCCCCCATATCCCCCCCTCCCCCACATACCCCTTATCGCTTATCGCTTAATCTGAGTGTAATCGTCGACTCGCTTATTGGAGGCCTCGAGTTTGCACGTCTGGAGTCTGGACCTTCACTCGTAGAAAAAAGAGGACTTGCGCTGGCATTCATGTTGCCCGTGTCATCAATCTATCGACGATTGATCCGCACAACTCAACGATGCGCTATACATAGGTCAAGATCGAAACATATCTGGTCATCCTCGCAAACACGACCGCTGGAGACCTTTTCTTATATAGGGCTTTCTATCACTGTTGAGCGCTTGAGGAGTCATATGTTAACCTGCGGGGCAACGTTAGAATAAACAGAAAATTAATACAACAAATGCCGTGCCCATGTGCCACAATCAACTCCAATTTCTAATTTTTTTATCATGCCATCTCCAGCCAACCTCCAACCTCCAACCTCCAACCTTCACCTTCACCCATCACCCATCACTCATCTGCGCATCCCATCTTCGATAACGCCAAGCAACGGGGCGAACCGCTCTTGTCGCCTTAGGTATCCATTTGCTTGCCTTGGTCCCTGAACGTCGGACTCTGAGTTCTCATCGCCATGGAATTATTTGCAGCGGTAAATCACCATTGAACGGCCCTCCCAGAACCCTTGTTCGTGTACTCTGCCCTATCAATCAACAATGATCGCTGCCGGAAACCAATTTCGATATCGTATGCGTTTGGGATAACTGGTCCGAAGGTTGGAGGACCCCAACAGATTTCTCAAGCTGGCCGTCGCAGTGACAAAAGAGAACGACTGACAATCTTCAAGCCCGTCGCATAGAAGCTGTCGCCGCTGTCTTGTCTGGTATATTTGCCAAGAGGCTGGCTTCGATGATTTGGTACCTGCTGTATCCCTTTCGAGGGTATGTTCACCTGCTGAACCTGCATATCGCGGCATCGTATCAACTAACCCCGCTGCAGAACGACTGAACCGCCAGCCCTTGGTCCGAAGCATCCTCTCCGAATTGCATTCACGCGATACGGGAACCACGCAGCGCGCCATCCTGTCGTCACTCTCTTGGTATCAGTCGCCGCCGCCGTACTTCTGATCTATCCTTTCCCCTTCCTCTATACGAATAATTTCACCAACGGCGCATCGAATCTGCCGCACCATGTCTGGACATCTGCGCAACCCTTCGACGGAGATTACCATACTCGGCCTGATGTTGTGATCCGGTCGATTTGGGTACACGGTATCCAGCGGTCTCTAGCTATTGTATCCATCCGCTGACGTCGAGCAGGTAGTTATATGAAGGCTTTGGAACCGGACGTTCTACAAAATGCATTGGAAATACAAGACTTTGTATTGGGGCCGACCGCCTATTTCGATCCGCGAAGGCGCTCAAACGAAATCGATGTCGACGCGCTCTCTGACACCGACCTCACACCAGATCTTCGGGATACTCTACACGCGATTAATGGCTTGAGTAATTCCTCTTGGTTCTTCCATTCCCCTCTCCAGTACTGGTCATGTTCGTCTCAGAAAATTGCCGATGACACGGATATAATCACGACCGTCAATCGAGGTTCTCACCAATCTACCTCTGTCAATGTTACCCTTCGGCCTTCAGTCGTTCTCGGTGGCAAACGATTTGAAGATCACCGACTCGTCGCTGCCGATGCCCTGGTTATCACGTTGGCGCACATGCTAGACTCACCTGTCGGCAGACAATGGGAGAGGAAAGTCCAAGAAATTTCGAGGCGAGGTTCTGACAGATGGCGTATGTATCCTGCCGATAATCGAACTCTTGCCAGTACCTTGCACGAAATCCGGTTTCAGCCGCTCTCGATCCATGATAATATATCCCTGGGACTTGCATATGCTCTCACTACTTTCTATTTCGCCGTCAGCTTGTCACAACTGCGAGCCCTAAAGTCAAAACTCGGTCTCCTCGTCGCCGTCGCTACTCAGATCACAGGATCCATCATGTCAAGCTTCACCATCTGTGCCATCTTCAAGATTGATCTGTCAAAGCTACCTAGAGAGGCGTACCCCCTTGTCATTCTGACAATCGGATTGGAAAACATTTTCCGCCTCGTTAACGCTGTCATCACGACACCTTCGGAAAGTTCCGCGGCAGCAAGAATGGCTGAGGGTTTGGGTCTGACTGGGCATATCGCACTTTTTGGCCTAGCCCAAAATCTGTTCGTATTATGGGTGCTCTCGAGAATCGTGTCTCCAGGAGTAGCCTCGTTCTGCATTTTTGCTATGATTGCTTTGACTTTTGATTTCTTTTACCTACTGACCTTCTTCGGTTCTGTTTTGAGTATTGACTTGCGACGAACAGAACTGAGCGATGCTCTTTCTCGGGCATCCCTTCGTCATCAGCGTTATGCATTTCCAGATATCAGGAAAAGATCAAATTGGACCAAGGCTCTGGTCCGTGGGTATGCACCGGTCTCGACTCGAATAGCTGGAACCATTATCATGATTTGTTTTATAATTGCCGCTCAATGGCACTTCTCCGAGAGCAGCTTCTATCAAACAACATTAAGATTCGTGCGACATTTAAAACCAGGACAGCTGCTATCCCGGCCGAGCTCTCCAACCTTTCTCTCCGGTGGTGTGAATCAAGCAGAAACTCTCCCACAATGGCTGCAGATGCAGGATCACGAGACGGCCCACGAGATTATTTCACTTATCAAGCCCAATTCCCATAGCTATATCGCTCGCGTTTACGACCCCTTGGTTTTTGTTCTAAGCGGTTCCGACCGGACACCCACGAAATTTGGTGTTCGACCATTTTTGCCTGCTGCGTATGATTTCGCGAGGCACCAATCAGCACAGTTCATCATTACTGTAGTCCTAATTATCGCGGCGGTAGCGTTGCTAATGAATTATCTGCTATGGGACGAAATGCCCGGAGGAGAAGCCAATGATCGGCCTGAGGACAAACCGCTACTTTCAGTCAAGACCCTGAGTCATGGCCACGCTCTCGATGTCGTCCTCTTGACGGCATCAAATGAAGGCGTTGTTGTATCGGTTGGTTTGGATCGACGGATCAGAGTCTGGAATGTTCGAAGTGGAAAGAGTTATGTCATTCAAGACCCCGAGTCAGATTTTGACCCCTTTCCAGTCCTGGCCATGGCTATCGATAACGATTCAAATTGGCTCGCACTTCTCTCATCCAGAGACCTCGTCGCACTGTGGAATATTCCGGAGAGGCGATGGGGTCCAAAAATGCAAGTTGAAGTGAAGGGCCGTACTCCTGCTGCCTTTATCTTCGGCTCCTCACGATCAGAGCTCATCGACCCCGTCATCCTAGTTCGACACAACGGCCTAATGTCGGAACTGCATATAGAAAGCAACCGGCAGACCACCCTCCAAATCTGCAAAACGCCCCTAGTTTGCGTCCGTATACACGCGGAAAAGGCGCCTTCACACAACGCCCCACGCCCACCACTTCGTGTCATTACATCCTCCCGACGCGGATGTGTACATGTTGCTTACAAAGCTGACCCCAATTGGATTTCCGAAGAGGTCCCCTGTTCGAACGACGCCGCCCCATCTGATGAAATATCATCGATTCTGCCTCTCCCAGCTCTATCCTGCTTCCTCGCGGTGCGAACGCACATGGTAGAATTGATCGACATCACTAGCCTTAGAGTCATTTGCACATTTGCAACAAAATCCATGAAACAGGACACCTTACGCTGTTTCCACTCTATGCGTCAAAGGCCACGATGCGGTTCTCTAGATCTAGATTACTTAGCATTCGCATATACGACTACGGAAGAGGGTGACTGTGTCCTTCAATCCTACTTGCCGAAGAGGGAAGGAGATGTTATTCATTTTCCTGATCCGCGGACCATCGGGAGTAAGACTTCTCTCCAGACACAAATGGTGAAGGAGTCTGTTCACGTTATTGAACAGCCTGGGACGTGGGACGTACTGCCAGTCGGCTACGTAGTTGGAGTGCGTAAAGTTGATTGCAACCCAAGCAATAAGGAGATCAATACTCGACGGCCTGCAACCTGGGGGTTGAGACGACGAGGCGCTTTCGCTCGTCGACACACCCAGGGTCTGAAACCCGGGGAAGATACAGACGATCTCTGGGAGGTATGGTCCCTCTCCCTCCGCGGAGACAACTGTGCAATCCGACTCTCCCGGGATACGGAAACGTCATCCGAGCTCTTGGTGAGTAGTCTGGGACCTATGGAAAAGTTTGGCCAGAGATCCCTGGCGGTTGGGTTAGGCAACGTGGTAAAGATAGTGACGGTGGGCACTGAGCGATACGATAATGATAATATGGGGGATCAGAGTACGGCGTGTGGGCGCATGACTGGCGGGAGGAAGAAAAGGTCCGGAGTTGGGCGGAAGAAGAGCTGTTGAAAAAACAAACCATTGGACCCAATTGTATATGAATGGTAGAGGTCCACTCAGGAGTATTTAAATGGTGGCGTGGCGGCTTTGTGATGGATGAAATACCATGGATCATTGATTGATTGGCGGCGGCCTGGCCTGGCCTGGCCTGGCCTGGCATTCTGTCCTGTATATTGGAGGTAGGTACGGGACGTCGGGAGGATAAATAAATGGCGTTTGGATGATGGGGGTTAGGAAGCACGAAAACCCTTCTTAGATGCAGAGACCAAATGCGATATGAGAAATATGAAATGTACTATTCCACTCAAGCTACAGTTGCTATTCGCAAATCACCGCCACAACGACGTGTTTTCCCGAAGGGATAAAATCATAAAGAAATCTTTTGTCATGTCTCTTCAACATTATGATATTATTAGCCATCATTACCAGTCCTCACTACCATCCTGTAACAAAGCAAAACAAAGCAAAGCAAAGCAACCAAACATACTTTACTTTTTGCACAATTCTCCCTCCCCTTTAATCCATCCATCCTATCCCTCCTCAGTGCTCACCCATCCATCCCCCTTTCCATCCCCATTCTCCTCCAACACCCATGACCCAAACTACCTTAAGTATGCTGCACGGCATTCGGTCCCACATCCGCATAGCTCACGACCGGCAAACCCACATTCGGATGATCGTAGCCGAAAAACGCTTCTTGAAGCGCCGTCTGATTGACAAGCGTCAAGACGGTGAAATCATCCTGGGTATTCCAACCCCATGAGACGGCGAAGTTATTCGCCTGTTTTCTTACGTTAGCTTTTTTCTTTTCTTTTCTTTTCTTTTCTTTTGGGGGGGAAGTTGATAAGGAGAGGGAGGCAAAGGGGGGGACGGACCTGCGTGCATGGCACGCCGTAAAACGAATGCGTGGTTGCGGGCTCCGCGGTATCGACAATAGTGCAGGGCACGGGCGTGCTGCTACCGTTATTAACGTCGATGGAGAAGGTATAGGTGCAGATGTTCGGATCAGTGCAGTCTGTTCTTTTGTGTCAGTATTCAGAATTCCGAAGGAGGAATTGTGTGGTGAGTGGCATGGAAAGGGGAAGGGAAGAGGATGGATGGGAAGGAAGGAATGCCAGAGAACGAACTTCTTGTGAACGAGCGGATGGTCCAGCCTGGTGATGATGACTGCCGGGTAGATAGAAGACCAGCTGGTGCTGCAAGAGCAGTCGAGAGCAGAGCTGTGAATGCCAGAATCTGAAACTGCATTTTGCCTGATTTCTTTCCTCCTCTTATTTATTAGGGAATCACAGTGAGCTTGGAGGATTTGATCTGACGAGTTTCCTGCTGTGGAAGATTCGTCTCGATTTTGGGTGGGCGATGAAGGGATACTTATATATCTAAATATATAAATAACTTCTCCAGAAAATGCCCCCCTCTCTCTCCATACTGCCTTATCTTGAAGCTCGCCAAGCCGGCACTAGACGGCTCTCGACATCTATTAACACAACGTACAACAAACACGAAGCCTGCGATACGAAATAACGAAGTCGATCCTTCACCTGCGCTGTCACCTGTTTGCTTCCTATTGGCACCTGACATGCAGATACCCTGATTCTTGCGAACCCTGACCGCATGTTTAAGGGTTGGCGGGGACGACGGGTGTGGCGCTGCATGGAACGTTGTAAGAACCATACGTTTCCGGTAAGGCACATGGAAACGTTAAAGGAATTAAACGTGTGGATTCAGGCAACCGACAGCTCGTATCGATGTATAGAGTAAGTTAGTGACGCTGTTGTCAGCCTTGTGATGTTGAAATACGAGGTTTGTTCGTTGTTGGCGGGGTTACTTTGGGATGCAAGGGCCCGTGGTACTGAAAAAAGAGAGGAGGTTGGACGTAAAATGCGGGGGATCGACAGGTGATCGCCCAATCTTCTTCTTATCCTATGGCTTAGTAGCAGTCATCAATCTTACCTCCCTTAATCAAATAACATTCGTGCTGATTTCTTTATGTCAGCTGACAGCTGCATCATCTAGTTGGAGGCAGCGAATTCTTTCCAGAAAATTTGCAACAATGGAAAGGTCATCCCAATATCTTTCATCTCACCGATGGTTTACCCTAGTAAAAATGCATATGCTGCAAATAAATAACTTGGTACGGCCACTTGCTGTATTCCGGATGATCGTCCACATGTCTAAAGAGCTTCAGAATATCGAACAAAGACCCCACAAGTTCGAAATGCTCCGTAGCATATGTTGAATATCTGCCCCGTCAGTTCCCTTGCTTCTCTGTGAGGTTTGGGCCATTTTCCAAATAGGCGGGCCATGTTTGATACATGAGTATGAATATCCACTAAGTAATATCCTCAGCCGCTGGGATCCACATATCACTGTGCTCCATCTTGATAATTCCGCAACCAGTATCGAGTCACATGGCTGATAATGACTAGATTGTCAAACTGGCTCTACTCAACCTTTAATGATCATCTGGTTCCCATATATTTCGAGGGGAACAGATAGTGTGTCACACACATCCTTAAGATATTGCTTGATGAGCTGTCATCTTTTTTGAAAAGGTGCGCTATCTCAGGGTACTCACCATGAACGGTTTCCTGGATTGATTCAAGAAGGTGTATCTTTCTCTCTTCCCTATATAGAAGTAGTAACTCCCACGAAAGTGGTCGTTTCTGACAGCAAAGAAGTTGGATCAATATCGAAATACAAGCCAAGGATTTTGACATGATTTCATGGTGCGCCATTCACACGAAATGGACACTTGTTTCAATCATATGCCGCTTTGATAGATTGGAAAAGGAGCTATAACTGTATAGCTAGAATGGAGCCTGAAGAAGTAGAGATTGAAAGAGCAAGGAACAATGGCTGCTAAGAGATAAGTGCAAGGAAATGGGCGTAGGGAACCGTCTAGAAAGACAAGCATTCTCTGACATATCAACAATGTGAACTCCAAATCAGGAAGTATATATGCAGTACTTTATTTCGTCCACCCTTACCCTTGTAAAGCCTTCCCGATCAACGCCTTACTCGAATCCGACATGGGTATCTTCAACGCCAATTCATGTCCTTTATCGCTCATTTTCACCCATGTCTTCTTCAATATCCCAATTATCTTCTCCTCGTCATGCTCCTTCTCAAAATTCTCAAACTGATCATCCAGGAACACCAAACAAGCCACGTCCTCCAATATTTGTGTATCCTCATTCTTCTTCAAATCCTCCTTGCGTATCAACTTCGCCACTTCTTCTGCCTCCTCCTTTGTAAAGTTGCATCCAATGCATATCGCAGCTGCTAGATCAGCCTGCCTCTTCTTCAAGAAGCTCCTCCAGTTCAGGTAGCCGGCTTTCGTCATCGGATAGGAATCGCGGGGCACTTCCCATCGCCGGAAATGCTGTGCGCGGATCGCAACTTTGAGGACCGGAGACGCATCAGGAGCACGCAGGGAGAGGTAGTGTGTCATTTTCTGGGCATAGTGCAGCTCGTAGGGGACATTTTGGCCGTCGAGAGTGACGATGTTTGGGTCTTGGGCGTGGGCTTCGTCGATGAGGTCGATGGCAGCTTGGTAGTTTTCCGCAGCCATTGGATGGTCTTACTCGGCAGAAAGAATTGAATGTGTTATTCGAAATGCTTGGCAATGAAGGACCAGGATCCGGAGTGTTGCAGATGAATCAATTATCAAGGTGAAGTAATCCAGAACGCGGGGTTGGTCCATAGGTACGTCGCAAGAATTTCCAATTGATAAGATATCCATCACGTGATAGGAACGCAGTTGCTGATCCGTATCGTCCTGCTTTATCTTCATCGATACAATGTCCAAAACCATGAAGCTCTCCTATACACCCATTCCGGTCAGTGCATTTAGAAGTGGTCAAATCAATGGAATGAATCGTGGGTCTCCCGACACTCTCTTACACAATCACTTACACATCAAGGAACAGTCAATGCGAACAGGTCGATCACCAATCAAAGTGCAAAGTTGCCCTGTCCTGGAAACTGCAGATGATCACAAAACCTATCGCTTGAGAGACTATTCATAGTTCACCGATACAATTGTGTGCAATGACTGCGTTGTGTACCCTTGCGTTCCCCATATCATCTGCATTCTAATGCCGACTAAGCATGGGATTCCTTTGCTTCGCCATTATGTACAACATGTCCGTCCTCGCCGCACAGTGACCTTGCGGGGGCAATGTTCTTGTACAGAATAGAGTCTCTCACAAATCCGCAGATGAGTCTCGAGGTACAAGGCGGCTAATTGATCAAATCCTCAATAGGAACGTTTTCCTTAAAGCTTGTGGTATTTGAGTGCGAGGCTCGGGAGTTTGGGGATTGAGGGGAATGAGGGGCATGGAGGGGCATCTACGGTATTGATGGCACATAAAGTAAGTGGCATGCAGATCCCAAGGACTGTAACGTTGATTCACCATTATCAAGTATCGCTTCCTACGGAGTAAGCATAGGCTTGCTGTGCAACAAATACACATGTGGCTGCGCCGCAACTCGCAGGTGATTATTATTAAGGCCCGCGACTTATCTCGGCCACCGTGAGCAGGTTAAAACCCACTTCGGATGTGGCACGGCACTGCAGATGGCCAAAGATCCACGAGGCACCTGAGCTCTCTGATCTCCAAGAAAGACACCATTTGAAGCCGATGCAACAATTTGATAGGACAATCAGAACTGGAGAAACCGAGCTTCTCTGGAACAAGCTTCAGTCTTATGCGCCTTACTCCGTACGGATTATCTTGGCAGGGACTCCTGGTAACGGCACTTGGAAGTGTGATATATGTGCATCGCACAAATATCCCCGATGGGTAACGGAGCCCGCCCCCTCCCCCCTTTATCCAGAAGCTACTTTGAACGCCATCTCAAGACTCAAACGTTCTTCGGACTACTTAGTAACACAGAGTAAGCTCTACTGGCAATAGCTACTATGTATACTGTACAGCGCCTACGGACTCGGGAGCTGTGCCGCAAACCATGGGTTTCGCATTTGATACCTGGTCGCCTCCTTGCATACCCGCCCATGCGGGGGTTGGAATAACCAACAGCAATTGCTGTAAGGGACATCATCTCCGGAGGTTCTAGATGAGCTGAAGCATGATTGTCCGAATTGTGTTAAAAGCTTACTTGCATGCATCATGACAATGTCGCATGAGCCTTTTATCTGCATATATCAAGATCGAACCTTGTATATATCCCTCACGGTCCCTTGACGTTCTTTTACAAAAGGATATATCGCTGATCAACTATCACGGCGTCCCATATTGATCAGCAATATGTCGCTGTGCACATATTGCAAACATGCCCTCGAGTGCAGGCCTCCCGACGCATACGTGAAACACCACAAACGAGTCAAGGATCTCGAAGCCTCGAGTTACCGGTGCCAATTGTGCAGACTTATCCTGAGTGGCCTCAACAATGGTTCACAATGCGCTGGAGTTGACGGGACCAATACAGAGGAGTATAGATATATATCCTTGGTGAGCCGATCGAGTAGAGGGGGAGGCATACGGAGAAGAATCATGTTCAGTGGGAAGCTGTGGACAGGAACGGTGATGAGAAATGTATTCTCCCTGACCAATGAAGGTACGCCATACGAAAGATCTCGCATTCATCGTATCGTTTGCAATGTCTTCTATAGTGTTTTCGTTGGTTGCCAGCTCCCCACGCATTGGAGCTGATTCTTCCTAGACTGCGCTAGAATCCTGGATAACCCAGTCTGGAGTCTCCCCCGGCCTGTCGGATTCCTGGATAGTCTCAAGACCATCCGCAAATGGTTCCGACTCTGCAACTTCGAGCATGGCAGATGTTTCCGAACATCTTCTGTCATGCCCACACGGGTCATTGATGTTGACATCCAGAATGGCTCGAACGAGGTGCGCCTCTTTCATCCACCCAAAGGGTACAACTTTCCATACGTTGCTCTGAGTCATTGCTGGGGCACATCCAAGGTGCCAATTTCATGCAAAACAACAAGGGGAAATATCCTCAATCACCAGAAACAGATCTTGACCTCGAACCTGCCAAGTACTTTCCAGGATGCTGTTTACATAGCGAGAAAGCTTAATATTCGATATCTATGGATTGACTCACTCTGCATTATTCAAGACGATGCAGACGACTGGGAAATTGAGTCTGCGAAGATGGCTTCTATTTATCAGAATGCCTACCTCACAATTGCCGCCACGGCTTCAGCTTCAAGTCAAGATAGTCTTTTGAATCCTCGACTGCCTGCGACGGTGTTCGAGCTAGAAGGCAAAGATAATATCCCAGAAATTGTCCATGCAAGACTTCACCCGGTCGGGTCTCAGTCACTACGCAAATCGCCGCTGTTGCGGCGAGCCTGGGCCTTTCAAGAGATGATCCTGTCGCCTCGGGTACTTCACTTTGCAGAAGACCAGCTGTATTGGCAATGCCGAAACGATCTGTTTTCAGAGGATGGTCTAGTCCGGCTTGTTTCACCTTTACAGAGCAATTTTCGGTCTGGCAAGTTCATCTCGCAGGACGAGTATGGAGGTTACAAACTTTGGTGGGAATGGATTCAGGTGTACAGTACACTCGGATTATCTCACACGGGCGACAAAGCAGCCGCGCTGGCAGGGCTGACAAACATGTATCTTAAGACACGAGAGGCAGGCGATCAACCCCTGGCGGGTTTATGGCGGAACGATCTCCATTTCGGACTCCTATGGTACTCTGTAGGCTCCAGGCGATTGACATATCTTGATCATGTGCCCTCATGGTCCTGGTTCAAAGTTGATGGCCCCATCATGTCACACTTCACCGTGAACGGAATATGGGGACAAAATATACGCCGAACAGCCAATATCCTCGAAGCTGAAGTCTACTGGACTAGACATCCCTTAACTTCGCCCATAGCAGGTGGAGTCATCATGATGGAATCTCGAATCCGCCCCATCAACATCCAATTTCTACCATCAGACGAGCGCGGGCTTAACCAATTAGTCAAATCTGGAACATATTGGACTTCCTCGGTGCAAAGTCAACAGAAGTCTCTTTGGAAAGCACGCGGCCCTATCTTTACCATGGATCCAATTGCTGAAACTCTGGGTAACGGCCCAGATGAATACTCGCTCTGCTCGGTTGGATATTTCAGTTTCGATCAAGGCATGCCATCTCGAATTGAAAATGCTCTTTGTGTAGAGATCATGACGACTACAAACACATCAGGGCAGCAAGTCGAGCCTGGAACGGGTCGATGGATGTTCCGTCACGAGGTTCTGATTATCGAGCCGGTGAACGGCAGCCCTAATGTTTACCGCCGGCTGGGAGTAGGACATATCCTGGTCGGCTTGTATCATGTTTCTCCGCCTACGGACGAGATCTTGAGAAGTGCTTGGGACTTCTTCCAGAAGGCTCGGCCTTGTGCAATCACTCTTGTCTGATGAACTAGACTGGTTTCTCTCATGCGGATATAGAGTCGGTCGGTCTCACAAATGTCGGACATTGGCTGCGGGAAACGATTCTTGGTATGCAGTTCGAACTGCTGAAGCAGGATCAAACGCTACTCATAGCATACAGGCATTGTATCACAGAGCGAAATATAAGGTGTATTTCAGCTACGCCTGTCCTGTCCACAGCAACACCGACATCCGAATTTCACCAACAACTGCAATAGCCAACACAAGAGCGCCGATGATCATCTCGAGGTCAACACTCGGCAAGCTCAAATCACTCGGCAACCCGCACCACAGGAAAGCAATCCGAACCCCCGTATGCTCGTGAGGAGCCTCAAGACCAGCGACCCATTGCAACGAAACCATCAATACCATCCTTGTGCGTATCTCAAACTCAAGAAACCAGCAGAGGCAGAAGGGAATACAGCACCAACGAATATACGGGTCTTACGGGAGGCTGGAATCAAAGCTCCTGTTTAGCCGTGGAATTGCCATTACCCAAGAACAAGAACCTCTGATCGAACTTGATTAGTGAGTGATATGCGTTCTTCAACTGCACTATGCACTCACTCACTGTATGGAACAACTCCTCGGGGAAACAAAACTTGTACCCCATGTTGGCTTGGAAGGAAGGAAGGAATAGCCTGCCTATATGCGGGTACATGGATGGGTGGATATCTTGCAGGGGATGATGTTATGGATATGAAATGAGAAATATGATAATGATTCAAAAACGAGAAGAAATTACACCAGTAAGGAGACCTATCTCCATGTGCTACACATACAAGTGAAATGCCGTTGCGAATGTTCCATACCTACCTTGCTTCATGGAAATATGCAAGCGTAAGTCCCGTCGTTTCTATATATGGAGGCTTGACTAGTATCGGAAAGGGGTTAAAAATTATAATTCTCCGTACTGTATGTACCTGTCTAGAGATGGTATATGATATACAACAAGCCACAGAGCCAACGCAACGTAATAAAAAGTAAAAAAACAAAAAAAATCTAAACATCAACCGGTTCAATAATCCTCCCATCCAGCGTTTCCAAATACCCTCCAAGTTTCGGGCCCGGATACTTCCTGATGGCATGCACCAGCCACCAAAACAAAGTTATCGCAATGACACCCACCAAGATAACGCTATTATAATTCATCGTCGAAGTCGCGACCGGTAGCGACGCCGGGAAGCAGAAGATCACATCGAAGAACACGATCAAGATGATGGCGATGGCGTTGATGTAGTACCCCGAATTGCCCATCCAGAAAGGACCAGGCTTGATGTTCTTCCGGCCGGTGAAGAGATGGCCGCCGATGGCGAGAGCGTAGGAGACGGTAGAGAGGATGACGAAGGAGCCGACCAGGTCGGAGAATGCGGCTTGGCTACCGAGCGTGATGGCGCCAAAAGCAGTGGTCATGATCCCGGTGAAGACGGTGGCGGGGATGGGGCACGAGAGGCGCTCGTTGACGAGCGAGAAGAAGCCGGAGAAAGGTGTGGCGTTGTCGCGCGCGAGCGTCCACCAGGTGCGGCCGACGGTTAGGAAGGTCCCGATCAAGCAGCAGGCTAGGGAGAGGAAGATGATGAAGAGCAGCCCAAAGGTGGCGCCGCGGGAGCCGCCCGTGGCTTGGCTGTATAGCTCTGCGAGGGGGAAGGAGCCGCTGCTGTTCAGGACGGCGTCTAGGTCGCTGATGCCGTAGAAGAGGGTGATGGCAAAGAGAAATGCGGCTGTGAAAGAGGTCAGGATTCGATCCTCCAGGGGAGCATTGGTAGGGTGGTTAGGGGGTAAACGTACTGATTGTGCCAAGGATGATTTGAGCGGCGATGGCCTTGGGAAGATCTTTCCGGGGATGAGGAACCTCTTCTGCCATGTGCGTCACAGCATCAGGAGTGCCGATTGTAAAGGCCCCGTTCAAAACACCTGCCAAGAAAGCGAAACCACTGGGCCACCCTGTACTGTTTTCCCAAGCCGCCCAGACAGAGTGGGTTGAGGCGTGTGACTTAGGCATGGCCGCGAGGACAATGATGCTAACCAGGCCTCCGGCCAGTACGACGAAGAGCCCAAATTGCTGGAGATAAGGCAAGTACTTGTTGAAGAAGATCGTGATGCCAATGCAGATCCAGGTGATCAACACGAGGACTACAAAGATATTCCACGCTTTGATCTCATAATCCGGGTGATAGAGGCTATACATCTGGATGACGAGTTCCGACATGACATATGCGATCGAAGCAAGATCGAAGAGCCAGCCAAAGAAGTTGAGAGAGCCGGCGAAGAAACCGAGGATTCGTCCATACTTTGGACCTGGAGTCATCGAGGCCCAATGGTAGACGCCTCCAGATGAAGGAACGGCCGACACCAACTGAGACACTTTAGTACATAGCTATTTGGAAGCGTGGAGTCGCATGCCCATACCTCAGCAATCGATGCGGCAACAAAGCAGTAGTAAAATGAGGCAACAAGGAGCTCATACAACACTCCAGGAGGTCCTCCATTATCTGTTGAAGAATAGTTAGGCCAAGCACCTAATAGATGGGCTTGGCATGAAGCAAAAACTTACAGATTGCAACATTGAGGGATGTTCCAATGGCTACCCATGCGTTGTCGACGGTCAGGGCCATACCGCAAATACTGAAGATTCCATATTGGCGGTTCAATTGATCTCGGTGACCAGACGCATTGATGATCTCGACGTCGCCCGACCCGATTGCGGTGTCATCGCCAATAGCAATATCAGTCTTCTCCTTCACGACCTCTGGTTCACGAAGGTCGGCCATGGTACATCGCTATTGCAGTCTGTGGCTGATACAGGTATCCTCAAGGTCAATCCAGTTCCGGTGGACTCGGTGGATCGACAGCGGAGAGGTTAAAGAGCGGGCGGAGAAAAGAGGATGCCCGGTCAAGATATGATGGAGAAGTACTCGTGGGGCTGAATGATCAATCCTCGCAAGGTGGGATGACAGCTGCAGCGATCATTATTCACGGAGATAAGTTTGTTATATAATAAATATAAGAAAGCGTCTGTAGACATGAGGGATAGGGGTCAAAAAGTAAAGGTAATGGGAATGTTGCTCGTTGCTGATATAGTAGATGATAACACGGACGACAAGACGCTGTCGATGATAACCGGTTGATAAGAGCGTGACAGAAATAATTTGACGTATTACATAACCCGCGGTGCACCTTAGCGAGAGAAAAGCATTCCCCCCTGAAAAGTCATTTAGAATTGAAGATCCTGAGAAGTAAGGTATGTTATTCTACCTGCCCGGGCTTTGAGATCAGAACCCCGGATCAATTCTCGAACAACATTGCAGAGACATCAACCCTCTTCACCCCTCCTTCTTCCACTCACCTTCCTTTACTCAGGACTTGACTCCTTGTTATATCCAACCCTTCCACGTTATATACGGATACTTGAAACAGGTAACATTTTCCGCTTTCCTGACTGCCTGAATCCCCAGGTCAACAAGTAAGTCAACAAGTAAGAAGATTACTCAACTCCTGATATCTCCAGTCCAACAGTGCTCTTATCTATACCCCGGAAATCCTCGCCACGTTTATTACAACATGACAGACGAGTGACCGCCCCGCGCCTTAAAGACCCTAGTCACCCTAGAACTGCTCTTTATCAAACTCAACATCTACCTCGCATCTCATCTCATCTCATCTCATCTTCAGCAGGATAATATGCTATTGCAAGGACGCAAGGAGAAGTCGGTTCTGGTATCAGCAGCTGGTTCGATGGGCACACGGGATCGATCCCTCCGTGTCAACCACGCGTAATAACTATGTCGGATTCGCAGATAGATCAGAAACACCCAAAACATTATTGTCCTGCGCCTTTAGAAGCAAAAGGTAAGTCGATTGAGTAAAAGGGATGGCCATCCATCTTTCAATCCTTTGATGTTTTCCCATCGCAGTCAGATCATGATGATCACGTGGAGATTAAATAAAAAGAAATTCAAATTCAAAAGCAGCGGAGGAGGCGACGATAAGGGTACGATAAGCCCGGGAGCCGTTGACACATGTCTTTCCTTATCGATAAGAATCCCCCCTGCTGCAAAGAAACAATCTGGCAGCTTGACATGTACATATGACTCTGGAGTAAAGATACTTCCAAATTCAAGAGCAGAGACTCTATCGCCAGGCCTATATATATACATCATCGGGGCGCGGCATTCCTAAGTGCTTTCTCTCCTATCTGATTACTTTACGAATTCTGACCCTCGGATCGTGCTTATGATGGCTTCGATTCCGCCTCCACTCCTAATACCATAGAGGCAATGGCCAGGCAACAAACCGAATCTCTTATTTGAAGTCATATAACGGCTGGACCTTGAGCCAAAATTCACCGTTGGTGAGGAGTTTCGGAGAATTCTCCGGGATATTTCCCCCTTTCCGGCTCGCTTAAATCCAATTCCTGTACGAATCAACCAACATTCCACGACAAGTGCCTAGTTCAAGTCATCAACTAGGTAGAGCAGCATTAAAACTTTTATTCTCTGATTATTATATCCAAGGTATACTAGATCGTAACTCCGTGAGACATAGATACCACCAATCTCACGTATATTTAAATCCACCCGTCCGCCCCGGAAAGAAACCCGTCGGATCCACCGCCTTCTGGATCGTTTTCAAGCGCTGATAGTTACCATCCTCGTAGCTCTGTGCCGGCAGCTGATCATACATCGCATCATTCATGAATATCGGGGTATACCCCGCATCAGTCAACGCCGTCACTTGCATTGAGCCCTGGTAATTCGTGGCCGCGATCCCGGCGAACGTGCTCTGCGCCCATGATTCCAGAGTCGCAGTGACGTTCATGGCCATGGCGTGCGCATCATCGTCGCCGAGGCCGGTCAGCCACGCGAAATTGTAGTCCATCCACATGTGGTCGCCGGACTCGGGGGTCATGCCGAGGGCGTTGCCGCCGGCGGCGACGGAGTGCATGGGGATGAGGTAGGGCATTGGTTGGTAGGCAATGCTGAAGGTGAAACCGGGGTGGAGGATGCCTTCGCTCATGGCATATTCTTTGAAGGCTTTGAAGTGGCCGTAGTAGAGGGATCGGCCGGCTGTGGAGGGGAGGTTAGGGAGGGTTGCAGCCTGGTTTTGTAGTCAGCAATGAAGATCTGCGACAAGAAATGTGAGCCATACCCGGATGAGATAGCGGAGACCGTAGATATTCGTGGAGTCATCTCCATCCAACTGGTAGATCTGGCGTTAGCAAAAGCAAAAAGATTTGTTCCATGGAAAGGGAGCTCAACATACCAAGTCTGCATAACTTTGAGTCTTGGCATTGTCAATATCTACCGGGATAGCGTTGAACTTGTCAAAGACACCAGGAGGCGGGGTCTCCCCGTCATAAAAGAAAAAGACGGTGAAGAATTCTAGAAGACTGTCAATCGCGATCTGACCCGTGACAATGATGGCAGCTTTGGGGTCCGAGAAGTTGGAGTTGAAGTCATGAGTGGCATTTATGAGCGCCTCGGCGTGTTTTCCAGAGTAGTTGCGAATACCGCCCCAAACCTGAACTCCATTAACGACAAGATTCTAAGAGAGGTAGCAATATATGAATTACCTTGCCTATAGGGTGGGTTTTCACAGTAAACTTGGTGACGATTCCTGGTGAGTGGTCAGTAAAATGTTTACCCCTTTTTCCCCTAAAGAGAAGCGAAGGCGCGCTTACCGAATTGATTCCCGCCTCCTTTCAGAGCCCAGAATAGGTCCGGGTAGCTCGTCGCATTAGCATTGACAATCGAGGCATTTGCAAGCACAACTTCATAATTGACGACGTTGTCACAAGCCAGGCCATACTGCGTGCTGAGGAAACTCAAGCCTCCGCCAAGCAGCAAGCCTCCGACTCCGACGTCCCCTGGCACGCGTTAGGAGAGGACTTGTGTGAGTATTGCAGGGGGCATGGTTACCAAGTCGCCCGCTGACTACGGTGACATTATAAGGCTCCAGTGCTCGAGCAACTTCAATCCACCGCGAACCCGGGCCAATATCAGCCGTGGCGCGATCTTCCGATATGACAGTCGACGCCAGCTTGCTCATCGTAATGAGCACGCCGCCGTCCGTCGACGACCAGCCGACATTTGATCCGTGGCCTCCGCTCTTGATGGCAAAGGGGACGTCAGGATACTCATTGAGGACCGTCACGATCTGGGAAACGTTCTGAGCACTGGTCGGGAACACAGCACACGCCGGGATCTGTTCGGCGATGGCGGCGGACCAGTAATGGCTCTGCGCCGTGATGTAGTCGGGATTTAACCAGTCCCATTCCGAAGTCAGTGTCTCGATGCCGGTGGCCGAAAGTGCAGAGCATGCAGCTTTGGCATTCGCTGAGATCGACGCAGAGGCGAGAGGCAGAGCAAGGGACGCCAAAGCGCCAATGGCGCCGGCCAACGAGGCACCGTGGGGACCCTTCATGATCCAAAACCTTTCTCCGGCCTGGAAAAAAGAAACAGGAAAGAAGGAAGGAAAGATTTTATATACCCAACCTGAACCCTAGCCTGAACGAAGCCTGCATGATGCATCTCTTCGGAAAGATGAGCAGGGCTGCGTTATCGGCAGTGGTGGGTGATTTGCAAACCTTACCTTAGGTTCAGCCCATAACTATGGGATATATGCTAGCGTAGGGACCATATTCCAACTTCTAATCCCAAATAACCCCAAATAACGACAGATTTGGAAAGATTTTGGCTAGAATAGGGGCGGGTCACGGGCCCCCACGTTAGCGTATATCCCATACTCATGGGCTGTTCGCGACAATAGTGTACGAGTACAAGGTTTGAAATGAAAAGGCGGCTTGGTTTCGCTGTGGATGGAGCCTAAGTGAACCTCACAGGGCCGGAGGCAGAGCTAGCTGCTACTGGCACTCGTACAGTATTTTCTCCGAGATCTCGATCTCCTACCTTGCTTCCTCTACTCCGTACTGACTGTTTTCAGTTCTTGGGACTTCACATACGAAGGTGCGATGTCCACCGTCATGTCCAGCGACGCGAGCCGCCCCGGAATCCAACCGGCAGAACTAGCTCACGTCGATCAATGGGATGAACCGTCCGCGGCTGGACCATACCGAGTAAAGCCGGCGATTATTGTGTCTTGGCCGTGCATTAGGGACCCTTGTTTAATGAGGCGGCGCACTTACTACTGTATGCAGCTGTCAATACTGCTTACAGAGAGTATGAGCCTGATACGATCTATACGAGGCCGCTATACCTCTGTGCTCCGCGAACTCTGCAAGCCACAGGAGGATTCGGGACGATTGAGTACTGGAACGATCTTTTCTAGGCGGGATTATGACCAAGCAGTGAGCGCAGTGCGCACATCCTACTACAAAACAGGCAGAGATCAAACGCCTTTTTGCTGGGTATATTTCCGGTTTCTGGACCTGCCATCAGGCATTGACACACGCGCGGCCTGTCTGGATAAAACACGTACAGAGTACTGCTGCTGTCTGCTCGCGTGCCTGTCTGAGCGCCGAACTCAAACCCTGTGAAAGCGGGATCTCCAGCTTACCTACCTTACGGAGACCTGTCAAGAAAGTTTGAACGATTTACCGAATCCAACCAACCAATCAACCAACCAACCAACCAGCTTGCTCCGTACTCGTCCTTGAATAACAAGAAGGGAAATGAGTTGTTTGTCAATATCAAACAACCACTAAATATACGAAGTTCTACTATAAAAGTCCATCATTACTATAATCTTTAGGTACTCGTCTTGGCGTACCTAAACTCGGCAAATCGCTCCAGTTCCATACGCGTGGGTCCAGTCCAGTCCAAAACAAAACAAAACAACGCGGGACGAGGCATCATCAAAGACGTCCGTCCGTAAAACAACTCCCTGTATACTCATTCCAGTCAAGATCAACCATCTCCTCTCCCTTTAAATTCAGGTACATACATATAGACCCCAATATTTCTTCTAAGAAGGACGTTCCGTGGAACAACTCCCTGTATACTCATTCCAGCCAAGATCAACCATCTCACTCTCACTTTAGATTCAGGTACATTAGGCCCCAACATTTCTTTTCTCGTTTTAACTAAAACTCGATTCCTAGGTCCCGTCACCGCGGATTGAAAATTGACAATCTCAAGTTCAGAGCTGCATGGACCTTTTCTTTACGAAATCTCTCGATTGGCAATCTCCTCGGCTCTCCAGGTCGTTTCTACAGGAGGTTTTGTCATGCGCACGCCGTGTCTTCTGTACATACCTAGGTACCTATGCCACGAGGAATCAGATTAGATAAGCTATCGATACGTCGCCCCTGAGGGATATCCGATGCAATACGATGTGATCTAATCAAACAAGCGGGCGTGCTTGATGTTGTGATGTGAAGGAGGACGTGGCAATGGGTTATCATTGGACAATGGGGACATTGGCAAGGCTTTTTCAGGATCGGAGGCTCCTTTCATCTTTGTCGGTTTTCCCTGTTGTCCGCAAACCATATCTTGTCATCACTTTCATGCAACTTGCAGCTCCAAAAGCTTGTGGCATCCCGACAAAAATACGAGCTGCTGCAGGCCATTCTTCATATTGATACTCGTCACATTATTTGCCGAGTCGCTAACAGTAAAAGGTTAAAAATGAGATCCCGGCGTCCCGCATCGAAGGAGGATCAAAACCCCAACGAAACAAACCAGTCTGCCAACATTGCCAGCAGATGCTCATCGAGTCTCGCAAATCGTAATGTACGGTGACATGGGACCACCAAGGAATATTCTCCCTGTTTCCGCATCGTGAACTGCGCTAGATGCCCCGGGTAACACGGTCCCATCATCCTCCATGATTTTCTCCACGACATACTTGGGTCCGGCGTGCGACTCCCCCTTCTCCAACCTTTGCGACCCGGCCCCCTTTTTATAGAATTTGAAGACCGCACTCGGGGGACTCACCCTAAACGGATCTTTGAAACTCTTGGTCATTTCATAGAGGTGAGGAAAGCCCGCTGCGAAAATGTCGCCATTCTTGTCAACAGACAGGTTGTCTACTGGCATCGGTATTTTGAGAGAGGCTACTTCGCTGAGTACGCGATTCCCATTGAGAGATAGAACTTTGACCTCCCCAGTTATTGAGCTTGGGGCGTAAAAGAGCCCGTCATAGCCGCGGACTATGCCATTGGGAAAGCATATGTCGGTATCTTTGGCAATGTTACAACTATCTTGATCACAGTATCCGATGCTGCCTCCGCCAATGACAGCGTCAAACTCTCGCCGCTGAAACCTATTAGCATCCAAAGATATTACAGGAAGGAAGGAATGCTACCCATCCAGTCTTCCTACTGTGATCATTCGTGAACACAAACGCTCTGTCATTTACCCATGCAACATCATTCGGAGTCTGGATCGCATCGTTGGAAAAGGTCCTCACGTGGACCATGGTATCACTGCCCACCGTTGTCTGGAACAGTTCAATTGTCGAGTTCGCTCCAACTATGGCAGCATCGAGTGGTTGTCTAGTAATTGGGTCAAAAGGGGGGCGGTGATTGACCAACAGTATGGCGAGTGTATCAGTGTGGGGATCTGCTCGGATGTCCATTCCATGGAGATTCAAAGTACCATCGCCTTTGATGCCATGAAAGTTCTTAGCCGTGATCCATTTAACGCGGGACGAGAGCGGTCCATCAGCTCGAGTGTCGAGGATAGCAACTCGATCTGTGAGGCCACGGCCCTGAGCATTGAGAGATCCGACGCTGAAAGATGGTCAGTGTTGATTCCATATTGATACATAGGAATGACTGACGCCGGAAGCCACTGTGTACGACTTTGGGAATCGGAGCAGGCCATGTAGAGGAGGCCGGTTGGCTCATGTAACCACATATCCTCACATGCCTCAAGGCCTAGTTCATCCACCTTTTGGCAATGGACATTACTGAACGTAGTTATGCTTGAGACAGGGCGACCATAGCCCAGTGTATCGAATATGATGGTCTTGGTAACGAACTGATAGAGGATTGCGATCACAGCAACGCTGATGATGAGGATTCTACCAAGAAGACTGCCCATGTCTGCGGATTGGGATTACTCCAGAGACGAAAGAGGAGTGATAGAGCTGGAGGAGGCTATCAGTCAGTCAATCCTGGGATTTGGCAAGACATATACAGGAGAGAGCTCGAAGGAAGACAAGAAGAAAGGACGAAAGGAAGTGGTAATCGAGTTACCTACCTCCGCTTTGGCCGGTGAAGAAGGAGGGGCTCATATTTCGACCTCGGTCCATTGCGGTACGCTGCTACGGATGCAATTACTTTCTTGTTACATTCAAAAAAAACTCTATTTCAAGAACATAGCAGGCCTCAAGACCAAGGATCGCTCTTGCGAAGGCTATCCCAAGTTTCTGCGTTATTTTGTTTTTATTTTATTTTATTTTTTATTTTACTTTACGTAGGTAATCCCCTTGTTAAACAAGATTCTCCAGTCACGTGCATCAGGGACCCCGCCCTCGGTGCAATGTCCCCCCGGGCTCCGTGACTTTGAATCTCTAGATATTTCAAAGACTCCTCGGGCTATGTGGTCAAGTATATCTTCATTTGTTGCCTCTCTGCGCTTTTGAGCTCTGCAATTGTTTGAGTACCCATCCATATTGACAGATCAACTGGCAATCATTGATTTTTGCACTCTCCACTCTTCACTCCCCCACTATGGCACGAACCATCTCCGTCCAGGAGATCTCGAAACACAACATACCTAAAGACTTATGGATAGTGGTGGATGATACCGTCTATGACATGACAGAATTTGCACCTGAACACCCGGGAGGTGCGAGCAGTACGCTCTTCCATCTCCATCTTCATCTACACGTGCTTCACTCACCCCTCCTCACCAGTCATCCACCGCTACGCCGGCCGTGACGCCTCGAAGGCCTACTCAGAAACCCACGCCCCGTCTTTAATCAAGACCTCTCTCCCTTCTTCCAAGATCCTAGGGACACTCGACCCCACCAGCCTCACAGAAGAATGGGCCAAACCACCACCCGCAATAACAACCGCCTTCTCCCCCAATTCCAAACCGCCCCTCGACACCCTAATCAGCACCTACGACTTCATCAGCGTCGCACGCCAAACCCTCACGCCCAAAACATGGGCCTTCTACTCCTCCGCCGCCACTGACCTCCATACCAAAGCCCGCAACACGTCCGCCTACGCGGATATCGGCTTGCGGCCTCGCATCCTGACGAATGTCCAGACCGTGCATACCAGCACCACGATGCTCGGGCAGAAGATGAGCGTCCCAATCTTCTGCGCCCCCGCCGCAATGGCCAAGATGGTGCATGCCGACGGCGAGAAAGGCATCGCGCGCGCCTGCAGAGCCCTCGGGATCCCCCAGTGCATCTCAACCAACGCCTCATTCCCGATCGCTGAAATCTTCGCATCAGTGCAAGAGCCTGGGAAGTATGGCGACGACGAAGGTCCATTGCCGATCTTTTTTCAGCTGTATGTGGATAAGCAGAGGTGGAAGAGCGAGCGGTTGCTGGCCATGGTGGAGGATCTGGGTGTCAAGGCTATCTTCGTTACGGTTGACGCGCCGGTTCCTGGGAAGAGAGAGGCGGATGAGAGAGTCAAAGCTGATGAGAGTCTGAGTACACCGATGAGTGGCGCGACGGCGAAAAATGATAAGAAGGGAGGCTCCTTGGGTCGCATCATGGGCGGTTATATCGACGCCTCTTTATCATGGGACGACATACCCTGGTTAAGAAGCTGTACGAAGTTACCCATCGTACTAAAGGGTGTGCAGACAGCCATGGATGCAAAGAAAGCCATGGATCACGGCATCGAAGGTATCGTATTAAGTAACCACGGCGGCAGAAGCCTCGATACTTCCCCAGCGCCCATCCTTCTTCTACTAGAGCTGCAAAAGTGCTGTCCACAAGTATTCGACAAGATGGAAGTCTTCGTCGACGGCGGCATAATGCGAGGCACCGATATTTTCAAAGCCCTATGTCTCGGCGCCAAAAGTGTCGGAATCGGAAGAGGCTTCCTATATGCCCTGAACTACGGCCCGCAAGGCGTGCAGAAATACGTAGAAAGTAAGCCCCCTCCCCCTCCCCCCCTTTTCAAAAAATCAAAAAACCTCCACTCCAGTAAATAAACAAAAATACGCAAACATGAGAAACTAATCAACAAAACCCCCAATCTCCAGTTCTCAAAGACGAACTAGAGACAACAATGCGAATGATGGGCATAACCCACCTCTCCCAAGTGCACCCCGGACTTCTGAACACGGCGGCCGTAGATCATCTGATCCCGGACGGTGAGGAACATCCTTATGCGAAGTGGAGACCTAGAGCGAGGATTTAGGATTTTATGGGATTTTATATAAGGTACCTAAGGTACTTATGAAGAAGAGGGAGTGCGGATGTGGGGAATTAGATTTGTTAGGATAGATAGATAGATATCTGCCGTCGAGATCTTCGAGAACAGCACCGCGTATCGAAATGTGAAAGGCCGTTCACATCTTTCCTTCACTTACTTACCTGTCTTCACTCAGAATCACACAATAGAGATAGAAAGATCCGACTCACATACTGGCATCACTCATAAAGCAGGACCCTGAAATTCTTCAATAAGATAACAGAACATATAATTATACATATCTAGTTTTCACACCCAGGTTGCCAAAGCTTTGTTTCTTCAGAGATGAGGATTTCAAACCGGTCCACTGTCCTGCGGGCACGCATTCCCTAATGTCGTGCTACCACTCCTGATATAGCAAACTTTCTGCTCCGCACAAGCCTTCGTATCGCATTTCTTCGTAACGGCGGAGCTCTTCGTCTCCAAAAAGTTATACACCTCGACCAACGTGTTATTCGCAAGCATGTTCTCGGTGACGCCGTGCCAGAAGGGCCCATCGAGAGGAGCGTTCGCCGGCACGGTGTTGTTGGGATCGTAGACCTGTCTCGTGTCGTATTCGAACTCCCATACGGGTGTCGTCCAAGAATTGGCATCGGAGACGTTGGCGAAGTAGGTTTGCGTGTTGACGACGGAGAAGGTCTCGGCGTCGACTTCGAGAAGGACCCAACCGGCGTTGTTGCCGCTGAGGGGCGTGATAGAGGGCCCGATGTAGCCTACTGAGAGGGGCTTGCTGTAATCTACGAGCGTAGTGTTACGGAGTACGGAGGACGAGTTGGTCGCTATGGTGGAGTTGGGGAGGTAGTCGTAGTAGATCATCAGCTGGTCTTGGTGCGTGTGCCCGAAGAAGATCCCGGCGATGGTCGAGGGCGAGAAGCGGCGGACAATACTGTAGAATAATGCGGACGGGTTGGGAAGGGCGTTGGAACCGTCATAGCCGGAGAGGACATGTCCGATAATCCAGACTCTTTGGTTGATATCTTCTGATTTTTGAAGTTCATCGGCCAGGAAGGTAAGGATACCGGATGTATCAGGGTTTGTCATGTTGTAATAATTAAAGATATTAGCGGTATACCAGAAATCGGTATTGATAGAGATAATCTTCAGGTTGGATGAGGTAACCGTGGCGTAGGCTCCATAGTGTGTTGATGCATAAGAGGCGTCTGATCTTGAAATCCAGCCATCAGACGACCACATATTTGCCAGCAGCTCATAGTTCCAAGAGAATAGATTAGAGCGGCCGTTACTATCACCATCGGAGATTGAGTTTGGAGAGGTATACGCTTCTGGTAGGGAGTCATGATTCCCAAGCGTGGGGTAGATCGGGCTGTTACCCATCTGGGCTTTGAAGGTTTCGAATGTTATTTTCTCCTCGTACTCGACATAGTCTCGACTTAACTGGTCAGTATGATCGTGACTGACAATATCTCCTGTGAATATGGTGAAGTTGATGCTGGATCTCTTCACAAATTGATCCATTGTCGAGAATGCTGACAGGGCCAAATCAGCTGGTGTGTCGCAGTAAAGGGACCCGAATCGAGATGCCGGAATGGACGCGTTGGCTGAGGTTGTAGATAGGTCTGTGTTGGTAGAGTAAGGCCGGCAGCAGAGATATTGTGTGCAGTTTCCCTCGCTACCAATATCATATCTTGGGTCAATATGCCAATCTGACAGATGGAGGACATTGATTGTTTTGATTGAACGTGCAGTGATGATTCGCTTCTGTGAACCTAATCTACCATTGTGGCCGTAACTCGAGAGCTTGGGAGGCGGGAATGTACATCACGGGAGGGGCCGTAGAGAGGCGCATTACTGATGCGCGAAATCGACGATCTATAATTGACAAGATCGACAATCCAAGTAAAGTGACATTGGCAGCGGAGGCCTA